AGCGTTCGTTAGAGACGGGTTTGCTCGACATAAAGTGTAGGTGCGGATAAAGAATAGACTTTGGAACGGACTTAGGCCACAAGCCCAAAATTGTTGTCGACAACGTCAGAACAATAAAGGTGTCGACAACAACCTTTTGGTTTTTTTGGAAAAGGCGGCTTTTCATTGGCTATCAGATCTTGCCAACAACAGAGATATCAGTAATTGTTGTCGACAACGTCAGAAAAATAAAGGTGTCGACAAAAACCCTTTGGGTTTTTTTAGAGAGGGCGACTTTTAAGTCGTTTCTTTTTTCTCGATTCCAAAACGTTTTTTTTTTGGAATTGGTTGATGTTATAATAAAAACGAATATATATTGCTAATAGCAAAAGGTTGTTAATAGTGTGTATTTACTGTTGCTTGCTTACCTGATATTTTTCGCAGCATTATTTGCTTCGATGAATTGGTTGATCATTACATGGGTTCTTTGTTTTGATATGTATCCTAACATTTGTAAGAATGTAAAATGAATCCTCTGAACTGACTTTTATCTACGCTTTTGCAAGCTTCCGTAGTTCTCTTTGTTAGAGTGTCTTCTTGCAAAAACCTCTGGCGCTTAACCTTACTCTTCGCATCTGCCCAAGATTGTTCTATGGGGTAAAGTTCAGGAGAGTAAGTAGGAAGATACACACACTTATATCCTCGATACTCAATATATTTCTTTATATTTTCATGTGTGTGAATAGGTGCATTGTTCATAACTATGTAATGACCTTTCATATGTGGATACTTGTCCATTTCATCAAGAGTCATTTTTAGGGAACTGATATAGTGACCTGTTACTGTTCCTGAGCTGATATATCCTTCAGCCTTTCTCTTCTTCGCAGGTCTCGGTTTTTTTACGCCCACTGCAATCAAACCTGATGCAGAAATGGCACCCAATATAGACGTAGTATTTGCTCTCGTGGTAGGTCTAGTAACAATAGCACGAGTACCCATTTGTGGACCAAGCTCTAAACCGTTTCATGTTTATGTCAAAAGCAGACTCATCAAGGAACACGCAATTCGTCATGAAGTTCATATCTGTATTTTGCCATTTGCAAACCCAATCGTATCGCTCCTCAATTTTTGCTGGACTGTTTCTTTCAATGGAATGAAAATCAGCCTTTTTCAACGATAGGTTGCATTCCCTTTTCATAAAGTTATAAACAGTACTGCGTGAAACCTTAAGATCATTGAATCGATCCAAAATGCTCTGTGACTTCAACCACAGTAACAGACGGATTGGCATCAATGAAATTGATAATAGTCCTTTTATGCTCTTCCGTTAAAATACATTTACGACCGATTCTAGTACAACTGTCAAAAATGTTGCCAGGACTCATGCTATGCTGTTTAGCCCATCTCTGCGCCGTTCGAATGTGTATACCCAACTGCTTTGCCACAGCTGATGCACTCATGCACTTTTCAATCTTCAGATCGAAAAACCTAACATTATCTCGGACAGTATATCGCACATAATCTCGTTTAGTGTTTGCCTCCTTCATACGAGTATCTTCATCTTTTGACTTTTCATTCGCCACTGAAAAAGCCAAAGAAGATTCGCCAGAGGCCGTATTTTTCAAATACTCAGAATGGGTTGCACAGGTGACAACATTTCTGAAAATGCGAAATTGATTTTGACTGGCTGGCGACATTGATTCTGACTCGCCTGTGATATCAATTCTGACTGGTAATCTTGATTAGCTGCGACATTGCTTATTGGAAACACTGTACCTTGAATCTTCTGTTGCGCCAAACCACTTGAGGCTTTGTTCCGCTGACATTTATTTTTTCTCGATCTACATATCCTAAAGCAATTTTTGTGATGACCCAAGTACATATATGGGGATCAGTAGTCCTTGTATTTATAGAGAAGGTATATGTGAAAGAGGTATTGGTAAAATAAAAACATTGAAGAAGCGGTTATTATATTTTTTACTATCATACTGGTGCATATCATGCCTTTATTGGACAACAGCTACGATACGCTTATGCATGGATAGTATATGCAGCATACTCTTCTTTCATCTATCTATAATTTGAGCCAGCAGCGTTATGACTTGCAGAAATAATTGTACGTACAAAAATATCATGTAATCAGTGTTATGTAGAATTTTAAAGAAAGCTTTGGAAGATTAGTTAATATGTCAGTGGGATTACACATAATAGACATAGTAATTGACAAAGTTTAAGTTGTTAGTATGTGCATAAGAAAGTGTGAAGGATAAGTTCTTAGCTTTGCTGGGTTCAGTTGGATCTATCAAGTCATGAGGTGCATATGTTGGTGTGGTGGTCGTGATGTGGCGCAGATATCACATGCAAATGTCCGTCGCACATTGCCACTAAATGATAGTCGTCTTATTTGTTGCAGATTTTTGACTCCACCAATAATTTGAGTTTAATCTCTAACATAAAAAAAATAAGCGCAGTAGTGCGGTGCTATCACGCATAAAGAGATTTGTAAAAGTAATACATAACAGTATATATACTTATGACTACTTCTGCTATCATGAAAGTGGTAATGTAATAGATCGAGGAGATCAACTCAAACAGAAAGCGAACAATGTCCGGCTTGACCATTGGTGGAAACAGGTGCTATAAATATCGCATATATATAGATTTGTCGCTATTGTAGTTCTTGAGATGAATTATAAGAAGAAAATATTCAAGGAAAGCAAGTACATTTATCGGGAATCGTATCATGAAGCATCTCTCAAGAGACTTTCTTGTCAATTCTCGGTGAATCGCCATATATGATACACTCAGCTCTGAGAAGGAACTACACTTTACCGCTAATTAGGAAGCTAAATTTCTTTTTTACTTCTTTTATATTATATCGTCGTACCTATGTACTGTAAGACTTCAGGTACTTGAGGATCTCGCGTCTTCAATATGATATTGGATTCATCTGAGTAAGAACAAGATAAATTAGAAGAGAGCTTCATGTACAAAAGAAGGTATATTGATAAGCTTGTCAGCTTGAATGATAATTAATACTCACAAGGAAATGATTTGATCAACTAGGTGGGTTGTCGCCCGCCTCGAGCTCAACATATCTCGTTACATAGCAACCTACATACTGAGAAAAAAAATTATACTGTATGCAGTTTAGTATGGTGATGATGCACACTCTCTTTCATTATTATTAGATGTGCACAATAGAAATGTGGGTAAATGATGAGATAGTCGGACCCTTTTTTCTTGTGCTGTATACAGAAACACTTTTTATTACTATCGCAATTTTCTTAAACGTACGTAAAAGTATATAAGCAAATGTATTTTTATCATCAGACAAAGATCTTCATTACAGCGCGGATTAGTTTTTAAGGAGTTAAGCGGATGTAGTAAATTAATAGCGATCAGCGGTGCTAGAGAAAAAGAAGAAACTCGCACTTGTCGATCCAAGACTTTTGTACGCATACCAACCTGCAAACCGGAGCTGTTTTTTTGTTCTCGGACGCATCTGCTGCTGCTGCTTCTGCTGCAAGGCTTAAATTTAGACTATAAAGTATTATACAGATCATCAACCGCCACACAAAGTAGTAGGATGCTAAGCTACAAGTGAGGTATCTGTAAATACGTACTGGACTGCTACATTAGTTGTTTAACATCATGATTTACTAGTAATAATTCGTACAAGTGGAAGTAATTAAGTGGTGTCATTTTATGGTATCAAGCAGTTCACTATGAAACTGCAAGTTTGTTGTCTTTTACTAATTGCGACAGTCACCCCTGGTGTGTCCTCTTTCGCTCTCTCAGCCTGCACTAGTTCGATATAAACATCATATAAGCAAAACTTCACCTGCACTCCTTTTTCTCTTTTTTCTTCCCTTTTTTTTCTGCTTTTTTGTCTTATCATAGATAATAGAGACACTGTTTCTGAAATAATTATTCAAAAGAAAAAATGTTAATTTTTGCTTCTGATTCCGTCACGACCAGCATACTTGAACTATTGCTCTGCACTACAGCTTGGACTATTGCATCAGCTCAAGTGGATACTGGAGGCAAGTTATCTTAAAAACAAGGTGGTCATGCAGGCCGTGCTGCTGTTGTTTTTATTTTGTCTTATATTTTCTCATGAAGGGAAAGGGAGGAAGAAGAGAACAAATAGGAGGGATATATATAAGAGGAAGGGGTGAGGGTCTTGCGCTACTACAGCAGGGTTCGTAGGCTGTAAAGCAGCACTAGCTTACCAGCAGAATGTTTAGAGGATAGCGATCCAACAGGTGACGACTCTGCCGGTTTAGGGGATCCTACAGGCGACGACACTTTTTCAGATGATCCAACGGGGGAAGACGAGCCCGAAAACCCAACGATACAACCGCCTTCTTCTGCAGCAACACCGGGCCAGCAAAGTGGGTTTCCTCTGACAGAAAAAACATCGATGGGCTAGATGGGGTTATTCAAACTAACTTATTCTGTGCATGTGATGTGAATTGATATAATATTATGGTCCATACAGATGGTGCAGGAAATCCTTCTGCACAGGCGAGTGGTAGCAGTAGCAGCGACCAATCAGCAGTTGCAGGAGCAGGAACGGCACCGTCAACGCCGACTGCACAAAACGATAACAGCGCTGCAGATGCGGCCTCTTCTGCTTCCGCAGCGTTGTCACCATCATCATCATCCACACCAGCAATATCGGGTGACAGCAGCGATAGTAGTAGCGGCGGCGGTAACGGAGGTGCCATTGCTGGTGGAATTATAGGAACTCTGATAGGCCTAGCCGCCCTGGGTGCTCTTGCCTTCTTTTTGATGCGAAGAAAGCGACAACAAGATCCAGCGGTACAAAAGACTTCAGCGGATGACCTTGAAGAGTTTCGGCCGCAGAATGAGGAAATGGTTGGATACCACGCTTGGAACGCGGCGTCATCCTCCAACATGCTCGCATCGTCAGCCGCATATCATGCTCCTCCTCCCCCGCCTCCTCCACATCAATACGTATCTGCGGGTCAGACGCCCAATACACATTGATTCTCCCGGTTTTGATTGATTTACAGTACTCTTAAACAAAAGCTTTCGCAGTCTTCTTTATTCTTTATTTTGGTTTTTTCTCCAGTTATTTCTCTTCTAGAAGATAATATCCTCATCGCCTTGGTCAATCAGATCGATTTGGCCCGTTTCATCGGCTGTACGGAACTCGGGCACTGTGATTGTTTTATGTACCATACATTAGCTCTTATTCTCTCTATCCTCCTTATAATACCTGGCAATCTTACCTTCTCCGTCCTGCATTGCAGCAGCAGCTTGGATCGCTCTTTGTTTTTCCTCGGCAGCAGCACGTTCTTTCTTTTTGCCCTGCACTTTCTTTAATCTAATAAAACATTAAATTACAGCCGTTGAGTTTTCCACTAGCAAGTGATAGCAAAAGATAAAACACATACGAAAATTACCTGAAAAATTCTTCTCTGTCCTGCTCATCGAGCTCGGAAATGATATACTTGATGGTATTTTCGTAGCGAGGAATAATGACGTGTTCGATTGCATTGACACGACGATTTGTGGCCTTGATGACCTCGTCAAGAATCACAAAGGCGGTTTGTAAACTAGCAAGCTCAACCAAGGTCTCGACAGCTTTTCTATAAACTTCTTTGGATCGCTGGATATGTTGACCACCACGTCCCAAACCGGTAAACTCGAATGCTGGTTTTCATAATATGTCAGTTTGAGCAAAAAAATTCGAGGTAGTTGTGACAGTAGCAGAAAAACAGCGAGGTACATACCATTATTGCCTTCGGTATACATGGCGAAAGTGGGTAACATAACGCCAGATACGTTTTCTTGATTGGCTCGGACACGTAACTGCGCCGATTTGCTGGCTTCTTGAATTTGGTAACTGGAAATTGAACGCATAAGATTAGTACGAAGCTAATCCTCGCGACTACACACCTCTCTCTCACAGAAGAGAAACCACACATGTGTACAAAGAAAGATTTTTCAAGATATGTTTTATCCAATATCTTTACCTAATATCGCCAGCAGCATATTGAACTTCGGCAAGCGAAAATGACGCTGCTTGCATGATTTGGCCCATCTTTCGTTTAAGCTATAAACAAATATGCACGTTTAGATTTATTCCAGTTTATATCCGCACGAAAAAAGCGTCTGGAAAAACAAGATACCTCGTCAATACGCTGCGTGATAGTACGGAAACGCTTCGTGAGAGCTTCGGCTTTACGCTTAAGCAACGAATGGCCAGTTTGAGCACCCTTGAGTCGGGTCTTCATGGTCGTCAGGGCCCTAATCAAGCAGTCAGACAAAAAGGGTTAATGCCTTTAGCAAAACAAAACTTTGTTTTTGAAATTCAATGGGTAGTTTTTATATATAAAAAAGACACACACATGCGCGTAGGGAAAATGCTAATTCGTTGATTTGCTCCTGACATTTTCCGTCTATCGAGATGTAAAAGCGGAAAAGGGTTGAAACGGAGGGCGTTTCGGCTCGAGTCACTCGTAAGTCGCTCATCATTGTCGGAGCCGAACAACGGAAACGTCGGTGCTGGAATAGCGTATGTATGCCCTCAAAAGAAAAGAAACCAAGTTTCTTATCGTAAAGAACGTGGCGGAAGTGAGGTTGGTCCTGGATTGTTGCATAATAGCGAGAAGTCTTACAAAAAAAGAAATAATGTTTGTTTGTTGTGGCTCGCGTAATTGTTGCATGGTAACCAGTGATATCGCGCGGGGCCACGAGTAGGCAATGATGATGATGATTGTATCATGGCAGCATATAGACTTCTTAAAGAAAATCAAGATGGTATTACACCGCTGATTATCAGGTGAAACAACGCAACGTCCTTTTTCTGTCCACTTTTTCCATACGCTAAGCATTGGTAACTACTGTTATTCTAGTAGCGTACAAGCTGAAGCTGCTGTTGATTTACCTTTAACGCTAGGATAGTCGTTGATCACAACAGAATTTTTTTAGGAAAGATTCGCCAAAATGCTCTCAGCCAAAGATGCAATCCCCTACAACCATAAATCTTACCATTGGCGTATTCGTTAAACCTTCAAAGAGCTTCAGGTACCCACAGGACGCAATCAATTACTACATATTGCTTTTGTATATCTTGTTATAAATATAAAAAAGACCTAGGATGCTGTGTATATGATACGATGTGCGATTTTAAGTGCACCAAAGGTGATCAGATAAAATGTCAAATCCCTAGTGTTCTTGTCAGCTACAATTATGGTCCTTGGAATGTTTGTGTTTCCCTTGTAAAATTTGTTTTATTAAACAATAATAAAGTATGTATAATGGTGTAATAGATGTTCTCACATGTTTTCAAACACGTGAACCTTTATGGTTGAAATATCTTGTTTTATCTGCATGATCAATACCAATAGGACGATGTCGAAGAAGATACTAAGGCCAAAAGCTGCAGAAGAAGACGCCTATTTAAAATAGTTAAGGTAGTTAAGGAAGAGCGGCATGGTTAGCGTCCAGTAATCATATTCTGTCAATGTTTGCAATATAGCGTAATTCTTTCTAATTGCGTTTACTAGACAGCAACAGGTGCTTTATCCAATTCTTTAATGATCTCCCCATTATACTTACGAAACTCTGTTTCACAGTTGCTGTGGGTGGGGGATGTTCATCATGACGTTGGGCGTCAGGAGCAGAAGGATGGGGCTGAGAAGAATGAGAACCAGGAGAGATCACTGTTGGTGATCCAGGAAGTTGGATCCTTACTCGATGTTCACCGTGCTGCTGTTGTTCCTTCTCCGATACACCAGGAGTATACAAGGTGTCGTGTTTGACATTTCCTAAATCGAGCTTTACGCGGGTTCTAGTGAAAGCGTACAGCTTATCCAACAATCGATAACCGAGGGCACCGAGGACACACATGTAAACATAGGGCTTGAATCCGGCAGGAACAAAAAGAGAAAAGAAAATAGTCGAACGAGTAAAAGTGAGAGGCAGGTTTGGAAGAATGTATGTGTATGTGAATGCGAGAAGTGAAAGTGTGATAGTGTAATTCGTGTAGGTGTGAGTGGGGTAACATAGGATGTAAGTGACAATACAAAAGGTAAAGATATTGAAGTTTCTGTGCAATAATACGAAGAAGCGAAATAAGAAAAGTATAGGAAGATAAATGAGAAGAGCAACAAAGGCTATTATGCCAGCGAGAACCTGCTGGTTTCTCGGGTCTTGGAAATGATGATAAAGTATGAACATTAATAAAACATAGGGACATGCACCCAAAATGTTATATACCATCTTTCGAATAGAGAGGCGGTTATCAGAAAAAGTTATCGAAAGAAAAAGTAGAGCAGTTTCTCAAATCATCTGCTTTTTATACGATGCCTCTTCATTTTTGATGTATGAAACCGAGCCAACTTTTTTTTCTAACAATAAAACCAATGGCATAAAGCCATTGTCTCTGCTTAACCAGCTATTATCAAACAATGACGACAAGCTCTCTCGTCGTGCTAAAACTGTTTAAATCGTTTTGTTTTTTCTCCCGTAATATAATTAAGCACAGTTAGCAACGCACCGTACCTGTCAGTGGCTAAGCCATCACTCAGTCATAATCGTAGTATATTCACCATAGGCTTATATTATCGCTTATTAATGAAAGTGAATATTTGTCACTTCCGTATGGTTTTGACGGCTAAAAAGCCTATTAACGATAGATCTCTTCGCCACTCTTCAATATATCACATTGTATACATGTGTATTCACAATGCTCTGCATTTCTTGTATATAACGCCGTATACATTATTAGGCTTTTGAGTCATGAACAAGTAGCGAGAATGTGTAGCTGGAAAGCAATATGCTATTCTTTGGTGAGGATGACGAGGGTGATATTATTGTGTTATTAATCACTGCTCGCTTACTTTCATGTGAGATTGCTTTGTAAGAATACATAGTCTCCTCCAAATCTTTACCAAAAAGAGTTATTCGAGAATCTTTTTTCAAATATAGACTAATATCTACCACTTTTCATGATTTTATCAATAACGTACATATAGCGTGGCGGAGTGGGTATGCATAAAAGCTCTCAATGAAGCTGGTGGCAGCACGAGCAGCAAGAAGGACGTTCTAATGTTGTGTGCCTATTTAATCTCGCTTTGCAACTTCTTCTGCTATTTCTGTAGTTGCCTTATCTAACATACAGTATACTTCTTACATAGCGTCGATTGGGTCAAAGTGTATATTTGTCGCTGAGCTCTGCAGCAACCGTTCAGGTACTTTACCTGCAAAAAAAACAACACATCCGCATGACATTTTCATGCGCAATAATAGCGTGGAACTTACGCCTCCCCATTTTTTTTAATCACATATAAGCATGGTACGCACAAAGAAACCAGCAGTAGCCACAGCTACCTGCCCGCAAGCCATTCAACTTCCGCGAAGCGTTTGGAGGACAAGAGATTATTCATTACTAAGTTTATAGAAGGAAAAGGGCGTATATAGCCATGTATATATCGGATTATAAATCTATATTAACCTGGTACTTGATATTTTCATATAATTTGTAAATCAAAACATATCTGTTAGTGTTAAGAGCAAGAATGATGTCGATTATTTATTATAGTAAACGATAAAAAAATGGACTGTGGTAAAAGTGGTTGAGTGCTGCAAAATGTCATCTTGAGTAAAACTGTAACTGTGTGGGTGTGTTGTGTAAGAAATCTAAACCAGGAAAATCTCGTTTTTGCGTTTGGGTATTTTTGTTACTGTTGGGATTTTTGTACATGAATGAAGAAATGGAGAATGTGGGTGGTTGATGCGCAGATGGATAATAATGATTAAAAAATGGATGGATGATGTAGTACATCAGCCTTTCAGGCTTCTGCTGTTGATGCTTGCTAATGCTGATATGGGGGAAGAAGATGAGGGTTTGCGGAACTGACGTATTTGCTGTGACACAATGGCTCGATTAATAGGTTTGCAAAGGATATCATCAAACGAGCCAGCTTGTTGTGCCGTGCGCTCATATGCAGTGACAGCCACAATTGGAGTATCCTGGTTGATATTGTGGGTGGATTTGATCATACGTGCCGCTGCGTCGCCGTCAACTAGTTATAATAGTACATGTTAGTTGGATAAGAAAAACAGTGCCTTTCCTCGATTCATAGTTACTGACTACGATAGTAGTAGCTAGATATAAGAAAGGTGACTTACTGATTGGCATGCGAATATCCATGAAAATGATATCAAACTGTACATCCCCCATGGCACACCGGATTGCCTGTGCTCCGTTCCTTACGATCACGCAACGGCAGCCGAGCATTTGGAGGATCGTTTCGAGAATTTTACAGCTGACAGGATTATCGTCAGCGACAAGACAATCGAGCGTCTTTTTTGGTTTAGGTGGCAGGCTCACTGTGGTGGAATTAGAAGCAGCAGTAAAACTAGTAGCAAGGTTGTTACTCATTGCACCGCTGGAAATTTCCAATGGATGTGGCGGTGCCGGTTCAGCGACCACCAATGTTAACGGCTCTTCTGCGGGAGGCGTGGGATAATTCTCAGATTTGAACCGGCTATTGATCCGTGCCTTGTGGTTCCCCGGCGACGAAACAGATCTTGCGCGTGTCGGTAACCATTCCATAGCAGCCTTTTTTAACGGATGTTGTTGTTGTTGTTGGTGGTGGTGTTCAAGGGATCGTCGAGGAACTACTTTGGTTGACGTAGACGGTGAAAGACTGTGTGGAGTATTGGGGAACGACATTGCATGCCTAAGATCCAAATCAAAGAGCGATCCACGCTTGGCGACCTGTTTCTTTTTCGATATTGGTAGCGATCGAGCACCAGCAGTCGTGGTAGACTTTGCACTAGCAACAATGCTATCCTGACGGATCTTGCGGATAGCAGACTCGTTGGCCTTTTCGAGCATAGGCAAGTTCTTGTACACAAAGGTACCAAAGTCATCGCGGCAGACGGACAATTCCAATGCCATCTCTGTCGATGATTTGCCGTTATCACCGGGCAAAGGTGTCAATTTCTCGGGATTTTGCTCCTGGATAATGGCTTTGGCTCGCTCAACTTGCTGTTTGCTGTCTTGATCGTCGTCATCCATTAGCATCATCGTAGCCCCTCGTGCATCAAAATAGTCTGTGTCCTCAATATCAGCTGGCTGTGGCACAAACGAAGCTGACTTGGTCAACAGCGTGTCCCATTCAATATCTTTGAAAAACGGATGGTTCTTGACTTGCTCAAAACCTTGGCTACCAAGTCGTTTTTCTGGGTCAAGCCTCATGAGACTTTCCATGAAATCGCGTGCTTCAGGTGAGATCGTGACCACATCCTCATGCCAATCGATGCGTCGGGACAAAATGTTGTCGAATACCTTGTCTGTGGATTCTGCATGAAATGGAGGGTAGCCGTACAAAAATTCGTAGCTAATTACGCCCAGTGCCCACTAAATGTTATATACATCTATGTTAGAAACCGCATTATTCGCAGGTATACACATTGATTCTTGTAAAACTTACCCAATCGACCATTGAATCCTGGCCGGTGCCCAGAATACTTTCTGGTGCTAGGTAATCAGGTGTTCCAACAGCATTTCGAGGAGCTGAGCAGTCATCTGGTTCTTGTCGCCGAAGTTGCTCAGGATGCATATACCCAGGCGTCATTATGCTCGGGGTAGTAGCGCTGAAATTGCTGGAATAGGCTGTGCTGGAACGGTGCCGGCCGCTGCCAGTCGTAGGACGATCATCAGAGACCACGGATCTTCCGGATGAGCTGTATAATCCATCAAGAACAGGTGTCCCTGAGCCTTCAGCTGATGTAGCACTGCTTGCTATAGAACCCCGTCGACGATCGTGATCGAAAAGCAAGTTGAAATAAGATGGCCGATACATGCCATTGTTGAATGATGATGGTTGGTCTTCACAAAAAGGCGGCGGTGTACCGGATCGAGAAGGTGCTGGTGATGTAGGCTGCGCGTGTTCAAACGACTCTGCGCTGCCGTTTGACAATTCATCTCGCACACGTCGATCCAAGAATCCGATCCGAGAAAGACCAAAGTCAGTCAGTTTGAGATGGCCGTTTTGGTCGATCAGCAAGTTATCAGGCTTCAAATCCCTAAAAATTACAAGTGGTTGAATGAGTTTATAGTTATTCCTTTAGACATATCGAGATTCAAATTTTGAAAGTTCACAGACAATTATTACAATGGAATTCAAATTGTCTTACCGATGAACAATGTTATTGCTGTGCAAATACATTAGACCCAAAGTAACTTCTGCCAGATAGGTGCGGGCCCATTCTTCGGGCAGACTTCCCAGGACCTTGATAAGCGTCGAACAATCACCGCCATTGAGATACTCGAGCACCAGGTAGAGGTAGTCTTTCGATTGAAACGTATAATACAGCTTGGTCACAAACGGGCTATCTGTCTGGGTCATCAAGATCATTCGCTCCGACTTGACATTTGTCACTTGGTTCTTTGCAATCATATCTGCCTTTTTCAAGAACTTGATCGCATAGTAGTCGCCCGTGGTCCTTTTCTTTGCAAGAAATACTGAGCCAAAGGCACCTTTACTGATTGGTTTGACGATTTCAAAGTCCTTGATTCCTGGCGCTGACGGTCGTGGTGTGATCGGTGCTGGCAAAGGTGTCGTTGGTGATCGACCCAAAGCTGTTGAGCAACGCGGCGAGTTTGAGCCTACTGATGCTTGAATATTCTTTTTGGCCGGCGCTGACGTTACATCCTTGGGTGGCGTGGAAGAGAATGCTGATCCTTTTGAGGCCGACTTTGGTGCTGCTGTTGATGCTTTACGCCTTTGCCGCTGAGTAAGTCGGCCCATTCGCTTCGGTTTCAATGTCTTTTTCAGCCTACCCAGAAATGACTTTTTTTGGTGTGGCTGTGGCTGCTGCCCTTGTTGAGGCCGAGATGATGGTACTAATGCTTGTTTTGATGATGAAGAAAGAAGAGACGTTGGCTGTTGTTGTTGTTGCTCGTCATTGTTGTTTTTGGCATTGTAGTCTTCTCCTTCCTCAGACACGAACTCTGTCCACCCAGCTTCTTGTTGCATTGTCTTTTGAAACTCGATCCGTACACGCTCATTGTATTGCAAACGGTCTTTCATCCGGTTAACTGCATCGAGCTTGCCTTTGACCAATGCCTCCACGTCGCGTATCAAAGACATGGTGCTTGGATCATCCGCTTGAGGCACTCGCCAGTATATGATGCGAACCATGTTGTCCCGATCTGCATCACCTTCATCGCTTCCAGAGATAGATAATGCCACGTTTATAATCTCGATCAGGTCGCTATATATTTCTAGTTCGCATTGCTGAATTTCATTCGGGTCGCGTACTTCCTCTTCTACTGGCAAACAATCACTTCCGTATAAATCATCGTCGTCAAGCATAACATGATGCGCTGACAACAAAGATGGAGCTGTTGATTGCTGGTGCTGGCCCAAGGGTGTGCGACTAACCTCATCCGATAATTGCTGAATATGATGCTTTGCTTCGTGCAAGTTATCATCGCAGATCATGATGTCCATCTCTGTTCGATGTATTTCTACACATAGTACTGAATGCTGCTCGAAAAATGCAGCAACAACCCATCGTTCACAGACACGACAGAGAACTGGCGGTAAGGACAAAAAACTGGATGGTGAAGGTATCAAGCTTTCTGAAGTAGGAGCACCACCTTGTGATATGGCGCGCCGCATGGTATGGTCGTCATTCTCGAGTTCAACTTCGTCGGCATCCAAATCATCGCTATCGCTGCTGCTATGGGTTCTGCTGATCTTACGCATAGCCCCGTGCATGATCTCGGCAGCAGGTTCCGAACGCGATCGATTGCGTGCAATTGGCTCGCTTTTGTCAAGTTCGTCAAGTACTCGCTCCTCGGTTGGCGTTAAACTGAGAGACGATTCACTTTGAGACATCGCGGCCGCCGCTGTGAATGTGGAGCGCATCACTTTGGGTGTCAGCATGTTCGCTGCTGCTACTGCGGCGGTTGCTTGATCGATCAGGGACCAGCGTGTTTGCATTTGTTTCATCACCCACATTGTGTGGCTAGGCTCGTCTGTAACGCGATCGTACATGAGCATGCCTTTGGCTTCCATTTCAATCTTCTCATCTTTGTTCTTGATGACTGTGAACTGAATCTCGACGGTTTTGGAATCATCCGATACGAGCTCGTCCGTAGCAATGTTGAATACGCGACAGTCTTCTTGAGCCAATAGATCTGATATCTTGGTGCCAACTACAGTGTCTGTGCTTAACCTACAATCAAATGCAAAAAACATGTTAGAACATGATGTTACAAAGTAGTTCCCCCAAAAAAATGAATAGCGCTAATATGCTTTACCCAGTAACATCTCGCCATACCGGACTCAGATATTGTATAGTAGCTGTGCTCAAATCGAGCTCCATGACAACCGTTTGTCGCTGACCACGATCGGCTGCTTCTTGCAGCTGCTGCACGTGATCCTTTGCATGGTCGCCAAGATCATACTGAGGCAAGCTCTCGGTATCGGACGCTGATGTGCATTGCGACAATCGTTCTTCATCGATTCTTTGCTGCGGGGTGTAATCAAGCTCGTCTTGGCCAAAACTGTCGATGGCATCATCGTCGTTGTCGTCTTCTTCTTCCTCGTCGTCTACTTCAGCTGCTGCCCAGAGACTTCGTTCAGCTTCCCACCATTCGACCGCTCGGTTAAATGCAGCAACGTTAAGCAGCAGTCGAACATATTGATCGCGGCAAGGCCACTCTGGATGCTGCTCCCATTCGAAGCCGATACCTTGGATATCACTGACAAGAACTGTGTATTTGTTTGTGTCGTTCAAAAACACATCCAGCGGCGTGTCAAGAAGCTTCTGCGCAAGTTCAATCAGCTCCTGCAGGGTCAAGATGAAAGGAGTCGGCATGAATGTGTCTTCGGAGATCATGGCAGCTGACTGTCCTTCTTTTTCGTCGTCTCCTTGAGGTTCTATTGCAGAAGCTGGCATGCCAAGCACCGTTTGGACCAAATCAGTATAATCCGCATCCTCCTCATCATTTTCTGCTTCTCGTTGTTGTCTACTGAAGCTGGCCAATGTTGTTGTTGCTGCCGATGATGTTGATAAGTGCTGTTGTTGTGCCTGGTCGGCGTCGCCATATCGCAAACCCCTCTCAACATAGTCATTCAAACTGTTTATGACTTGTTGCAACTCGTTCTCACATGTATACTTAATACACTGCAGATGCGACTTGATTTTGCGTCGAATTCTTGCTGGCATTTTTTCCTCTGTTGTACTGCAACCCGTAGTGCTGACACTACTATACGGGTGATCGTCAATGGAATTATTAGATTGTAGCACCTGCGTCGCATTCATTCTGTAATCCGTAGCGTACGGATGAAGTGGTGGATGATGATGTTGATGATGGAAATTCTCAAAAGACGATTCTCGGGCTGGACGGAAGCATTGTCTCAATGGTGACCCGACAGTAACATTGGCGGCTGATGCGGAAGAGGAAGTTGACGGAGTCCGCTCATCTTTGATGCCAGTCAACAACGTTAATCGACGTGCCAAATCCGTAACATCAACAGAGAGGCTACGTTTTTTTCTATGACTTGGCTGTTCTTCTAACAGTTTGGGCAAACGTTTAAATTCAGCACCTGATGCTGAAGAAGTTGATTTGCGCTGTTGCTGTAGTGGGTGCTGCTGCTGCTGCTGGTGTTGCTGGTGTTGTGATTGTTGATCCGGATAGTGATTTGAGGAAGACGAGGTAGAGGTGAAAAAGGTCAGGTTTGAATTAACGTTACGCCACCATGGTTGCACGCTATGACGAATCAATTGCGTATGTCCGGCTAGACGGTGCTCCGCTAACCAATCTACCCACGGTATACTGTCCAAGCGTTCCTTGATATTGTTGTTGTAGTCACGCCCGGGCATCCAACGCCGTACTTTGCTTAGCCGAGACATGTACAATCGTTTGGCATACACTTGTTCTGGTTGTTGTTTTATGATAAAAAGATAAAAGAGATAAATAAATAACGATGAAACAATGTAAATATTAATGTGCTGATATGCAGAATAGTGTGTAGTAAAGTATCCTTCGATGTTACCTTCCACCTCTTCAAAAAACATCATATCGGTGTTCCTTGAGCCGGCAGCTGTTGTGGCCAGGTCTGTTGCACTGCGCTCCATGGGATCAAGTGTGAACTCTTTGTAGTAATTGCTGCCGACACAATTGCCACCACCAGCAGTAGTGGATCTTAGCAGAAGCGCAGGGTACAAAACTTCGCCGCTAAACCCATTATTGCTACTGTCGTAGAGCTCCAACTTATCTGGTGCTGGTGCGATTGTTGTCGATGATGACGATGATAAATGCAAAGGTGCTTTAAAGGAAGATGTTGTAGCAGTGGTAGCGGTTCTGGGAATAGCAGCCGAAGTTGAACCGGCGGCAGCAGTGGAGGAAGAAGAAGCGCCAGAATCCAAATTCATTTCGTCGACGTCCTTGTCTGCATCAGGATCTTTACTTCCTTCTTGACTGCTATTCGAGAATTGCCGTTGCATGAGGGAATGAAGCGACAGCTGGTAGGCGGGTATTTTGTTGCTGTGATCTGCATGATAACTGCCACCGCTATTGACACTACTTGTTGCAAGACTCCGAGATCTAGTATGCCAGATCGTTGGACTTGGTGCAAGTGGCGGGTGATGCTGCTGCTGCTGCTGCTGTTGTTGTTGTTGTTGTTGTTGCTGCGATGAGTCGAAGGAATGGAGGTCACTGTTGTTATTGCTGCTATGGACATTGGATTTCGAGCTGAAAGTGGACGACCTGCGTCGGCATGTGCCGCTAGTGCAGCTTTCACTCGACGAAGCTGCCCGTGCAACCATGGGAGACCCAGAAGACGATGTAGAGGATGCTCGAACAGATTCTTTGCCTAAAAATAGAAAGTCAGCATATATTGCATTTCGGAATACATCCGGCAAAGTACGGTTTGCAGACATACACGCACACACACACAAAATACATAATGTATATCTTGCATTTACCTTTGGAGGTTGACGACGACGACGGAGGGCTGCTTGGTAACTGCAAGGGTTGATAAAAATACGGCGATGACGAAAACAAATAGCAGCAGTCGTCGGTACTGTCCGTCAAAACCGACGAAATCGACGGTGTGCGAACGCGTGTGGCGACGGATGCAGAGTTGGTCTGTTGCGGTTGTCTTGAGGAAGATGACGAAGAGGAAAAGCTAGTGACTGGAGACATGGAAGAAAACCATCCATCGACGACAAGGCTATGATTGCTTTCTTCTTGCCCAGTCGTGGCTTCTTCAGGACCACTGCCACGCAACTTGGATGACGAGCCTGACTTGTGCATTGAACGATAATGGGGTGATGGCATCATTCGACTGCGGACATTTTCCGGTAAACTGACAGGCGTGGAAGGCATGCTGGGAGATTCATTCGAGGATGGCGAAGCAGCACGCGTATCAAACCAACTTGCACGCTTGGATGTTGTTGACTTTAACATATAGCGACCTCCACTACCCGCAGGCGGGCTCGCATACCTCGGCGATGTTTGCTTGTTGGCGTTGTTGCTACCACTACTATTGCTGCTGCTGCTCACGGGCGACGAGCGCATGGCGAAGGTACCAGTACCGGCAGCAGAAACGGCGGCATGTTGCTGAATAGGAATAGACGACGGCGATATATAACTGTCATCGTTGTCGTTATTATTAGAATCTTCCAACGACGAATCCTTTATGTTGCTGTTGTTGATATTGTTGCTTCTGTTACGGTCGCTACTACTCGTAGTAACAGCAGTAGGTGGTAGTTGTGCGAATGACGAATTATGACGTGCGGGAGTCATTGACAATGAATTCGTAGTAGCTGCTGTCAGCGATGGCGAATGCAAGCTAGCAGCTGTGGCGGCAGTGGTGATGGAGGATTCATCGTCGCATGACGACAGCGATGTTCGGCTGGTACGTCGCTTTAGCAATAATGGCTGAGGAATAGGCACGCTTCGCAGTTTGAGAGAAGACGGCTGCTTTGTAGGTGGTCGCGTTTCGTCGGTCATTGTTTTCTTTTAGCCCTCGCTATTGTTGTTGTCGCAGTCGTTGCTGTTGTAGTTGTAGTTATTGGCGATAGTCGTCGTCGATCCGTCGTGCACTGTATGCGAGTGTCTAGTAAGAGAGAAAGAAACTATGCTTCCGTGAAGGGGGTGTGAGGGAATGGTTACCACTACTACAACTACAAACTGTTGCAGTTTTCAGTTGACGACGATGGTCGTTGTAGGAAGCAGCGGGAAGATTGAAGAAAGAGAAAGACGGAAAATCAAGAGTGCGTACTGCGGATGGGGTGGGGGAGGTATGTGAGAGTGTCAGTGAGAGAGAGTGTGTAGCTTAGTTCATGAAGAAGGGGAAGAAAGGAGGAAGAGTACGGTGATGGGAAATTTGGCTGTCTGTTGTGGCAAGTGGGGTAAGTACGCTAAATAATAATAATAATAATAATAATAATAATAATAATAACAAAACAACGCTAATAGCAATAAAGAAGCGAGAGTAGCAGCGATGGTATAGAGAGCCCTTCGGTTGGTGTTGTGTTTGTGTGCATCTTGATTTGGCTGTCGACACCTGATGGAAGGCGCTCCAGCCCATAACAATCCACTACCCTCCTTCTTCACTGTGTTTCATTCATTCAATGAAAAGCATAACCCCCCCCCTCCTTTGCAACCCTCTTACACATACTGGGAAGTCGCTCACCCCTCTCTCTCATTTTGATTGGTTATCTCTTTGACTGGCCAACTTTCCCCCACCACCCAGAATGCTCCTTCTTTGAGAAGTGCATCTTCTTCTGTGTGTGCATCACGAAATATAGGCTCATCTTGGTGTTCACACAGTATTGCATATTCTTACACGATACATCATATTCAATCATCTTTCTTTCTCATCACTCTTGCAAATAATGTATGTGCGTAGGTGTCCGCGGGTGCGTATTTGTGCATTAGACCTGCTACAATCCACTGTGCTAATACTGATACTGTCTGCATCTTACTGAACCCAAAATCCGTTCTCTTGTGGTACATTGAAATGTCATGTGGCCATCCCCTTCTACCACCGCCCAAACAGGCCATAACCCACAGCCATAAACCAATGCGAAACAAGAGAATAAGAGAGATGGAGTACACATCATTCATGATAATGACGATGAGTCGGTATCTATGATTTCATCGTTTATCGTCATGCGATACTGCTGCCTAATGATGGTACTCGCCAAAAGGAGCGTAACACTATCATTTGACCAGCAAAGAAAATTCCCATCTTCATTGGCACGGACCAGCAAGGGAAAAAGAAAGTTGTAATCCCAGAAGAGTCTTTCGTACATCACGAAACGAGACATACATTTTCTGCTGCGGGGTTAACTGTGACATACATACTGTAGTCAGTTTATATAACACAACTAGGGCGCACATACACACACGCAAACATGGTTGCTTGCTCGGATCGGCGGGTTTCTCACGATGTTTTGTAGATGCACGTCGCTTTATTGACTTCCACGAATGTCTTTCTCTCCTACGTTCTTACTTTCTGTTATTAGATTGAGACTCTTACGCGTGACTCCTCTGAAGAACGTTAAAAACGCCCTTTCTCACCCCCTCCCCAAATTACTTTGTACATATGGAAATAGTCTGTCTACTATGCAATTTACAGTGGTACAAAGCATCTCGGTGATGATGCATTGAAAGATTGTAAACAAGTAAACTGGCAGTAAAAGAGCCAATTAGGAGTGGACAGACACGGTACGCATGGCTGGGTAGCAGTTTGTATTATCTTTACTTAACGGCTGACAACACCTTTTATGATCCCTCTTGGCTGAAGCGTTGATAAGATACAAGTGCTATACATATCTCAGGGGTAAATTAACGATGCGACGTCATATTAGATATGCTCTTCAACATTACTCAGCCCTACTATAGATATCGGTTATCGACGACGCCACAAGTCAGCAAACTTAAGGCGTTGCCTATCCATAATGTGTCCCGAGTAAAGCGTTGCAATCTTGCCATATCTACCTGTAAATTTACCGATATTGATCATCGCTAAACTGTTTTGCGATATGTACGTTTTTACTCCTGGCGGTACCATAACCATACCAGTGCATAAATATAAAGGGATCGTAAATGCAAAAGGCAAGCACAATGGCATTTTGGCTCGCTGATAAAGAAGAGCTAAAAAATACGAGGTTTGTGAATCAACAAATGACGTTTGAAAGTTAGCATCGGTACTGTAAAGGCAGTGGACTATATTAGTCGCACTATAAATTTCTCCTATATCAAGTAATAAAAAAGCCAGACAAGATACGTATGTACCGGTCTTGCGTAGCATGAGCGTGAGGCTCTATCCGCTCGTTACAGGCTTACTTTCGGTAGACTCATTGACGTGAGCGACTTGAAGTGATTGACGGAGTTGGGGTAGGCGCAACTTAAGCCTGATAAAGCATTGCACCTGTCCACGATGTTGATGGATGCAGTGCAGCTGTCGTCAGCGTTTCCGCCACTGCGATGTAGTGTTGATTTGATTATGGCAATTAGTATGAGAACATGTCTCGTTAATGGCATCTCACTATGACGGTAAACCTCTCATCCACTGTAGATCGTCACTGGAACTGTTCAAAGCAGATTAGGCGGTTAAATGCTACATTTACTGTCATGTGTGCATATTTACGCTATAGAATACTCATCGACTTGAGTCATTATGTTATATTGTTGTCCCGCGGAAATGCATCTAAATAAAGATCAACAGGCCCATGTGTAACTTTCCTTGCCCTTGTGCTCCAATGCGCGTTATGTACAATCTTTTCTCAGTGCTGTGATGTGCCTGTTGAACGGTGTTGCTGGGCTTGTTTCTCTTTCGCTTCATCGACTTGTTGGAGGAGGCACCTTGAGCATTGAACATCATTAATACCAGTATCCGCTTGATAAACCGGATGATTCGCTAAACCGAACATCGATCAGTTGGCTGTGACATATCGGCAGAAATCACCTAATGAAAGCTGTATTCTGCTAGTCATTTCACATCGGTAGCCGAGAAGTCAATTCATTCAAGATTGATACACTGTTCTGTTTTGCTGCTGATGCGATGTGATGCAGCGGCAACAGGTTGGTGATCAGCAAGCTTATCCATTCTCATATCCCAGATGCAGCCCAAAATCAAGCATTGCAACACACTGGGCCGTTTCTATCCAGAACCTCATTGCTCGCGTAGTAAAAAACAGCATTTTAGTCTACATGAACCTACATGTAGTATATATTCGTTTGGCAGGAAAGAGACTGCCGTATAATACGTGTTGCACGATTTCATTGTCTTATGTACTCACACTATTAAAGCGTTGTATGTATGATATGCAGAATACTTACGGAAATTTGAAGCAAACGGTTGCCCTTTGTTGTACATAGGATAGTGCATGTGAGCTTATGGTTAATTCAATGAACATGTAGATGAAAAGGAGGACAAAGCAGTAGCACCGGTGCCAAAATGTAAAGTGAGAGATTGAAGGATGTTGGACGGTGTACAAGTAAAACAGAGTTTTAAGACCTATGATTCGTTTACTCGCTGCTAATGCGCGCTCGCGTGGGTTGAGTGTGTGGGGAGCAGCCAAAAGCGCCAACACTGTTGCACACGGACACAATGGCCCGGTGGTGGACAAAAAATAGTGTCGTACAGGACAATTATGTTTTCTTTTTGGCAAATCTATTACAAGAAATGTTTCATCGGATGATGCAGGATGTGTTGTAGTTATGATATGCAGAAAACACTGTGTCTATAGATCACTGAGACGCTTTGCCTTTTACTAGCTAGATACTAAAGCAAAACACTGATAAGTGCCCTTTGAATAGGTGATAAGGTGGATGTGTTATTTCATTTACTGATAGATCTTTTGCATAGTCTGATTGGGTGGTGCGTGTGCAACCAAGCGGCCTTTTGTGTGCTTTTTCCCTGTGTCACCTAGTGGCTGTTGTTTAGGAAATTCGATTCTATTCTATTCTGTCTGGCGGATCTCTGGCTCTGTTAAATCGAGGGCTCCTTTGAGAAATCGAGGTTCATGAATTCAAAGATATATTAGCCACAAGAAAAAAAAGAAGTATATGTTATAGTTTGTGCTGTTAATGCACGACAGTATTATAGTAGCAGCATTATATGTCATGCATACAATGTTTATGTTGAAATTTTGACGCAGCGTTGCACAAGAGAGAGAAAAGAACCCACTTTCCTAACTCTAAACAGCACATATTGCCAAGTAGGAATACAGTCTACGACACAAATATAGGTCATATCCTTTATAACTGCTACTGCTAAAAAGACGTTGCTCGGCACTATCTCTAGCACTCAAAAAAAAACAAAACAAAAATTGGTTGAGACAGAAAAAAAAACAGATGGATCGCCGCTTCAATGTCTGTCAATCCCGGCAAACCAACAAAGCAGAAAAAAAAAATACGCCACTTGAAGATTTTCGTAAATAGGGCACAGACATCTCTTTTTATCAAGGAGTTGGCTTTGCATCATCCCATCATCAATCATTCTCTTCCGTATTCAATATGTGACGTAGTAATAAACCAGTTTGTAAACCCTAATGCCAGGAACTGACGAGATGATTACGTGTGCCTGACTTGAATGGTGCCTGAAATTATACTGGAGGAAGCTCTTTCCTGCTGCTGCTGCTGCTGCTCGGCCCAGAACTCAATATATCGTCATCGTATTTGAAGCGGAGATGCGGTCAGGGAAGAGGTTTTCCAATGTGCTTGTTGCTGCTAACGATCACCCCGAGACCGTTGATCCAAATTCTGTAACCTTCCCTTTCTCTCTCCTTCTCTCTCTCTCTCTCTCTTTTCTTCTACCTTTTCTTCACTTCTTTATACTTTCCCTCCTCCTCCCCATTTTCCGGTGCCTTTTGCAGGCCAAATAGCGTGCGCGTTACATTTACTAATTCAGTGGCCCCATGGTCGCCATGAATCTTTACAACTATGACCTGGAAATTACACAGATTAATGGTTATACGTTTGAAACCCCCAAGTTATTGGAAGGGGTGGACAATGTCGCCATTGCATATGGTCAGAGGTACAGTATTAAAAAGGGGCGGGTACCTGACTTGTGATTTTTTAACATAAAAATGCACTAATACTGGATACTGATATACATATATACGCATATGGTACAACAGACACAGGGATCGATTACCTGTAGTGGCAAAGCTCTCCTATCACGCTTTACGACTCGAACGAGAATACCATATGGTGAAACGTCTTTATCGCCACGCCGACGCCAAACAACTGCTCTGTCAGCCGCTCGAAAAACTGTCATTGCCGAATGGCCTCATTGCACTCATCTTTGCCGACTATGGTAACCTTATAGTAATAACCGATGGGTTTTCTACGCGCAAACATTTTTTTCTTACTTGCTTTTCTTATAACCTTTTCAAGGCACCAACAAGCTCGATGCATATCAGCCAACAACAACACAATCAACGTCTATCACTGCTAGTACCACCAATGACGACGAACAGGCACCGCCCCTCGGCATTGGCACGTTTTTAGACTTTGCCATCCAATGCTGCAATTGCCTAGAACTCATTCATAAGCAACAGAGTAAGTAGTACACGCAGAAAGACAGACAATAATGAAATTGGGGGGGGGGGAAGGTTATAGATCTGATATATTAAATGAATGACAATTTAAATTACCCTAGTTGTGCACGGTGAAATTAAATTGAACGCCTTTCTATGGCCGGAAAAAGAGACAGCGAAAATATGGAACTTTGGAGCCGGTGCGCGTAGTTTGGAGAACAACTTGACATCAGAGGGATGGCGCAAGACCGTACAACGGAATGGTGCCAACAATTTCTGGCAGATGCTTATTTACATGTCGCCTGAACAAACAGGTCGAACCACCTTTCAGCCTGACCATCGTACCGATCTATACAGCTTGGGCATCACCTTCTTTGTCGTTTTAACGCAGTCCATGCCTTTTGCTTACAACAGTCCCATGGAGATCGTTCATAGTGTGCTCAATCGCAGAATCCCCACTTTGCACCAAGTGCGTACGGATGTCCCGGTCGCGATTTCATCCATTGTTGAAAAATTGACGAATAAGGTATAGATCGAACACAATTACCCTCCCCCCGTTTCTTCGCCTCTAGCTTTTGGTAATATTAAACAACTGACTGATATTTTCGTTAACATAGTCACCTGATGAACGGTATTCGAGTGCACATGGATTGCGAGAGGATTTAAAAGAATGTCAGCGCCATTGGAAGGGTGAAAAGGTTTGTATTCGTGACGACGTAGCAGAAAATACAAGATCACTGGATGACGGATTGGATGTTGTCACGGGATCTAAATGTTTACATATGCCTGAACGTTAGGAAATACAATCGTTTGCATTGGGCAGAAACGATATCGCGAGTGTCTTTACATTACCCAACGCATGCTTCGGTCGTGAAAAGGAAATCGAGCAGATCAGTACTATTATTCGACGAACAGCATACACCTATGGCCATGTCGTTCCACGCCGGTCGCGCCTCGATAGCAGCACAGTAGATTCGCTCTTGACACCACTCGAAGATGCAGACAAAAACCGATTATCATTGTTCAAACGTCTGAGCAACAGCAATAAACGTACGAGCAACTTGTTTAAACGGCGCACCGAGACGATCTCTATTTCTGGCAGTGCAGGAGTTGGTAAAATACATTGGATCCTACAGTCAAAATTAGACACGGTAAAAAAAAACCTTACAAAAAAAATTGTTTTTTAGGCAAGTCCACACTGCTACGACAGATTCAGCAAGTTGCACGGGCATACGGCTACATTGCCACTGCCAAATTCGATCGACGCAATCCCATGCCGTACGGATGTATCTTGAGATGCATGAGCATCTTTTTCAAACAGATACTGACCGAAGTGCCGAGCGAGGTGGATCGGTTTGCCAACATGCTGAAGGAGCAGTTGGGTCCCATTGCACAGCTGCCTATACTCTTACTGGACAACGTGCCTGAGATTCGGACACTCTTGAGCGAGGCCAAGGACACTAGGCTATCAGCAGAATGTGATATTGGAGGAAGTGAAATCAAGATGCGGTTCCACTCGGCCTTCATTGAAATATTCCAAGTCATGGTGCGGTACAAGTTTGTAACTTTGGTAAGCCAGTTCAAAACATTTCCAAATTCACCGGGTGACGTTGATTACGTCCATGTTGTGCAGCGCTCTTGACTAATTTTGGTATATGCCGTCAACGCAAATCACGCAATAATCACCCCACGAACAAAAATAAAAGTTTCTCGAAGATCTGCATCAAGCGGGTAAGTCTGTGTAACGTGACACGACAGCAACAACAAACAATGATTAAAAACTGACATTACGTTTTGTGTGTGTAACTCAACTGACTTTTTTTTCCGCTTTCTTTTCTTTTGGTGTGTTAACAGACGACGCTTCTATCGAGCTCCTCGAGTCTCTTATTTCCGCTCGTCTCAACTTTCTCGTCATCATCACCTACCGTCGATCCGAGCTATCTGAATCCGTCAACAAGCTGCTACAGAACGAGAACGCTGCCGTCACGCACGTCAAGCTGGACAACCTCGAAAAGGACGCATTGATGGATCTGGTGCGCACGCCGATGCATCGAAATGAAGAAATCGACAGCGTCCTACTCACACCGCTTGTTGATTTCATATACCAAAAAACGCGCGGCAACCCATTCTACGTGTGTCAACTGCTGACAACACTCGAGAAGAAGGGTCTTTTGTACTTTACATGGGAGCAGCAAGGACGGTGGGAATACAATCTGCAGGAAATCGAAAAGGCACTTTTGAGCGAAATGGGTGAAAAGAACCAGGACATTGACGTCGAGTTCCTGGTGCGTCGGCTCAAGGAACTACCGAGGGATGGACGTAAATTTGTGAAATGGGCGTCGTTCATTGGCAACAACTTTTCGTTCGAGACAGTCCGGCATTTGATGATGGACTGCGAAAACGATACGAGCTCGGCATCAGAATTGGACAGTGATAACGAGTTCGACAATGAAGAATTCTCGCCGTTATCAGCGTCACCACGCAAAGAGGCACCGTTGGAAATGAAACGCAAGAATGATGCCATCAATGGATTGCAGTCAGCGCTACAGCAAGGATTTATCGAAGCGTTTTCAAACGACGAATTTGGCTTTAGCCACGACCGGTATTCACAGGCTGCCATGATGCTAGCCAAGCCTGAAAAGCGCGACAAGCTTCATCTTAAAATCGCCTCTTACTTTATGGATAAGCCCAACGTTGACACGTTTTGGGTCGCAGACCATCTTAAGGCAGCACTGCATTTGATCAAGGCTTTTGACAAAAGGGACAAGCACCGCGCGCTCTTGATTCAAGCAGGCAACAAGGCTTATGGATCGGGTGCTCACAATTTGGCGTACTCGTACTATGCCGGTGCACAAGAGCTGCTGAGCCAAGACCCTTGGACGGATGGACATGACAGCAGCTACCAAGAAACGTTACACCTTTTTACTCGTCTGGCAGAGATCAGCTGGTTTATGGGATACGGTGTGACTCCCGATCTGCTCAACACAATTTTCAAGAATGCAAAGTCTGCTATCGACCGTGCTGCAGCTTACCGTATCCAACACCGCTATCACTTTTCCCGCAAAGAACATCAAAAGAAATCATCGATACTGCTCGAATGTCTAGCCGAGTTGGGTATTGAAAACGTACGTCTGGACCTGATGGACGAGGAGCTGCGCAGGCTGCACGAGGAGACGCGTAGTGAGGTGCTTGCTCTCGGACTGGACAAGGTCTCCGATCTGCCTGTGTGCGAGAGTCGTTTGATTCGCACGCGGCTTTCCATTTTGGAAGAGGTGTGTCTATGGGCATACTGGATGAACGACACCAAGGCCATCCTATCCATCGGTTCTCGACTTGTGTTGATGACACTGCAACATGGCACATCACCTACGACCGGCGTCGGATTTGTATATTTTGGCATCGCTGCCATGCAACTTTTCAAGGCTTACGAGTTTGGACAACAAATTGGCGCGGTGGGCGTATCGCTCTGCGACAAGTATGGTGGCAATTCCGAGTCAGCACGTGCTCGATATCTCTATGGTGCGTTTTTGAGCTCGTGGAAGCATCACTATCGCGACTCGTTGCCATTGTTCCGTCAGTCGCTCAAGCAGAGTCTGTTGGGTGGCGACAGAATCTATGCCACATTTTCTCATTTGCATATTGTGATGGGCATGCTGCTGTGCGGCGAGAACATGTCGGACACGCTACGCGAAGCCAAAATGTGTCTCGATGAAGTCACACGATGGAACGAATTTGGTACATCCATCTTGGTCACGACTATCATCCGCATGGTATTGGCGCTCCAGGGCAAGACTTTCCTTACCGAAGATAAGATCTTTGATGACAAAGATTTCGAGGAAGCCCCGTTTGTAGCAGAAATGTACGAGCAAAATCCAGATTCCGGACTGCCTATGTTTTGGTATTATGCTCTCAAATTGATCGTCCTGGTTATCTACGGATACGACGAGGCGGCGTTCAAGATCGGACACGAGTACGCCCAGCTGGCGGATATGCAGCCTTCGCACCGACACACACATCTCATGTTGTTCTTCCACTGTTTAGCCATGATACGGTTGGTGAGAAGTGGCAAGGGCGACCGAGACGCGTTACTGAAGCAGATCGAAAAGCATCATGATACGCTACAGGAATTTGCAAAGCACTCGTAAGTTTTTATTTTTTACCTTCTTTCACAGTAGTTTGTAATAGTTACCCTCTTTCAATATCAGGCCTCAGAACTTGCAAATGTTTGTTTCGTTGATCGACGCCGAACTCGCTTCTTTGACACCTGATATGCGACGTACGGAGCAATTATACGACTTGGCCATTGACCAAGCCAAGAGTGGCCAATGGGGACTCGAGACGAGCATCATGTATGAACTGGCCGGTGAATACTACATCCGCTGCGGAGCCCGTCATGTTGGCGCCTTGTTGATTGATAAGGCAGTGGCCGGATACCGCCATCAAGGATGCTATGGTAAAGCCATACAGCTTGAGCAGCTCCATGCAAGCTCACAAAAGACCAGCGATACGATTTGCCGTCACATGGAAGTGCAAACAGAGACTCATGTTGTCAGCCCAAGGCGAGACTCGTTTGGCGACATCAGTCTTTCTGAACCTTATTCTGTCGACGTGTCGACGAGTGCCCAAGCGTCCCCCGAAGAGACCTTACTCACGCTGGACGTGGTGGATCTCGCATCGATATTGAAGAGCTCTCAGATCATTTCGAGTGAAATGAACTTTGAATTGCTGATGGAACAGTTACTTGGGGTATGTTGGTTTTTGCTATGGATGAACATGTGGCTTTAATGTCGAGACATTAAAATCTTAGTTGATTCTTAGATTATCTTGGAGAATTCCGGTGCTGAATCGGGTGTGATCATTATCAAGGAAAACTCATCGTTCCTGATCATGGCACGTGGTTCACAGGCTGAAGGCTGTGAAATCCTAAAGTCACCCAAGCTATTGTCCGAGGAAGCCACATCCATGGTCAGCCGTGTGGCTCGCTACGCCATACACACCCAAGAATCCCTGCTCATCCCCGATATTCACGAAGATCCACGCTTTAACGACTTTGCAGCAGCAGTCAAGTCGGTGATCTGCGTTCCTATCACACACAAATCTGCGATTGTCGGCTGTATCTACATTGAAGGTGCCGTTGGATCGTTGACCGCACGCCATGAAGTTGTTTTGCGCTTGCTGTCGCAACAGATCGGCATTTCGGTCACCAACGCTCTCTTGTTCAAGAGTATCCAAAAGGTCACCTATGCCAATGTCAAGATGATTGAAAACCAAAAGGCCGCTCTCGAAGAAGCACGCAAGAGTAAAGAAGCAGCATTACGAGCCATGAAGCTCAAAGCAGACTTTTTGGCCAACATGTCACACGAATTACGCACACCCTTTTCTGGTTTCTATGGCATGATTTCGCTGCTTTCAGAAACTTCGCTGGATGCTGAACAGTCAGACATCGTTCACACTGCCAAGGAAAGCTGCGAAATGTTACTCAAGATCATTGACGACCTGCTCAATTTCTCCAAGCTTGAAGCCGGTAAGGTAGTACCCGATCTAGGCCCACTGGCGGTGGAAGAGCTGATTGCCGACACATTCGAAATTCTGAGCTCCTTGGCAGCGCGTAAAGGCTTGGAACTGGCATACATTGTTGAACCGGATGTGCCCGAAACTGTGACGGGCGACTCGTCGCGTCTGCGACAAATCTTGACGAACCTGTTGGGCAATGCCATCAAGTTTACGCACGAAGGCGGTGTAGTGATCAAGTGTTGCCTCGACGAAGAATTGGAGGATGATCATGTGCGACTCAAGTTTGAAGTGATTGATACTGGTATTGGCATCAACACCGTACAGCAACGCAACCTGTTTGAACCCTTCTCGCAGGTGGATGGAAGCACCACACGGATGTACGGTGGCACGGGCCTGGGTCTCTCAATCTGTCTACAGCTCGTACGTCTTATGGGTGGCAACATTGGCGTTATCTCGCAAATCGATCACGGATCCAATTTTTGGTTCTCGGTTGTTGTCAGACGCGTTGGCAAAGAAGCCGAAGAAGCGCGACCCACGCCTAGCTTGCAGTTGCGACAGAGCAGTATTCTCATGACAACCAACCAGGACGCTACGGCCAACATGATGCACGCCCTATTAGCGGATCTGAACCTCAAACGCAACACCACAGATATGCAGCACGCAATTGCACAAGCATTGCAGGAGCGCCACGAAATCCTGTTGTTGGACATTCCACCCATGCCCAACAGCTACATTGCACAGCAGCTACAAAGTGTCGATGATGATCCCGAGTGTGATTTACACATCATTCTTCTTTACACTCCTGCAACAGAAGGTCACAAGGTTGCTGCAGAGGCCACTAATTCCGCATCGGATCGCCGAGGCCGCATTGTCAAAATGGCCAAGCCTGCAAGACGCGCAAAGCTACTACGTGTACTTGAACAAGTCCTTAGTCAGCCACGACTCACTATCCAAACGACACCTATCCAACAGCAACAGCCCACACCAATGGTTACGCCCATGCCCACACCCGTGAAAGCCGTGCCTTCGCAACCCACCAGCAAGATGGCCGAGTTCTTCACTCCCGATGAGCTTGAATGGTTCAGGGAAAAGCCGGTCTTGATTGCCGAGGACAACATGGTTGCGCAAAAATTACTGCGGAAACAACTCGAAAAGATGGGTTTCGTTGTCGAAAGTGCCAATAACGGTGAAGAAGCAATTCAGTTGTGGCAACAACGACCGGATAACCATTTTGTTATCGGCTTCTTTGATCATCATATGCCTGCGGTTCGTATCCTTCTTTAGCCCTTGAAATTGAACAAGCTTAAATGTCTTGATTGGCACAGTTGTCAGCTAACAATGGCTATGTATCGATTTCTTTCTAGTGCGACGGCGTTGAAGCAACCAAAAAGATACGAGAAATGGAAATGGCCAATGATGAACGACCCACGCGTCTTCCAATTATCGCACTTACTGCGGACATCCAGGACAGTGCCCGCGAGTATGCGATTTCTGCGGGTATGGATGGCTACTTGACCAAACCATTGATTCCCAAAGACCTTGCTGTCACGCTACGTAGACTCTGTCCTCCACTTCAGTCACAACAAATCCAGCAATCACCATCACCACCGCCGTAATCTAGCAGCAAACGATAACGATACTCCTCCTCTCATTCTCTTAGAAAATCGTAAAAAAGTTTCTTTTGTATTTTTATTATTTTATTGTACATTTTTATATTCACCCGCACACACTTCATCCTCTTGCATACACGTTTCCGTAAAAATAATACCACCCCTTCCCCACTATATACTTTGCATCATTCAAAACCCAAAAAACAAGGCCCTGTTTATTTAGAAAGAAGACTCCGAAGCTTCTCTGCTTTTTACATATTCTACAACTCACATTTTCTTCTTTTTATTCCTGTTGTCCGGCTTTTCTTTTTCCAACTTAATTGATGTTCAACTGGCTATGGAATGCATTCAGTCGACAATCCGTCTCTCACGTGGAGCAATCACAACACGATGACGATCCTTCCAACACCGATCGTCATGTTAAAGAGATTAACGCACAAAGTGACACTAATGATCCTGCACCATTTGACGACACAGACACGAATAAGACGCCAACACAAGGTGAATACATACTTGAAAAGCTCCAAGTGCGCATATAAATATAGAGTCTATGTCTAACTCGCACGCGTGCTACTGTGTTCGTTTTAGATACACCAACAAATGAAAACAGCAAATCTCGATCGCGTTACACGGGTAATTTGTGCCCCCCCCCCTCTCATACCTTTCAAACAGTAGCAAAAGTGCATTAAAGAAGCTCTTGCACTCTAACACACACACAAAAAGTCAAAGATATACAGCCAGTGTTGTTTTACTGTCCCTATCAGCATTGTTCCTACTCGGCCTCACTTGCAGCAACGACATGTCAACATATTCGCCGAACACACGATTCAAATTTTTTCGTATTGCTATCAAACCAAGACGCACATGCTGCTCTGTTTACTACAAGTACACCATCTGATCAATCCATTTCGTTGCTAGGTATAGATAGATCCTTTTGCTCCATCCAATATCCACGACTTTTTGCTTATCGTACATGTTAATTCATGATGGTTTCTTACTTCTATCAGATCGCAATACATCCATTGAACCGACAGTACGATTGATAGCCGTAGACAACAATGATGTCAATGGAGATAAAAAACATATCCATTACTATTGCCCATACCAGAACTGTTCACATGATACGGATGAGCAACAGGAGATCACTCGGCATATTCGCCTAAAACACTATCCCGATTTACCTGAAAATGGCAAAGCAGAGCACCAATGTTATCGAACAGTGGATGGCAAAGTCATTGTTGATTTCTCTGGTATGGTACTACGGTAAACTAATATATGGATATCATTGAGTCATCCCAACGGTCGTGCGGTTCTGATCATGATGTATTCAAATGTAGAGAAATATCATTCGGTTCTACTACCCAACACAGTATTGATACCATGTGATGCGAGTGGTGACGGTAAGAAGTTTTTTATTTAATTATTTGTTGTCAAGCATGAAGTAGTGCATATGTTTTGACACAACTCTTTTTATTAGTTCCTAAACAATATGCTAATGCTATTTTGAATGATCCAATTACGGCCTCTTCATCGAAAGCTGCGCCAAATGGAAACAAGTCAGCAGTAGCATCTACTAAACCGAAAGAAAAAGCAACAAAAAGACGGCAGCAGGTATGCTAGGAGATTGTAAAAGAAAGTTGTCAATGATGAATACCAGTCAACTTGACTATGACTAACTCTTTTCGGTAATAAGAAGGCACCCGAGCCACCAGCTAGGCGCAGGAATCCAAAGCGACGGAAACGCAATCCTTTAGAGCAAGAGGAATGGGTTCTTTATTAATCAACGCAAAGTGTTTAAAGATGTACATAATAAAAAGAGGATGTGTAATAATAGCATCGTATGTAACTATACATAGGTCTCACACTTACAAACACGAGTTCTTTGAAGATGACGGAATATCACCTAAGCCATGTAGATGGATGATTGCTCCAATAGCAAATATGCTGCGAAGGCTGTCTTTCTTCTTCTTCTTATTTATATAACAATAGGACAAAATTACTCATACAAGACATATTGGTTGATCCCAGTGACTTTTTTTTTAGGAAAACAAGGAAATTAATGTAGAAAAAATGCATATGTGGAATGAAATATATGTAACGAGCGGCTTATTACTGTCCCTCCTCCTTGACGTCATCTTCTGCCTTTCGCTTCTCACCAGTGACAGCTTCGGTAGTGCCCTCTCCTGCGAACTCCTTTGACTCTGCACCTGTAATTTCAAAACAACACGAACTTTAGTAAATACAACGACCACTCTGAACGATGTTGTGTTTTTTCATTCTTACCGTTTGCTGAAAAGAATTGTGCGCTGACCGACTTGTCAAACAGTTCACGGACCATCTGGCGAGCTTCGCCACTCGACAGCAAAACGAAACCAGAACCATCATCCTTTCGAGTGATCTTTTCTACCTTATCCTTGCCAACCAAATCTTGCAACTGTGTGTCGTCGAGGTCCTTGGCATTTCTGAATTTGAGCAAACGGTGGTTGGCGCCTTCGTACAAGGCCTTTTTGTCGTTGTTATTGTGCTGCTTACGGTTGCCCTTCTTGTTGTCGTTGTTGTCGCCGCGGAACTTTTTGTTGCCGAATTTTTGTTCGCGTTCCCACACGAATGCACTGAACTTTCTGGAGACTCTCTTCTTTTCTGCAGAGTTCTTATCCATATTTCGGTACTTTTTGAACTTTTCATCCAGATAAGCTTTCCTATGGTGTTAATAAGTGAGCAATCCATGTAAGTGTCTGGTTTTTTTCAATGTCTCCAATTCACAAAATTCACACAGGAGTCCTAACGTACTTTGTCTTTAAGAGAAGATCGGTGCCTTCATATTGCAAAGACTTTTGCGCAACTTCTTCGGCGAGTTGGGGACTATCGAATTCGACGAAGACACTTCCCTGATAAATCAAATTGAAAAAAATCAGTCAACCCAAAACCACCACAATACACGTTTCCCCTTTGCCCAACGTTTCGAGGATTGAGAATATTTACCTTGAACTTTGAGGGACGCGCATCAGTTTTGCGGAGACGGACAGCAAGCACTTTGCCATGCTCTTGGAAAAAGTCTTCAATCTTGTCCTGAAGTTCAATCAAAGCATCCACAGGCTTCTCGTTGTTCTCATCCACCAAGGGAAATCCTTTCTACAATAGCCCACGCAAATTGAGTCAAGTCAGTTTAGTTCCCAGTTGCCCTACCAAAAAGACACAAAAAGATTTGACATCTTACAGCATAAACGGACCGAGCCACAAAGTTTTGTTCTACCAAGGGCTTGGTGCGTCTGATCTGATCACCCGCTTCGTTTAATTCCACAAGATCAGAATTGGCAGATCGCAAAGCAGACACAACGGTATCCTTGTCATCAGTAATCATTTGCATCTTTTTGAAGCCAACGATAGTTTCGAGAGGGATCCCTATATAAAAATAGAGTAGGTTTTTGCCCTTGTTACTTACTATTTCTGTTCTCGAACGCTTATAGAAAAAAGTTTTTTTTTTGAAGGAAATCGCGTAAAAAGTGACCACACTCTTTCCCCCCCCCAAAAAATATCTTACAGCCTTCGCTGTTCTTCTTGGAAAGGAAGAACAAAAACTTGTCAAAGGGAAAATTGGAATCGCTAAAGTAGAATTCTACTTGCTTGACGATCTTGGCGTTTGTGTCCATTATTTTTTTGTTGTATAGGTGTGTTCGTGTGGCTAGAAGAAGAAAGGAAGAGGCAAAAAAAAAATTTAGGCGGGGATGACTTTGATGGGCCCCAATGCTCGGTTCTGATTGGGTCATTTGAACGAATAGAAACAGAATCAATGCTTCTTTACGTCTCCCCAACAATCAAAAGTTTACCGTAATCATCAGTACTACTTTAAAAAAAGCAGAAAAGGTAGCAGCATTGTGATTCCCTTCTTATATATTTTCTCTTCACCCGGATATGTATACAATTAGAGCCAATCTTACTCGGCTCTTTACGGATTTTTTTCGCTTACAAAATAGACTCTTACAGTAGTAGAAATTTAGAGGGGATTTTGTTTGGCGGTGTCACCGAGAACGTCTGACAGCATTATTTATTATGATGTTCTTTTACTAGCTACTGTGCGTAGCTAAAGAGATACTCCGGACATGAGCAACACTGTTTAGGGTGCTGTTGCTGCTGCTGCTGTGGGTTGGCCATACAGTTTGAACATATAAGCAGAAAGGGCACGAACAGATTCGCATATGATATCATCATTCCTACGCTTCATTTTTGTGACGGTGTATAGTATGAAGCATTGTACTTTTCTTAGTTGCTATAGTAGTGCATGTAGCTCTAGTCGTGACTTTGGTAGAGTCATATCTCCGTGTAAAGCTATCATGGCAATTCGACATTGAAGCACTCATCTTCCTTTCCATGCTGTCCTGTCGCTCAAAATATCATTCCATGAGCCGATCTGGTTAAGGATTTAAAAGACGGACATGCCTCAATAGGCAGATGATGGATCGACGCTGCTTGTTGGTATCGCCTTATTTGCAAAGCTCAAAGCGGATATATGGGGATTGTTGTTGCGCTCTGCTTATAGACCTTATCGTGCTTGTTGAATAGAATTCCTCGCCCACTTTAGGCTACAGCAGCAGCAGCAGCAGCAGCAGCGATCACTTGTAATTTAGGCACACATGTTCACAGATGTTTGGATATCGAGAACACACTTTCAAAAGACAAAGCACTTCGTCTTTGAGGAACTAGTGTCAAGCCAAAGATGACAATTTTCGCTCCTTGAAATGGAAAACGTACTTTTTCGAGAGAGAACTTTTATCTCTAAAGCCTGGCAGTACCTATTGCTGACATCATCCGCCAAGCAAAAAAAGAGCAATGACAGTTTCAGTGATCTTCATAACAGAAAATAGGGCTTCTGAAGCTGGTTGTGAAGAGTGCTACAGGTGAACACGGAGGCAAGGCGTTCTTCCGGTGCTGGGTATTAAGGCATCATACCCGATAATGAATTACATGTTGGATTGTTCATTTTTTGCAACTTGTCGTCCTTCCAATACGAGTTGGTAACGGTGTATTACGGTGCCTGCTTAGTATCATTGCTACACTGCTTGGGTGTATAGCAGCTACCTTGCCTTTTTCAATCAAGTACAGTACAAGGAAACCAGGGCGAGCGTTTGGTATGTACCTGAAAACCGGACTCGGGGTTCCCATATAAGAAGCGGAGATGGTGCACAAGGTGAAACACGGATCGACACTATATACTACAGCGGCATGACAGCGACCGTGTGTGTTTCCATAGTGTCAATCCAACGATACTTCTTTTACTTTTGCTTTGGCACAGCAAAGAACAAAGGAGAAGCAGAAGGGCTCTACAAAGCCAATCACGTGATTGGGCGACTGCGCTTGAAAACCAGTCTTGACCTGCTGATCCACTAGCGTGTGACTTTTTTTGGTTTTTTGAAAAAGTATAAATACAGGTCCATTTTTCAGAGCAAGGATTTCTTTATGCAGTAGCACCAACAGATGTTTGGGGGCATCGGTGTATACTTTTCCCTACGGGGCCCCATAGGAAAATGACAAAAAGCACATTGGTGTGCACCACCAATAGACAAAATCAATAACACAAAAAGTGTTGTTGACGTCTAAACTATCTGATTGTGTGTGTTTCCTTGACCAACAAGGTGCACCACTACAAAAATAAATAAGAAAATGATAAAAATAAATAAACACAAAAAGTGTCGTTGAAGTCTGATTGATTGCGTATAGTAGTTTGAAAGAAATTCGAAGGCTGCAGTAATGGCAGGATCTTCAAGGCTGCCGTCTAATTAACAAAGTTGTAGCGCTTGTCGTTGGACTTTGTCTTCCTGAATGTCAGCTCCACTACATTTATAAAAAAGGAGTGTTCCGTGAAGCACAGACCGTCTCGCACTGGAATTTACGCTCGCTTGTCATTAGCAGCCAAGTACTACAATGATGCTACAGCTTTTTGAAATGGCATTTCAATCGAGTTGCACGATTGCAATAACGAACAATGGCTGTTCTTTTTTAAGCGCTTAGTACGCGAGAATTATATTTGCAATCGCAGTTACAGTTATTACCAGCTCCTGCAATCCAGCTCTCGGTGAAAACGGTTTTTTCATATAATATCCTCGTCACCATCAAAATAGCACTGTTACGTACATAGTGAAGCAAAAAAGCATTTTCTAGTGCAAGATATATTTCGACCCGGCGTTAGCATTTTATATTGGCACCTTAGATTGTTAAACGCGATGACAATATATACAGTACGACCAAGGAGGTGTACTTTCAATCAAATGTTGCACGTAAAAGCTTACATGAATCAATGAGCTTCCAAAGCCTCCTGATTGGTTTGAGTGTAGGCCTAAGTACTCGGAGGTTTGCTATAGACAGTGCTACAGGGCCCAAAACTCCGGCAATCAAATTCGAACAGACGACTTGGGGCTTTTCACACTTATTCTCCTCGAATCCTACTGAACAAAATGAAATTCGTTTCTCGCTCCATTGTCGACCAAAATCAAGAACAGGAGATTGAAAAAAACGACAGTCAAGAAGGTTAGAACTATAAAAATATAGCAAATAAAGCTGGTTTTTTTTTCTGTGGTGTGCGAATTCAATTGCGATTGAGTTAAAAAGAGCCATACACGGGACCAACAATAACAAAAAGATATACAACTACAAAAAAAAAGGCAACAGTAATGATGCGCCTCAAGAAGATTACGATCCACGGACACTTTATGAACGATTACAAGAACAGAAGAATATGAAAGAAGAGTTGTTCCAGGAGCAAACGCGGTTAAGCAACCTGATCAAACGCGTAGACGACGAAGAGGCCGAATATTACCAAACCTTGTCGGATGTTCAAGAAAAGTTGGATGTGGAAAAGAGACGAAAGGAAAGCGAAGAATTAGAAGCTTTCAAAAAGTGCGTACCTTCTCGTTATTGTTTTATTCTTCCTTTTGTAGACGGCATATATTACACAAAAAGAAGTTTATTTAACGAAATTGATGGTTATATCGCGGCAGGGCACAAGCACGACATACGGTTTCCACACCTGAATTACCAACCGCAACGGCGGCAAGTGCTACACCATCGTCATCATCAACAGCCACCACTGGTCCTAAGCAAGGTCGACGCAGGTCGTCAAAGAATGCACTGGATGGTTTAGTGGTAGTAAAGAAGAAGCGATCAGCAGATGACAAGGAAGACGAGGAGAAGCAGGATGACAAACATCAAGCGAAAAAAGCCAAGCCTACAACGGCAACTACGACCAAGACGGTAACCGAACCGAGAAAAGACGAATCAACAACAACACCATCATCGTCAACGGGTGGATTATCATCCTTGATGGCAGCTTACAGTAGCGACAGCGATGAAGACGACGACGAATGATGGGATCGCATTACCACTCAACAGCGAAAAAATAACCGTCTGATTGCTTGGTCTGATGCTACAGTCGTATAGCTGCCGAGCAAACAGGGAGCAGGAAAGGGCAGTCATTGTACATATAAAACTTTTCATACCAACTAATATATATAGACTCATTTTTGTTCAAGTTAAACATCCGTCCTCGTCCATAAGAATTAAAATAATGGTTCAACTTTCAAAGCGAGGCGATTTCGTTTTTGACTACAATCCCAATGACTAGTACCCCGAAGCATGGACATTAGGACCACCGTTCTCAGTGCGGTTTTGATCCTCTTAATTGCTACCATCATACTGGCTCGAACGTGTTGTACTAATGCAGCGGTCAGCCTACACAAATGCGCGCTGCTCCTCTTCTATGCATCTTTGCTAAGGTCGTTTCCAACATAGACATGGCTGTAAACAGTGTATATATGCGCCAACATCAAACGGCTCTACGAAGACACAACAAAAAGACTATCACAAGTAGCTGGCGGCAAACTAACATCCGCAGATATGATATTAATAGATTAGTTAATTGAAAGTGGTGCACAGTTAATGATATATTGTAGTCTTTTCTCCAGAGACATATTCAACATGTTAACTAGTGATATATACTATTTGTAGTAGGACATATGGTATTATGCTTTCAAGCACTTTTTTTTGTACATGTAAAGATGAAATTTTTAATGGGGTGGAAATTTAGTACTATTAGTCGAGGTGTCCTACTCTTTCTTGTCATTTTTTTAGAAATAATTGTGTATACAAGAATTACTAGCTTAAAACAAATGATCGTTTTGATGGTTTATAATGCAACGTATTCGAGAACCTAAAATGATCAGCAAATCGTTAAAAGTCCAATTCTTTTGTGCGTTATCATTTTTGATGCAGTCATTAGAAAGGACGAAAATATGCATACCTGTTTATGAGGCAAGAATGCTAACCAATCCGATGTTGTAGTAGGCAACAATCCCATAGCATTGACCTTATAAACACCGAGTAACATGGTTAATATATGCAAGCCCAAAAAGACCAATTTAGGTACAATCAGCTCAGTGGCAGTTTCTTTGGATTCGAAGCGTGCAAAGTCTACATGGACATTACAACATTGAGTTTTTCCCCAATAAAGACATATCCACTTTTTTTCCCTCTGTTTATCTGATGCTGGAAATCCTTACTTTGTTGAAGGGACATGATCGCTTTGGCAGGCTGGAAGAACAACATGGCGGTAATCATGACACTAAAAATTTGCACACCGTTTCCGGTCATATAAAGCATGAATGCATTCATGGGTATACTCTTGGCCGGGCTCCATGCAACATCCCAAGCTCTCTATATAGACATTAAGCTTTATAAGCTAGACTATCATGACCGTCTATGCACCGATTCTTGCAAAAGAAAAATTAAAGGCGCGTGTAACGCGTCTTTACTCCTTCTCTTCTCCCATCCCTCTACATTCTTTAGTCATTCGCGTTCCATCTTTTACCCGGATCTTTAATGCAGTATCATTATGTGTTTCTTGCGCTGTAGATTGTCGTGTCGATTTCTATTTTTATTTTTAAGAATGAATACAATTTTGTAACGGTATCACTGTAGTAAGAAAGGAAAAGGACGAGTGTATAACGTACTGATCCAGCTTTGGCATTCGAAAGAGCGCCCTGTTCAAATCCAACGGGGTTGGCAATGTTTGACTTTCTAAACGGGTGATTCATATATAAAAGTGAGTCACATTGTATCAGAGTTATGCCTAATATAAAGCGTCGATTTAACTAACTTTTTGATGGGATTTATTGACGCATAATCGATCGACCAGTCTGCCATGATGTAAGTTGTGTTGGAAACAAAGAAGAGAAGCGGACTTTGGCGAAGAGTTGTACTTAGAAAGCTGGCTCGCATTGACTGAAGTAAAAATCGAGGCTCACGATAAACCTATCTATAAATCAGCCATCTTTGTATGTCAAGCTCCATATGACTAGGTACTTGGACTTTCATATGTTTTTTTCTTAGCTTATAGCATCTTTTTCATATACAGGAAATAAAAAAAAAGCCGATTCATCCTTGTTCACGACCAGCTCATAGTTATCGATTACCCGCACAAACAGTTCCAAAACTTTACAGTGTTGCCGTCTGATATGTATTACGCATGTATCAAAGATTCTACTATATTTATAAACTTCTGGTTTGACATGACAGATGCAGCAAGTAGATATTCTATACTTTGAGAATATATCGAAAACGAGGAAATCGACGATGGCAATTCAGGTTCCTTTTTATGGGGGTCTATAACTGTATGTGGGAAGCAAAATGCAGTATTATAATAGCTACATATAACTTTTAATACAGTAATACTTTCCACTTCCTGAGACCTTTGCTCACGTATATACCCATGTCGCTGCTGCTCAAACATAGTACAGACACACCCCGGGTCGAGTCTTAAAATCAGCGTTTCGGCTGTTTATAATTACTTGACCCTACACGTAACTTGATCATGGTCAAATTATAAAGTGGTAGCAATGTGGTTTTATCCGATATCATTACTGTGTTTTACAACAAGCAAGGAAACTTGTATAGGGGCTATGATCGAAGTCAAGTTTGGTAATTTTCGTACGCAATCCATTTTTGAGAAAGCATCCATCCGAAGAGACATGCTTAATTAGTAAGCAAACCTTATTCCTTTGCCACTTTTCCATCCTTCAGTTTACTAGGTACTCGGTAGTAGATCATTCTAGAAACAGAGAAAAAATCCAAATAATGTCAATTAGAGTGGTGCTTGTTTCGCATAGTCGCACAAGTTTTCAACTTTAAAAGATCTTATGGATGACGAATCTTTTGAAACGCAACAATACACAGCGGATTATTATCCCAACAACGAAGAAGTGTGTGCATCAGATGTTATCATACACAAGTAAAAGTAACATATGCCCTGGTAGATCGTTTGTCACACTAATACTTGTCCCATAATCTTTTAGTTCTTGCGTCATGTGCATGAAAGTAAGAATTTGCCTGCGAAATTGCGTGCGCGCGTGCGCCGTTGATTCACCGACTAGGCCGTGGCCGAATTTGTCAGCAACTTATTAAACGCATAAAAAGCGTTGCTCCGGGGAGCGCGACGCTTTTCCCCCCGGAAACACTTTTTTTTTAAAAAAAAACTATAACAATGTCTGGTAAGCACAATGACAAACGCCTTTTTGGGACTTTGTAGATTGCACGTCCACAAAAGAAAGGAACTGAAGCATTGACTCAAGTACTCTCTTCTATTGCTCAAAAAATAGATAAAGCTGTCTTTTACACTGCTGCTATTTGCCCATACGCTCAACGCGCTGCCATCGCGCTCAAGGAGATTGGATTAGAGTATGAGCACGTTGAAATTGACTTGGCCAACAAACCCTCTTGGTAAGTCACGACGTAATCACGGTCTCCATAGTCAAAAGAAAAAGAAAGTTTTTTTGCTTATGAACATATATATATATATATATATATAACAGGTACCCGAATGTCAATCCCGAGTCCAAGGTTCCTGCTCTCACAATTAACGGCAAAAACATCGCTGAGTCTCTTGTCCTTATTGAACTGGCCAACGACTTGAAGCCCGAGAAGGGGTAAGCTCATAGTGCCAAGTGAAGGGAAAACGGGAAAGGAGAGGCAGAGAAGGGGTTTAAGAAATATGCGCAAACGTTGTTAAAGCAAACTCTAATGTGTGTGTACAACATTCTAGTTTGCTTCCAAGCGATCCAGTGCAGCGTGCTCAAATCCGATTTGCAATTGAGTACTTTGCATCCAAGGTTAGCTCGGCATGGTATGGTTTCTTACTTCGTGACTACAGCAAGGAGAATCTTCCAAAGTACACTGAAGGCCTTGAAGCCGCATATTCTCGCGTAAGTCGTTTTCCTTTAACTATAGTACTATATTGGAATTTTAAATGCTTGAGGGCACTGCTACCGATACCTGTACGTATACAAGACACTGATGGCTGTGATGTTGTATAGATCAACGAACTTTTGCTTGAACAAGCTCCCTCTGGCCCTTACTTCCTTGGCTCTGAATATTCACTCGCTGACATTGCAATCGCGCCATTTGTCGCTCGTCAGGCAGCCACTCACAAAGCCTTGTTGAATGGCCTTGAAATTGAAGCTGTCAAGAAATATCCTCGTCTCCAGGAATGGTTAAATGGCATCGTCAGCCGACCCACCTTCAAGGACACCTACCCTGGTGATGATGCTATTGTCGATGGCATCAAGTCCAAGTGGAACATCACCAGTCTTTAAGTTATAACATTCCTTAACCATATCTTAAATAGTATCTTCATTTTTTTTGTACTCATGTCCCCGCCTTCCATGAAGATGCGTATATTTAAAAGGATGTTTATTTGCGTATTCGTAACAACTGTTGGTTTTGAGCATCGTCTCTTCTGGCGTGGATACGTAGTGCCACACGTTCGTTTCAAAGCTTAAATTTACTTGTTATTTTATGATCCGATATAATATATAGCGCAATAACATCTTGACACAAACATCATAGCGGCTAAGTATGTGCAACAGAATACACTTATATACAGTGCAAGCAACTAATATATGTCGGGTAAACGGTTATACAGTAATTTCTGTCGCCGTATTCCTTTTTACATTCATGGAAAATTATATTGCAGGATTGCGTGCGCGCGTGCGCCGTTGATTCGCGGACATGGGAAACCGCATTCAGCAAACGCATAAAAAGCGTTGCTTTTAGAGCGCGACGTCTTTTCCCGTAATATTTCTTGATTTATCCAAGACTTAAACAACAACAATGTCTGGTAAAGGGAAACGCACTTATGAATCTTCTACATTGCACGTTAGCAGGAGAAAGGGACAGAAGCATCTGTCTCAAGTACTTTCTTTCTATCGTTACAAAAAAAATAGATGAACTTGTCCTTTACGACGCTGCTGTTTGCCCATTCTGTCATCGCGCTGCCATCGCGTTCAAGGAGACAGGTTTAAAGTATAAGCGTGTTGAAATTGACTTGGCCAACAAGCCTTCCTGGTAAGTGGTAACATGGCAACGGTTGCTTTCACACTGAAGTAGAAAGATCTTTGCTTAAGTATGAGTGCGTATTTATACGATAGGTTTAAGGATGTTATTCCTGATGCTAAGGTTCCTGCTCTCGCTATCCAAGGCACAATCATCTCCGAGTCCCTTGTTCTCATCGAACTCGCCAACGACTTGCAGCCTGAGAAGGGGTTAGTAAACGCACTTGAGCGAAAGAGAAACTGAGCAAGATTTAAGAAACGTTCATACTGTATACCCAATTTTACTTAAAAAATGTCAGAGTAAGCACTAACGGATGTGCATTCTATATATAATCTAACGTAGTTTGCTTCCCCGAGATCCAGTGAAACGTGCTCAAATTCGATTTGCAATTGAATACTTCTCATCCAAAGTTAGCTCTGTATGGTATAACTTCCTTATGCACGAATTTAAAAAGGAGAACCTTGCAAAGTGCATTGAAGGCCTTGAAGCTGGATACACTCGCGTAAGTTTTTTCTGGGTTATCACTACTACAGTCACATTTCAAGTGTTAAAATGCGTGATTCCCAAGTATGCGAGTTACTGATAAAAGAATTGGCTGTCATACGTCTGTTCTTCTATAATCTTGCATAGATCAATGAATTATTACTTGAACAAGCTCCCTCTGGCCCTTACTTTCTGGGATCCGAGTATTCACTTGCTGACATTGCAATCGCGCCGATTGTCGCTCGTCAGGCAGCCGGTTTTAAGGCCTTTTTGAATGGCCTTGAGATTGAAGCTGTCAAGAAATATCCTCGTCTTCAGGAATGGTTGGAAGGCATCGTCAGTAGACCCACCTTTAAGGAAACCTACCCTGGTGATGAAATTGTTATTAACTTTTACAAGAAGGAGTGGAATGTTTCTAGTCTTTTAGACTAGAGCATTTTGTAACCATATCTCTATAGTTTTTTTTCTTTTTGTACTTTTTATTACATTCACCAGCCCTGGATGTAAAATCACCTGTTGTATAAAAACAATCAATATATATAATTGCGCTAACCACAAATGATTGAGAAAATGTGAATGAAGAAAGCTAGAGGAGCTTCTCATCTATCCGTCCGCGACTAGTAACGGACAAGGCGCAGATGACTCAGAGAATCCTCTTTTATAGATGAGATTTGACAGCAGCTTGCTTGGAGATTCATGGAAAAACTAAACCTATTTAACATGCTCGCTACTGTACATACTATGAGCAACATGTCATAAAAGTGGCACTATTAAGCGGTTCTAGATATCACTACTGTATTCATGTTAATGTTATCCGGATATTCTATGCTCTTACGCAAATGTGCGGATGCGGCCTTTTAACAGCGAACTCGTGAAAGACAGCCGGATTGTACTATTGTTCTATGATATATATCCGGTGACACTATGGATCTTATGTCTTCTGGATAAAAAATGAGTGCAGAAACGATGCAACAGTGTATTAAAAAGCACCAGTGACCACCAATAGGAAGATGCACTGTATGTCGTTCTGAAGGTGGTCTTGTTAGACTATCACTACAAAAACGCTCTAACGCATATATTTATACTGTATTTGATGATGATACAAATCATAATTAACATCATACAGTGTTATTATCATCAAAAAAGATTGTATACTTAAAGTGAATGTGCCCTATCTGGCGAAAACTTTATTCAAGTCAATAGTTACGAATCCATTCTCACCGACAGAATTGGAGGAGATTTTGTATGTTATGGCCGAACACAACATTATGTACAACATGAGTACTATGCCAATCAGTCTATGTGATAATGCTGTAGTTATGCTGCGTAACTACATGATGCTACTACAGTGAACCTCGCTGATGTTGACCCATTAGGCGCATATATCTGAAGCGATCAACACTATTGAGGGTTGACCAATTGCGAAGATCTCGGATAATTCTGTTTAGAAGATGCTCTTGTTGATGCTGTCGAGGGTTAATGCTAACGAGGTTGACTTGACGGTGATCGACCTGTATATATCAGCACGACCCCATATCATCATGTGAATCCATTCGTACTAGTGGCCAGCATATGGTGCTAACTGCGTCTGTGCGTATTACAACATAACAAGGAAGCAAGCCGTAGATCTACTTGTGTCCTGCTGTTAAATTTCTACGGGCAATTATTATAGACATGTTGTCTTTCAGCCGCAACTTTTGAAATCCAAAAAACAGCTGGAGTGCACATATTATCTCAGAAAAAAAACTTCTAACAAAAAAACTTTACTGTATGCCTACAGCCTACGTCCTGAAGATAAAAACTTTGGTAGATTCAAGCAGAATCAATTGTGTCATGTGTGCTTTTTATTAATCAAGAACTACCCCTGTTAAGCTCAACCTGCTAGAATGACTGTTAACTTTTTGTGCGCGTAGTAACTTTCTTGAAATAATACATTATCTCAAAGATTTCTGTTATTGTCTTTGGTTTATTTGATCTTTGCAAAGCTCTATGATAGTCATTTCTTTTTTAATTTATCATAGATATGAATGATATAACCAGCCTACAGCATTTATTGATGCTATATTATTATATTACTGACGCTTTTTATCTTCTAACATGGACAAGGCCAATTCAATCAGTGATATATAAAACCCTATTACTTTTTTTTACAGTAATCCTATTTAGACCTTCCATCGATAACTCGCACAAAACCACGACAGCAACAAAAGTATTTTTACGTTTTACTGTTATTACGATAATCAAAATACACATTATATGTGCATATTTGACATCATCCATATCCAAACAATAGTATCAGTAAGGTGTCCTTCAGAATCATATTCATTCTTTGGATTTAACAGGTTAAGTGAGAACGTCCTGAATGAGGGAGTACTTGTAGGAGATTGCGTACTTTAAAGGGGGTCATATATGCCATTAAGCAATTAAGAAGGCATTGTTACTTTTAACTGGCAAACATGCAGAAAGTGAAGCGACTTGAAGAAAGCCAAAGACTCTGACAGTATGCCTTAGTCAACTCACATGTATATTGGAAGTCGAAAGTTCCAAGTACTGGTCTTGATGCAGGAAAAACTCTCTTTTCATGTCATGATGAACTTGGTAGCCGATATAGTTGAGATTGACACAGTAGTGTCTGTCATTGCTGTGAAAAAAAGGAAAGTAAGAGAGAGAACAAGATTAATGGCTCTTTATTCCTTAGGACAGCCAAAATTTGCGGTCTCTATAAGAGATCGTGTCCAACACCATAAGATACCGTGGAAGACTTATTTATTTTTTAAATGACACATTACCATTCACAGGATAATTGAGGATATTCCAAATACTTCTTTCCTGCTTTAAATATGTATATGCAAAGAAAAAAATCGATAGTAAAAAAGGTCAGATTTGTATTGGCCAGAACTGCTAGAGAGCCACTATTTGCAGTCAGATCCTCGGGTCCACGGTGATCTGCTACCAGCATCCTTGCCCGTTTGGCGATTTCGCCACAATTCTTGTCTTGAGGATACTGATTTGGTATCCGAGCGTTTTGAAGAAGCAACAGAGCCTTGTCTTGAGGATACTGAGCTGTTAACCGAGCGGTTTGAAGAAGCAACAGAGCCTCGTCTTGAGGATACAGAGCTGGTATCCGAGTGTCACAAAGAAGCAACAGAGCCTTGTCTTGAGGATACTGAGTCGATATCCGAGCGTTTTGGAGATGAAGCAACATACTCCGGTGATGTAGGCTTGACGACTTCTTGTTCCTTTTCTCCGCACAGCCTATAGTATTTTGCTTGGCAGGAACTCTTTGTGCGCCCCATCTTTTCAGCGATATCCTGCCATAGCATTTGTCCCTTGCGCATCTCTACCTATGTCTGCTCTCTTCGCTACTCCAGCGTCTACCGGTGGTACCTTTCGGCCCTATAATATAACCATAAGGAAACTTTGAGCAATGGTGGTTCCTAGCATCACTGCTTTTATACTGTATATTTTACATGACCCTATCTATCATTTTCATCAACAGCTAGACTACAACGTACCATTTGCTTGATCAGTAGTGTTAGCCTTGCTTTACGAGCGGCTATTGTACAACCCAGCTCAAAACCGATACTGTCCCATGACGCATTGTTTTTGAACATTTCCAGTAAGCGATTTTCACTTGCAGGGGACCAGCGTCTATTGTGATTGGAAGGCTTGCTTGCAGGGCCCTGGTTAAAAAGATACAATGTAAAATTAGCAGACAGTCTCATATTCCACTTTCCATTCTGTTTAATATGTATCACTGGGATACTAAGAAAATCTCATTATCATACAAACAACAAAATGTTTTCGCGTTCGGACATTGATAATCTCCTGAAAAGATGTTGGCAGCCTTTAGCTGAATGACGATATTCGATGAGCTCGGCAATATCTTTCCAGGACATCTCCGGGTTGTCTGTTCTCGCCTTGACGACTGTCAACTTGTCTTCTGATGAAAAACGGGAAGCCATTTTTGGAAGGGAAGGATCTGACAAAAGGTGTGGCCACAATTTGGTATCGTTGGAGAGTAAGAAGAATAGCAATGTGAATCTCTGTATGAGAAACTGAAAAGTAGTAGGGCTATCCATTCGTGTTGTAAAACCATACTCATCTGCATTGTTTGCAATCAGTGCCTGTTGTCGTCGGCGCTTTTGTTTGTCAGATGAAAAGTGATCTGGTGGCTGAAACCCTTTCATAGCAACAGACCATCTTTCGATCGCATCAGAATGCAGCTTTTCGTCATGTAACCGGCTGTCATCAGTGGCATCGAATCCCTGGGGTCGGTACTGATTCAAAGCGTTTCGTAGTAGGTGGTGCTTTCGCATTCCTACATATCGCATCGCACTGGCTAAAAGAGAGGTGTTTTCATCGAGACTATAGAGCCACCTACGCCACGATGACTCACAGGATCGGTGGATATGCATATGTGGCGCTGGACAGTTCGTTCTCCAAAGTCTATCAATTTGTCTGCGTCGCTCGGTGATGCGTGGTGCATATTCGGCAAAGCCATAACTGCCATACGTAGTTCAGCGGCTTCGTGCAGGGCTTCACTTGTAGCTCAACGCACAACTGGTGGGTTTTGTCTCCGTCGCTTTGCACGAAATTCTTTTTCCACTTCTTTAACCGTTTTCAATGTATTGTACAGCAGAGCTAATCGATGATCCACGTTCCTTGAATCAGGATCGCATGCACGTCATAATCGTTGAATCACTTGGTCACGGGTGCAACTCTTCATCCTGGTGGCGTATTTAATGGTGAGGCCGCTAATAACAAGCGTGATAATCCAGGTGAGATCGAGCAGTTGAGTATTTAAATCTGTTGGGAACGCACCGAGTTCCTCAAAACTAGGATTAATATGCGGAATCACAGTGGTCAACTGATTGTCTGAAAGTGCAACTGAATTAGTGAGCCAGTCGTCGTTCAGCATGTGGCATAATCGAGGTATTCCGACATAATCGACAAATGAGTCGTTTCGTTGATTCAGAATGCCGCAGTCGTGTAGAAAATTCCCAAAAGCAACAGATGTGACTCCTCGAGAGAAAGTGACAGTAACAAGTGGTTGTATTATGCTCATATGGTGGGCGAGCTGTTGTAAAGCGGCATCGCGACTGTCTCGAACGTAGGTTCAGGGGAACAGGTTGACAAATGGAAGTGGCGTACAGTCAAAGGAAGTTTCGTCGTAGTTTTCTTCACCGCTACTCCACGCTTTTTGTCGTGCGAGGATCTGCCTTGTTAGCCTTCCTGCTCGCGAATCAGCAAAGAAGGTCTGTCTCGACGAATACAGTTTCGCTAACTTCTGAGCCAACCAGAACCAGAACAACGTGATTATGAAAGACGCGAGGCAGCGCTTGCTGAATCACCGTGTGAATGAGATTATCTGGTATCATATAACCATTCTTCGGTTGCTCGCTGCAAGCCGTTGCACTTCTTGAACTATCAATTGGCCCCAGAAGTCTAGTAGATTGCGACGAAAAGATCGGCTATTTGATATTTTTAAATCCTCGTGAAATGTAATCGCGAAGGTAGAGTATTCATGGAAGACTGGTGGGCCGGGCACATAAGCATTGTCAAAGCCACCATATTGCACATTTAAAAGGTTGTCGATTTCAGAGAAACCAATAGCGATACGCTCATTCAACGCTTCTCTAGACCGTGTTCCGCGATGGATCTCATAAATCCGCGTGTTGCTTAAGCGTTCATGTCGATCTCCAGTAGTATGCTGTAGAATTTACCGAGAAAACCACCAGCATTTGCAGCATCGCGTATGTGTTGCTCCAATGGCGGGCAACCAGTTACTACACCAACATACCGAAAGTACATTGGTTGATCCTGATGAAGAGCTGCAAGCTCCGCCCATATATCCGTCTTTAAGAATTCCTCGTCGTCCTCGCTCAATCGAGCAAGAATACCCTGAAATGTTGCCGGAGTGATAGTCCAACTACGAAGATATAAGATGGTGGTGTTGCGGGGTACTACAGCGCTTGTTGCTTCTCGTAGACCAAGGGCTGAGACGAGTGTGGCATCGTCGACAAGTGAGTTGTTGTCCATAATTCTAATAATTGTTTTATGGAATTGTCGCGACTGGTCATGGTCGTCACGAAGCAAGAAAGAGATTGATCCACAGTTGACGCTAGTAGTATCTTGTTGTACCTCGCACATGCGCTCTCTGACCTTACAAGCACAAGTTGCTCCACTCGCAGTGATGGTAAACGTTCTTGCAGTCGACCATGATGTGGAGACATTCTACAACACAAGTACAACGTATAAGTTTAGACTGCTGTGTTCGCGGGAGAAAACTGTGCTCTATCATTATCGAAAAAGCTGAAGCCATCCTTTTTTTCAGTTAGATGTACGTACATTCGATATGGAAAACGGTAAAAATAAAAAGAAGTAAAAGAAAGCAGTCATCAACTTACGCAAGCACTTTTAATTAGTAGGAACCATGAATACCGATTTATCACTGTATTACTATATAAATAATAAATAATATACCTTTACATGAACTTTTCTATCGCATATTTCTCACAATGGGCGTCAAAAATTTTGGCTTCATCAACACACTATAGCAGCGCAAGAACCAGTACATATTGAAGGCTACAGCGGAAAAATAGTGGGAGTCGATGCCTCAGACTGGCTGTACAGAGGGTTATACGCAGACGTTCAATATCCACGGGAGGACAAATGGACAGGAAAGCGAAGTATGTATATTACAATTGTATAGGAACAGATTAGACTGAAAAAGTATGTCGAGTATAGAAAATCAAGCACTGCATTTCTTCAAAAAACAGGTCATGGCCATGTTGCTTCAAGGTGTACACCCGTTTATCGTTTTTAATGGACCCCTTCGACCTAAAGCAAAATTAAAGACCGAATCAACACACCGTAGCGAGTAAGCGTTATTTCTGACAACATTAGAAATGATAATATTTATATCATTTTATTTTCTCAAGAAACGAAAAGAATCCACGACAAATCATACCTAAACTGCAAGAGGATTGCATCAAGGTCAGTAGCATATTCCTGTAATATGAAGTGAGTGCTGCTAATGTCCTTCGACTCATGTTGGCTGATTGTTTACAGTATCTCGAGGAGATTAAGGTGCGACATATTGTTTCTCCGTATGAAGCTGATGCCCAGCTGGCGTATTTGGCCAGAAGCGGGTATATCGACGTGGTTATGAGTCAAGACAGCGACATGCTAGTATATGGATGTCCTGCTGTTGTGTGCAAAATGAATCTTTTAAGAATGCCAAGAAGTAGCCATATCACAACAGCAAAAATGGGGATGGGGATTGAAGTGACGCTAGAGCGACTGCTAGCTAAGTGGAATATGAGCTTTGAATCCTTTCAAGATATGTGTATACTTGCAGGCAACTCCTATACACGTTCACTACCAGGAGCTTCTTTGAACACGGCTTACAAGGATATTATTCAGTTCGGCACCCTTGAGAAGGTAAGCTTGGGAACCGTCCACGCTATTTCTGTTATAAAAAGTGTCTTACACCGTAATAGGTTCTTGATAATTATAAAAAGCATGGATACTTGGATCAGCAACCTAATTACCATCAAGAATGCCTCTTGGCCAAAGAAACGTTGCGAAACCAGCCTATACGGCATTGTGGCTCATCTAATGCGGTGGTACCGCTATCTCAAGCAATTGAGGAATAAAAAATTTGCAAGCCTCCATTACCAGAATAAACTATTTCGTCATCTTGCTATTACAAACAAAAATAAATCGAATCAATCAGTGAGCACAGTTTTGTTTAAATTATTGATACTATTATTATGATCACCGGAACTACGGTTAGAATCAATATACCAAAAGTATTCTCACTATTATTATCATAATAAGTAAATAGCACAACATATTCTTTTTTATTTTAAGACCGATTCATTTGATCTGCTAACCAGCTAATAAACCCTTTGTCCAATTCTTTTATAGTCTGTTCATCCTCGTCGATTTCTTGACATAAGAATGTACATGTCACGACGACTAGAGGTAGATCTACCACCTTCCTTTCATTGAGTGAATAGCAACAGCTTCATAGTATATTCAGCATTCATTATTAGGTATTATAAAGAGGACTGATTACAGTGGACCCCCTTTAATGTCAACCCTCAAGTACAGCTGAAAGTCCTGACGCCAACGGGGGTTGACGTTGAAGGGGGTGGACTATTCAGACACAAAGTTTAACCGTATAGTAAAACTATTACGTAAACCAGCGTACCCGACACAGTATATGTATGCAACGGAGTCGTTCCTGACAATATATTTTCAACCAACAACAAAATAAACTCTTTTGCTTAGATATGTCTGACCTCAATAAGAAGTCAACCCTGGCCAAGGTGTTGACATTGACCTTATGTAGTTGAAATTTATCTCTGCTAAAATGTGAGGTTCTCAGAAAAAAGGTTGACGGTATCGGGGTTTGACATTAAAGGGGTTGACATTAAAGGGGGTCCACTTTATATTATTAAACAAGACCATCATATAAACTGAGGGCTTGTACAATTGTAGGGTCCTTCTTTGATCCTTCCTTGAACTCTGCCATTGTTAAAGCACCATCTTTATCCTATATATACATTTGAATATGTAAGAGTTATATTAAACTGGTGCAATATTTATAAGCTGTAGGATGTGGGGATGCAGTTTCTCGAGGAGAAAAGAAAAAAATAACAATAAACCCAAATACTTGCCAAATCCATCAAGTCAAAGATCTTTTGAACTCGTTTCTCGGGAGTGTCCTCGTCCTCAGGCAATTTTACCATGTTACCAACCATCTTGTAAATGGCATCCACAATACGAAGCATCTCGTCACGAGCTATCATATACGGCCATCATTGTCTATATCATACAGCTGTTGTTGTTGTTTTTTTGGTGCAAGACAGATAAGAGTTATTAAAACCTTTACTCTGATTAAATGACATTCTTTGCCATCATTCTTATACAGTATACAATACCTGAAAAGCTCCTGGATACATTTTGTTTAAAATGTTTATTCTTTGGGATTATGTATCTACTGTAGAACCTTGTCTTCGAGCATCATTATTTTTGTTACATTTCTAGCCCCGTTTTTCGGTGAATAATATATCCTATAACAGAGAAGAGGTATCGTGTAGACGATTATGATACTTATTGCTGAAGAAGCTTATCTTCTCTGGTCGTCATAATTTATGCATAACAGGCAGATTAACTATAAATTATTGTTATGCGTTGATGTTCACGATGACGAACCTCCGTCTCCCTTAGTATATCCATTCGTACTTTCTGTTGTTCTGGTACTCTTCCGCAAACCGATGAATTATGCTGCATTCTTTCGCCAATATACTTATATGAGCGGATTATTCTGAGCGTACTCCTCGGTCTAACTTGAATCAATTGGCAAGGTTGTACATAATACATATCAATTGTAATATTTCAAGTTAAAAGCACGACATCATGGTGTCAGATGTTTATAACAAAAGTACTTTTACATGGTTTGACAACAGCATCAGGATATTTCCATTTCGGAAAGCGTATTCGTAAGTTTACTCCCTTTTCCGATAAATTTCTGATCGCAGGCGTTCTACATTACTCCGCTTCTTCAGTATCGTTGTTGTCCAACCGTCTAAACGCTCTTTGAGAAAATCAGTAGCAGCTGAACACGCGCGCGTATGTGTGCGTGTGCAGATGAATAATGGCCATACATGAATAGCCCCGGCGGGCCTACTATGTCTCCGTGTACATAAGGGTTGGTACGCGTGTATCTTAGCGGAAGAGGCTACTCTAGTAGGCAATTGGGGCGTTTACAAAACCTGCTACGTACACCATTTTTCGCGCCGCCGAATTTCCTGAGAATGCAAGCGATTTTTGTCTTACACCAGAACAATTTGTCAGCATTGAACAAACTCTTTGCTGGGCGTACAAGGTATAAAGCAAAAGAGCATATATAGTCATATCTCATTTTGCTACTTACCCAAGACTTTTTTTATCATTATTTTCCCACTTTGTTTTTTAAATCGAAATCACTCACCATCACCATCGAGTGCTACCAATAGCAAGCCTGTCACTACCACTATTACTATATGTCTACAGTTTGTGGTCAGAACGAACGATAATTATCATACTCGTTCATTATATATAGCGTAGTGATATGCTAGGTGTTGCCGCTTTTTTTGCTGATATATCACTTGTCTCCACGACCTCGTTCTTTTTATATCATCAACTAATATAGCTGATAAAACTATACTTTACATTGGTACCACTTGCCCCTTTTCTCAAAGGGTGGCTATTGCCCTTAAAGAAGCCGGGATCGAGCATGAAACGGTGTTAATTGATTTATCGAATAAGCCAGCTTGGTAAAACTAATTATTACACATTATAAAAGAAACCTCACTGCTACACTAATTGAAATATGCTGATGGTTGCCACAAACCCTTCGTAATTGACTCATATAAAGGTATCAGGATGTTAGTATGGATAGAAAAATCCCGTCGCTCACCATTCAAGGCAGAAACCTTGCCGAATCGTCAGTTTTACTTGAGCTTATCAACGATTTGAATCCCGAGAAAAGGTATCCTCGCGCAGTTGATATCAAAAAAAGGCTCAACAGACATCAATGCTAATACTCTTAGCAACCTTTAAATCGATGAAAAGGTTGCTCCCGAGTGATCCTATCAAACGCGCTCAAACTCGCTTCATTGTTGAATATTATTGGACAAAGATTGCCCTAGTATGGTTTGGTCATTTCCACAATTTCAAGAACGCGGATCTGGCGAAATATGGCGACTCACTCAATGCCGCTTATGCCCGTGTAAGTTCAGTAAAACACGCGCACCCTATTGCACGTCATTATCCCAAATGGTAGTAGTAATTATAATAATAACACCTGTGGTACACCCTCCCAGCTCAATGAATTGTTATTGGAACAAGCACCATCCGGTCCCTACTTTCTCGGATCCCAATACAGTCTCGCAGACGTTTTTATTGCGCCATTCTCATCCCGGCTTGAAACATCCCACAAGGCCTTTTTGAAGGGCTTCCAAATTGACGCGATCAACAAATACCCTCGTGTCCAAGAATTCCTCAAGGGCATCACTGATCGTCCTACATTCAAGGAAACCTATCCAGGTGACGATCTTATCATCGAAACTTTCCAACGTGCTTGGAAGATAGTGCCATCTGCGGTCTGATCGACATCCTATTGCAATTATACAAAAAAAAGGGTTTTCATCTTGTGGGTGCTTTATGCATTCAACTAACAAAAAAAAAAGGAAATAAAAAAATTCTTTGTATTTCAACTGTTTTTTCCTCTAACATACCAACAAACATAGTTTTCTCCTGCGCTCCTACATTATTGCGTATTGCATACTAATGAACTGACTGTAAAAAATATATCGCAATTAAAAAAATGGCTTGCCATGAAAAAGACAAAAGAGCAGGAAGAAAAGGAAAAGTCGGCGGAGGCGGTCATCACCGGCAGTATTACAAAACATCTTTCAATGGATTGTCACGATAATCCTATGTCTTCTTCCTTTGTTGACGACTGTATCAACGCTGCCGCGGATCCATTTCCCGTGGCTGCTGGTGCTGGTGCTGCTACTACCACAGCAGAGCCCAATACTGGTAGTGGCAAGGTATTTGAGAAACCTCTCCGCTATTCCCCGTCGTCGTCGTCTTTGTCGTCTTTGTTATGCCGCCCGCCATCTTCCTTCAACTCTCAATGGCACAATGCATCGCCTCCCAACATTTATGGAGGGTTGGCTAAAATTGGAGACGACTCAAGCCGTAGCTCTGATCGAGGTAACATTGTAATTCTTGGTCTTACATTTGCGCCTTGCCTTTATGTAATACTTTATTCTTGTTGCTTTTCGTGGCCGTACTAGTTACAAAGTTAATAGCCGAAAGTCCACAAGTCAGGCTGTCGTATACTGTGCATGATTTTTCTTCGTACTGTGGTACATACCATCCTAATAGTATTCGCGAAAATAAACCTGCCGAACAGTCGTCGCGATGGTCATCGGGAACTCACGATCAGGCGCAATTCGTAATGTTACGTCTTGATAAGCCGGTAGTTGCCTGTATTGTATCTTATTTTTTCTGTTTTTATTCTGTGATCAAGAAGCTTTTTGCTCCCAAAATAGTTGACAGTTCTCAAACGTTTTATCCTTAGGTGCCATCACGTTTGGCAAATTCCATCGAGGTAAACATGGTTCTATGTAATGATATTATGCGTGAAAAAAAAGCCGTCGATGTGTAGTGATATGTACTAATGTAAGCAACAAAAAACACTAGCCCATGTATGTAACCTTAGAGAATTCAAGGTGTACGGCGGTATGGACACAGATGACATGGTGGAGTTGCTGCATACAGGTAAACAAAGAAATCTGCACGAGGGAATCCCTGATGTGTGATGCAGGCTAAGCTAACGTATGTAACACAATGGAAAAAAAAGGTTTGCAAAACAACACAGAACCCGAGTCGTTTTCTTTGCTTTATGCTCTGCGTAACCTGGTTAGGATTGTTCCTGATTTCCCTTGCTTTTATTTCGTTTTTCTTCATTATGGCTAATGAACAAAGCATTTCAGATATTCCCGGTGCAATACATAAAAATCGTTCCTCTTGCTACGTTTGGCCCTAATTTCAATTACAGTATCTGGTTTGTCGGGCTCAAAGGCCATAGCGATGAAAGAACCATGAATCAAGTCATGTATGAGTATCAGAATGTAAGTTGTATACAAAGGGAAATCTATGATAAAGTGGATCAAAACTATACTAATAAACATATAGTACCGAGAAATGGAAACGATCCGACTATGCTTGAAGCATTTTCGCCAAAGAAACATGATGGATATATTCTATCTGATCCAAGATCGAACCGGCGTTGAGCTCGAGAATTCCTTTCTCACTCAACTACACAAGCATCTTGTTCAAGATGCTGATTTTACAGCAGCGGAGCAAGTTTTGGAAGCAGCTCATGCACGTCATATCTTCAAGGATTATGCAGCAAATGCAGAGTATACGCCTATCTGGAAGCGAATATGGGCTACCAATGAAGGTGAGTTAAATAAAAGAGCTCTGCCATCTTGTAGTGAACCGCTGTATATTGTTTTAACTTTATCCAATTATATGCTACGGGTTGCTAGATGGTGATGCCCCATGCGGTCGAGGAGGTCACCAGATGTGCATTGATGTGGAAGAAGAAAAAATCTATCTGTTTGGCGGATGGAACGGATACTGTGATTTGTCCGATTTGTGGTGCTATCATATTCGTGAAGGTCGTTGGCGACTACTTAGTGCTGATACGAGAGAGTAAGAGAGATATGAACACACGCATATGAATTGTTGAAAAACCTGTTTTACAAAAGTTTCTAATTTAACGTAACAATCCCCTCTATAATTCAATCTACTTTAGTCAAGGTGGCCCTGGCCCTCGATCATGTCACAAGATGTGCTTTGATCCAGATACGAAATCTATTTTTGTTTTGGGTCAATTTGTTGAACCATCTGCTATCTTAACGACCAACTTGGACTCGGACTTTTTCAGATACTTTGTTGAATATGATCAATGGGTCAAGATCAGTGATAATACTGCGGTAAGCGGATATGTCCCCCATAATAAAGCGCCGGGGGAGGAATACGAGATATATACTTACGCTAATAAATCCTATATAGAGAGATGGGGGCCCTGAATTGATTTACGACCATCAAATCTGTATCGACTCTAAAACTTCTGAACTCTATGTATTCGGAGGACGAGTCGCATTCGTGGATCCAAATGGTCACAATTATGGCGGCTTGTACTCGTACCATATCCCTACAAACACTTGGCAGCTCATCCGGTAGGATTTCCTGAACCATTATGCAACAGGAACGATTGCGCAGACATATGATTTAACCACATGACATAATCTCAATATAGAGAGGATGGTGCAGCCAGATCAAGTATCTTCTTGTCATCTGGCCCGCAAAACGCGATGAATTTCAATCGGTTTGACGACAATGTACCACTAAAGTCACGTGTCGGTCACTCGATGCTATTTAATCCATGTACGCGAGGTTTGTACATATTCGCTGGCCAACGTGTCAAGGATTATTTGGCCGACTTGTACTGCTACACGATCGACAACGACCACCTCGTAGAATTGGCACCTGAGCATTCAAAAAGCTTTGGGCCCAGGGCCGGATTCACACAGCGAGCGACAATCGATCCGACCGCACAGGAAATCCACGTGTTTTCAGGATATCGCGTGCGGCAAGGATCCGATACAATCGTGAGTGAATTCTGGGTATACAACATTGAGCAAAATCAGTGGAAGAATGTGTACCAAACAGACAAGCGATGTGACGAAAATGGCAAAAGCGAGCGCCCTTGCCCTCGCTATGCACATGACATGGTCTACAATCCAGTCACCAAGACACAGTATATCTTTGGTGGCAATCCTGGTGAACAGCGACAACCACAGCTAGGCGCCTCTATTGAAAACGGTTGCAAACGGCTGTCTGATTTCTGGGCGCTTCAATTGACAAAGTACAAAAAAAAAACAGACTATATTGATATAGAAGACGGAAGGACAGGGATTTTGAGATATATTGACAGGTGTGTTTATTCTTTTGATGTAGGCCAGATCCTGCTGGTGTCTTTAGAAAGTGTTTGCTTATGCTTCGAATGCAAAGACTTGAGGAGCTATGCAAGCTTGCCAATCGACGAAGGATGGTGCCCGGCAATGTGTGTGACGAAACACTGCAAGCTTTAGAGTATTTGCAAAGCCAAGTTGCGGTTTTGGTCGACCATAATATTGAGGAAGAATCCAACCAATTTCATCAACTATGCGCGAAACTATGTCTTTTGCCACCAGTACCTCCATCATCATCATCACCATTATCATCATCGGAAATAACTGCTAGTAGTACTAGAGAGCTAGAGGAAGCGAGAGCCAGAGGTCGGTGAAGGTTTCTTTTGTATATTTGTGTATAAGCATGTTTAAAAAAAGTAGTTGTTATACTAACAAGCGTCTATTCTGCTTTGATTAGACGAGGACGAATCATTTGAAGAACGCACACAGCTATTTGAGAAAATACTGGATTACTTGCCGACAGAAATGAAAGAGCCATCTGGACAACTACTAGACGCAGTCAAGTTTGTCTAGAGCCTACATTATTACATATTAGAGATTATCCCCAACTCCTTCATTTTGTTTTGCCTAGTCCAACCCAGAATTTTTATCTTTTCGCTTCTCTCGCCAAAACAACGCGCACATACACACACATACACACACGCTTGTTAACAATATTACATATCTAAAAGGGAATTATATTTCCTCTCTTTTCTTCCCTTTGCCTCTACAATAACACCAATTAGTCGTTTTTTTACATCTCCGATAAACTACAGTCTTCTTCCTTTCACATCCTTCATTAGAAAAGATGCAGTGGCCAAATACAACAAAACACGTGATGATCGATGCACACATATGGATCATGATGACCGTGTGGATGGTCTTTGTGCCGCTGGCTGTGGGTGTTGCGGCATACGGCCGCCATTTTGATAAGCCCTGGTGGGCCAAGGCACACATGTTGATTATGGGATTTGGCGTCGCCATACCCATGACTGCCGCCGCGATTCTTGGTATCGTCGCAACGAAAGGATTTCTTCCCAGAGCCCACCTGGTAAGTCATTATTACGATTAATTGGATAGCAATGCACCTTGTCAGCGCTTTCTCTCTCTCTCGCACACACACAAAAGTGTTTATTACTTGAGTGAGTGTGTATATGCTGTCAGATATACCATCAACATCAACAAAATAAGTGATATATTGACTCTATATAATTAATTTCAGATACTCGGTACCATTATCATCCTCGGCGCATGGTTCCAGATTGGACTTGGAATTGTAAACCATATCATTTTCCGCATTCACGGTCGTGCCAAAGGTGCAAAGCGACCAGTACAGAATGCTATCCACGTGTGGCTTGGCCGCTTGCTGGGCATTTTAGCCATGATCAACATTCCGCTGGGTATGTATATGCATCATTCGCAGTTATCGTGGTACATTGGCTATGCGATATGGGTGACTCTATTATGCGGTGCATCTGTTGGACTGTTTTGGAAGATTGGCAACCACAATACGCAAAAGGAACAACGGCGAGCAGAGATTATGTTTACAGAAGAAGAATCGAATGGCGATATTGGAGAGAAGGAGAAACCAGGACCGGAAACAAAGGTGTCAGGCAACAACAATAGTAGCAGTAGTGGTAGTAGTAAAAATGAATAATCATCCACTATGATATCATTATTTTCCGCCATCGTCTTTGTTTGTTATATTTGTAGCTGTTGTTCTTTGTTGACTCTCTTATCTTTGTGTGCGTTCTTTACATCCCGATGTAGCCACGACTTGCGTAGTGCATGGCATTTTTCAGTAGATAAAAGTACATTCTACGACGGCTAGAGCCTAGATAGGTGGATGATTCTATATACTTTTCATATTCTTCGGGCGACATGCCCTCGATGTTTTCCCAGAGGTTCTTGATCATCAGTTCGACATGGTCGCCTACCACGCCATCCACTCCCAGGGCCAAGCACTCATGCATCTGCTCCACCTCGTTGATCGTCCAGGTGATCACTTTTTTGTTCAGAGAACGGGCCTCCTTCAAAAACGCATGACCGTCCGCATCTGCAAGTGCAGCAAAGGGTATGCTTAGATAATCAGCGGTATGAAGGAAATGCTTGCGGGCCGCAGCGAGGGAAAGGCCAATGAAGCAAATGGGAAACCCAATCTTTTGAGCTTCGGGCAAGAAATCAACGTGCCATATGCCAATCACCAATTGGCGAGCAAGGGTGTCCATGTGGTCACCAAATTCAGTTTTTAGTAGTTTATGCACCGCTTCCATGATTTCAATTGGGTTATCAAACTAATTGGATTTAGGGTTATCAGCAGCAGTTTAAACAAAGGGTCTTTCCCACAAGTGATATAACATGCGCCCATTCTTCCTCCCGACGCACATGCAGTACATACCTTGATGTCGATAATCATGTACATATTTCTGTCAATAACATCCTGACGCAGCATAAGCTTCACCACGTCTCTAAAAAGGGGTATAGGCTGCGGTGGATCCGACTTTGTTTCAAGGCCATCAATGTAACCATGATAGTTGACCTCTCCGATCTTTCCGTGGCCAGTCGTCGTACGATTCAACTTCATGTCGTGCATCATGATGATCTCGCCATCCTTTGTCAGTCGAATATCTATGTTGAGCGAAAATGTTTTGTTTAAGAGGGGGCAGCGTTCCCATGGCAACGAATTTCTATTACTCCTTTTTACCTCCTTCCAACGCTGTTGCCTTGGCTTCAACACCTTTTTCATACGACAACATGGTATTTTCGGGGTATTTGCCGGAATAGCCACGGTGAGCAATAACACCGGGTAAGTCTATTTTGCAAACATAGGATGTGCATATATGCAGACTTGATTTTAGAAACCTTGTTGTTTAAATTTATCTTTTGCTCAACCTTGAATTTCCCGGTACTTGCTTGGAATACTGGAGTCTATGGTCATATCCTTTGCTTGTTTTGTGAATAAAAAAAAAGTAGGAAAAGGGAAAGAAAAAAAATATCAACAGCACTACGCATTCAGGTCTAACTGAATTTAAATAAACGATCGGTCTCTGTCTCTCACTCTTCTTTGCGTACTTGGCAAGGTACCAAAACGCTAAAACGGGTCAACAAAATGCCAAAAAGGCACTGAAACCCAATCACATGCTATGCCTAATCCATGTCTCCGCAAAAACCGGACCGATATAAACCATTGATAACCTAACACTAATGATGCGTTTAAGAAATTTGAAAGGTAACACTCTGACGACAGAAGAAATTCTGTTTGGAAATAGTGACCAACTTGGCAGTTACATAACATAGTTCATCAGGTCGAGTTGCATAGCTCCTTATTGCTGAGCAACTCATTATTAGATGGATCATGATTGCATAAAGCGAGATCGTCGGTTTAAAAATGACGTATGTTGGCAAAAGATGATCGTAGATACTATTACATAAGCAGCAGCAGACGTACAGTTTAAGTTAATGTGAAGATTGAGAAGAATTCTTTATTTTTTATGTTGTAACAAAGACAAAAAAAAAGATGATGATTAGGATGGTTTTAAAGTGTTATATTTGTACATGCTTAGATCTTCTGCATGGCAGCAACATCGACGGACTGAACGTAGTCCTCGAGCTCGCAGATGGCATCGGTCAAGTCATCCATGGCAACCTAATAAAAGCATGCAGTCAATAAATGATGTTTCTTTACATACCCTTCCTTTCTCATAATACCCAAGTTGCACTTTTAAATAAAATTATCCTTTTACCTTGTCATCCTCAACAACGCAGTTGATCTGGAGCTTCTTGATACCATAGCCAACGGGGACGTGCTGGAAACCACCCCACAACAAACCGTCCATCTTGATATCACGGACAGCCTTGGTCATCTCATCAACATCAGTCTCATCATCCCAGGGCTTGACATCCAAGGTGACGGTGGTCTTGGCAAGAGGCTTGGGCTTAGCAGCCTTCTTGGCCTGGTATTCAGCGAGGCGCTGAGCCTTGATCTTCTCGGCCTCCTCATCAACTTCTTCGTCGTCAGAGCCGAAAAGGTCCATATCGTCTTCGTCCTCAGCGGCAGCGGGGGCAGCATCCCTTTATTTTTTTTTAAAAATAGAGACACACGAATCAATACAACTTGAACTTACAAGAGCGCAATCTCCCCACCACAAGTTCATTGCATCAATTAATATAGCAGCTAAAACTTACTTGTTGACTTCGGCGAACCACTTGCCAACAGCGGGGAACTCGGCAGAGGGAGCAGAGCCGAGGGCCTTGGCAACGGCAGCATCAGCAGCAGCCCTGTAATGAATGACAATGAATTGACATAAAAAAACGCGTTTAGTCGAGTATATAAAAATTAAACAGATTATAAAAAAAAAGGCAGGGCAGTAAGTAGATTCTGTATACGCACGATTCAACGTATTTGTTCTCGGCAAGGTAGCCTTCGAGAATGTGGAGAGCCAAAGGAAGTTCAAGAGTAACGGACATGACGTGAAGTTGTGAAAGAGGGATTCCTGACGTTACCACACTCAAAAAAAATTTTTTTTCTTTGCCTAGCCTTGCGGAACGAAAAAAAAAAAAGCGGAACAGCACCAGTCTGATTCCGCAGTAGTACAAACGTGCCCAACAGTTTGCCACTCTCAAGACGTGCATGATTCATTGATACCTGAGCATATAGTAACAAGGCCGAGACATAATACGGGTTTTATTTAAAAGTGTACTTTACTCTGATTTCACAAGAGCCACACTTGCTCTCTATGGTAATAAGCTGTACGTAGCAGCTCGTGTAGGTTGTGGTGCTCTTAAGAGCAGCAAAATAATTATCTAACGGTTAAAAAGATGTATATTTACGCACCTCTAGCATAATATTAACACTATCATTCTTAGTGTGATGTTAAGACTTTTCCGACGCACCGAACTACAGCATACAGGCTGAATTAAAGACCTGAGTATTCAACATTATAGGCTTATAAATCAATGGATTTGTCAGGTTTAGTACATATCAATACTGTACCTTGCTCGCAAATGTTTGGAGAAGGATTGTTTAATGCGTGAGACTGTGTATGCTATGATATTACTCTTGTTGAGTAGCCAAACACTCTTTCTATGACCTTGTGACTCAGGTCACTCTATTGCAGGCTAATATCCCTTACATAGTAGTAGCAACGAACGGGTTGATACTCGAATGTTAATCGCCCTAAAAAGGCACGAGTTTCCATCGCTATTGGTTTTGGATGCTTAGTATGATAGGTGTAAAGCTGGGCCAAACCTTGTAGTTAGTAGTAATTGGTAACAAGTGTGACACCACAGTGTATGCTTAGTAAGTACTTTCTATTCGATGATGCTTTCCGGTCTGAGCATTGGTGTATACAGCGACAATTCTTTATTCAAAGTGGTGGGAACTGATAGACAAGTGGTTAACCAGCCATTTCATCAGATACGAGATAACTCAGGTGGTGCATCGTATTGATAATTGCAAACACTCAGTACAGTCTTTATTATACTAGCATCAACAAGTCCCAAATGTAGTTATTTCATCCCACTTTTGTTGAATATGAACGATAGATGCCAATGAATTAATAAATCCACCCTAAACAAACTAAAATAAAATGACACACGCAAACTAGCTTTCTGTAAAAAATAATGTGCAATGGACCAGAGCTTTGTATGATATATTGGGTAATTTTCATTTATAACGGAAAAGTTTTAATTATATATGCGCGTTTAAAAGAATAATGAAAAAAAAAGGTTTCTATCAAGATAGAGACAGACGAGATAATAGAAAAAGGGAAAAAAAAGGAAAGAATTAATGCAAAGTGGTATAAACTGAACTGGAAAGTTTCTTGCAACTTTACATGACAAGGAGAAGAAGAAGAAAGAAGCACTATACATATTTTCGGTGGTAAAGCCGAAAAAATAAAAGGAGGTGATAAAAAAAAGCGGGGGAATAAAGGGCGGAAAAAAAATGACACAAAAGGGGGGGAAAGGTGTTTTGGAATACTAAGAAAAACGGTATTATAAAAAGAGAAAAAGAAATGCCTTTGTTCGAAACGGGATGAATTATGCAATAAAGGTGCCCTAGAACTTTCGCTTTTGGGCTGCAGAAAAAGGAGGTTGGGCGGTTTGGAGTAAAGGAAAGACACAGAGAAAGAGAAAGAGAAAGAGAGAGAGAGCGAGAGCGTAAGCGAAAGCAAAGAAAATAGATTTAGGAGTAAAGATGATAGATAGGAGAAGTGTGTGAGTGGATAAGTATATATGTATAGAGTGTAGTATGCGGGAAGGGATATCCTGCGTGTATTGCTCTTTTGGCGCTCTCGGTTACAACTTTCTTTTTTATGCTGCTGCTGCTGCTGCTGCTGCTGGTCTCTCCTTAATCGTTGCTACGGAATGATCTTGATGTGTACGAGTATTGCGTGTTCTGATTTTCATTTTCGTGATCCGGGGGCACCCATCCAGTTGAAGGAGCCGTGGCCACGAGGCTAGGAAGCATCACAGATGCAGCAAGTGCTCCCTGCTGCTTTGATGAGGGCTGGGTGGTTTCTTCGGAATGCTTCATGGACTGGATGCCCTGCTGGACGTCATCGTATGTGTTGCTCCACGACATGCGCTCGTTACCAGCCATGTACATGGATGGCACCTTTTGCGAATGACCGAGGTATCGCTCACGGGTAGTCGACTTGAAGAGGACAAAGGCAAACAGGTTGTCCGGAATAAGACGGATTACAACGCCAATGGGCAGAGCGAGAAGACCGACAAGGACGGAAATGGCCCAGTGGATGCCGTCAATTCGGACAACCTGGAATGCAGCGCCGCCAAAGTTGACGATAAGTGCTTGACCGGCGACACAAATGATAAAGATAATAACAAAGAACTTGTTGGCAAATATGTTGGTGAAAACATTGAGCTGGCTGTCGATGCGTCGGCAGCTAGTAGTAACACGGAATAGTGATTAATAACTAGCATTTGTAAAAATGAAAATGAAATAAATTTAAAATACTTACTTGATTTCGTTAAAGATCTGGCAAAAGACAAAGGTGTTGAACACCACAGTTTGCAAGACAGGACTTTCGGTATCATACTCGAGAACGTTGCTGTAGAGCAAGACTACGGTTACCACAATCTGGAAGATAGCTTGACCAAAAATCATCTTCCACATCTTGAAAGTGATCAAAGGTGCTGAGCGAGGTTCAGGTGCACGTTCCAAAAGTTCTTGTGTGGGAGGATCGGTAGCAAGGGCCAAAGCAGCGAATGTGTCCATGATCAGGTTGACCCACAAAAGCTGGACAGCCGTGAGGACAGACTTTTGGTTTGTACTGATGACCGAGGACAAGAAGGTAGTAACAACGGCAGTAATGTTGACAGTCAGTTGGAATTGCAAGAACTTCTTGACAGCGTCGTTGACACAGCGACCCCAGCTGATGGCCTTGACGATACTAGAAAAGTTGTCGTCCATCAAGATAATACTGGAGGCTTCCTTGGCAACTTCGGTACCGGCAATACCCATGGAGAAACCGACATCGGCAGACTTGAGTGCAGGACCATCGTTGGTACCGTCACCAGTGACAGCGACAATGTCACCGAGATCGCGCAAGCGAGTGACCAGAATACGTTTGTCTTCGGGACTCGAGCGGGCCAGGACTTGCAGACGAGGAAGAATGGCGTCCATTTCAGCAGGTGGCAAGTTTCGGAATGTGGGACCTTCCATGACAACGCCACCGGTTGTGTAGATACCGCATTGCTTAGCAATGGCCTTGGCTGTTACCAAGTTGTCACCGGTAACCATGCGAACGAATACACCGGCGCTTTGGCAGGCCTTGACAGCTTCTGTGACGCCATCGCGCAGAGGATCTTCGATACCAACGATACCCAAAAGGGTTACTCCCTTGTCGTGGACAATGTCTTCATACGGGACTTCGGCTGCTTCGCCGTCCGCATCGGGCATGGGGCTGCTAGCAGACTGTGGGGGCCATTGCTCAAAGTCGCGGTAACCGATACCGAGCGTACGCAGACTGCGAGAGGCGTAGCTCTGGATAATACGCTCAAGACGGGTGTTATCTTCCTGAGTCAAGCTGCGTGTTCGGACATCATAATCATGCGTGGCGGACTTGTAGTTGCTCTGCTGCAAGGTGACAATCTGGTTACAGTTCTGCAAAAGGATTTCAGAAGCGCCCTTGATGTGGACTCGGTAGATCGTGCGCTTGGGATCGTCTGGGTGAGGGACACGAACAACGGTGGCCATGGCCTTGCGCTCAGAGCTGAAAGGGAAGGCGTGCTCGACGGGATGGTTGTTGCGGATGGTATCGTAGTGATCCGATCCAACGTCACGCGAAAAGGCGAGCAGGGCGGTTTCGGTCTTGTTGCCCACAAAGACATCGTTGCCGTTCTCGTCTTTGCCTTCAAATGCAGAAGAGTTGACGGCAATGGATTGGTTGAGCATGTTCAGTACCTGCTTGGGTACCTTTTCAGCCACCTGGCTAATGTCAGACAGATCAGTGCGGTCAGAGGGAGCGTTCTTGAGGAAGCGGAACGAGCATCCCAAGGTGCCGGCGACGACAGCCATCTTGTTTTGTGTCAATGTGCCGGTCTTGTCAGAGCAGACGGTGGTAGCATTGCCCATGGTCTCGCAAGCTGCAAGCACACGCACCAAGTTGTTGTCTTTGAGCATGCGCTGAGTTGCATAAGCAAGGGCTAACGTTGAGAGACAGAGAGGGGAAGATAAAAAAAGTTAGTGTCACATTGAAAAAGCTCTATTGTTGGTCTTTGCGTTGCGTTGCACAAGCCATCAACAACTCACCAAGTGTAACAGCCAACGGCAAGCCTTCAGGAACAGCGACGACGACAATGGTGACAACGACGATGAGAATCTTCATGATATCCATAACGATATCGGTTGCCTGGTCGGGCACACCGTCCTTCCAAGTGACAAAGTAGCGGATAAGCAAGACGATAAGCATGAGCAAACCGACTGCTGAGCCAAGCTTGGCAATCATTTCGGCAAGGTAGTTGAGCTTTTCCTGGAGTGGGGTGCTTTCGGGTTCTGAGCGCAAGGCCATCATGGTACGGCCATAGTACGAGTTGGTACCGACACAAGTGACAAGATATGTGCAGACGCCTTCGAGCACTTTGCCACCCGAAAGGATGAAAGGATCCGTGTTGGCCTTGTGCTCGCCTCCTGCAGGAGCAGCTGGTTTCTTCAGATCGGAGCCACCGGCGTAGTCGTTGTTGGCGCCTTGCATTTGACGGTAGCAGGTTTCCCAGTTCTGCTTGCGGACGGCGTCAGATTCACCCGTAGCGGCAGACTCGTCACACTTGAGGTTGTGGCCTTCAATAAAGACACCATCGACAGCGACAATGTCTCCTGGTTCAAGATGCAGAATATCACCGACTTGGACATCGCGGACAGAGATCATGCCAATGACGCCTTCACGTGTAGCCTTGTTGTTTTAAATGACATAATATTTCGTAAGATTAGTATAGCTGTTATTACTACTACTTGAAGCATTTGCATTTCAACACAGAAAGAGAGAATGAAAGAAAATAGGGGGGGAGCTGCATGATTAGGGTTCTTTTTACCTTGACGACACGATCTTCTTTCTTTGCGTTGAGCTTGCGGAACTGGCGTTCCTTTTGAAAGTCGTTGACGGAACCGACCATAACGACGAGAAGTACAGCAACAATGATAGCGACACCTTCGACCCACTTGACACCGGGTATCCGGTTGCCCATGGCATCGTATTCTGGGACAGCAATGTCTTCATAGAGACCGACACCCAAAGAGACAATGGCAGCGACAGTAAGAAGGATCTATAGATAGATGCAAGCGACAATATATCAGCATGTCTGTCAGTTTGCATTGCATCAAGTAAACAAACAAATAAAACGATCCCTCTCTCTCCTTTCTAAATTAAAAAGAGAGGGAAACAACTAGCGCTCTTTGTTTTTGTAATTACCAGAGTTTTATCTTGGAAGGCCATCCACATCAGCTGGAAGATGCTTTTGGACTTGACGTCTGGTAATAAGTTTGCGCCAAACACATTGACGCGTTGTGGGAAAGCCGTGGTAGGCTCTGTTCGAGTGGCGCCGGTGGCAGTGCTCAAGACGGTCATGGAACGAGCGCGCGGTCGAGGCTCTGGCGGCTCAGACGGCGAGTCTGCTGCATTACGACTCAAGGGCATCACATCGTTTAAGGTGACAGGCGTCTGTATTTTAGTGTTAGGGACCAAGCCAGTCTGCAGATCGACGTGCAGACCCTTTGCGACGCCGTCAAGACCACCATAACTGTAGAGCAGCGGCAAGTTTTTGGGATCCATCAGAGCGGAGAGCTGATCGGGGGTGAAAGCAAAGAGATTGGATGGGTCGTTGTGTGGCGTGAGGTGGTCGCGCAGATCAATCTTGACACTGTCGTCTAACGGTGGTGGTGGCTGTTTTGGTGATGCTCCACCAGGGTAGCTGGAGGATTTTTCTTCTGCTTCTTCATGGAGGGCGGATGGAATGGGAGTATTAGCGGAGGGTGTTGGAATAAGAGTGGGGTCTTCGCTTATGAGAACATTCTGTCTGACTGAAATGGAGGACAGATGCCGAACTTCTGATTGCGGTGATGGCGGTGAATTGTCATTGGACGCCATCGTCTTTATACTGTTACTATAAGAGTAATGTGGGTGATGGTGGTTTTTTTGGAAAGGGTGGCCGGTTCAAGAAGAAAAACGAAAAAGACGAAGGGTTGCAGACGTTTCTTTTATCTTTTTAAAGGAGTTATTTGCTCGCAACTCACATAACGCATACACTCTCACATAACGCATACATACATACACACACTCGGCCAGCACCACTACAGCTAAGGCTCGTGCAACTGTCTCGGACGCAAGTAGAGTTTGGGGGGAGGGGAATGATGATGATGATGATGATGAGTATAGTTGCTGGACTGCCGGTACCCCCGGCCTGGAGTTGGGGGGGGGTGTGTGGAGGGAGGGAGTTGAGAGGAGCCAAAGAGGATGGAACTATAAGAAGAGGGAAGAGACGGGATAAGCGTGGGGGAGGGAAGGGGAGATGATTGTCCTAGAGCAGGACAAGGGATTAGAAGAGGCGCAGAAAGGGGGGGCAAAAGCGAAAAAAGAAAAGAGAGTCGAGCTGCATTGGAAGAGAAAGTTAGGGGTGTGGGGGTGGAAGGAAGGAAGGTAGACAAAGTGCCATCATCATCGGCAGCAGCAGCAGCCAGCAGCCAGCAGCAACAACACCACCACCGCCGCCAACATCCCATCCACACAAAGATTTTGGCCGCCTGAACTTATTGGAAGTTTCCTTGCATTCGGCAGCTCACGCACGTCGACGCAACCAACCGAAGATTTTCTTTTTGGGGCTGGTTGCATGAACTAAGCTTCTTCTTCTTCATCGTCGTCGTCATGAGCCCATTCTTGATTTCGACAGCTCAACTAACTGTGTCATTTGGCCAGCCATATCATATTGCTACGACGAGATCACTTAGCACCTGCTATGTGGCATCTACTAGCATCATTTGCAGAGAAGCGTCAAGGTAGAGTAGACAAAGGAATTTCTGGAAATATGCTTTTCGCATATTCCCTTTAGTAGCGATGCGCCTTCTTCCTCTCTCTCTCTCTCTCTCTATCATATGGCCTCAAGGTTTTAGTTTTGAGTTGCTCTATGCCGCCATCCAATAGATAGGTAGGCTAAAACCAGAGAGAGAGTAAAAAAAAAAAGGCGGATATGGCTGCATGTGGCAGAGATACTTGGCTGCCATCCATTCCATCACCGCCGCCCAAAACAAGCGGCTCACACTCTCCACGGCACCAAGGGGGGGGCGGTTTTCCATAAGGTCTCCTTAATCATCATGTTTGGGGGCGCAAAGGGATTAAGAAAGGACTTTCCACAGTGATAGATTCTCTCTATGCCAGTAAGGGTATCACAGTAGTTAGTGCTAACTACTTTAATGATGTTGAAGACCGGGATTAATCGTTTTTTTTTCCCTTTCCAATCGTTGCTTAATGCGATAACATGTCGCCGAGCAACAGGGACTCACAGCAAGAGGTACACTAAACTCCCCTTCTTCCTCTTGTTCCTTTCTTTCTTTACGAACGGCGATCACCGCCTTAAGTTTCGTAAACGCCTTTCGCTTTCTCGCTTATGCAGAGCGATAAGCTGCAGGTGCTCTCCAATCGAAGCAATAGTATCGTCATATCAACACAGCAGCAGCAGCAGCAGCAGCAGCATCCGATTTCCCCTTCCTTCTTGTTGTTGTTGTTGTTGTTGTTGCTGTTGTTGTCGCGGTTATTTCTTCCTCTTGCACTGTAAATCTCAGAGGGATCGACCGGCTTTTTTGCGACGTGGCAAAGCTATAATGACGGATCACAAATAAAATGTATTAAAAGCGAGACACATAACGCGCATATAATACACATTATACTACTACTAATCAAACTTTTTTCCTCCCCTTGCTTCCCCTTCTCTCCATTGCTTCTTTAGTACGATGTACATGCAGCATACAGTGCTCTCTCTCGTGTGTGTGTGTGTTTTATGGTCCATCTCTCACACTCTCTCTCAGGGCAACACATCATATAATATGTGGATGATGGAACACAACTTGAAACCGCCCATTTTATTTACACATCCGTATGATCAACATCTTTAATCATGTTACACGCACAGAGGATTTGCCATTGGAGAAATACTTTCCCCATATAGACTTTTTTGCCCTTTCTGCGGGACGTGTACCAGGCAGCCTAGTGTATCGCGTGCGGAATTCCAAACTGTCCCAATTTGGGATTCGATATTGACAAAAACAGCATGAATGAAAGCATTCTCTCTTAATAGCAATACAATAACATTCGTCAATTCTTGAACAAAGAAAGGAACTAATGGATTCTGTGTATTGTGCTCGATAGCATTCCTACCTTCTTTCTCTCTATCTCCCCTCTTCTTACACACACTCTCTCAATTTCTTTCTTCTCTTCTCCACTCCATTGTGTGTTGAAAGACGTGTCATCGTTAACTTTACCGGCTCTACTTTATAACATCAGTTCCTCTCCAACCACCTCCACTAACACCCCCTCCCCCCAAAATAAAAGAAGCCACACGACCCATCTTCATCATGGCACCCGTAAGTTTTGTTTTCAAGAGAATGTTCTGCCGTACACACACATAACATATCCGCGTATATACTCATCTCCGCTGTTCATGTAACCCTGGGGAAAATAACCAACCAACCAACCAACCAACCAACCGGCCCCTTCATCATCATAATCAACAAAACCAAACTGCAATATTGAAAAATAGGTACCTCGAAAAACAAGACAGCGAAACCCACGACAAAACTCAAACGTGTTTGCCACGATTGACAAACAGCAGTTGGAAGAGTTAAATCAAGCATTTCAGCTGATGGACGTCAACGAAGATGGTGTCGTGGATGCCGAGGACTTGGAGACCATCTTTGAACATCTCGGTAAACAACATACTTACTCCTCTTCCCCTCTTTTCCCTCCCAGCCTACTAAACACACCCCGCGCGCGCTCTTTCATCCTTTTGTCTTTATCTGCTACATGAGAAGAAACGGGAATTAGGTCATATAGAATTTCTCACGCAATAACAACATCTTTTATTTCACAGGACAACCCGCGACTCCTGACCAGATCGAAAAGATGATGAGCGAGGCTCCCTCCGGCTCATCTCATATCAACTTTATGGTATTCCTGACCATGATGGCAGATAAGCTGACTGGCACCGATCCAGAACAGGTGATCATAAAAGCTTTTGCTGCATTTGACGACGACGGCAAGGGTGAAATCAATGCAGATTACTTGCGAGAATGCATGACGACCATGGGTGACCGTTTCACAGATGAAGAGGTATTGAAAAAAGAGCAGTTTTAAGATAAAGTGGATCGATTATGTCCACAATCCCATTTGATTCAATAATAGGTTACTAAGACGTGTCTGTTGTTGTCATTCCCCCCCTCCCCTCAAATAGGTCGATATCATGTTCAAAGGAGCTGCAATAGATGAACAAGGGAATTTTGACTATAAGGACTTTGTAAGAGTCCTCAAACATGGAGAATAAATAATGAAAGGGAATAATTCTCCTAAGTGTGTGTGTACATACTGCATAATATGCAATCAACTTTTTACTGGCATTGAAATCTAATGGTCAGTAGTAAATCCATACCATCTTGTGGTATTGTGTTGTCCGAATTAGAATTTTCCAAGCATCCATTATAATGTGATTTTCACATTTCCATACTCAGCTTTTGCTTTCTTTTACAGACACCGCAGGTTATGCTTTGGGTGTGTGTTGTGCATAGTGCTTGCATAAGTATTGCAGCAGTAGTAATGGACTGATTTGCTCTCCATAATCATCATCATCATCATCATCATCACCTGGTTCATTTGATAACGCCCAGCATAGTGAAGAATACGCACAAGGGAACATTATGTAATGATAATGATGATCATGATGGTTTCAGGGCGATTAATACTGTTCCCCCCACTCCCCCGATGAATTTATCCATCTAGTCGTTTTTCAAGATCTACATACTACTAGCTGTACATATTATTGCGACGAACTTCGAGACCTTCTCCTTTTGCTTTTTCGGGCTGTCAATGCTGCATAACAATGCAAAGACAAATCTGTTGATAAACGGCATACACAACAAGCCTGCTCCCTAAAACAATACGGGTTATTTTACAACCTTTTGTAAAAAAAAAAAAGCTATAAAAAGAACTAAAAAAGAAACATAACATAACAAAGACGTGTGGTCGGGCGTTTTAACATGTATAAACAGAAAAGCAGCTCAGCGCAGCATTCATAAGAGCGCCTTGTAATACCTGTAATATCTTATGCCGCATCTTCTTCAGGCTTATTTATATTATGCATTTTCGATTGTATAGGCTTAGCACATAAATAATTCTAGTGATCTATTAGTAAACGGTGCTTTTTGTTATCATTTGGTTACATAAGCACTAAGCATTCTAGGAGACCCTCGTGGTGTTTGTACGATGATGATGCTTTGGTAAAAAAAAAATGGGAATAACATGTGCTGTTGTACATGGCTATTTCAAAGTTGTCGATGCTGCTATGACCACAACACTCAGCCGCGCCATTGCAACAGAAGCAGCAAATCTGATATTATAATTTATGATGTTACCGTGGCGGAACGGGTTGCCATCGCATCATATACATAGCGACAACTTTAATACGCCCCGATGGAATCCATAGTTACCATGTAAGTTGTATGTTGATCATCATTGCCCAAGGGAAGGATGTGGCGGCATTTGCTATATGTAAATATCTGGGGGGAGGGGTTCTGGGGGTTGGGGCGAAAAGGGATGTTCAGGGATAAGGTGGTACAGACCTGTGTTACTCCAAATCTGTCAAGATATAAATGAATTCCACGAGATCACAAACAAATGATGTGCCCAAATACTGGATGCAAAGAAGGCGACACAAAGTGGGAAATACTATATCTTGCTAACAACTGATATATCGTGTGTCTATACCGAAACTCGTCCTATCTTATACGCTCATCGGAAGTATAACTGGGCTGACTTACTATTTGAATGTTATGCCGCCATGCGTATCTAGGTACGGATCTACCTTTCTGATACGTGCATGTCATAGGCAATTGGAAGCCGCTCCCTTTTCCTCAATGACTTTTTTTTTGGGGGGGGGGAAATATGTAAACACATCGCACCTTCTATGTAATGCGCGATATGCTTCTCTATTTTTGGCAGGTACGTCAGCTTTCTTCTTGGGGGGGGTATCGAGGGCTGGAGGAATGGGGCTATACGGAAAGAATCTAAGGAAAGGGCGAAAAAAAAAAACTTAAACTTTTCTTTCTATGCATTATAGTAGTAGTAGTAGTAGTGGTGGTGGCGGTGGTGGTGATAGTAAAGTATAGTGTATATATTGCGAGAATGACATTATACATAACATTTTGTAAAGAGTGAATAAACTTTGGGTAGCTCACATATTACTCCTGAATATGTATCAATTAAGAACGAACGAGGCGAAGTTCTGGCTTCTTTCTTTTTGTTTCTACACTATGAATCCACTGATCACTACAACACAGACAACTCTGAACGGAGAGAAATTCGTTATGATCAAAACAGATGCAAATGTTTTGTAGTACATGATCTAATAGAAAAGAGGCGCGGTAGAAATAGGATGATTTGCTATGGACAGAGATGAAGAACAAGGATAAACGCTAGACCGCAAATGCATAAACAAGGCTGTAATGAATTTTCGCCACAGGTAAAGATATACTCAGCGGCATCAACAAAACATTGATATTGCCGTTTTTCGACAAGACTACTACTACGAAAACTCAAAACTAAGCTTCTTTTTTTTTTTTAAGGAGTACAAGCAGCATGCCGATTACGTATACATATATACTGCTCATGATAGCATAACCATTTCCTATACACTCTCTGACTCTCAGCGCAACTTAGTTGTATGCTATGAATCTTTTTATAAAAAAAAAAGACTTGCAGCGGTAACAAAAATTCGACACCCGCATTAACGCAGTTCTATTCCTGCTGCAGCCTGCCCCATCAACGTCGGTTCGTTCTTTTTATGCTGTGCTCATAATAAGCAGAAGCTATCTTCTTGCATTTAGTTTCTTCTTTATTTGCGGAAAGGGGATCTTTATTCCGTTTTCCCGTGATCAACCTAATAACAAAGTCTGCTATGAAGCCCTTGTTGGCTCGAACGAACGGAGCCGATGGAACGCACAATATATATATGCTTAGCTCCCGCAGGTGGAGACTTGATTAGACTAAATGAAAAGTATAGGAGGAGATACTTTTGCTTGTTCGACACAAATATTCATCCAGATATTACCCTTTGTGCTACGAACACCTGTACATTGTTGTTCCTTTTTAAGAAATGCATACGCTTTTGCTTAAAAAGTATTAAAGACATAATTCCTCTTGAATCAACAGTACTGGTTTGCAACCTTCGAAAATGGTAAAAGATGAATTTTTATTTGGATGTGTCTGTGCATACCTTAAATTCGGCAGTCCATGTAATGACCAAGATACTTGCCTAGCCACGGGCCGTCGTATAGTCAAGCAAATACCGAAAGAGACTATGGCAATAACAGAGTAGTCCGTGAAGAGACGGAGGTGATGTATAGCTCAGCCAGTATGATTCGCAGCTAGCAATGTGGCACCTAGTCACTGCACAGGTTAAAATGTTCTGGTCAGTGGTATAAGCCTGATTAGGTCAAAGCGTCCCAAAGCACAAAGTGTTGACTGCATTATCTAGAAGCATTAGGCTTTTACATTGCTGGAATGCAATGCAAGCTAAGCATTACAGCCTCGTTCACAGGTTTCAAAGGTTTTACAGCAGCTTTTTTGATAGGACTATTTCTTACCAAAGTAAAGGTCGAAGCATGAAAGATAGATTCGTGTCTGCTATCGTTGCATGTATCCTACTAGGATGATTATGCACAGTAGGATGGGCTGGAGAATTTTGCACACTCAGTACGTGTAAATTTGCATGAGGTGGAGGAGACAGACGCTTTCCCTCCCCTGTTTGCGCCAATGAAATCATCAAACTTGCTTTTTGGCCTTTTCAGATGATTTTTTTGCTCTGAAAAGCTTCTAATAACATGGAAGGTTTTCGCCACAGTTTTTCTCTTCTTCTTTGCACTTTTGCTGCTTTTCCTCGACGGGCACCGATTTGATGGGCAAATTTAGCTGAGGTCTTTTTCAAGTTGCGACAAACACTCTCCCAGTATACCGTTGACTATACGACGGCCTCGAAAAAGTAGGTTGGGCTTGCATCATATCAGGCTCCAGAAGCCAGGCTCTGATTATTGTATGGACTATCTTAAAATATGCATGTCTCTAGAAAAATTTGCACAGTTGGTTGGAGCCTCCCATGTTTATTGAGCAGACGCAAATATTGTAAAATGCACAAGTGGCACAGTAGCACAATAATGCGGCAGTAACAAACCATTACCAGTATAGTATGTGCACCATCTACAGAGGTACCAGGAGTCATCATACAGCAGTAAACAAATACGTTGCTGCCGTGAACATGACACATTGCAGCATGATTAAACGGAGAAACGGCTGGATGATGCTTGATCATCACTTATTTGCATGTTCAAATTCTCGGGGGGAGAGGAGAAGGGAGGGGACATAACGCTTTTTGATTATTTAACTTACTAAAGATCCAGCACACCAACGAGGATTAAACATGTAAAGTTATGCAATGTGCTTGTTATTTACCACACCTCGCTTAATTTACAGATTAGGCTTGTGATATACATGGTAACACTGACTTGAGCCTTTTATTACTGTTTGCAAACAGCACACAGGCTGTAATTTTTAAAGGCTGCAACCGAAAAAGCAAAAGGTTTGGCTATTATATTACGACCTCTCGCGCTTTACATGCTTGGCTTTTGCATATGTACATGTACCTCAACATGGCCATAAAACAACAAAACAGCATGGTCTATGCATTGATTTTCTCGTGGGTCTACGATTACTAAAGGTGAAGGAAATGTGCGCTGATATATCTGTAATATCCCTTTATTCTTCCTTGGTCACTACCTATTGTATTCGGCCCTGATCCTGGAGCGAGCACATCGCGCAGCATGCACGCACTCGTCCCATGAAACGTGGCACGCTTTAATAAAAAAACACACATAACAGCATAAAATGAAAAAGAGTTACCGATTAGCCTGTTATTAACCGCATCGTGCCATGCTTTTGGTTACCTCCTTTTTTTAAACTTTGAGTTGGGCTGAATGAATCGCACTGTTTGCGTTTTGCAAGGAGCGGCTGGGTGAGATTCAGCACTTAAGTTCCTACACATGATAGTGGTTATTTATCCAAACCTAATGCAACGCTAACCGCGCGGTAATCACAAGCTGGCCGAAATGCATAAAGCTTCCGACATGATAATATACGCTATGGACAACTGTATGAACAACTGTTACATGGCTTGCCCTGTTCCTTTCAGGTCTCATTCCGATTCATGGTGCTACGACCACTGCCTACAGATTATTAATGTTTTTCTTAATATGATATGGTCCCAAAGCAGATCCATTTCTACTATGCATGATAGCAGCTTTCTGGAAATTATATGCGCCCCTTGGATATAGTTTTAAACCTTTTAAGCTGGAAGCTCAGAGGATGGTACAACCCATGTTGTATGTACCGCAGCAGATTATTGCTGTGATGACCAAAACCAGGTATTTCAGCAATTCAAAGAACAACGGTAAAAAGAATATCGAGTCGATATGTGTAGATAGGAACAACTAGTGGGGACTTTTTCAATTAACACCAGCGGTGTGTATATTTTTCACTATATTATCTTTGGAGAGAAAGATATACTTTTTTATGTAATGCTATATCAAAAAGAAAAAGGAAGATAGAGAGAGAGTGTGTGTGTGTGTGTGTATATAAAAAGACAGATGGGAGGGATGGGAGACCTTGAACGAGGAAAAGGAGTTCTATATTTGAGCAAATCCAAAGCGAGAGCATTTCCGCATAGGCGTCTCAAATAAGCTTCCCGAGGAACGCAATATCTGATGGGTGAAAGGATTGAATGTGCCGGTATAAGTGTGAGTAGGTGTCGCGTTGGTGAGGAATTCCAATGGACTCATTGTGAGCTTATCGTCATCCTCCTCTTCGTCGAAATCACCATTTCTGCTGAGAGGGGGTGCTTGTTCACCGTCTTCATGCAATGCGCTCACGCCAACAGGTGCATCCTCGCCATCCTCATTTGCTTTGTCATGGGTTGGCAGTACCTCGCCAAGCGCTTCACCCAGAACAAATCCAATCAGGCCATCATAGCCGTACCGTGCTGCCATCTTATTGGTGGCAGTAGTAGGAGTATTACTAGTATTGTCCGTTCGTAACAAGTCGCCAAACTCCTCTCCGTTGCCGGCAACGGTCACCAGATCAGGCTCTGTGGCAGTAGATGGCGTTGCAGGACGAGATCCGCTACTGCTCTCGCTCTTTTGATTGAGTAACTGTTGTTGCTGCTGCTGCTGTTGTTGTTGTTGTTGTTGTTGCAATTGCTGCTGTTCCTTGCGCTTCTTCTTATCCTGTTTTCGCTTAGCTGCATTAGCAGCCTGCTGTTGTTGCTTTTGAGCAGCAGCCGCGGCCACAGCTACAGCTAATGGTGGACCAAAGTTATCAGGCGTCAAGGATCGTTCTGGAAGGACACCTGCTGACCTTAAGATTGGCGTGGATGGGCCACTTCCCGCCTTTGCCCAAGATGCTGTTGCCGGCAACGCTGGTCTGTCATCGTCAACAACATGATCGCTCGCGCTCACCGATGTTGCTTTGGGGTGGGATGGATCTGGACGACTGCTTTTGTACGATATTGTGGCCACGGACTCCAGCGTTGCCGGTTTTCGTGCAGTGCTCGAAGAACCACTACCACTACCACCCATGTCGCTGCTAGATATAGAGCTGGATGAATGTGTGTTGCTGATGTGAGTTCGGTGTTCGGCATCTGACGACATTTGATCCCGCATACGATGTTTTCTAAAATTTAAAAACAAAAAAAATCTTCAGTAACAGAGATTCATCAACTCATAAAAGTATACTTGTATGAAGTATAGCTGTCTCCCTCTTCCTTACCCAGTCGCCAATTCTTCCTTGGAGATGGTATCCGCTTCTTCCCCAGGTTCATGCAGATACAAACACGTGGGATTTGGACATGTCATGTTTCGTAAGTAATACGTGCAATATTTGGTTGTACCATACGACGCTCTGCCAATCACATCCAAATTACTGGTCAGTATCTTCTAAAGCTCGTATATTATGAATCACGATCCACAAAATAACAAAAAGAATCTCGCTCACCTTAATATCCGCCCAGCCATCACCGTTCCATCAACACCGTGTATTGCTTTGGCAGCATCCTCCTTGCGCTGGTAGGTCACATAGATTGCCGCGCTTGGTTGCATTGTCGTTGCACCTGTAGCAGTTGCCGTTGGCGCTACCGGTCGCTTGTTGATTACCACCTTTGCAATTTTACCAAATTGACCAAAGAAATCATTCGACCGTATTACCTAGATAATTGTTCCCATTTAGTAAACTACTCCCTCCATCAAAAAATCAATGACTCTCCCAAAACTTACGTCTTCAGTGGCAAGTTTTGGATGTAAGCCAATAATGTAAACCAAATTCTTTTGTACAACACGCATATTCGCAAGATGACGTCGATTTGCCGCTTCCATATCTTTTTGTTGTCGTTCCTTTTCCTTCTTTTCACGTTTAATACGAGCGATTCTATATTATTTAATATATGCAACACGTGTTTTTGTTAGGGTTCGTTCTCATTCTTATTATATACAGTTTAACTAGTATACAACTTACTCGTCGGAACTGATTGGCTCAAACTCGGCCATTTGATCAGAATATTCTCGTCGACTATAACAATTTTGCGTCAGCATAAATTTCACATTAAACATCGATCGGCCCTCCCCCCTTAAACTAATCTCTCATTATGGAAAAAGTGCCAGATTTCCAAAAGGAAAGAGAAAAAGAACAAGAAATTTACCAAGCTGGGCATCTCCCATTCAAATTCTCTTTGATGTGGTGCCAACAAAACCGACAGATCTTTAAATATATGGTAATGGTGGCTCAAAATTTTAGCTTATTTTTTCACAATCTCAAATTATACACATTAACTTTCCCAGTAGTTAGGTTACCTGATAGCCACAGGTACAAGGCTTGAAATTGCGATCAGCAATATCAAGTTCCTCCATACAAAGGGGGCATTCATAGTCGTCTTCTTCGGAATCAAGCATGGCACTATGTGGAAAGTAAAAGAAACTTGCAACTAGAAAGCGGGATTTGGAGGTGTGATACTCCCCTCCTTGTTTAAGTTTAGCTGGGAGTCAAAGTTTCACCCACATTATCAACTTTCGTATGATACTCTCATTACATTATCTGTTAATATTCAATACAGAGAAAACTGCAGATATAACAATCATGCAAAACAGGTACTCTCTTTGTATGCTATCAGCGTCGCTACTAGCGTATCAATTGCACAGCTCGGGTTTCCTTACTGAGCCTCATAACTCTAAAATAAGCTATATGTTGTACCACATTACTAGGTCATGTCGTCCATCAGAATACACATATACTACATATCAATGTGTAGTTGTCTACACTAGCAGCTTACTCGTTGACGACAAATATAGCGTATAAAGCTGTACTCGAGTAATGCAGTAAAATCAATCGATGATACAAGGATACGTTTACCAAACTCCATGAAATCAGTGCCTGGCGCTGGATCACTTTCGGAGCAAGCCGTCCACCCGTTTTCGTACCTCTTCCACCGACAAGATCGTTTATGAAGAGTTGCTCTAGCAATATTTACAGGAAGTACATTTATATACAACTTTTGCTAAAGCGTTGTACTGGGCTTTTAGTCCATGATGAAACAATGTACTGAAGTATGTTTTATTGGTCATATCCTATGTTTGTATGTAGTTTTCAATGCTGAGTTGTCGCCTTGTATCACGATAACTTTCGGATTTTCTGGATGGATCAACAGAATTATAAGCGTCCCCTTTTTACTGCACTTGAGTGAACCTTATTGGTCGAACGATGGGACTTCCAGAGTATCTAGGTGATACGTTCGGACTAACTTAGATCATAAGAAAGTATATCTGCCATTGAAATGCAAGCTACCTACTGTATAGAAATAAAACAGTGCGATACTCGAAATGTGGAGTATACAAATGATAAGGATATCGGCTGGGAGTAACAGGGGAGATTCAAAGAAGGAAGCCGAGTTGAGAACCGGGTACCCTAGTAAATGCTGGTGGATGCCTATTCACTATAATATAACAGACGCATGAATATTTAACTCCCAGGACGACAGGCTGAAGTTTATGCATCCGAGTCATTCATTCAGCTTTAAACTGTAGCAGTTTCCTCGGCAGCTATGATATGATCCATTCTAAAGAATCAAAGCAGTAAAAAGAAAGATACCAGTACTTTTCCTCGGCGGCTTTTTTCTACCGGCTTTTAAAAAGAACTCAAGCCAGATGAACAGAGCAAAGTGTTGGCCTTGCCGAGAATCTGACATATGTGGCAATTCGCTCTGGTTGCATGGCGTCCAAAGGAAAGGCTCATCAGCACCACGATTTAGTCTTGCCACATCCATACATCCGTCTTCCATTTGGTTTTGTCACTACAGTACCCACACCATTATATATCTTTCTCCAAACGTTATGTTAGACAAATAATCAGAGGTATAAGTTGACCCTAAAGCAAGAAAGAACCGACTTGCTAGGCAGCTTTCCCATGATGTGTTGTCGTTACAGGTGTGTCCATAGTATTAAAATCAAATCATAACGTCAACAAATTCCTAAGAACAGCTTTCTATAGTCGCTTGTTCTTTGTTTCAGGACATAACTTTCTTCGAATATAGTGTAATAGTGTCCATCGATCTCTATGCGATACCTCATAACCAACAACCTCCGTTCGTGTGTGTTGTTAAAAGAATTGAACGATTGCTAAAAATTTGTAATTATTTACGCACAGCAGTTTGAATTGTTTTTGTTTTAAGTATAACATTCTACAATAAATTTTATGTGATAAATAAGTGATACTTTGGATTTGGGTGCTCATATCATTTTCTTGAATAAAGGTAAAAGTCGTTAAGAGTAGTGGCGTGTTATACAACAATCACAAAAGATTACGAGCAAAAGTTATAAAAGGGTCAATGTAAACGACAACCAGAATGATTTGATGATGAAACTTATGGTACCTAAAAGATGGCACATTACCTGAAAAACAGGTGTATTCTGTTATTCATGAGTAACATTATTGACGTGCGAGTACATAATACTAAGTGATGACACTCATCTTTACATGTGCATATTGCTTTTGGTAAATTGCTCTATGAATAAAAGCAATGAAATATGTACTAGATCTTATCGTATTAAAATTTCCGCAAATCACTAGGCTTCCAACGTACAGTAGGTGTTAGCATAAGCTACCGACAATAGTAATACAGTACTGTAAGGACACTGCCGTACTTCGAACCAAGAGACTTTGCGTTAGTATTAGCTATTTTCCTCGTTATCAACCTATTACTTCTTGTAGACGATTTCGGCCGCCAAAAAGCTGATCCACTTTATGATCTCATGGCGCTTTTTGATGATTGTGCGTTGCATAAATTAATAACGTCGATAAGTAGTCTTGATGGGCTCACACCTATGGCTTCATTTGAAGTAACAGATGCTCATGTACATTTTATGTTTGTCATAAATTCAACATTCCCTCATTCTCCTCATTGATCTTGTCTTCACACAAAAAAAAAGAGTTTTTAGTTTATCCACTGCTTCTTAAGTTTCTCCAGTGTGCACAGGATAACCTAATGAAAAGTATTCCCATCGTTAAACTCTGATTAATTTAGGTCCAAAGCTGCCTTTACAAATCTCATACAGCACACCATCCTTTCACTTCCTGATTGCTTGTGCAAGATACGAGATAGTGCAGGCGAGCTGGGAAATTTGCAGACATACCGAAAGAAATACAGACATTTTTGTCGCAATAAAGAGGTAAGGAATGTTTTGTATTTACTTTGAAATAAAATGAAATGACCATCAACACACATATAACATATAATGAATTCGATAAGGAAGCGAAGACGTTCTAGGTAACACGATCACCTTCGTTTTAAGGCACTACTGTCGCCTAAAAAAGTGTTAAGGCTGAAAACTGTCACGTGAGACCTATTTTCCCCTTTCTCTCTATTATTTCCTCCCGTTGCTTTCAGCACAAGAATATCCGCAAAAGAATTTGCTCAAGTTGGGTAAAGGGCCCATGTTCGTTCTAAATCTCCAGACTTTTGTTGGCATCCATCCATATTTTTCTCACACCCTTACCTTTGTACTAATAGAGTCCTTGTGACCTCCTCCTCCTTCTTCTTGCGCTTTTTCGATAAAAAATTGTCGTACGAGGTTCCAAGTGGGATAATTTTCTGTCTATACCGCGTTTTTTTCCTTTTTTTCTTTGGAGTGAGGTTCCATCGTCATTGATATGTATAGCAAAACATCATCAACCTCTACTTATCATCACAATTCACCCGTCAGTTGACATCCGGATTTGTACACTAACAAATTCTCAGGGCCCTCTCAATTTAATATTCGATAGGTACAAATTCCCCGGCACCTGGCACACAGATAGTCCAAAGAAAACAAATCTCACTTCCAGGTTTTTGGACTTTGATCTGTCGATCTTGCCGTACCACTGTATATGACGACGACATTACCATGGTAACTTGTGCTGTTTTATTGCTAGGCTAACTAGGCTTTGCTTATTCAGCAGGAGCACCAGCGGTTGACAGAGCTGAAACCAGTAGTCTTTTGAGGTAAATCCCAGAATCAATGGGGATTTTCTGTGACCCCACATGAAAGATGAAGAAACAAGATATTACTAATCAACATACCTATCGGAAACATCAGGAATGTAATCTTCAAAACAAAGCGATATGCTAAATGTGGACGACGCAAGTGGTATTCAATGGAGCTCGAAAAGTCGAGGATACCGGATGGGAGCAGCAAAAAAATGGGGAGAGCGGAAGAAGCAGAGATTTTTGCTTTGGGTGTCTTTGTTAATACGCACGGCTACCAGAATTGGACTATAAATTCTATTCAGCGGGTCGATCCAAAACCGAGTGTGCTCTGCATTTCAATGTTATACAATATTACCATATATGGACAAAAGACAGTGCCCGCCAGATCAGGAATAGTTGTTGTAAGTACATATGCGCGGGCTTCGCTTTGTCCGAGTTCTCACACACAAAAATCCATGGGTTATTATAGTAGATGACGAGGCCGAAGATGGCGGATGAACACGGAGGATTAATGATGCAGTTGTGAAAACAGTGATTCCTTCAATTCTATTATCACTATGCTCTTGTGAAGCGTGCATGTGCGTGTGTATGTATTGCTTTTCTATGTCTCGCTTGATGTCAAATCAGGTTATGTTGCGCCCGCACTTACTGCGAAAAAAGAAAAACTAACAGCCTCACTACCCCACATTTTTACTTTCGTGGACCTTGAGTTCAACCCCGCATGAGAAAAAAACAGCCAAGCTTGTGGGCCGATACCTTTGCCACTTGTGTGTGGTAAGCCGGTGGTGCTACTTCTAATGCTACTAATAGCTACTGCAGCTGCAGCACTAGCTCCTGAAACTACTGTATACATCTCCAGTGCAGATAAAAACCTGTCGATTTTCTCCTGATATTGGACTTTTTCTCCTCCCTTTTTCTTTTCTTAATTTGACTGTGTGTTTTACGTCTTTCTTGCCCCCTTTCCCTTCTCTCCTGGTTGCATCCGATAAATGTCGACAAGTCATCCAGAGATTCCACAGTCAGCCTACGACGAGGGGCTGTTTATCCAGCCCATCGCACCAATCGGCGGCAGTCTTGTAGGATCGTTCTTTGTAGGCGTCATTCCCCTTATCGTCGTCTTGATCATGCTGGGTGCGTTCCGTCTGCCAGCCCATGCTTCCTCATTAACAGGCTTGATTGTCAGGTATGAAAGAGAGAGGACCCTTGATCTCCACATATAATACTGTAAAATCAAGCAAAATACTCATTTTGAACCCCTTTTAGCATATTCATAGCCATATTTGGGTGGGATATGCCAGCGCAGCAAGCATTTCAGTCGATTGGAAACGGTATCGTCTTTGCTAATTGGCCAATTATGTGGATCGTTGTGCGTAGATTGTCTCTCTTGCTTCTTCAAAACATTACAAATAAGTAGAATGTCCTTTAAAACTTACCTTAAAACTGACTTACATTAAATGCCACGTATAGGTCAACGCTATGTAAGGATTGTTTACATCTCGGTCTCTAGACGAAAGGGAGGCGTTGTTTATTTTAATTTTATTTTCTGTCCTCCATGCATCTTATAGGTTCGTCTACAACATGGCTGTGAGGTCAGGCGTATTTGATATTTTCCGACGATGGATCGTCACGAACACGCCACCGGATATGCGTGTCTTGCTTCTTGTTATCGGATATGCTTTTGGTGCCTTACTGGAAGGTAAGGTAACGGGATGAATTGGAGTGGTGGGAGGGGTTATCGGCTCTTTGTAGGTGTGTCTTTCTATTCAGCACCAAGAAATTAAGGCTTACATGCTGAACTGGAATCATTTTATCTCAAAAGGTGTGGCTGGATTTGGTACTCCAGGAGCAATTTGCTCTGCCTTGATGGTATCACTTGGGTAAGACAAAAGAAGTATGTTTCTGGAGAATCTATAGACTAGCGATATTAAAGTATTCCTACACCATTGCTAGTTTCGATAAAGTCAAAGCCCTGACATACACGCTTATCTTCGATACCACGCCTGTTGCTTTTGGTGCTTTGGGTATTCCTGTCATCACTTTGGCCAATCTGACTGGTCTCCCCGTCATGAGCTTGTCTGCCATGATGGGTCGTCAACTTCCCTTCGTCAGTGTATTTTTGCCAATTTATGCATTGACTTTCTTCGCCGGTTTCCGAGCCGGCTTTATCGAGTGCTGGCCGCCAGCATTGGTCGCTGGCGTTTCATTTGCTTTGATCCAGGTAAAGAGAAATTATATCTTTTGAAACGATCTACCTTTTCCTTTTCTTGTATGAGATCAGTCAGCTAAAACATGAACAATAATGCACGTGCATCTCTCCCCGCCAAAAAAAAATGCAACCATGCAAAATTAAAATAGGCCATTTTCGCCAACTGGGTTGGTCCAGAATTGCCCGACTTGATTGCCGGCCTGGCATCGCTGTTAAGTCTGATCGTCTTCTTGCGATACTGGAAACCGCCTTACCGCGAAGAGTTCGCCTGTGTATATGCTCCCACAAAGCAGCATAACGATGAAGAATCAGCAGGTGCTGTTGCACCCACCGATGATAACTTGAACAACGGAAAACATCAAGTTGCGTCCGCTGGTAGTACGCAAGATCACTCAAATGAAAAGGTAGAAGTTTCCCAGGAGGAAAAGGACAATGGCGGAAATAATAGCCCTAGTGGCAGCGCTAGCGGCGCAAAGGATGACAGCAGCATGCATTCAAAAAGCAGTAAACAACAAGGTGCTGCAGGTGCTGCCGCTCCTCCAGATCCTGAGTCAATCACGCCTATTTCTGAGATCGCTAAACCTACTCTGTATGAATCGATTTTGGCATGGAGCCCATGGGTGTGCATCGTTGTGGTGGTGATTATGTAAGCACAAATATTTAGTAATTTTCTACAAGTTATTTTTCAAAGTATGATTGATCTCTTGAATTCTCGTTGATTAGCTGGTCCTTTGTCCATGTCCCTTCGTATGGCGCTATCAAGGTGGAATGGCCCCAGCTTCACGAACGTGTAAGTCACTGTGTGGTCATTATCATGTTTATGGAATCAAGAACAACTTATAACGTTTCAAACACATCATATATAGGTATGGTTAACGCTGTATGGTAGAAAATACGCTGCAATTTGGAACTTTGAACCGCTTGCTACTGGCACTGCTATCCTTATTTCCAACATTCCGTTCACCTGCCTTGTTCTGTACAACGGCTCAAGCCCTAAAATCATTCCACGTGCATTGCGGGATACTTTTTTGCAGCTATGGATCCCTATCCTCACTGTCTCATTCATTATGGCACTCGCGTACCTTTTCAACTTTAGCGGTATCGCGTATACCATAGGCATGACGCTTTCTTCCGTTGGCAATGCATTCCCATTCTTGTCTGCATGGCTTGGTTGGGTCGCCTGTTTCTTGTCCGGTAGTGACACATCCGCCAACTCGCTGTTTGGTAACTTGCAAGTTGTTGCTGCCCAACAGATCGGATTGTCAGCTGTGTTGATGGCTTCTACTAACTCGAGTGGTGCTGTCACTGCAAAGATGATTTCGCCCCAGACATTATCCACTGGTGTGTCAACCATTGGTATGCAAGGTCGTGAGGGCTATGTATTCCGTCGGACAGTTCTACACTCAATTTTCATGTGTTCCATCATGGGTATGATCGCGTGTATCCAGCAATTCGCCACCCCGGGTATAATTCCTGCCGGAGACGAAGTGTTGGCCACAGGCGGTGCATAATCATGTCCAGCCTCTTTTAATTCTTTACACGTTAATCAAACTAGTAACTATACTTCTTCCCTTAAGTTGTATATATATATTTATCTCTTATTTCTACCACAATTACTGGTTGGTATGTTCCATAGCTACTTGCAGCACGAATAATGTTATATTCTACCACAAAACAAACATCCAATAAAGTCACTACTGTATAAAATATTTCCCTTCACAACAAGCAATTAAACTCTGGTGGTAAAAGCTCTAATATATATATGCCAAATCTGTACTGGACTACTTTCAAACCCTTCGATAGCCTTCTTTTCATGCTTTATAAAACGGACATATTCTTCGAACTACATCCCATGACTGCAGGTTTTGTTTGACAGTACTATATTGGAACAATAGCCATAAAGTGCTTAACAATGCTCCATAGGAATCCAGATCGTATTTCTATAAGCGACGTACACATATCAACGTTAAAAAATGATTTATTATTAATTCATGCACTGAGTCCCATGCACGTATAGCACAGTATAAATTGCCTGTGAAGCATGGTATGGTATTATGTAAAAACTGTATCTACCGTTGTTAAAATATCACGTATTACTTACTTCTTTAACGCTTGCAGCTTTTTACAACAATATAACACAGACAAGTAGGAAGATCTGTAGTAGACGGATCACAGGAAGTTCTAGCCAATTTTATCTTCTTCTTGCCACACTGAAGAGCTAGAATTGGTTGTTAAGAATAAAATGAAACGACCATCACGACATACGTAACATGTAGCGGATTCGATAAGGTAAGCAAAGACGCGAGTATGATGATCATCGCGTTTGGGTACAACATCTGTCGCCTCTCTCTCTCTCTCTCTCTCTCCCAGCGATAAGTAGGCATTTGGATATATAGATATAAATAATATATTATTATAAAAATATAATGATTACATTTTCTACCATATAAATATCTTTTATAAGCCACTCGAAAAAAAGGAATGCTTTTGTGGAAAGCTTTTGTGGTGTTGTTGCAATGTAGAAGCGCGGGAAGACATGGATCCATCCAAGAGCTCTGTTTGAATTACTGTGAAGCACTTTCATAAATAGACTAACTCGATCTGGACGTTGCGCAACCTACTATGCTCTGTTTTGCCGGTCGTTACTGATCGCTGGTTTCTTGAAAAAGACATTGCTCGTAACGAACTATGTATTTAGTAACGAACGATTTCTTTTTTTACGGGTGTTTCGTAATTCACTGGAGCAACATTTGGTTTTCCGCCTGAGAGCAGAAATTGTGCTTTCAGGTGTACTTGTAATGCGAGGATTTTATAAGCTGTGGTGCTCATGCATTACCATAACGAATAAAAGCTTATCCACTGAGATAGAGATAAACACGATATCAACCAGCAACTATTGCCAGCAATTCAGTATTGTTCACATTGATCCGCGATCAGCTCATAGTAATGTTACACAAGCAAGTTGCAAAATAAAGTCCGGTTCATGCTGATGCTCGAGCTTGTAATGTACTTCACTTTATATTGTAGGAACTGCACCCATAATAATAGAGGTAAGTATCATGTTAAGCGTATATTTGTTATAGATCAATGTATTCACATGAATACATCTTCATACCAAGTGAACGTACCGAGTAAAGGTCTTGGCAATGCAGTGTCTAATCAGGAGCCTGGGGATCATACGCTCGAAGCAACCTACAATCGAAATGAAAACTACAGGTGAAGTGAACGGAGACTTACCGACGACAAACAAAAAAAAGAAGAAGACAATGGAGGCCAGCGCGTAGAGAAAGAAGGAAAAAAACCGAACGTTTGAGCTGCAGCAAGCATCCAACGAGACGTAAACAGGTCTCATTGTTATTACGACGACCAGTAAATAGGTTTCATATTCATGAACGAGCACATCGATTTACCATATGATATACCTTATACATGCATATGCTTTTTTTCTACCTATATTGTCACAAGAGGTGCTGGTTTCATATATATGAATGATCAAATTATGTCGTCAGTCTATGTCTTGTCGCGATATTGTGCTCTACAAAGAAGATGCCCATTGTCATATATTCTCCTGTACGTTACCGAAGATATATCCATAAAGTACACTTGATTTAACCCATTGGCGGCCTTTGTCCCGAATACATTGTGTCCGTGGTAAGGTTTGAGTTCCTTGCTCAAGGCCGTTGTTTTTTGGCCAACTTGATTTTATACCCACGCATCTGCCGTCTTCGACGAAGCAATATCCTTATTCCGCCCCAAAATAAGAGTTGGGTTGGCCCCCCCAGTTTTCAATTTTTTTTTGAAAGTCAGCAGGAGACGCGTTGACGCGTCAGTAGTGGGAGGACTTAGGAGACCAAACATTCTTTCTTTCATTATACAAAAAACGAGCGTAATTCAGCATTGAAGTAAGCAGAGATTTTGGCTAGAGCAAAGGAAAGAATGTAGATCATGCATGACTAGGCAGGGGATGAAAACGGACAAGAAAAAAAAAGGAATATAAGGGCGAGCTTTAATTTATTTCCCTTTGTCGTTCTAAATCTGCTAAACAGGAATCACAGCGGTGTGCTGTATACCAACGATTCGACTTTGAACGGTTAAATGAACCACTTCACAAGATTAACAGCAGCCTAATTAACGGATGGTGTTCAAGATGTGACGACATTGTTAACACAGAGCAGTCCAAAAAAAACAGTAGGTACAGTATTTCGGGTGTAACAACTTTTGTTTTTTCCCCTTGACTAATCTTGCGAATCAGTCTACAGAGATCGACAGCCAAGGGATGAACCAACATGAATATACTACTAACAGCTAACTACAGAGCTGTGCAAACAAAGAAAAACCAAACCAACGGTGTGCTGTCATTGCCGGCCTTCCTGACACACTGCTTTTGCTTTGCTGATTTGGTTTTCGACGACGAAGTTTCAACAAGATTCATTAGTCAATGCTCAACAAATTGGAGAGGTCGAACATTTCGATTCTCAATGGCTAGTCAGCAATCTGCAAAACGATCGACGATTACGGAAGTCCTGATGCTGACATTGTGGATAAAAGAAGGTAAGAAGTCAAAGCGGTTTTGCTACAGTATATTCTGCATCTATGTTGGGATCGCGTTTTTTGGATAGAAACGCGCACACACGATATATACATGCACACACACGATATGCGCACACACGATATATACACGCACGCATATGATATACGCACACACAATATACGCAGACGCACACACGAAATACGCACAGCCAGAAGATGAAGCAGCTGCTGGATATGGCGACTACAATCAGTGATGCAATATACATATATGCTGTTTGGAGTGTTGGATACGACTGTGGCAAGGGATTATGCTGGATTGATGTGCACTCCTTCTGGCAACGCTATGGAACGTCACTGTCATCAACGGCACGACCGATCTGTCACTAAATGAAAGGAAGCATTTTACATTTTTTGCTGCGATTTATGTTCAAGCAATCGCACATGGATGAGCAATATCCTTATATAGCCCCAAAAATAAGATATGGGTCTTTCTCCCAAAGTTCAACTTTCACTTCAAAGTCAGTTGCGAGTGGTGTTGACTTTGCCGAATTGCTTCTTCGTGGTGGCAAACCAACTACTGCGAATCGTATAAGCACAATGGCTGTGCTTTATGGTGACCTTGGCATCAGAAATGCTCTATAGTTTTCTCTAAAGAGGCTCAGAGAAAAAAAGTGCGGCACGAAAAAAGGCAGCAAAAAGCAAAAGGTGAGCACATTTCTTCTTTTTTCTCAATCTGTTTTAACAAATCTGGAGAAATAACATTAGTAGGATCGGCTTGAGAAACATATAGTCAACGTCACCCACGAACTTGGAGGAAAGACCCATTTCTTATTTTCGGGGCAATATAAATATATTGTTTGATCAATGGAAACGACACGTGCACGTGATAAACGTAAAGCTGTAGACCGTAGTACAGATGGTACGTATTGTGGTTTATATTCTTGCAACGCATGACAGCCTTCTTTATTCACGCTTTCCCTATTGCCAATTCACTAACAACCGCTATTCAACAAAACCACAAATACACACCCATCGTCTACCTCAGAGCAAGCACAAAACACTGTAAACGTCAACACTCCAAAAAAAAGGCCAAGCTCACCACATGGACAGAGGCGAAACGCGTTTTCGTCCGAAACCTATTCCTCATTGATCCAACCGTGACATTCAAAAAAGCAGCAAATGTTCTCAATGACAATTTGAGCGAACTACAAAAAAAAAGATGATCATCGAAATACAAAAAACGTGTACAATGCGGACCAGATCAAAGCAATCATTACGGGTGTAATCACTAGACTCTAGTGTCAAAAAAGCAAATAAACATAGTGCTAATTTGATGTACATATCATTCGTTCCTGGTAGACACCTCTCACTCTATATATTTCTGGACACGATACATGTATAAACAAAATTAGAATGATTTTAAATAAAGATCTCAAATTCTCAGTATTTGGCTGATATGTTGGCCGAAGCTCTTTACCTATTCATAACACGACAATGATTCAAATTAGCAGCTACAAGAGAAACCAGTTTATCGAATCAAAGTAGTGTTACGTTGCCATTTTCACACGAATTCCGAGATAAAACAGTTGATGGATGCTATTGTGGAGTACACAAACTTGTTACTGATACGATATAAACACTAGAACATTGTGTATTGTTAATTAGCTTATGTAGCAGTGTTGATAGATGATATAGCATTTAACCATCATGCCTCTCCAGTTGTTGTTTTGAAAAATAGGGTTTGTCTCATCTCATCGTAAAGTTGATGAGACTTAGGTGCCGACAAAGATACAAAAAATATGGCTCGCGAATTATGCTGCTCAAGCGATAATCACTTCAAAGATCAATGCGGCTACGTCCAAGTTGCGCAAAAATTAATGACACGCTTATTGAGACGATGACAAGCAGTAAAACATGCTTAGCCGTTTGATTTATCAGATACTTAGTGGACATACCAGGCGCTCGAGTAACGGACGAGTAATTGAACCTGGTGCGGGTTAGTAATATTAAGCTCTTTATCCTTTTCTGCATTCAGAGTGCTTAATCGTGGGTTTTCGATTGCGTAAGCTTAGTATACTACAAATATATATTTGCCGAGAAAGCTATACAATTTTTGTGCAGGTTACATGTAAGGTAATGTTCCAGAACATTTGACAAGGGGAATAGCAGGAATAGACCATTTGTGCGTAATCGAAGCACAGAAAAAAAAACAGCAAACGACTTGTAAGAATCTATATAAATGATTTATTGCTAACAACTTAAGCAGGCTCATGGCAGGTTTTTGAACTGAAAAACGGATGGAAGTTCATCTATCAACGTTATATCATACAGTATTTTTCGCTACTCAATTGTAGAGAACTTTAAAGAGAGCTAGGCTAAGGATCGCTCATCGAGGAATTAATTGTACTGTTTCAAACAATTTTCCTTCGAACCAAAAGATGAACCCTTGCGTAAAGATCATTACCAACTTCTTTGCTTGGTGCACACTCATTTTCCGCAACGGCAAGCATTCTTTTTACCAAATGGCCGAAGGCAACAACATCAACGACAACGACAAAATCAAAACGTCCGTGCGCTTGCAGGATACAGATACAGAGGGCCGACCCTCAATATATCTGTTCATCTTTGTCAATCCGCTTTCTGGAGCTCGCAAAGGCAGCGACCTTATACACCTTCCTATCCAACACTTTAGGCTACGCAGATTACCACAAATCCAAGTAGAGATCCACAACTATCTCGATCCAAAAGATCGGCAAGCTGGAATCGACCGTGTTAACTTAATCCAGAACAAAATCAAAGACGGTGATTTGCCGCCTATACGCTCATCGTCTGATACACCAACCACTTCACGCGCTGCTGAGCGAAAACATACTGATGCTGCCGAAACAATGCCTGAGGCGACTGGCCGTATAAGTGAAGGTGTCCAAACACGCCATATTCATGTATGGAGCGGTGGTGGTGATGGCACTGTAATGAGCATTTTCGAAATGTTGGTCGAAAACCATGTTGATCTCGATCTCGTCTTCTTGTCGTGTAAGAACGTCATTTTCTTTTCTTCCTCCTCCTCTTCCTCCCACCACCTTGGAAATGCTCCGGATAGATTCGAAACTGACACCTAGTATTTGTACAACAATGTATAGGCATTCCATTCGGCACGGGCAATGACTTTTCCCAAGTCCTGGGGTGGGGTCGAACCGAGCAAGGGGGTGTTATAGGTGACAATTTGGAAAGTCTTGAACAGCTCATTAGCGATCGGTTTGAATATAGCGAACCGGCACGATTGGATATTTGGCAGGCTGAAATGACAAGTTACGATGGAGGACAAGTCCGGCTAGCCAGTGAGCCAAAGACCACGAAACGCACACGGTACGTTGCGAAAATGTGCAACTACATGTCAATCGGGGTGCAAGGCTATGTCGGTTCTGGGTTTGAGAAGCATCGCAGCAAGAAACGCTGGCTGAATATAGGCGTGTATACGATTGAAAGCTCAAAATGGGCATTTTGGCGCAAGTTCCCGACACTGAACAACTTTATCGACTCGATCCGCGCCCAGGACGGCCAACAAATGCTTCTGGAAGTACCCTCTACTTTCGTCACACCGACACGTGTCAATCCAGGTAGTAGTAGTAACGGCGAAGATCACCAGCAGCAGAATCATCCGAAGCTCGCCACACCAGCCATTGATTTGATAATCCAAAATATACCACATCTTTGGTAAGTAATTAAAGTAGCAACTAAAAAAAAGCCGATTGCAATTCAACTTACCTAAAAAGAAATAAAGGGGTCAAGAGCTGGATATCTGGGGAGAGGCTAAGGAAGGACTTGAGACAGTGAGTAACCGATCCGGGCCGACGGACCCTGACCTCTGGACACCCCAGCTTGCAAACGACGGCAAACTCGAAGTCATTGCAATGGAAAACATGATGAGCTATCTCAAGAAGCTTGCCAATTTTCGAGACCATGTCGCACGCGTTGGGCAGTTCCCGGGACCCTTTGAGATCCATTTTCGTGAACCACCAGAGACAGCAACCGGTGCGCAACCACATGAGAACACGGGATGCTTACACATGTGGCAGCGGCGGCGGCGGAACAAGTACGAGCGCAAAAACGTGCTGGGAGTCATGGTGGACGGAGAGTTTTATCGAATAAGGCACCCTCAAAGGGTTCGATTCGAGCGTATTGCACAAGTAGTGACGCTGGGCAGAAGCGATCAACAGAAACAGGGGCGACTTGTTCGAGATGAAAAGAAGCGGCAGGATGGACAAATGTACCAAACGGGAGCAACAGAAGCAACAGAAGCAACAGGAGCAATAGCGTCATCGTCATCATAATCGTGGTTGATGGCTACGAGTATGTACTAGTTATCATAATGACATGAACAATAAAAGGCAATCGCATCCCTTATCTTTCCCACTATATTTCGGAGATTTTGATCAGTTTTGCTATATCTTTCACCCGCTAGGGACAAGCTCTGGTTGGATAACCAACTCTTTCTGCCTCTGATAAGATAACAGAAACGCTTCCTTCCGTTAGCTCGTTACACATCACGCCGTGCATAAGATGATGAACGATTACCCTATGGTTGACCAACTTTACATCTTATCGCCCATGACTCTACCCGACCTCCCCTGTGCCCCACACCGTGCCCATCGCACCGCCTTCCATTTTCGCCTTTATCTCTGACCACTAAAACTCTTATCATACAGAACCTCGCATAAATAAACGAGATGAGATCGTTCTAACGTCCAAGACGAATGATAAAACCTCGAAAGCACATCATGAAGGTGTGGTATGAACGTAGACCAGATGAAGGCCGCAACAAAAAAAAGCTTCTTTTTTTTTTTTACTCGGTGTCGAACGGGAATGCCCGAACGGTAACCAATATGATTTTGATGATCGATGTCCTGATATCCATCCAATGTGTAAGGGCCCGCTTTGAGATCCCGCTTTTGGGTGACGGCTAAACAGAATATAAACCCCACCTTCTGTTTCGTGTTTTGTTTTCTTCTTCCTTGTTTTCCTAACTACACTCCCCACACCACTCTTCAATCCACGCACAATGTCCGTCGTCTCTAACGCCAAGCTTCTCGAAAAGTATCTTTCCTTGGAACAGCACGGTGCCGTCCAAGTCGAATATGTCTGGATCGACGGTTTCAACAACCTCCGTAGCAAGACCAAGACCGTCACCAAGGTTCCCCAGTCTGCTGCCGAGTTGTCCGAGTGGAACTACGATGGCTCCTCGACTGGTCAGGCCGAGGGTCACGATTCCGATGTCTTGATCCAGCCCGTTGCCTTGTTCAATGATCCCTTCCGTGGCGGCGACAACAAGTTTGTCCTCTGCGAGACCTTCAACCCAGGTAATTATCCTTCTTTATTTCTGCATGCCACGGAAAAGACACATGTAGAATGAGATTGTTAAATCACGATCCATTGAATTATAATAGACGGTACTCCCCACAAGAGCAACTACCGCAACGCATGCAAGAAGATCATGGATGCTCACGCTGACAGCAAGCCTTGGTTCGGTCTTGAGCAGGAATACATGTTCATGGATCCCCAAACTGAGAAGCCCTATGGCTGGCCCAAGCTCGGTTACCCTGAACCTCAGGTTAGTCTCGATCATCAACCTTCCGCTGTGAATGATATATATCGAAAGGAGAAAATTGGATTGTGTATACTGAGAAATTATGTTAACTACAGGGCAAGTATTACTGTGGTGTTGGTGCTGGCAAGATCTTTGGTCGTGACATTATTGAAGCCCACTACCGTGCCTGTTTGTACGCAGGTATCAAGATCTCGGGTATCAACGCAGAGGTCTCTGCTTCGCAATTCGAGTTCCAGGTCGGTCCTTGCCTTGGCATTGAAGGTGGTGACCACTTGTGGGCTGCCCGCTACTTGTTGGAGCGCGTAGCTGAGGACTTTGGTATTGCTGTCACTATCCACCCCAAGCCTATCAAGGGTGACTGGAACGGTGCTGGTTGCCATACCAACTTCTCCACCGAGGAGATGCGCCAGGAAGGTGGTATCGTTGCCATCGAGAGCGCCATCAAGAAGATGGCCAAGCGTCACATGGAACACATTGCTGTCTATGGTGAGGACAACGACCAGCGTTTGACCGGCAGACACGAAACTGGCCACATTGAAACCTTCAACTACGGCGTTGCCAACCGTGGTGCTTCCATTCGTATTCCCCGCCAAGTCGGCAAGGAGGGCAAGGGCTACCTCGAGGACAGACGCCCCGCTTCCAACATCGACCCTTACCGCGTCACCGGCATCATTGTCGAGTCCACTTTCTGGCCCGAGAACTAAATCCATCTCCTATTGTCACACTCTAAAAAAGCTCTTTCTCTCTTAAATCATCTACCCACATATTATTAACTTCTTTGATTTTGTACAGACATGTTCCCTTACACACATCTCACATTTCCTTCTCTTATCGTTCTCCTTTCTTCCATATTCTTTTTGTATAGTTTATAGTTTTTCTTTTATTTCCTATTCCTTTTAACTCTAGAGAAAACACGCATACCAAATTCAAGCATGTGAACGAAATATATTTTACATACATCTCTTTTCTTATCTCTATTATCTCTATATTTTCTTCATTTGGACTCAGTCACTCCGATCTCTTCGTATTTCGTACTGTGCACTGTCTGCTCCGCGGAATTCGGTGTTCCTCGGTAAACTTCTTAGAAAAGAAATTGTATTGTGATCCGCAATAATACCTCAGAAGCATAATTATTCATGCATTTTGGATATAAACCAGAGTATGTAGTCAGGGACAGAGACCAGCCTGGTCTGAGAGCAAATCCCCGGGTCTTTTCCCTCTTGCTTTTTTTTTTGTAACTTCAAAAACACAGAACTTGTTTCTGTTGCGGTCATCGCGTGGTGTACATTAGTGTAACCGATATATAACCGCCGCAAATGATCAACCAATTGACCGATGCAAGAGGTCTAAACGCCGAGGAGGATCACAATCTCCGTAGAAACCCATGTTGTTGTGTACTAGCGATTAGCTGCTCTGCTAAATATTTAGAATGCCAGCCATCGATCCATCAGAATCTGCGAGATATCCCGATGGATTCAATGTTCTCTAAATACGTTTTAATGCGTAAGAGTTATGCGTCGAACCTTGCGGATCAAGAGATCTATAGACAATGTAATTGGAAGTACTTGGCTATTGTTGTAGTAGCCAACACAGCAAAATCACAATTTTCGATGTAATACTAGGTAATATTAGAGGAATATGTGAAAAGGGTAATATCAGGGTAATATCAGGGTAAAACGTCAGGATATTACCTAGGGGAATGAATATCCAGGGAATACATGTCGATTTTTGCAGTGAAGGTTACTGAGTGCTTTTAATTAAACTTACCATCTTTTAGAGTGGCAATCGCGTGATTACGATAAAATTCATTGTTGTGTGTATGAAATTGTTTGTTTGAAGTAAAAGTCTTATCACAATTCTCACAATAATAAGACATTGCTTTTTGAAGAAAAGATTGGGGAAGAGAGAAAAGGGAACTGCCAAAACTGTGGCGCGGCGGTGGGGGAATATCATGATGGCGGGGGATACGTTTTTTACTTAGGCGCCGTTTTTCTCTTGTTTGGCACTATGAGTGGCATCGAGATAAAATTGACATGGCGCATGATGAATTATAAGATGGCGGCTTGTTTTTTTTAAAAAAGGTGATATCATGGCGATTGATGTACTAAGACATGGCGGCTTGCTATTCTACTTTTCATCATAGATATACAACTTTGTCGGATAAATACAAGTGCAAAAAATAAAAGGCTTATCAGGATAAGGTAAAAACACAATTTTATGTTTTCTGCTTCTGAACACATTTGGAAAAGAACGATTTAGAATGCTCAGTCCACCCTCTAGAGTCCCTTGCTGTCACTTGATGTGCAGATGCGACGATACGTGGAGTCAAAAAGTAGGCTTGGTCAAATGCTCGCGCTTGATGACACCAGCTTTCAACTTTGATTAACATCTTCTATTGGGTTAAAAAATGGTGAATAAGGGAGAGATGCAACACCTGGATTCACGCTTAGTAGCAGTTTCTTGTACCAACTGAGTACGATGAAATTCTAGCATTATCCGTGACAAGAAATACCCCTTGAATATTGTTCTTTTAAAGCACGTCCATCACTGTCTCCAAGAATATAGAGAAATGATCTACTCTGGCACCAATAGTGGCAACCAAACGTTGTTCAACGTCCTCCAACTTTCTTTACTTGGAGCCCCCCCCCCCAGCCACTGCTTGAGGTTTCCGTAACGAGAGACTTACCACACTTTCTTTAGGAATAGCGTCCAGAATTGATATTTTGAACCCGCAGCTTCTAGCGACTACTTCCCTGCCAGGAGTACCTCTTCTCGATCCTCCGAAAGATCGCTTCAAATGACCCTGCTTCACCGAGAAACACATTGAACGAATCCGATATTATGTCTCCTGAGTTCAAGTACCCACTCTTTTCTTTCGCTAATGATTTCTAGGGAGACCCGGTACTGTACTTCGTGAGCTTCTGCAGCTTCGTCATTGTAAGGCCACAGTCCTCCACGAGATGCTTTTGTAATCAGCTTTGGGTGATGAAGACTTGGAAGTGCTCATGGAGCTTTTATTCGTTTGTTTAATTGTATGAGTAGAATCCGCATCATACATATTCTAAAGAAATATAGTATAATCAGTACTTAGGACTGGCACTGCTTCAGACTTCCTTTTAAGTTAGTTTGGCGGTACGGCTTCCCATCCCGGAAACGGGCTTAATATTGTTGAGCGGTACATTCAGGCATTCGTAACACGCGAGCGGCCCCAGCCGCGCTTAAAGTTACGTTTGAATAGTATCAATCAACGCGATGATATTCTCATCAGTGTATCTCCTATTGGGACGTACAACACCACTCTCCGGTTAGCACACTGTAATATAATTCTAGCGATTGTGATCAACAAATAAATGACATATCTCTTGGGTTCAACACTTCTGTGTTAGGCTTTGTGCGCGGTCTGCCTCTCTTTTCCGTTCCGTTTTTTGCTAATGAATGTTTGGAAGCATTAGGAGAGTAATTTTGGTTGTTGTCCCCAGCTTTATCGGTTCCAGTTTCAATTTCATGCTGTTTTTTTTATCGCATCAGCAATGTTCAAGCTTGATTTTAGGCAAAATTGTATACTACCTTTTCCGAGTTATCAACAGCCCTTGCCATGGATACAAGAGAGCGTATACAATTTTCACCTCCACCAGAATCCATGTCGACAATGTGGAAAAGATCTTCTTCTTCAATTGTTCCCTCTGTATTTATAATCGCCTCTGCTTCGGCATTATCATCGCCATATCCATTTGCAAATGGAAACTCTTGGTTTTTATTTTTCTGCAGCATCATCACGCTTTTTTCTAAATAGATTGTCATGCATCTAGCCTGTCATAATTAAATTATAATTTCCTGTTGCTCTGTCAATGAATGTTGCTTTATCTTCAGAATGACCATGACTTTGGTTGGAATAACTAAATTTTATTTTCTCTGTATCACCTGCCTTTCATACGTATAACTTACACCAGTCAACAAAAGCAGCAAAAGAAAGATAATAGTCGCGCTGTGATAATAACGGATGTTTGATGTGTTTTCCCAGATAGGATAAGATCGCCCCGATTGCTGATGATGGTGATGAATATAAGATACGCAAAAGCAGTAAACATTCTTATCCATTGGCTTTTGACCTCGTGCGAGTTTATTTTATCTTTTCAAACACACACAACTCCCCATTACAGGAAATAGTCCGGTGACAAAACAAGGTGAGATCGCACCTCGCATTGTTCATTGAGTGGGTACAGCAGTTAGTGCGTGCGTATGTATCACAATTCACATGTATGGCACTTGGTAATAAACCAGATTTTGACGACGAAAATGAAATGATATCTAAATGAGACAAGAAGAAGCCAGCACTACTGCTTGGCGGAAAAAGGTTGCTGGAATAGCTTGTATAATCTTATTAGACTATACATATACTCTACAACAGCTTTTGGCGCGATCTACATGCAGTTTTTCTTTTTAGGCATACAAGAGTGTGCTCTTCAATTAAGCGTAATAATATCATTACACTTTTACTAGGCAGAGATAAAGCTTTGTTTGAAATGATTAAATTTTGTGCACTAAATCATCGTCCTGTTATCCTACACAACAATTAGCCGTGAGAGAGTGAGAGAAACCGATGGGTTTTACGTTCCTTCATTCATTTTCATACATTTCTCTCATTGTGTATTTTTCTGCAAAGAAAACTTCGTTTAGCATTAACTATCTGCTGCATAATCCCGGAATAACCCTGTAACGGCCGCTGCTTAGTTTCCGGAGGAACAAATCACAATAGAGCAGACGCAAATCGGAGTATCTTAATTTGGTGGAAACGGGTGTCATGGTGACACTAAGGAGCTACACGACATCTAAAAGCAACCGAATTGTTGCTTGTGGTTTGTTTATCAGCAGAGGAAGCACAAAAGATAACGGTAATAGGCTCATCACCCGACCACATGCAAAACCAGCGAGAGAGATGCTGCTGTATGTCTAGAGTAACCCCAGATAATGATAACTTGTTGTCAGGAAGAAAGAGAGATTATCAGAAAAAAAAAACCCGTCGCTAATAATGCTGTTGTTAGCAGCAATAAGCTTCTTTACATGAGCCAAAATACTTGAGCAAGTACCAGGTCCATCTTAGGATGTATGATTACATCGTTTGCAATATATAGCCACAGTATAAAAATAGGCCTCATTGATTCCTGCTTTAATAGCATGAAGGCTGCTCTGACCGGGAATAAGGAGATGCAAGGAAAAGGAAAAAGGCGAAAATAGACTCCGCGTTATCAGTAAAACTAAACACCATATAGATAATGTAAGGCACTCGTCAGATCGAGCGCCAAAAACATCCCCCTCCCTACTCTTTTTTTTTTACTCTCATGCATCGCATAATGTCTTTCAACTTTATATGTGTGTGTGTGTGTGTGTATATATGTCATGCCTCCTTTGAGATTATGGAAACCTTGTAGAAAACAGAAGGGCTGATCGGTGGTGCTTGCATCAACCATAACACACAGGGCAAATGTCCTTTAGCATTTTTCAAAATCCACTCGATTTCAGGGCATAAGCTAGACAGGCTTGCTACATAAACATGAGAGAGAGAGAGAGAGAGATATGATAAAAGCAAGCCGGGGTTTCCTATTTTGGATGACTAGAGCGACTGAGCATTGATAATCTTTGAAGTCCGGCATGCCCTATCTTTCTTATCAAATCAACACCTTCTCTTTTGGTTGCGCGCACGCCTTTATCATATATAAACCTCCTGCTCATCGCATTTATTTTCTTGTCGCTCTCCTTTAACAACGCACTACATCTCTACTACTTATCCTTCTATTTTTCTCTTTTCACTTCCAACTCCACCTCTTTTCTGTGTGAACTATGGATCCTGAATACGGTTCCCAGTATAGTGCAGGCGACATTGGCTTCGTCTTGATCTGTATGGCCCTTGTCTGGCTCATGATTCCAGGCATCGGATACTTTTACTCTGGCATGGCCCGGAGTAAAAACGCCTTGTCTCTAATCATGTGCTGTCTAATGTCTCTTGTTGTTGTCACTGTCCAGGTATGTCAATCATTCGATATATGACTCTTTTAGCGTGGATAGACGACACGCACCGCTCATAAACTAAAGATTACGACTGACCCTAATAACGTCATTCTAAATAAAATTCTACTCGCTCTATTAGTGGTTCATCTGGGGCTACAGTTTGACCTTCAGCAAAACAGCTTCTGTGTTTATCGGCAACATGGACAACGCTCTTTTTCGCAACGTTCTTGGCGACCCATCCATCGGCAGCGACAAGATTCCCGACATTGTCTTTGCTATTTTCCAATGCATGTTTGCTGCCCTGACACCTGCGTTGGCCATTGGTTCTGCCGCCGAACGTGCTCGTCTTTTGCCCATGATGATTTTCATCTTCATCTGGTCCACCATCGTCTACGATCCCATTGCTTGCTGGACTTGGAACCCGAACGGCTGGAGCGCCAAGTTGGGTGGTCTTGATTTCGCCGGCGGCACCCCCGTCCACATTTCATCCGGCTTCGCCAGTTTGGCTTATGCTATCATTCTTGGCAAGCGTCGCGGTCATGGCAGCATTACGGGTGGTGAGGATTTCAAGCCTCACAACATGTCCAACGTCGTTCTTGGTACTGCTTTCCTCTGGTTCGGATGGGTAAATATCTTCTGTATCTCTCTAAAATAGTGATTTCGACCGTTAAACTGAAGGTTTACTGATATTCAATCGTTTTGTATTGTTCGTAGTTTGGCTTCAATGGAGGCTCGGCACTAGCTGGTAACATGCGTGCCGCCATGGCTTGCGTTGTCACTAACTTGGCCGCTGCTGTCGGTGCCATTACCTGGTTGATCATGGACTACCGTATCGAGCGCAAATTCTCTGCCCTTGGCTTTTGCTCTGGCGCTGTCGCAGGTCTTGTCGCTATTACTCCTGCATCTGGCTTCGTTGGCCCTGGACCTGCTGTCGCCATCGGCTTTCTCGGTGGCTTCTTCTGCAACCTTGCTGTCCACCTCAAGCACTTGCTCAAGTTTGATGATGCCGTCGATGTGTTTGCCGTCCACGGTGTTGGCGGCTACGTTGGAAGCGTACTGACTGGTCTTTTCGCTGAGCAGTACATTGCTGGATTAGACGGTGTTACAGAGATTGAGGGCGGCTGGATGAACCATAACTGGGTCCAGCTTGGTCACCAGTTTGCCGATGCTACCGCTGGCGCTGCATGGTCGTTCTGTATCACTTATCTCATCTTGTTTGTCATGGACCGTATCCCTGGATTATCCCTTCGAGTTGACCCCGAGGTCGAACTCCAGGGCTTGGATGCCGCCGAGATCGGTGAAATGGCTTACTACCATGTCGACAAGGTCGTCACTGTCGATCCCCAGTCTGGTGAACAAAAGATTGTTTCGGAACATATCCGTGAAGTTCGCGGTAATGAAAATGCTCAAGGTGACTTGTCACCTGAAAAGATTGTCGCGCCTAGCCAGTTCAACAACGTCTAAAGAAGACGAAGATACGATAATTATCCCTATCATAACTACTATTGATTCCTCTTACCTGATCTTTAATATCTCCTCTTCCTCTCAGCTCATTTATACACGCGCATTTATAATCATCTTTGACTATCCTCTTCTTTATTATGTAACCAATAATCCTTTTATATTTGATCCGAGCTCTTTGCGTTCTGGTATTATGTACATACAACTCTTTTGCAAAAATAAAATATCTTTTTATATATTTGCGGAAATCATCATGTTTGCTATCATTATCATCAGTGTTCGTGAAACCCTTGAGACTAACAGCATGTATCTGGAGTCATGCGTTATGTACCACATCGATGTATCAATGACACTCTTCTTCAACAGGACTCAAGTTGTGCTTCACTTCTACACATAGCTGCTTTCTGAGAACCGATCGTTATCTATCGAGGATGTGAAGATTATTCAGAATTGGATCTAATAACCACTTTTTTTTCCTTGACAAGAAGAAATAGATATGGATAAGATAAAATATAGATCCCACTGCATAATTGTGCTATATCGGTATGTACTGCTCAAAAAGAAAGGAGAGCTTCCAAGATTAAGAGAAATAATAATTATGCGGCAGCGCCTCTCTTTTATTTTTGCTCACACATGTCATGTACGGTACAAACCAAATGAGAAGAACCATGGAACTACATTAGAATGAATTGGCAAGATATACTAATGCTGTCCCGATGGGCGAGCTCAATCTGTAAGTGCTTGTAGTAGTATATACTGTACTGTATGTGCAGATTGACACTGTTGGTTCCATAGAAAACTAGGTAACTGTCCTTTTTCTTTGTACATTGTGTTTGTCAAAATGAATGCAGTAAGTAGCATAACACGAAGAGTCAGGGATAGTACGTTGCGGATTAATGATAGCATGTAAGATTGTAGTGAGTTTAAACCTCATATAGACATGTAGAAGAAGTTGTTGCTTGAATGCAGGAGGAAGAGAAAGTTAGGTGGTCAGTGATGCATAAACACGATATGACATTTATGTACGTCCATGTTTTTTTTCTTTCTCCTATGGTAAGTCAGCAGTTGCAGCTGCAGCTGCAGCAACAGCTAGACTCGCTTCTCGGTATCCACATTAGCCATTGATTTTTGCAAAGCGCACTCCTAATTCAGACCATGTACATACAGTATGATATAGACAAGAAGCAAGATGCACGATCAACTTGACAAAGGGATAAACTACGCATAATAATGTATACATTTGTCCATAACATTTATCTTGAAGCGAGTACAAGATTGATTGGTGAAAGGGACGATCGTAAGGAGACTCTTTGCGCCATCATCCATATCTTCCAAATGTTTCTGTTGTCACCATACCTTATTCCTCTACAAACTTGAAGACAAAAAGAGAGCAATGGAAACACACCTTTGACAGCAAGGAGAAAGGGGAGGAGATCTTATATGTACTACACCAATCACTTTACAATGCTACTACTGTATAATATGTACAGTAATCATGTACAAAATATGTTTTTGCTCGAGTTCGCCAATCAAGCACAGCATCTAGGAAGGGACATATCTTCTCTCAAGACGGGCAAATCATGGCAGCTTTTTCTTCAGTTACTTGCTATAGAGAAAGCTTGACTACATATTTACAGTACTTGCTTATTTATGCCATTATCTAAACAAAGCCGCGATTTGCATAAGGTGACATAAAAGAGGTCCGGTTTTATCGAGGAGTGATCCGACAATGCATATACTTTACAGTAGACGATATTGAAGGCGGAGCAAATTCTTGTGCTTTTCAAATCAGGACAAAGTTTAGATTATGCAATGAAGCTTTTTACACGCTAACAAGTCCCCCCTATCTATTATAATTAAACTTCAAAAGACCGAGCAATGCATGTTAAAGGGTCACTGAAGAAGAATGACCAGGCAGAAATGTTCTGACATAGTGCAACTTATTGGAGTAGAACACCCCGAAAGTAATAGGTAGTGAAGACAGATAAAAACGTAGAGTGCGGTATCAGACAATACTATGTATTTGCGAAGAATTATGACGATACATAGATGGTATCATTACTTTGTTGACGACGGTGCTATTTCTCCCCAATTACTAGCTGTACTATTGTATGGGGTATACACAAAAGATAGCTTGAGGGGAGTCATCCCAGTAGCAGGTTGAAGGAGACTACACAGCCAGAACTATCTGACCAGGCAACTCAGCAGTATCCGTTTTAAATATAGAAAAAAAACTAGAGATATGTAAGTACTTTGTTTCTCTGTCGTAAACAAGTTATGGCACCGTGGAATATGAAGAAGACGCATTAAAACCAGTAACCGTATTACACGATCTGCTACTATTTCCATTGAGCCAGCAACTTCCAGGGAAGGGTATCATAAAGCGAGACGCGTGTCTTTACTTTTCTATATGCTGTAGATCATTGAGGAATCTTTGGGGGGGGGGAGAGAGGGCTAATATAGCATCGTTTTTGTCGTCGCGAACTAATATATAACAATAATAACATTTGAAAATAAAGCAAAAAAAAGTGGAAAATACAAACAATATGTAAAGCAGGGAAGAAGTGTGTATATGTGTGCGTAAAGGCTGTTGTCGAAAAGCTTAGAAGCCGATCACAGTCATCAAACCATAGCCAATGGTGGCGACGCAAACCATGCAAAACAAGCTCGCAGGGACACCATTCCGCAAAAAGTCCTTGGTTTTCAAATATGGCTTGCCCAGCTCGTTTTCTTGAGAAATCGCATTCATATTTGGGAATCCGGAGACAGGCAATCCCATTGCGACAGAGCAAACAAAGGCAGTTCCCTAAAGTTACGAAATATGAAACGTTTGTCAATCAAGGGAGGGTCATCATGCAACGGGTCTCTCACTCACACACAGAGGGAACTAACCATGACCAAGAGCCGTGGTCGCGGATCAGGCATTTCAGAGCCGACTTCAGCAACAATGGGCAAAATAATCAATGCGGCCACAGTGTGACTGATGAACGTAGCAATACAAAGCACAAGCAAGCTGAACACCAGCAGGACTTCGAATGTCGAGAATCCCTTGACCATGGCCTGAATATGCGATGCAATGGTATGCAACAGTCCAGAACTTTCCACAGCCTTACCCAGCACAATCCCTCCCATCGCAAGCATGATGACGGTCCACAAGAAATGGTTAAAGTCGTCCTTGGTAAGCAATCCGGTGCCAAAGAAGGCAACCAGCGGAATAATGGCAATCACGCCCATGTCACCGAGAATCTCTTCAAACGAGTGAGCCAGGCACCACAGTGCAATCGTGACGAGAGTGACAAGCATGACAAACACTTGTGTAGGTGTGACCGGGTCGTGCGATGCGCGGATCGTATGGATCTGCGGCGTGTGTTTTTCTGGATGGTAGTTGTACAGCAGCCACAGCCAGATGATGAAGTTGCCAATCACGCACAAGGGAACCGCCACAATGAACCATTGAGCCCATGACGGAGGCGGCGACATGTTTTGGATTGCAATGATGTTCTGTGGCGAGGAGATGGGTGATGCAATACCGCCCAAGTTGGATGCCAGTGCAATGCCGAGGATCAGACATGAGCCAAACGTCGAATCCACAGGAAGTGTCCGCAGAATAGGCTATCGTGTGGTAATGATGCATGGGGGGGGGGGAAAGCGAAACCCACTTTTTATGTCAATGACAATGCAAACGTGATGTTCTGCGTGTTTGTTTGTATTTTTCTATTTACCTGAATTAAGGAGAAGCACAACACGGGTGCTGCAACGTTACTAATCCACATACTGGCTACAGTAGCAACGAGCATGTTGACGAGCAGCACACGGCTCGGACGGGTTCCGGCTTTGGACAGGACAAAGGTAGCCATGGCCTTTGCAATGCCAAACTTGCTCAGCGAGGCAGCAATGGCAAAGCCACCGAGCAGCAGCATGATGACAGGGGAAAACATGGCCGAGAAGACTTGTCGCGTTGCCTCGGGTGCTGAGAGGCGCACCAGATCGGGCGACCGCATCACACGCAGTGTCACGGTCAGGAACGGAATCAGCATGGCGGTGGCGAACAGAGGCATTACCTCGGTTGCCCAGAGCATGCTTGCAAACACCAGGATTGCAAAGCATCTGTTCTGCTCGATGGAAGGAAAGATCTCGACGTGGAACAAGAGGATGCCAAACACGACCAGACTTGCCACCAACGACACGATCTGCCACACCGTCTGTCGCTCGATTTCCTTAAGGCCGAGGAAGCGCAGTTGGATCGTCCTGCTATGTGCATCAGCGCCGCTGACCCCTAGCCCTTGTACCTTACGCTCCTGTCCGATCATGTCACGCCACACCGTGTTGCGTTCCCAGACAATCCGTTCTCGCAGATGCGACTTGAGTTCATCCACCGCTGCATCCAAGTCCCCGCCCGTCATATTCGCGTACGCGCGTTCCGTGCGCTGGATCCGTGCATTCAGCTTTTGCTTGGTCGTGGTCCGGAACGGATACGCCTTGCTGACATAGTTGTTTGTGTAGTAGCGCTTGAGCTCATTGCCTGTAATCTTGTCGTACTTTTTCAGGATTTTGGCAAAAGCCGTGGCGTTAAGCGACACGAACGATTTCAGTTCGGAAAGTAAAACAAACACATCGACCGTGTGGCGCTTGAGCTCAGTCTTGTCCTCGCTGTCGCCACCAGCACCAGCAGCGCCGCCGCCACCACAACCACCACCACCGTTGTTTAGCATCAAGATTGCCTCAGGATCCGTGTCGGCGGTGTTTTGCGAAATGATGTTGGGCGGTAGTTCGTCATCCATGACCAATGACTCGCGTCGTGGAAAGTCACTGCTGCTTCTGGAGCGTCGATGATTGCTGTTTTGCTGTTGTTGGCCAATAGGACTTGTGTTACTCGCAGGAGCTGAGCCTGCAATAGCAATAGACGCATGATGCTGCTGCATATCGGCCATCAGCGTGTCCATTGCGTCATACAGCTCTGTTTCTTTCTTGGAGTAAAAGTTGACGATGCGGTCGAGTGCCCGATCCAGGGCTGCAATGAACCGGTCGTTGTCCATGTCGGTGTGTTGGTCGTCGGGTTGAAGAAGGGAGCTTTGTTCTGTGGCTTCTTCTGTCGTGCGCAAGGCGTGATGGCTTGTAACTCGGTCTCGCTCGATGGAATACACAAGCTTCTTCAAGTTCGAGTAGCTGGTATGTGTGATTGTGTTGTGACAGGAAGGTGGAAAGGGGAAAAAGAGAAGAGAGAAGCGTAGCAAGTGGTAGATAGATGAAGGCAGTAATGGAAAGAGAATGTTCTATTTAATACATTTCTCTTTTTCTCATTGTTTATCCCTCAGCACACACCTCCCCCCCCCTTTACTGTTTCTTTGGTTCTTACGGGACATAGTACTCGGCCCAGTCAGGAACTGCATTGAATTGGATTTGATGGGAAAACTTCATATAAGTGAAGGCAAATAACAAGAAAGAGAGAGAGAGAGAGAGAGAGAAAAGGAAAAGAGCGGATGGCAAATGCAGCAAGTAGCACACTGTTTATACTTTTTTTTTGTTGGTGTTGAGAAGGAAAAGTAGAACTCTAAGGAGCGCAAGAGGGAAAAGGGGGATGATGGTTGGCTGATTTGATAGGTCGTGTGGGGCCAACTGATGTTATTATCACTATGTGTCGGTAATGCTACATGATTACTTGTAAATCTTTTCTGGCTTTTCTGCCTTCATCGATGCATAGCGCGCAGCAGTAAACAAATAATCACTCAATCTATGTAGAGTAGGATGGGTGATGGGTGATGATATATAAGTCAGATGGCATCAAGAACTTTCCACCTAGAAAGTGCCCTCCCCCACATACATCCTCCTCCACGAGTACTGCTTTTTCCCTTTTTTTGTAACTCACCTGTTCATAAAGATGCCCACGCTGTTATCAACCATGTTCTCGCGTACCAAGGGCGAGACCCGACGTTCTGCGCGGCGACTAATACCTCTAGCAACATGCAGCGTGGCGCTGGCACGGCCACCCGACTGTTTATTTGGAATTAGCTCACTGGTACCCCATCTCCATCCAATAGCTTATCGTCCAAAAGAAGACTTACGGGCAAGATAAACTGGGTCAAACGAGGCAGTTCGGCGGTCATGGCATCAATGTATTGTTCGAGCTTGGCGACCTCCTTTCCCTCCTCGTCAAACACGGTCTTGGCTATACGTAGGTGCATCCGGCAAAAGAAATTACATCAGATAATAAGCTCTACCTGTATGTATGTATGTATGTGTGTGTGTGTGTGTATGTACAACAACATGCAGATATGTTTACGCCTTCTCTCGATCTGTTTGGCTTATACACTAAGAAAGATCACCACCACTAAATCAAACTTACCCAGCTTTCTCTCGTTGGAATTCTCACGAGGTGTGGCAATGTTGGCTCCAATATCTTGCATCATACATTGGATCTATTTACCAAGAAGAAAACAGTTTGTTTAGAAACAACAACAACAACAACAACAATGATAAGGATCTAAACTTTGAAAAAGAAAGAGAGGACAACTTGCCCACAAGATCTGCTCACAAAGAGCTGGGACATTGTTTTGTTCTTCACAGAACTCCAAGGCGAGACTAAGAGACAAAAAAGGGTTTCTTTAGAATCCTTCTATTTTGGCCATGTAGACACAGCGTACGTAGAGCAGCAATAGCAGCAGCATATATATATATATATATATATAACGCGAACCCAACAGAATATTCTTATTTCTTTTACCCCAGATTCGAAGTGAGTTCGTCCGTGGTGCCTGGAAACGCGTTTCGTGTTTAAATACATCTCCCGAATATTCTTTTGCATTTTTGTTCAACAAATAAGAGCCCTTTTTTTTACTTACCAAGAGCTTCAAAGACCAAGTCGTCCTTGTCGCGACGTTCGCCATTGTACAAGCTTGACGTGCCTTTTTATGTGGGTTTATGCGTCCAACGTTAAAGCGTGCCTGTTACTGCTATCTCCCTTCCTTTCCCTTGCTATCTGTTACCACGAGACTACACACTGTTATTTACCTTTGTCACCGGTCTTGGTGTAGATTCTCATAATGTTAATTCAACTGTTGGGTGTAGAGGATAAATAAAGAAGAAAAAAAGGGCGACTGTAAATTATATATATTAAAAGAGATGGAATACGCGAAAAATGACGAAAAAGAGTCACTCTTGATCTACTCTATTTTTTCCTTAGTGTTCTTTAACGTTTTTTCTTTTCTTTTTATTTGAGGCTAACTATAAATGCCACGAATTCGGCCATTTGCACTGTCACACATTCGACGATTACAAGGACAACAGCATTGCCAACGACGACGACAACAACAGCAACAAACGTTTGCAAGCCAAAGCACCGCACTTCCAGTTGTTCTTGCCGCCAATGAATCCGTGATTCAAGCGGTGCATGCACAATTACCGTGGTGGGCCACCATTATGGGACTCACCTGCGTGCTTCGTAGCAGCTTGACGCTCCCTATTGCGGTATACCAACAAAGAAGCATAGGCAAGATGATCCAGCTGGCACCTATGATACAAAGCTGGGGCAGTGCCCTCCGGACCCAAATCGCAAACGAATCCAAACAAAAGGGGCGGGGCTATGCGCGGTACAACCGCGAACTGCAGAAACAGTACCGCAATAAAGTCGCTGAAATTTATGCGCATTATGGCTGCCCGCGATGGAAGCTCCTGTCACTCCCGTACGTTCAAATCCCTCTCTGGGTTTCCATGTCGCTCACCCTGCGCCACATATCCGGGTATCCGTTGCCGTGGTATGGCCAGACCTCGGAGGGTCCTGCTCAGGGATTGACGGATGGAGGATTTGCCTGGGTGACGGATCTGACAGTGCCTGATCCCACCATGACGTTTCCGCTGTTGATAGGTGCAGGCACCTTGTTGAACATTGAGGTTAAATACACTTTTTCTTGTTATCTGTCTGTGGAATGCGTAATTTAAATACGTTTTTTATGCATAGCTGAACGCTTGGCTCTCCAAGGACAAGCAAAAGACGACGACACAAAAAGTGATGACGAATGCGTTTCGATGTTTGGCCGTAGCCTTTGTTCCCATTGCAGCACATGCGCCCATGACACTGGGTCTGTTTTGGTTCACATCGACCTGGTACAGTGTGGTGCAAAACATCGCTTTCCGGATACCCAGCGTACGCGCAACGCTTAATATGCCTCCATTGCAACAACCACCCAAAAACAAACCAGCAAAAGACCAACCGCAACAATTGCAATGATTATAATAATAAGAGTACTGTACAGAAATTAACTATTATTACTTAGAATCAGAGTGTATATACAAATTGGGATAGAAATAAGAAGCATCGTCTCTCACTCATGATGATTTGCTTCCGAGGGGCTCTGGCTGGATCACGGTATAATTTCCCTTTTTCCACGAGTCAACTTGACATTTCGGCAACCGAGCGTGTTTCAACTTGAGGTCCTTGTCAAACAATCCCCAATAAGACTCACGGGTCTCATTAAACGTAGCTGCCTTCCACGGCTGATCCTTAAACTCGAACCAAAAGTACGGCAGTTGGCGTCTGTTGGCTTCACAGATGAATGTCTCTAACAAGATCCGTTGGTTATCGATGGATGGGACAGCCCCCTGGACTTTTCGGTCTTGCGGGTGTGTAGGCCAACCGATTTCACTGATGATGGCAGGCTTGGTCTGTGTCTTGTTGCCGTCGAGACCGAATTGCTGTGCCATCTTGAGTGTCGGATACTGGTCCACGTCGTAAAAGTATTGCCAGGTCCAGTTGGCCGCGTCCTCGACCAGCGTCCCCGCAAAGAAGGGATGCACATTGTCCATCACAGCGTCTTCTTCGGGTATAAGCTGTTGGAGGTCCCTAATCTCGGTCGTGTATACGGGAATACGGGGGTAGCCGCTTTTGGCAAGTTGGTGTTTGACATCTTGGATCAGCTGGATCAAGTCGCTTGTGACGATTTGTTTACGGAAGACAGCTTTTTCCACATATGAGTTGAGTGGCAACATACAAAGGACAGCAACAGACATTTTATTTTACCTTCGTTACCGACAGATACTCCAATGATATGGTCTGCACCAAACTCTCCAAGTACTTTCCAGAAACTGTCGTGTTGGCGCTTGTATGTGTTGGGGTTGCCGTCGACCCACAGTGTCAGGACAACACCCATGTTTGCCTTGAGTTGTTGGATGGCCTTGAGTACAAGCGACACTTGGTCACAGTCCATTCCGTAAAGGCGGATCCGGGTTGTGAGCTGCTTCAAAATCTTGATATCCTCCAACACATCCTGATACTTTACGCCACAATGTTCTTGATATAGGGTGCCATGAGGCGTGTAGTCGATACCGTAGAACGATTGCGAAAGCCGTGGATCTTTGGGTAGAGTAGAGGGTGATGGATCGCTACTGTCAACTTGAGTAGCAGTAGGCTCTGGCTGTGGCAATCGAGCCTTGTCTTCATTGTTGCTGCTTCCAGAGTTGGTCAAACCGCCAAAGACTTGGGGAAGCACGACCAATGCGACAATGATAAGCAGAATCACTACAAAAATACATCCTTTGATAATGTACGATGCACGCTTGCTTCCACAGCAGCGATCATTCGATGCTTCCTTCTTTGTCCCTTCTTCTTGTTCACCTAATGTTCGATTACTTTGGCGATCGTCAAAGCCGTAATGATATTGTTTTTCGTTGTTTGTTTGCATGATACTCCTTTGTTTGTTTGAATAAAAGAGGAGAAAGCTTTGCGAGTTTTTTCCGCACTGTTGACTCTTTATAGGATGTCTTACATTCGCTCATGACTGACCGCGGTGAGTTTTGTCTCGAAAAACCGGAGAGTTTTTATTATATTTTCTGCATTGTAATTGCTAAAGTGTGGTGGGTGGTGGTGATTTTGCTCATGGAAGTTGGTGAAATATAAGAGAGAGAGAGAGAGAGAGAGAGAGAGGCACAGGGTAAAAAATTACAAAAGAGAATGTGTGGTGAAAAGTGAAGGTGACAGCGAATTGTTTTGTTGGGGAATATAGAAAAAGATGACAAAGTAGTGTATATGCAATAGTAAGAAACATTTCTTTTGGATGTTGTGTTTGCGTATGTGCGAGTAAGTGTGCGTGCGAAGGAGAAGGAGAAGGAGAAGGAGTTAGTAAAGAAGAGTAAAGAGTATGTTATAGTATCTACAGTTCATCCTTGACGTGTCGCTTGGCCTCTTCTTGCTTGACCGGTTCTTCTTCTTCCTTGGCAGGCTCTGCGGCAACAGTCTCGTCCTCTTCGGCATCCAAGTCAATGACAACTTCTTCTTCCTCAGCCTCAGGCTTGACCTCTTCTTCGACGAATTCCTTTTCAGTCTTTGCCTTTTCCTTTTCATCAAAGGCGGTCTTGGCTTCCTTTTCCTTCTTGGCCAATTCAAGCGACTCGTTGCGGATTTCTTCGGCCTTGGCGATGTCGTCGGTCACCAGGAGGTTGTCAAACGTGGTGCCGGACTTGACTTGCCACAAATCGAAGCCAAGGTGAGCAAAGCTGTAAGCATGGATTTCATTGTCGACCTTGTACTCGGGGTTGTCGATTTCAGGGTGAACCCAAGGACCTTGGTAGTCAGGGTTGGCGACACGCTTGGGCGTCCAGGGACCTTGAAAGTCAGGGTTAGGAATGCTACATAACCGGTGAGAAAACCATCCATTGTTAATCCTTGATTCCTGTATCACACAATTACGCTCCCAAGCACACCCATGAGTACTTACGAAGGAGCTTCCCAATCGCCATCCATATCTTCATCCCAATCTTCAGGCTTGGTAGCTTCGGGATCAGCAATGAATTCAGGAACATCATCCCAGCCTTCTGGCTTCTTGTCCTCAGGATCATCGATCTCGGCCTCATCAACCCAGTCTTCAGGCTTCTTGGCCTCAGGATCCTTGATGGTCTTGGGAGGCAAGAAGTCCCAGTCCTCGACCAATTCGCCAGCAGCCTTCTCTTCACCATCGACGAGCACCTGGTAGGTCTGGTCGGGCTTGACGACGAGTGTGTAGGTGTGGGTGTACAAGTCCTTGGGAGCGGAGACGGTCTTTTTCAGGTTGTGGTTGACACCGTTGTAGTTGAGAATGGCGTGGACCATGGCCTTGCTGCCACAAAAGTCAGGACCAAACATGATGTTGTATTCGCTGTCGCCGTGGAAGTTGTTGGGGTCAAACTTATCAGAGAAGAGCTAAAAAAAAAAGCCATACATAAGCACGTTGTTGGTTTTAAGTTTATATGATACATGTACACACGCGCGCCCCGCGCGCCCTTTCATATAGTATAAGCACCAAATCTATTTACCTTCATGTAGCTACCACCACAGTCAATGTTTTGGTCATTCTTGACATCGAATTGGATGACAAGATCCTTGCCCTTGCTTTCAAATGGCTTAATGCCAGTCGACACAGAGTAGAAGCGGTAGTCTTCGGTCGTTCTCAGACCAGCGCTCTTTTCCTCGTCGGCAAACCACTGGCCGGGCGACACCTCAAGCTTGCCAAGGTCTTCACGATGGCTTGACACGGTCCAGCGATCCTTCCAGCCCTCGTTGTCCGAAAAGGTTTCGTGCAAGAAGACTTCAGCAGAAGCAAGGGCGGCCAAGCCAAGCACGACAGACAAGGTAGGAATCTTCATTTTAAACTGTGGAGATAGATAGAGAGAAAGAGAGAAAAGTTCCTTTTTCAAAGAAGTAGTGTGTAAAGGTACGAAAGAAGGTGGTTGTGAGAAGAGGAAGCTTCGAGCACTTTATATATTTATAGGAAAACGGTCGGAATTGACGTGGCAACTTGAGGAATTCAAGCCAATAGTCTCCAGTTCAAGCGATGGCACAATATGATTGGCCTGTAAACTGGGAAATTTATGGCTGCTGCTTTGTTTTTTCTGGCATACCCACGGACCCCGCGAAACGCGTTCGAATGCTTGCTGCCATGGGAATGTTTTTTAGCCAGAAACGCAAGTCCACTAATGATTGCTACGTACGAACACAGCGGTTGCTATCGTCTCTTTTGACTGATGGTCGGAGCTATCCAGGCACACACTTCTTTTGGTCACTTTCCATCCGCAGCAGACGGGACAACCAGTCAGATTCCCTTATTTCCCATCATCGTTGTTTTTTTCTCCGTGTTCTACTACCATGTTACAATACCGATTGGTGTCAATTTGATAAACGTGGAACGATTTTATTGGGCTTGGGTAACATGAATGAGGTTGGTCGAAATAATTTTTCCACAAATGTAGTCAGTGTATTAGTGATGATTTCAAATGTTTCAAAACAGTCATAGAAAATAGATTTAATACTTACTCCAGAGTCCGTGGCTTCCGCGCTGAGTAAAAGCACTGTCCTCTTGGCCCCAAGATACAATCGTAGTGGAATTTTCGACTAATTCCTATCATTTTCTAATGCTAAAATATTGTTTTCCGGTTCCTCCTGTTCTTCTTGATCTTCTTGAAGTTGCGCTTGTTGAGGGAGCTGTCCACCTGGTGGTAGGAATGCCTCTGGTCGAAAGTCTGGATGTCCATCATTATTCATATAGGCTATGCCTATGCTTCTTATGTTCAATGCCGCATTTTTATCCCGGTCTACAATCTAGATGAGAAAACAAAACTCTTTTAGCATATGATAGGCAGAATCCTTCGTGGGTTTAAAGGGTGAAAACATACCACAGCCTTTGGATAAAGCTCTGGATGGTTATTACAAGCTTTAATCTTCCACATCACCCAATCTATTATGGTATTCCATGCCAATTTAGTACAGCAGAACACAACTACTGATTATATACCTTATTAGTAGAAATTTGCCTTTACCTGGCGGTGGTGGGCGTGCCTGTATACAGTCACTTGCCGGATTCAACTGGTCTCGACAGTACTTTTATTTTCCTTTACCTCTTTGGAATGAAGCCGCCTTGAGGTCCTTCAACCCAGTACGTTGCACGTTCTCTTGTTTTTCTGCATGGATACATAGGTAAAAATGATCCCGTCAGTCGTTGTAAGTGGGCTTCTTAAAGCGGGAATTATGTATAGCAATCAGATATTATATTATTACGTACCTGTGTCCGCAAACCTCCTCGTCATATGGAATACTTGTTAGCCGTTGCTGACACCCTGCGTGAACTTGAGAAGTGTTGTACTCGTCCGTCAGTATCAGCAGCATGTGTGAAGCCAATTTTTTAATAAGTCCCTAAAATATACATTACTCATAAGTGTATGGCAACCTCTTTGCGCATTCTCTCTTGTAAATATACTAACCAAATGGGGGATTGGGGCCCATCCCGGGAAATGCGGCATTCTGCTGGAGCCATAGAACACAATCGTTGGTCGTTGATTTGGGTGCCAACGCTCGCGTTCTCGCCTCAAGCGGGCAGCTCTTTTGCGAGATCGGTGCGACGTTTTGTGTATCCATTTGATAGGCTCTCCCTATGTTTCAGTTTTTCAAAAATGATCATCAGCGTATTATCAGATATCACGCGAGAAAAATGGAAAAAGGGAATCGCTTACAGCTGGGTGAGGAGGAGTGACACCTAGCAGCTCATCTTTGACAAGATCTTGTTTTCTCTGCCGGCTTGAGAATAACAAGCTCCTGATTTCTCTGTGTTTGAACCCAGACGAGAAACGACGCATTCTATATTCTTGCCGTTATTATATGCCCTTGTCACCAACTCGCCTAGCATTGATTAGCCCTTCTTCTCCTTCCTTCTCCTTCCTGCTACTTACCGAAGTCGAAATCGATTCAGATTAGCGATATAGAAAAGAAAATCTTCTGAACGTGAGACATAGGGCGAGTTCTCTGCGATGGAGTCATAATCCTCTTGGATTTCGGCTTTCTGCCGATTTTTGTTTTCTAATTTATATTCCCAAAAGACACCCGTTTTCGCACTTTGCATTGATTTTTTTTAGTCAAGAGCTCAATGTAGTGTGAGGCTTATCTATTATATACTCTTTTTCAAGACAACTTACTGGTACTTTCGCGTGGTAACTTCAATTGGGTTGTGTACAGGTTCTTCAGCAGTCGATACTCCTGTGATCATCGACGACACACCTATATCATCAATTACAAACGTAAAAATCAGTGGGAAAGAAATGATGCAACAAGCCCGCAAACTATTGTACTCTTCGTAGTACGCCATACCAGGATCGACTCCAACAATTCGACTTTCTTCGGCACGCTGCTGAGTTAGGCCATCCGGATTCAACTCGAGTCTGTATACACCATGGCTCCAATTTGTTAAGTCTTGACCTTCGGGAAGGCGTCTAATTTCATCGTGTGTACTTGGAAATAATTCTTCATGGCGTGTACATAGTATTGTTTTGTCGTCAGCGTGACATTCAGCTTTAGCTCACAAACTCCAAATTATTAAAGCAGGATTTATGCTTGCCTGGACTATTCCCGATAAACTTTTCGAACTGGACGTGTACCATACATCCATCCGTAGTCGCTGTATGCTTGAAGCTTAGCGCGTTGTGTGCAAAGGGGTTTTGATCTATAAAAAAAATCGTATAAAAAGGATCAGGATGCGCATATACATAGAATGTATAATATTATTCGCTAGCCACCACTAAAAGCACTCACAATCTTGACCGTATCGGCGGCGGTTTGGTTTTATGTGATCAATATCGAAAACCGTTTCCCATAGCTCCTGGCACCAGAGCGGATTGCTTTCGAGTGTCTGCATCTTGAAATCGACAACGGTGACCCGCCCTATACACACACAGAAATATAAGAGTAAGATTTCAAACACTAATATATGGGAGAAGCAAAGATACAAAAGCTGACCAATACCTCTGCGAGCAATATGAGCGGTGCCGGATTATTTCGATTCTCCATTCGTGCTCTTCTCACTAACAAATACAAAGTACGAGTATCCAACCGAAAGAACCCCGTTTGATGGGAACCTAATGGCAATAGTGGCCAAGGGCGTGCTCGTGGATAAGTTCGTTCGGAATATTGAAGCAGGTCGTACGACAAATGCAGAAGGGAGATGCATAAATCTTCTCCCATGTTGCGAGACCGCACACGAATTATGTCTGTGTCATGGAGCAGCTCTTGAAAGCGACCATGAATGAAGCTATCAACCAGTTCACAACAAAGAATCAGCATATATATCGCAAACTGTTATCCTGTTTAATATAAGCTTACCGATACAATCTTCCCAATGATTGATCATGAACTACAGTCAACCCCGTTAACGTCAACCCCGATAACGTCAACCCCCGACAGCGTCAACAGATTCGCTGGTACCCTTTCAAATTTAGCAGTTAAAGATTTGCCTATGCTCTACCCCCGGTGCTCGTCAACCCTCGATATGGTCAACACTTTTGCTGGTACCCTGAGGGTTGACGTTAACGGGGTTCGATTGTACATTGTTGGGATATTCGGCTTCATATTAAAAAATGTTACTTGTTAATACTCGTGCTGTTCCGACATGATATTAGGACAACGAGTTTCGTAATGTATCATATTGACTAGTAAGTACAATAATATGCATATGTAGGATTCTTTCTACCTGCTCTTTCCAGTTGATTTCGGTTGTGTAGGAGTTGTTGTAAAGCACCCTTCCAAACTCGATTCATGTAATCCTTGATATTTAGGACATGCTCTCTCATATCTGGCATAAAATAAAAACGATGAGCTATCATATCTATTTTCCTTAGCTTCATAGTGCTTTTATATTCTGTACTTGAGCCATACTTTGCAGCGCCATGCCAGCAAAATTGTTTGCTAGCGAATCTCTCAATGACCCAGGAGCAATATCCTCTGGCTCGAAGTATTCTAATATATCATACAGTACACATGCATCAAATAAACAACGTTTAAACCATTGTCACTGATATACTGCTCTGTTAGATTTTAAATTGAAATGTTGCAATCACTTACGTTCATTATTGTGTGGTTTAGTTCTTTCTGCGACAAAGATTGCTGCCGTGCGCATTAGGTCTTCTTTCCATGGTAGCTATTGGATTATCGGATGTTAGCACGAATTTTGGAATAAATATGTAGATAAATATTGAACATACAGGAGGAACTCACGTTCAAAAAGAATCCTGGTAATTCGTCGTGGAATCCGTACGAAAGCACTTTGAACGCAATGACCCAAAAGCCTTGCAAAAACAACGGAGGTGCATTATGATAATAACCCTCAAAGTGACGCCTGAGGTGCAAAGAAACAAGATTGTAAACATCTTGTTTTCGGAAAGAAACCAGTTCTGATGTTTGTCTTAGGATCGTCTACAAAAAAGATGTACAATCATCAGCCTCAACATTCAGGAAGGATAATAATAAGCTAAGGAAGTTAAAAGTGAACGTACTCGGAAAAAGTGGTATTCGCCATGAAGAAATGCTCTAACCGAGCAAGGTCGAGTTACGACCCGCGTTCTCTCGCCAAAGCCGTTGAACTCTACAAACGGCTCTGGGATAGCGGGAACAGGCTCTTGGACAGCGGGAGGAGGGGGTTCTTCAGGGATCTGTGGAGGCTCTTCAACAACTGATGACATGCGTATTTTAAGAATGGGAGAGATTTGGAATGAGCCGAAAAAGAAAGAAAGAAAAAGAAACTGACGGTTTTATACGGTGAGGTGATGGTTTCATGCAAAGTTGTCATTCTCATGGGACCATTGTATATGTATATCATATGACGTGTTGATTTAGCTCAGAGGCATGCTTTGAATATTCATGTTATCGGCTTACCATACAGAGCAGGAAGTGCAGCGCGCATGAATGATTTGGTGCACAAAGTGTCCTCATTGTCATCCACGAGGGTTCGGCTGTTAAGACAGAAAACCATCAAACAATAAAGAAATGTATCCACACTGGAATGAGCTTCGACGAATGCCTTTTATCATCCGTGATGGCAAATAGAATAAGAACAAGTTGTTATTCTTTCAGTGATAAATAGGTCAACTTCAATCCGAGTTTATATCAAGTCATGCCGAGTGTTACTCCTTACTCTTTCCCAATCGCCCACCGCACGCCCGCTTCGTTTTGCTCAAAAAGAATGCATGGTAAGTTACAATAGAAGCAAATGAGGACTTCCCAAGTAGTAGACAGTAACCCTCTATATTTTTTCCCCAGATGACCAAGTCAACTACCAAAGATCCTTTCGCTGATCAAGAAGTGACTACATGGAAGTCCCAAAAGGCTCGCGCCTGGGAGCAACGGCATATGGTACGAGTAAGAAAAAGGAAATCACAAAAACTTGTGCTCACTCATACATCTCTTTTAGAATGCGGAACAGTATTATCTTCACCAAGTGGATCCAGGCACGATGATTAACATTGGACAATTTAATGTTGCAGAAAAGGAACAATTTCAAGAAAGGCTTCACGAATGGGAGGAGAGAAATCTCGTCCAGAGTTCTGCGTGGGGGGGGGCATTTTCTCTTTCAATACCAGGCAGGACTGGAGTACAGTGCCGCGAACGCTACAAAAACATGGTCAAGGAAGGGTATACAAGCAGTTCAAAATAATCTTCATCCATAACTACTGCGGCACTGCCTGACACTGAATTATCCGAATCGTGGGGAACCCAGGAAACACGACAACTCGAGAACCACATCGACTGCATTTATCAGCAATCGCATGGAAAGAGGTACTCCTTTTCTACTGTTGTTTACCGGGGGTTTCGATAAACTAAGAGTATGATGATCTAAAACGTTCTGTCCTGGAAAACGCGAAGCCAAGTGACATCAACATCAGCGGCCAGATAAGCAGTCGAAGTACAAACAAATGGCTTGCCAGTTGATTCCAAAATACCACCAGCTCCAGCCCATCGACCCGTACGTCCAAAGAAAGACGTGCCCATTTTGTTTAAAAAGTTTTTTAAAAAAAGCTAAAGCCGCTTCTCTTGTTTTTGAAACAGCTACCAACAAAAAGAGGAACACCCAACAAGCAAGACCAACAAGTGAAAAGAGTTAGATTAGTCCTGTCACAAAAATCTATGAATTTGGATGAATAAAAGTCTTCTGTTATTATAGTACTGGGAGTGGGATAAAGACAAATAAGCACGTTTTAAACTTAGTGCCTGCATGTGCTTCATTGTCATTCATTTACTGAACGAGTATCTTCGATATGTCATTGTCTGCACTCAAAAAGCATATGACATAATTTGTCAAAGCTCAGCTTTATTGGATATTAAGGTCTAATTTCATTGGCTCGCCCAGCCTCATACGTACTAATCCTGCCTTTTATTGCTTGGCTTTCTTTCCTTCATCGTCTGCCGCTTGTTCAACCAATAATGTGAGCATGCCACTCTTCATACTTTCAGGCAGAGCAGACACGGGCCGACGATGAATCGGGTCTACAAATACATGGGTGAATCCGCCCACCATGCTCGCTTCTTGCTTGTCGCCTTCAAAGATGCCTACTCTGTAGGTGACGCTGGAACGCCCGATCTTGGTGATGCTCAGGCCTGCATGCAAGAGGTTCGGATAGGATGCCGGAGCATAGAAATTGGCCGAGGAGGCAATAACAAGGCCAATGGGTCGTGTCTTTGTCGTATCGTTGGGATCCAGCCCACAGTTACGTATTAAGTACTCGTTCACTACTGTGTCAATGTAAAAGTAGTAAATCGAATTGTTGATATGGCCGTAGTTGTCGTTGTCGCTCCATCTATTATATCATGTCTGGGTTTAGCCCTCCTTATTTCCCTTCGTCCACACACTCTGACACGCTGTTTCTCTCTCTCTGTCTCTCTTGTTCATTAAACCCGTCTTTTCATTTGTCCATTCTTATAAACGCAAGTGCGTATTGTCCAAGAAAGAAAAAAAAAGGCACACCTGGATTGAATGGGCAAAAAGTATTTGTAATTGCTACGATCTCGGAATGTAGGGGGTTTAGCTACTGCTGCTGTCGCTGAAGGTGTTTTGGTACCCATGTGTCGGGCAACCTGGGCTAATCGAGCTTGACCGGTCATTGATTGCAAGTAGCTTTATTTAAACGGAGGGAGAAACGGGGAAGCTTTAGGTTTTAACAGAAGGATGTGAGTCTAACTGGAAACGCTTTATATTGCCCTGGTTATAAGAGCCAACCCCCCAGATTTATTAGGAGTCCGTTGGATGAGTGAGGATGTTCGACCACACATACTTCCATACGCACACAGTTGGCCGCACTCATAATAAGAAACATCTTGAGATCCTATTCCTTCCAGCTACTATAAGGGCCAAAACGGTATATGCTCCTTCGTTGCTTACTATGACCATGGCAAGTAAGTGCAGGATGAAGCATGTTGACATCTTCTCTTCTAATGCGCCTGCCTCACCCACACGGGAGTTAAAAATCTGGGGGGTCCACTCAGGCAATATCAAAAATGCTTACATTAACAGTATTGCGGAAATCCAAAAGCATGTGAGAACAATAGAAAACGCATTATGAATTTAATTACACACAAAGAAAGAGAGATATACACTGTGTTTTGTAGCTGTTGTTGGAGGTATGATGGATGTGGTGGTATAGCGAGTGGTATTATATGTATTATGAGAATTACGATGATGGTGGTGGTGGTGGTGGTGACAATGATATTGTTGATCTATCTACAGTGACGCTACTTCGCGGTGTACTAATGGCATGCCACATACGACCATAGATGGAGGATGACTTTGATGCGGATCGTCGAATATCCACAGATGCCGATCGCACTTTGTTGTCAACAACAAATGGAGTCGTGGATAAGGGCTGCGCTAGGATTGCGTCGTTGTCGTTTTGGTATTGTTGTTGATCCTGATTGGCCTCATACTCGACAAGTCGAATCTTTGCTTCTGCTAATGATCGCTCCAATTCGCGTATCCGCATCACTAGATAAGTGTCAGACAAAAAGTCCTTGTTGCCTCCTGCTTCTTGTTCAATGCGACGGAAGTCGTCTGTGCTCCTACGTCGTTGAAGAATCTTTGGTGATCCCTCTGTTTGCGGTATGTGCTGTTCGTGGTGACTGATGATGCTCTTGTTGTCGTAGCTATAATTATTACTGTCGTTACTGATGTTCATGGCGGTAGCAAGGTCTTGTCGAACCAATTGAGTATGATCAAGCATCAGCTTGGAAGTTTTGGCCTTGATTTGAGAAAGCTGCTCCTTGAGCTCTGCATTGTTGCGCGTGACCTCAAGCCACTCCATATCTTTTTGCTTCTTTTCCCTCATGAGCTCATCCATATCTGCTTTGGTGGTGATGAGCCGCTCGACCAATGCCATCTGGCCATCGCTCACCATATCCAGTCGCACCTGTATATCTTCGTGCTCTTGCGTCATCTTTTCACACTGTTGCTGCAACTCAAAGTTCTCCACCTTGAGTCGAACAACCTCGGTCCTGAGCTGCTCTTGTTCGTCGTCCATAAGAAGCAATCCGTTGGAGCACGAAGATGCATCTTCGTCAGCAGACGATGCCAACGACAAGGGGGACAGTGTATTGTTGTCTGAAAACGCGAAATCGGCTTGACTGCTGCCTCCAATACTGTTGCAAGAAGATGACGACACGGACAATGCATAGTAGCTTTGTCGCTGCTGCTGCTGCTGCTGTGATTGCTGCTTGCTTTTTTCTAGTTCCAAGATGGTTATTTTCAGTGCATCCCGTTCGCTTTCGACGTCCTGCTTATCCATCTTGAGCTCTACCAACTGGTTGATCGTTTGTTGGTGTTTGGTATTCAATTGAGCTAGTGTCCAGGATAGCTTTTGGATTTCTTGTTCGTGGTGGTCTAGAGTGACGTATTTGTTCGTATTCACCATGGCAGCAGCAGTAGCAGCAGCTCCTGCAGCAGCGGATGCTCCTCCAACACTATGTGTTCTCCGCAATGATGAAGACGTCGAATCCATACTACGCTGACTACAGATGCTAGGTGATCGTTTCGCTTTACGTTTCCAGAACCTCTGCTGCTGATGCTGCTGCTGTTGTTGTTGTTGATGATGCTTTGGTTCGCTGCTGCTTACGATACCATGCGTGCTGTGATATTGATCGGCGAGGGAATCCATTTTGGCGCGAGTGATGACGGCAGAGAGAGATGTGGCGTCATGAATGACTTGAGCGTCATCGTCAGCATAAGGCTCAATGAGTTTGCGTGAAGTAACGTGGTCAAGGAGATCCTCAAACTCCTCTGTTTCCTGCAGGATTCTATCCTGGGAGCGGCGTAGCATGGCAATCGCGACCCGCATGATCGTCTCTGCTGCGCCTTCGGCAAATACAATGTCATAAATACGATGCACCAGAGACATTGGAAAAACATATGCAAAAAGTGTCAGGAACCATTGGGAGGCGTACATGGCAGCATGCACTCCGTGCTTGTTCATATGTTTGGCAAGATTCGGTAAGAGTTCGTTCAGCAGACTGCTGAATTGGTACAATCTGAGTTGAAGGCCCGCCATATTAAACGTAAACATCGGTCGCATTTCGTACGTTTCCATCAGCCTTTAAAACATAAAACAAACAATTTAGAAAAAGGAGTTTTTCTTAATCTTCTAGGCCACGATGATAATAGAACTACAAGCAAATAGTATACGCCCACTGGGCTTGCTTATCATTAACAAAACACGCACCGAACAAAAACGCAGAATGCTTGTACTTCAGGCATCTATAAATAAAAAAAGGGAGAACATGTGATTCGTTGGGTTGTGAGCGCCATGTGTCAGAAAGCAAAAAAAAAGAGGGAGAGGGCTTCTCAACCAGCATCATCACACTATTTTACCTTTAACAGCAACGGACCGACGAGAAAGGCAAGGCCCTGACAGTATCCCACTTCAGTGTCGTACAAACTGTATGCTTCCAGGACCCGACGCATTGCCAGCTGACCCGCGCCATCTTCCTGTTTAAACATGTCGATGCATGGGAACGTTCGAGCCAAGTCGCGCTTGATCATTCTTTCATGAGGCGATTGTTCACGGCACAGCTGGCCATAGACCGTCTCTAAATGCAATGAAGCAGATTTACACATGGCTTGCCAGACCAAGCCTCGTACGCCATCCGGAACACCGGCCCGTAACTTGACAGAGAGTAAATGGGGCGTCATGGTTGCTACACGATCGAAATCTTGGATCACAGCTTCCCATATAGAGAGATCTTCTTGCTGTTGTTGTTGCTGCTGCTGTTGTTGTTGCTGCTGCTGTTGTTGTTGTGCCGTTACGAGCTTGTGGACTGTCGATAATTGCGCTTTTAGTTCGTTGGATTGGAAACTGATGGCTTTGGGGTCTTTTTCCAATAGTGCGGTTTGTCGTTGGATTTGGGCAAGGATAAACATGGTCGAGTCCTAATTTTAGCACAAAAAAATCAATTGAGCTGATGCCATGTAAAAAACGTAATAATTTTTTGGGAAATCATTGCTGTTGTTAATAATTACTTGAGGTGGCAATCGTGCGTTCTCTTGCTCTAACTTGATGAATAATCCTTCATCGTCATTATTGATTTCATTGTTGGCTTTCCGTGCACTGTTATTGTCGATGCTGCTGCTGCTGCTACTCCTGCTGCGTGCGCTCTGTCGGTTTGTAAACATAGAAGCATCTGCTGCCGTGCAATCTGCGTTTGTTGATGTAGTCCTGCTGCTGTTGACCTTATTGTCATTATTACTATTATTGGCTCTGCTCTCATTATGCTTGTAATTGCTGTCTTGACTGCTTTGCATCGTGTTACTGATGGTATTTGGGATATAATAGGCCGTATATATATATTTAGATGAAGCGGGAATAGAAAGAAGAGTAAAGTATAGTCCCCTGGAAGATCAAAACGCTTTTTCAAGTGAAATATAAATGCGTGATGATGATTTGGAATGTAGCGTGTGAGAGAGAAATAGAAAAGAAGAAGAAAGAAAGAGAGACAGAGACAGAGACAGTGAAATAAGACTGGAAAGTGAGGAGGCTGAAAAAATGCAAGGGGGGGGGCTTAAAGAGAGCTGGTGCGCGTGCGGACCAGTCAGAAACACCACCCGAAAGGAGGCGGTTGCTTTTTGAGGGGATCCTGAACAGCAGCAACAAATTAGCACCACCCACCCCACTCGCATCTTGGCCATACCGAGCAATACAACAGGCGTGAGCGCTTTTCTGAGAATGTTGCGCGTGTGTTTTCTCCTTGATCTCATATAACAGGTCTCCCTCTTTTCATATATTGTCATCGAATGAGCACCACTCTAGCCGTTGCTGTTTATTGTTTATGCTGCTATTGCTGTTACTGAGGCGTATGCGCTGTCGTTGTCGTCATGGTGATCTCTAGGTTGCCCTGGTAATCCCCAAAATTGTTTATTTTTATTGTTATTATTTACACAGTGCAAAAAGCATCTTATTTGTCCACTCCCGTCAGCTGCCATCCCACTGCGCGTGTCAACGGCGATGGAGGGATTTCAAAAAAGGAATAGCCTAAGCCAGCAGGTAACGTATAAACTTTTAGCTTTCTTCTCTCTAGTCAAGTTTACCAAGTACTCGTTCCACCCCTTCCCCATATATCATAAACAACGTACCTTGACCTGCTATCAGTAAATCCAAGAGTGGCGACAACAATCGCTCATAATCCACCATTTGCGTCGACATGAGCGTGTCGCCATCCAACACTTCTTTTGGTGCTAGTTCCAATTGGCTTTCAATCGCCCAAGACGCGTTAATCATTTCCCACAGATAAAAGTCCTTTCGATAAAACACACACGGGAAATAGTCTAATATGGGCTTCAGGATCCTTGCAACGTCTTCTTGATTTTCACGTAGCAATGGATCAGCCGTTGGAGTGGCATTGCTACTGTTATCCTCGTCCTCGTCGTGCAACATCATGTATACGATTGGGAACCGTTCATCGACGTGGCGGCGATAATCCTTGCACATATCCAGCAAACGCCGACGATCCAACAGGGGCTGCTCCTCCGATGATCCTTGCTTCTTTAATCGTTCTTGGTGTTCGTCCAGATAATCGCGTAATGCGGATGCCTGAACTGGCATTGCTGCCGATACCGCTTGATCAATAGGCATATTGCTAAACAACTCCATTGCCGCATCCCTGATAGCATTCATCCGCCGTCGGTTCATCAATGCTCTTGCCGCTGCTGCTCTTGTTTCCATTGTAGTTGTACTATTCTCTCCTTCCAGCTGATCGCCACCATCTGCATACAACCATTTGTCCGACTCTTCCTGAGGCACCATCCGATTCAAATGAACTGTCAATCCACTGAACCCGCCTGCACCTCCCAACGCGTGCACGATAGTTTCTGCTGCAGCCCTCATTGGAAAGAGTTGGTCAGGTCGCACTAGCATGGTGGACGTCATGGCCACGTTCAAAATCTGCTGCTGATCTTTGACTTCCAGAGCTTTACGAAACATCCATGCCCCCAAGGCATTGCAATGTACGTATGGGCTTTCCAACTTTTTCAGATCGCTCAGCGTGAATATACGCTTTGGTGGAGCTGGCAGGGATGAATCGACAACGACGTCCAATAGCTTTCTTCCATGGCCATTTACCGCTGATCCCGTTCCTTTTTGAAACCATTGCATGAAAAACCAAGGGTTTTTGCTTTTCGTCTTTTGCTGCTGTGCGTTGTTGCGTAGATGCGAATTGTGCGTTATCTCAACACGCTCATAGTATTCGGCTTGCTCGTATTCGATTGTCGGCAGCGGCGTTTCCCTTGATTCTGTTGGTGATGATGTTGTTGTAGCTGCCACAGGTCGATCAAAGATCCGGATCCCGAACGTCTGTTCCAGAGGGCTAAAATCAAACAACTTGGACCATGGGATATGGATCCATGTGCTGTTGCCGTACGCGAGTCGTAATGGAGGAGCTTTGACTGTTCGATTCGTCTCGTATGCAAGTCGGACTGCCATCCGTAATGCTTCATGCTGTTCTAAATAGTCTCTAAAATAGTTCATTACAGTGCAGAATTGTTTGTTTTAATATTGTATGTATATGGAACTTTTTGTAAGAATTCATTGTTATCCCTCTTCATTCCCACCACGCTTTTTCAATTTTTACCCATGTGGACTGTATGATAAAAATCGTTCTTCTTGAGTCGTCGGTGGCGACGGCAGTGGTGGATGCTCTAGTAATGGAGGAGGAGGTGTTGACAAGGAGGTGTTTTCTGCGCTATTAAAAGGATTTGACAGCCAGTGTGGAGCGTTGCTCGGTTCTTGCAAAAGATTTTGGTTGTGTATACGGGGAATGATGGTTATCCCAATGATAAAGCCTACGGATAGCAGTAAAGCAAGTCCTACTATTGCTCGATGTAGTCGTCGTAACATATGTGTTTGTGTATATGAATATATGAGGGCGTGGGCTCTAGATATTTACAGACGCGTATGTCAAAAGCAGAAGAAGAACTGAAAGGAAAGGAAAGAAGAAGAGAGAGAGGGAGAAAAGAATCAAACAAGTAAAAGAGATACGATAAAATAAGGGGAACGGAAGGAGGATTGCGATGGGAGAAAGGAAGAAAGAAAGATTAAGGGGCCGTCCCGGAAGATGGACTATTTTTTTGGCTGCATGATCCTGTATAGGCTTTGCTTCTAAAACTGTCGACTGGCGCCGCTGGCCGTCGCCACGTCGCCCATTATTAGAACATTCAGCCCGTTTTGCACAGTGTATCTGTGCCACCATTACACAAACACCAGCATCCGCACTGTTGTTTTTGGGATTATGCATGACCGAGCCTTATCCGAGAGTGAGAGAGTGAGAAAAAGTGGCTGAGATCCATATATAGTATTGAAGTGGAATGCCATGGTGTATTCATTACCCAACCATTATAAATTATGGTTCGTAGTAGTACAAACTTCTCAAAGTCCCTGCTTTTGGTGTTTTCCATATAAAGGAAAGAAAATAGCATCGAATCACATCCTTTAATTGATGAGCGATATTGATAGCAATGTAAATCTTCAAAATTGTTCATAGACATGTTGAACAACTGCCTACAATAGGCCATTACCATCAAGCGAGGAATTTTTCCAAGACTGCCGACTGATGATGATGTGTGGAGATATATCATCTGTTAAATTAACCCTTATTTTAAAGCATCATTTCAAGTACTGTAAGCTTATATGATAAATCACTAATTCGACTTTATCTGTATGTTTGCGAGAAAAACACGAGACCATATATTTCGACTCTGAACATGATGAAGAACTGTCGTCAGAGATTCAAGACTGCAATCTGGTGCTTTATGAAGCCTTCAAAAGCTTCTGAAAGCTTTTCATAGTGTTTGAAGACTTTAAAAACTTTAAATTACAAATACAAAAATGTACCACTGGAAGATTTAGTAGCCCCTACTTGTGAAACGGCCTTAAGCCTGGGATCAACAGATACATTATCCAATTCGGCTGCTGTAAAGCTATTATTTAGCAAAGATATCGAAACTTACGATATAACAGTGTTTCACTTTGATAGCTCAATACATAAACAGGATGTCAAACAATGTACAACGATGTCATTATTTCCAAATAAAAACAAAAGATATATATGTCTCTTTTTCTCCTTTTCCTCTTTGCTCTCAACCCAATTCGCCAAATTGAAAACCTTCAACAAATGACAATTCGCTGTTTATGATGTAAGTCCCCATGTATATTACTTCCTCGATTGGCTAGTGTATTCGGTCCAAACAATGAGTCCCTGGTAGGTTTACAAGAGAGATAATTACTATTTGAATCAGCTTTGTACGCTCCGAATGCTCTCCGTGTACAAGTAAACGTCCCATTAACGCGTTTCCTGTACGCTTCTTATGCAGAAATGACAATATCAAGACGAGATGCAAATAGATCATGTTGATAGCAACATACACAACAACGATCTTGGTAGTCTCGAGCTTGTCTGTGCATGAAAACTTTGCGAAGGCTGTTCATACTAGGAGCTCGGTTGCTTTGTACGATAAAAGGTCGATCTTACGGCGAACAGCGTGGAGATAGCTAGGAGTGATCCAACAATGTTTCTCTCGGAAGCATATGAGAAATGCCAATTGGCAGCGCTCAATTCCCGAAATCAAAAATTCAACCTACATCACCTAAAGTTCAGGATAAAAACCTCTGTGCTTTGATCTCGGCTGATATTTCTATGTTTTAAAACGCCTGATGAGTCGCTATTTCCCTCTGAAAATACAACGTAGCGAGATTAAATGGACACAGGATCCTCCAGAAGCGCCGATAGTACCGCACGAGCACTTTGAGAATATACAGCACCTTGGTCATGTGATCGATTACAAGCACGTTTTTGGATAATCTACGGGACATGCCTGACAGAAGGGAAAATAGACAATCATATATCTGGCTACAAAGTGCCAGATAACGATCACCGCGTCTACACATAAGAGTATTCCACTGGCGCGTGATGTGGAAAAATTTACGAAATTACCGAGTCTTGTTTTTCAAGTTGACAAAAAAAAAATTAGAATACGAACGGTTCTGGCGATACAATGATAAGCTTATTGATAGAACATGATGTGCGTGATCATTGTAGTTACTCATGATATAGTACGAGCGACTATGTACAACGTACAGGGTCAATCCACGATTGGGTCAATGGAAAGCCAACTTCTATAACCGGTCCGGTAGAGAGTGAGAAGGTGCCGTATTTTAGCATTGCTGAGGTACTGTTGAATCAAAAAAAAAAAAAGGAATTCGGGCATGTGGGATGACTCAAGAAGGAAAACGTTGACGGATAGCGCTAATTAACCGACATGAATATTAAAACAGACAAGCGAGTGTGTTGCTGTTTAACAATCATTCTTATTTCTCTATTAGCAGCAGTAGTTAAGTAGATAGATCTATCTCACATTCTGCATTGATTTTTGCTCTAATACAGCAAAGTCCTATCTTTAATTGCTTTTCCCGTTAAAATCGTACTCTGCTTTCTTCAACAATTCTATAAGCAACCTCCAACATTCTCACCATTCACTTCGTTTGTAGCAATCGAGGATCTATACTTGGTCATAGAGAGCAAGCTACAACCACAACATAGTAAATATTGCTATGGTTTTATGTTTCAAGAATTTGAGGTCTATAAGCAACACCATACAAAACTAAATAAATTATTGAAAAAAGTTTAGTGGCTGCATTATTGTTCACGCACGGACCCATCTCAATCAAATCCAGTACATGGAATTAAACACAAATGCCAGTGCGGGATTGTCTGACAACGCGATATGTGTCGTAACGATCGTTTTAACTTTACCAGGATGTTTGATCATTGCCGTTCGTTGCCAAGGAGGTGCCAATTAACTTTTTGCTGCTTATTTTGTTTGATTTCTCTTTTCCAAATCTTACTTTATTGCTACGGGCAGTGAGGTGTTAGGCAGTCTTCTCTGTCAACGCATCGGGGTCATTGTCTAGGTCGTAATTGTTATTATTACTGCTGCTGCTGCTGTTATGTTGTCGGATTTCATTTTTGCCTGAGAGGACGATCTTCTTTCATCCTTTACCAGCACGGGGATAACTTTGTGATAAAGATACAATGAACTTGCTGAAGTTTAGGTTTTTGTAACTGCCACATGATGTTAATAACATTTTAAGTTATAATTAAGCAACCGTATTTGCTTATTTGTTTACTCATATAAAATCAATCTATGCACGAAAAGGATCACCAAAAAAGAAAGTTCAATATGGTATGATCCCCTTGTATATCTTTTTACAGAAATAAGGTTAATATCACAGTGAAGAGGGAAAAGAAAGCAAAGTGGATGGGAAGCAGCAAAAATTATCGTTTCTTGACAGCCTAGTCTATGCTAGGTATTACAAGCAAAGCCATCGAGCGGGTGAGCCATCTCTCGACGCAATGCATTCCCCTCGCATTGTTCACATTCCAGACTACTACACGTGCTTACTAGCCTTGTCTTTTTTGATGACCATTTCAAGCTACTCGTTTTATATAACTTGCTGTCTTTACTAGCAGTAGCGACGCCGAGCATATCGAAACAGTCAAAGGTCATACAAGGAGGTCAACATATTTTTCCCTGCGAGTGCGACATAAAGCTACGTACAGTGCAGCAGAAGAATGAGGGCCGAAGAAATAAAAGTGTTCCATCACAGATCTGCTTCAAAACTCATCAATCGTTTGGATGTTGAAAGAGGTTTCTTTTGATCAATCACTATTAAGAGTATCTTTCACTGGGGATCTGCATCGTCCGTTTGGATTTGCGACTCGCAGAGACTTCAACTGATTGTGCAGTCTAAACGGTATAGAACAAGTCGTTGCCGCTTGCTTATGATTTCATGCAAACTTTGTGCTAGCCGACTATGCACGCTGTCTGTATAAAATTGATCTCCCGCTCTTTTACATCCACACATTTGAACCACGCGCTTTAAAAGACTGTCTTTCTGTTTTGCAGCACAAGGGTGGTGATTCGCTTAAAAAATCCATACATTTGTAAGTAAAAGAAAGTAAATCAGTACATGAAAGATGGATCATTTACAAAGGGAAACTATACAATGGGGTGGAAGGGGAGCTTACGGTGGCAACAGTGCTGCCAGACCGGCCATCTAGATGTCCCAGTTGTAAATCTCGGAGGACTCATCAACATTGGATGCGTCAAGGAGACGGTCGTGTTCTTCAATATAGGCATCAATTACCCTGCCAATCTCCACTTCCAAAATCACAAATTACCACTTGGGCCTTTTGGAATCTTACAAAGCCTTGAAAGGTCTGTGGTAAACCACACTACTTTGAGATTGATCCGGACAACTCAACCCACTCCGACGTCTTCGTAACCATTAAAACGCAGTAGAGAGAACACCACACACACGGATGAATCAATTAATACATAATTAGCACCATATCGATAATCTCTCAAACATGGATTACCAATCGAGAATAACTCAGGACCAACCATTGTATACACATTGTCCTATTCTCGAGTTAGTCAGCACTTCCTTTGAATCTAGCTTATCTGAGTTGAGCGAAGTGCACCTGTCAAAAAGCGGATACCAATTCCAACACTGACAAAGGTGAGACTTCACCAAACAAGGAACACACTGATCAAGGCAAAGATGACTCTTTACAATTGCAAGACAACGTCTATTATCATAACCGACAAACTCAACCTTCCCATCCTTCTTCATCTTTGAAACATCCGAAATCCGGCATGTCCGCGATCCATTCATCAGTTCATCCAAACGGAAGTCGAGACAACATCTACAACAGTATATAAAGGGTTGTGAATTCATATAATAAAAATCATTTTATATTTGACTCTCACTGTATTTCATATTGTCTGTTATTTCTATCTTTTACTCTTATTACCTATCCACAACCCACGTTTATCACAGACGGTCGTGGATTAGTTTGTACTCGTTTTTATGGAATGACATCGACGCGCTTTATTATTGCCAGATACTGATTCAGCTATATATTGTAATGCTGCTAATTACATTGGTGAAAATATTTCCAAGGCACCACCAATAGCAGAATACTTATTCTCCTCCATGATCAAACTTGCGTGTTTTTCAGTTGTCTAAAGAGCCTTCTATATATGATCTAACAGGAAAAGACGGTAGTACTCTTCTAAGGATGCACGGACATAAACCAGCAGAAGTTGTCACTGCTTGCGCAATCGCTTGAGGAACCAATCAATATGTAGCGATCTTGACGCGTCACAGTAATGTCATCCGACCTTTTCGCGTCACTTATACACGTATACATACTGTCAAAGTGATCATTTGGCACTGCATCCCTCTTTCTCACCTTTTTTATTTTTTCTTCATTTCTATACTTCTCTTTGATGTTTAAGACCAACAATTTTTCCTCTAGCTGTTCAAAGTGGTGAGTTACGTGTTCCATCGCTATATTTAAGAGTCTGTAAGAAGGTCAATAGCACACAGACTGACACACTGTAGTAAGCATACTTTACCGCTGTAGTCCATGTCCAGCAGCAACCAACGACCTGCAGCATTGCTGCTTGGTGATGGGGTTGTAGCAAGAGCAAGGACACGACGCCAAACAAATGACGATGATCCGGCCATCATCCTGGGGCTACTAGATGAAGTACTCCTCGAGAAACTTGATCGCTTCCTGGAAGATCATCCGATAGTTCAGAAAAAGCAATACGCACCAAGATCGAAGATAAGCATAACTTGCCGTACGGGACGATGCAGAGTGTAGCGCGACTTGCGAACGAGCAGTACCAATTGAACATCAGCGCACAAGAAGCTGGCAATCTGTTGCGTACACGCGGTTGTGATCCCAAGAAGCACTGGCAAACATTTTGGCTACAAAATCTACATGATCGCCTGTCGAGGGAATTGACTGACAACGACTCAGAAGACGCAGAACAGGAAGAGCCCGAGGACGTCGAACAGGAGGGCGGGCATGAATTACAAGAGAACACCGACGAGTCCGACTTGTTGTATCGTACGACAACACCGATGGGATTGCCAAACATATTACGCTCAGACGTCAATGCAAAGTTATTCCATCATACAGTCATCAGCAAAGCTAAAGCAATCACGACAAACATTTCAAATCTCAGCACCATTGTCAACGCAACCATGTGTAAGCTGGCAAAAGATGACATTGTTCTCCATCAAGACGGAAGTGTTCGAATCTCGCCTGCCTTGACGAAACTCGATTTGCAGACGCTTCTACCCAACGAATACAAGATCAAAAACAAGACTGCACTAGACCAACAGCGTGAAATTTGTGTACCTATGGTCAATCAAGATTTAAAAGTGCTTAAAGAGGAAGAAAATGGTTCCAGATCGCCTCATCAACGTGATATCGAAGGGCTGTTATCAAAACGACATCGGCTCTATCTGAATTCGCACCACTTTGGGACAAAAACCAGGACGACTACCGACACTATTCACCCTGTATGGCATACCCTTTGTTCCAAGAACCCCGGCTTGCCAGCAGCACCATCAGGCTTGTCAGGAACGATCGAGGCGTCGATAAACGAGTACAGCACCAACCTCAACAACATGTGGGCGAGCGATAAGATTTTTAAAGCAGCCCTACATCATCTGACATTGGATCTGTTGCGCATCAACTTGGCGACAAAAAAAGAGAAGGAGAACGTCGAAAAGGCCGAAAAACTTGTCAAGGATGCGCGGGAGCATGAGGAAAAAAACAGAAATACACCAATCAAGTATACTATCCTACAACTGCGGTCTAAGCAACGCCACGAGTGCCGGCAGATAGCGAGGCACCTACAATTAGAAAGTCAATATCCAGAACAAACAGAAAAATTTGCTCAACGAATCAAAGCATGTATGCATCGGTTAGACAAGATCGTCACCCAGTTGAAGGAGAAGGTATGTTTCTTTTGAAATGGACTGTATGTAGAGTGAATTCTACCAGCAGGTGTATCCTAATATCGCCATTGTTGAGTTGCTTTATAGAAAGCCCCTGTTGGAGAAAGCATTGAACCAGAGGAGGAGGAGGGACCTCGAATAAAAGATGACCAAACCAGCCTTGCTTTTGGTGATGAGGTAAAGCTTGCTTTCTATGTTACACACTCTGCTCAAACCCTCTTCATGATTTTCCAAGTTTATATGTTAGAGACTCTAATTAAACATGTGGTTATTAGACTGTTGACTATATTGAAGATGAAGATGGTGACAGTGTTGCTTCTAGTAACGACGAGATTGAACTTGAAGAGGTTGGATTTTTTCTCTAAATTAGCTTTCATTATCCCTTGTTATAGCTTTTATCTGATCTATACTGTTTATCTACTAGCATTCGCTACCTGTCGTTGACGAAAACGGAACCATCCAATTAGGCAATCTGGTTACTACTATGGCTGACCGTGAAGCTGCGCATGAAGATGAAACTCAAGATATGGAACTGTCGCAACAAGAAGCACAAGTTGATGAACTGTCTGAACAACAAAGAGCCCAGGATAGCACACCCAACGAGCAGAAGACATCTTATTCGCGTATCAAGTCGTTGCAAGGTCTACTGAAAGCGTTATTACGTTCACCGAGTATACCACGAGACCGAGACGTAGAAGAAGCTCAAATCACGGAGTTCACACGAATGAAAAGCCTTGCTGCATGGGAGGTCGCAGCTGTGCAAAAGATTGCCAACGCACTTTTACCATTCACGCCCGACGACGAAACCCGATGCTTCATGACAGAGCTTCCATTCGTAGTCTTATCAAATACGATTCTATCTGCTATTGGCTACAAAGACCATATTGTCGATATTCATCCTGATGTTGCACCTCACAAGATCCACGTGCAGGCATTGACACCAGCAATCATGTACGAGATTTTGACACCTCATAATCGTGGACGGGCTCAAGGTCAATATCAAGTGCTAGATGACCAGACCAATCCCATTACATCGCGTGAACGAGCTCGAGATAACCCCGATGCTATGCTATGGTCCTTCTTCGATCAGTCTCGTGTTGAATCACTAGCGGACCGACATCGCATGGAATTCTGTAATCGCATTATCGTACGACCAGACAAGACCGTATCAATCGTTGGAATCATGAAGGAAGGCTGTGGGCCGTTGGTCTCTGCATATGAGGAACGTCAACGAAAGCGACGAAAGAAGGGAGGTCGGTCAGGAGCGTCAGCAATCATTGGGACGACCGATAAGACGCTTGAACAGTTACAAGCTGATGAAGAGCGGGCAACATCGAGCATAAAAGAGCTACAAAGAAGACATGGTGTTCTAAAGAAAAAATACCGACAAACCGCCAAGGAACGCAAAATAGCCAAAAAACGTTTTCAGTTTGCAACCAAACATGAAAGAATCGAAGCAAGTACCGCACTATCGATACGTGTGCGTGAAAATCGGCAAGCTAGGCTCGCTATGCTGCTTAATCATCGTGATTTGAAGAATGAAAAGAGTCGTAGATACAAGACCCAAAAGGTAATATTATCCTCTCTGGATTTCTTTAACACATGTACTGGTTGTTGATTGATACGTTCCCATTATTGTAGTTTATCGAGCAGGCGAAAAACAACAAGAAAGACAATGCCGCTGCAACTACTGTCCCAGCAATAATACCGACTGTGCAAAAGCCTCAGTGCGAAGATACAGCTGCTAATATTGATCTGTCAAATTATTGCCCATTGGGTCAAGTCTACGGTGGTACAGACTACGGTCATGTTATAATGTCCCAGACAACAGCCTTAACCAAACAAGATGTTCTTTTCCACGTCTCTCTCTACAACGCGCAGCAAATTCATCGGCAGCAGCCAAGATTAGCCGAAGCAGGCTCGCTTGGAGCAGATGTATCAATCAACCAAGCGTCCGACACGTCTTCACCCTCTGCAATCCCGCGACACGATGCCACACAAGCAAATATGAAGAGGGAAGGCATGGATTTAGAACCACCACCTCCAGCGAAGCGCCAGACGACCTTTGATTTAAAAAATGCTGTCGGAAGTTCTGAATTGCACCTACAAGAACAGAGTGACGCCAAGCGGGAAGGATCTACATTGGAAGAGCAACAACCACCAGCAAAGCGGCAGTGTTTGCATAGTGATGCTACAACATCTCATCAAAGCCCGCCACCGCATATATCCAAAAAGGAAGCAATACATTGCAGCTGGGTCTTGAACCATGTTGAAAACGGATCCATCACAATGAGCCACAAAGGACGTATACGGATGTCACGACAGAATATTCAGCAGATGCGGATTCTGTTGGACCGTGAGATGAAAGCTTCACCGCAGCAAGAGCATCAGGACCAGCGTCAGGACCAGCAGCTACAACAACAGCAGCAATATATTGATCTTGAAACGCTTACAGTCAAGGACCTAAAACTACCCAAGCCATTCACAATCACACACGAACAGATCCATGAAGCGACGAAAACAAAAAAGTTCATGGTGAGGCAGGAGAACCGGCTGAAGAAGGTATGTTCATGTAAAATTGTTGTACGCATACGTGACAGTTTACATACTTAGCTTATCTTGCTTTAATGTTTATGAACTACATTGATATACAGCCTGAGAATGAAGAAGTGCGGAATGCTCTCCACGACTTACAACAAAACTGCTTCGTTGGCATCTGCGATCCAGTGGAAATCTTCAAAAGGCAAAAAGTCAGGCTACAGCATGTCGACGTTCTACGCAAGTTTTATTATTCCAACGCTGCCCTCAATGAACACCGTCACCGCGAAATTGCTACAAGTCGTCTTTATACGCAACTTGCGACAAAGGAACGCCAATACGTCAGAAGCACAACTTCCAAAAAGCTAGGAATCCCATCCAAAAACCTGCGTCCTGTCATGTGTGTTGGCCTTGCCGGCACAGGCGTAGGCTCCCATCTACGTGGGCGACCTCGGCGCGGCGGCCGCAAGATGCGCAATGAACATAGAATTTGTTGTCCGGTGGTATTGCAGGATGAATATCGAACTAGTCAAACCTGTCTCTTCTGCTTTTGTCCACTAGTGATGGCAACGGCAACCAAGGCTACAAAAAACGGTAAAATCAAGTCAGTGAAGGTCCATGGCGCTCTCCAATGTGTCAACCCGGATTGCCCTGCGGTGCGTGTCGGGTACACTACCTTTAGTCGTGATTCTCTCTCGAGTACGGCCATGATCATCGCTGCTGTTACCCAGTTATTCTCCCCTACCAAGTCACCTCTTCCCCCTTTCGATCCTACCAACCCAACACAAGCAAGTTTTACATTTTCACCTGCCTTTTTGCAGCATCCATCATATCATCTTTAGAAATGGTGCGCTTGTTGCTTCCATGGTTTTTCCTGGACCTGTTTATTGCGCGCTCCCCTTCTTCCCCCAAACATCGTTTGAGTGCCAATAAATTGGTTGATTTGCTGTCAAAGCACAATAAATTGCGCGTTTTTCCACTCTCAGCAAGGAGGTGAGCCACCATGTTGGCGACTAGCTGGATTTGAGACGGATTAAACAGACACTAGCGTCAAAGTATTAGGTTATGAGCTCTCATTTTAAAAAGTTACTAATGATAATTAACGGAGCTGTTATCTATCACTGCTCATTTAACAGAAGAGAAGAAAAGCGAATGAGAAGTAATCATGATGTTACCTAATCAGGACTAAACATTTTACCATCATAGTCATTTTCCAGCAGCTCTAAGACTGACTTTGATAATTCTCCAAAGTTGAAAGCTTTCTCCAGTAAGATCTCTTTCAAATTGGTTGTTATGTGTAGGACTCTGCAGTATTGGATCAGTCATGCAGACACCCACTTTATTAACAGCAGCTATCAAACCTAGCTGCTGGTCGCGTAGAAGCTTTAAAGATGCTGAAAGGTTTCTCTGTAGCCACTTCCCAGTTCAACGTTTCCATTAAAACATCTGTCTGTTTCTAAGGAGAATAACGCGATCTTTGCACAACGCATAGGTTGGTAGTTTAAACAGTATAAAGAGGGTCAGCTAGACACATAATATCCGTAGCTACCGTACTTTATCATACATTACTGCGTTAGACTACACGGAAGCGAATATGTCATTGCTAGATTTCCAGCCACAAAGCTCAAAATCAAAATTCACAACACCAATGTTCGCGTCTGAGGCAACCCTTTATTTTGTGTGCTCGTTGTTCAAACCTGGTCTTGCTTCACTAATCCATATGAATAAATAAGAAACATACATTTAACCGATGACCATTTTGATGCTACGGAAGACTTGCCATAATCACAGGAAATACAAAACGCCTGATGGATGGGTGCTACGCCGTTTTCTTTCTGAACCTATCACGTGCGGCGATGAAACAGGCGAATCGGAATAAGCTTTCTTGAAATGACGAGATCTACGGCTGGGCAGAGCTAGCCAATAACAGCCAACATCGGACTTCTTTGTGCCTGTTTGCTTATAATCCTCGGGTGCGATCTTTCCCACACAGGTCGTCTTCTTTTGACACAATTAGTAATGAACAGACTGAGCTCATTTGTCCGTGCCTACTCTACCGTCCAACCTGGCCTGCGCCCCGGTGTAAGTTTTGAATACATACTCTACGCTTTGCTACTCATTGCTTCAAGGTGATTAACACGCGAGTAATTGACTTTTATTTGGACAGATCACCAAGGGCTTTGTCGGTGCAATTGGCAACACTCCTTTGGTAAGTTGAAGTTTCTCGCTCTGATATATACTGATAGCCTAAAATTCAGACCTACTGATAATCGAAATACAATGCGCTTCTAGATTCGTTTGAACCGCCTCAGTGAGGAAACTGGCTCGGACATTTTGGCCAAGGCCGAGTTCATGAACCCTGGTGGTTCCGTCAAGGACCGTGCTGCTCTTTTCGTCGTCAAGGATGCTGAGGAGAAGGGGTTGATCCAGCCCGGAGGTACTGTTGTTGAGGGTACGGCTGGTAATACGGGCATTGGGTTGGCTCACGTCTGCCGTGCCAAGGGTTACAAGTGCGTTATTTACATGCCCAACACCCAGGTAAACAAACTTAAAGAAATTATACAATTTTGGAGAGAAAAACACAAGATGAAAACTGAACAAGGAGAAAACTGATGTGAAGAGTCGGTGGTGACATCCCTTTATAGTCGCAAGAAAAGATTGATTTGTTGCGTATGTTGGGTGCTGAGGTGTACCCCGTCCCTGCTGTCGCCTTCGACAACCCACAAAACTACAATCACCAAGCTAAACGCCACGCTGAAAGCTTAAGCAACGCCGTCTGGACCAACCAATTCGATAACATTGCTAACCGACGCGCACATATCGAAACTACTGGCCCTGAGATCTGGGCCCAAACCGAAGGTCGTATGGATGGTTTCACCTGTGCCACCGGAACCGGCGGTACATTCGCTGGTACTGCCCGCTATTTAAAAACCCAAGACAGCAATGTCAAGGCATACATTGCTGATCCTCCAGGATCCGTTTTGCACAGCTATGTCCAGAGTGGCGGCAAGTCGTTCGACCGCGAGGGTGGTTCCATTACTGAGGGTATTGGTCAGGGCCGCATTACAGACAACATGGCTCAGGACGTGGATATTGTCGATGGTTCGTTCTGCGTCCGCGACGAAGAGTCAATCAACATGCTTTACCGGTTGTTGGATGAGGAGGGTATCTACGTTGGCGCAAGCTCTGCACTGAACGTTGTTGCCGCTGTCAAGTTGGCCCGTGAATTGGGAACTGGTAAGATCAAGATTTATTAAATTGCTTGGGTGAAATAAGTTCATGCACTGAAAGTGTTTTTGTTGCTCTGTGCGTATAATGTAGGCAAGCGCATTGTGACTATCCTGGCCGATGGTGCCTACCGATACCAATCGCGTCTCTTCAGTAAGTTCTATTTCGAGTATATTAGAATACGTGGGAAACAGAAAAGATGTGATCACTTACGAACTGTTTTCTGCTCATTTGCGTTTACTAGGCCGCTCGTGGCTAGAGTCCAAAAAGCTCGATAATGCCATTCCTGAGCATTTGCAGAAGTACATTGTTTTGCCGTAGACTAATATCTTAATATATCCATTGTTTGCCCTCAAAGAAAGAAACATCGATGTTGTATTTAAATAAATCTTCTTAGATATAGAAAATGAATAACAGGGGAGTTACGGTGTTGCTTTGATGAGAATCTGTCAACATAAAAGCATGATTAGCCAGTACACTTTTCAGATTACTAGTAAGTGTTTGTTATCTCTGACAGGGCGCAATGGTACGAATACTGATCATGTTCGCGACGGAATTTCAATAAACGAGTCCTCATAAGTGTGCGCAAGCGATCGGTTTCAGGTTCTCTCTGTCAAACATGGGCAAAAAGAAAGCAGCTAATCAAGGCCCCACGCAACAGCATTTGCAGGCATACCAGCGAATGAACTTTTTACATCAAGCATCAATCCTCATGTCTACTACATTCACAACGCTGCCGAATAAGAATTCGAAATCCACTGAAAAACAGCATCAGCAGCAATCACTTGCGCCTCTCGGCCGATATTACAACAACAATATGAAAAAAATTGGCAGAAAGCTTGTATTGCGATCGTAAGAATAATTAAGAACGAGTGAAAAGAAAGAGAGATGTATATGTCTGTTGAGGCCTTTTTTCTCTAAACTTGGAACGTTTACTTATGTAGTGACCCGAGTGTAAAACGGGCCATTTGTAAACGATGTGACACAGCATTGATACCAGCCTTGACAGCCTCAGTGCGAACCCGAGGTAAGATATGTAAACGCATGTAATTGGCTCTTGGAAGATATACCCAATGTTGTGCGGATTGATCTAGGTACACCGACTGCCGTAGTGACAACGTGCAAAACATGCGGTACCCAGAAACGATTGGTTGCGAATCCCAAGCATCAGCTTTTCAATGACAAGACAGAGAACATTTTACCTACCTCACAAACAGAACCATAATTAATCTTTCATCTCATAAGCGCACTATCACCTGTGCCAACTAACTATGCCCTATTCATATCCCTCTCTTTCCCTTCCATTACCATATAATCATCATCATCACCATAATTGCTGTAGATACTTCTGTTTGATCATTCTGTACCTGTCTATCATAGTAAAAACAATCGCTCCGCATCATTATACTTTACAGCATATACACTACTGCAAAAACAATGGCAGTTTCAGCAGAATGTGTTGAGTGGCAACATTAAAAGCTGCTTCGCGATAATTTACATTTTTGGAAACTGCCGTTTCTTCCGTCTCAGCGCGATACGCGCCTTCTTTTTCCTTTACCTTTCCGACAAATATGGATCAATCTTTCAATCTGAAAGTTCCCAATCGCAAATACGTGCTAGTCGAATACCCTGGACGGGTCAAGAATGTTGATCGAGCACTCAAATCCCTTGGTGGCGAGAAAACTATCGCAAACGTTAGATCCAGCAGAGAGAGAGGAAAAAGCGGGAAAGCGAGAGACTCGCGTGTTATTGCTGTTGTTGATTCATAAAAGTTAATCAATCTATATTATTCATTTTTAGGCTTTGAACAAAGAGGTCAAAACGATCGAACTTCGTTACCGCCCTGAAGATCCTTTCTCTCACCCGGTCGTAGGAGACGTTGTACCGACGAGTTCACTCTTGCTAAAAGTCACCAAACGTAAAAAGAAAAACCAGCCTGATGATGAAGCAGCGTTTAAAGCAGAAGCTCTTGGTACTATTTTGAAGAGTTGTCGCTTTCGTGGTATGTATCTTTTAACCTCTATCGAAACGACAAGAAGAAGGCGGAATAAGGGAAGGGTCAAGATGGAGAGAGGGAAGAAATGTAGAGGAGCTAATAGCTTTTATGGATCCTATTGTTCGCTAACGTTCAACTTAGCAATGGCCGACTTCCAATATCTGGTGCCAAAGGACGAAAAGTTTAGTCGATTGCGATCCAGCCTGGAAAAAGGAAACGGTAAATGATAAATAGCCGATCACAGGAGTCCGCATATATCTCGATTACTAATCCACAACATCTTTCCATATTGGATGCTACTGTTACTGCTGTTGTTAGTGAACGAGATATTGAATTACAAATTGGATGAAGAGGACAATATGACACACATTCCGCCACCAGTCTTTAGTATGCGTGAAACACCATTTGATTATGCGTAAGTAACTGTGATATAATTTTCCAAGAAACTGTTGTTTGTTCCCGATATATTTTTACTAATTCTATAAACCAGCTATCATCAATTCCAACCCATTTTGCGCGTTCGAGTTCGACAACGCGACGGCAGTGTAAGTAACTAGAGTGGAAGAGCTGGGGTGGAAGGAAGAAAGAAACTTGGCTTGGTCAATAGTATCAGAGAGTAAGAACATGAGCTAACAAAACATAATTAATAGTATGCAATTAAGCTTGTTAATCGGTTTAAACGCACAGCACTTGAACTTATTTCTCTGTCATTTGAGGATACTGAGATTCCTACTAGTCCCAAATTCGACTTAACTGTCTTGAAAGCAGATGAACGGGCTCTTGCAGATGAAATTAAAAAGGTGAGAACGAAAAGCAAAGATTAAGACACTGATATACCCTGTTTCGTCATTTATATCAATTATGTCCGTATAAAACACTAAAATTATATATAATAGCTATTCGAAGAACGGCCTGTTTGGACTCGTGTAGCTCTCCTTAGTAATATTGCACATTCAAAACACAGTTCGTTGCGAGGGTATGTTAAATATTGATAACGGTATTATCAGGGGACGTATGGGAGGGCATGTTTACTTATTTTTATAATCACCTACAGAGCTCTGAACGCCAATGCGTATACCTTCCGCACCGGGCCATTCCGTGAATGCTGGATAAAATACGGAATTGACCCAAGGAAAGACCAAAAGTATCATGTGTAAGTCACCTACATAATGCACTATGATGTCTGCCTAGTCCTTTCAACTACGCCTTCTTATGATGAGACGTTCATACTAGATATCAAAACGTGGATATTCGTGGTACTATGGAATTATCGCATTCAAGAATGGGGCGCAGGGGAACAAACCGACTTTTAGAAGCTAAAATACATAAGACGCCTTTATCAAACGAAGTGAAGTAAGTCCTGTAAAAGGAAGGCTTTTCTTCAATATGCTTTTTCAGTATACGATTTTGCAAAGCGTCTGTAATATTAACGACAACAAATATAATACATGACACAATAGTGAAGAGCAACGGACGAGTCATTTATTTGACGGTCGAGGCGCGGTACCAAAGAGTGCATTATTGTGTTTATGCGACGTGACTGATACCGACTTTAAGACTTTGATATACTCTCCTGGCTACATGAAATCCGTGTGCACTAAGCGTAGCGGATTTTATTACGACTGTGTGTACGATCGGATCCGTGTCTTGATCAAAAAGAAAGTGTACGAATACAAATTGACTGGCAAAGCAGCAAGCTTAACAAATGCTACCCAGGGGCTTGAAGAAGCAATAGCCAAAGAGATAAAAATGAGGAAATATGATGAGTCCACTGGATTTGTCGACAAAGGAGATCATGAAGAAGAGGACGACGAAGGAGAAAAGGGATTGAGCAAAGAGGAATCGGTACGTGGAAGGAGATGATGATGGCAGAAGACTGTTAGAATTATCAAGCAGTGAAACTCATATGTTCCTTTTGTAGTTTGCGAAAACTCTGCGAGAAATTCAAGGTATGGAGCTAAAGAGCAAGTTAGCCAATTGATGTTTAACTCTAATGTCCTCCTTTCTTTAGCACAAGGATTTGGTTTTGGCTCTATGGATCTGGAAAAATTAGCAGAGTTCGACTTTGACGTTCTTTATGGCGAAGAAGCTGACGAAGACATTGTTGAGCCGGAAGATGTGGAAGGAGAAGCAGTAGGAGAAGATGAAGAGGAGGAGCGCGAAGACAAATCACTGTGGGAATTAAACGATTTTGACCTGTAAAGTCCAAATATCCCGTTGCCTTTTATTCTTTTTTAAACAAAATTTTATTCATAACTAATTTATCATGGATGCTATTGTTGCTAAAGAGCGCAGCAGCTATCACGAGTCTAAATAGCTTGTTTGTGAGCGGTGTGGACGCCGAAGCACTGGCGAACTACATGAGGTTTCCAGGCTGCTTGGTGAACTTCCTCAATTTATCGATATTGAGTTCCACCATATCGTGCTTGATGATAATTTTTTAAAAAACCAAAGTTTGCAGGAGTTTCACGCGCTTGCAGAACATATATCTGTATTGAATAGAGAAGCTGCGTAGCCATGGAACAAAAGTAATCATGTAGTAACACTCACTTCATTTAAATTTAGTTTATTACATTGATCTTTTCTTTTTTATCAAAAAATAACATTTCACTTCAAGGCAGGAGCTGTGCTCTCCCCGTTTATCTGATACGTTTCGTCAAGCAGACTATTACCGAAACTGTATAGTCATTCTATATCGTGGCTGTACCTTCTTGCACAAACCAGTTTGGTACTGTTTTCTCATGTGGTACTATTCTTTAAACAGCCAACGGGAAAGATGACCTGAAAAAGTGAATGAAAAGGATGATTTATTATTAAATCAGAATTATTTTGTAAACAAGAATACAAGTACTTCTAGAGGTCTTGTCACCTTGCTCCGAGCCGTCATGCCGTGCCGAACATGAAGCACTCTAATGCTTACTGCTCAATATGTCATCAGTGCCTGGAAGAATCTTTGCTAGAACAACTTTAATTTTAAAAATAATTGCATGACATCCATACTTTCATGATGAGGTACACAAAGCTGGCAAACTGAGTTCTTTCAGCCGGTTACCTGTGGCAGTTACCTTGTTGATAGAATTGTTCGCGTATTCAAATGCTCGAGTATCATCAAGAAAAGGTAACGAAGAAAATGTACGTTGTTGAAACATAAATAAGTAGTAGTCAAGTCTGTCGATCTGAAACGGGTGTCTCATGCAACAGCACCGAGTCAACAGATGACATAAACCAATGATGGGATGACTATTGACTAATTTGGAACAACCCCCTTGCGATTGGGTCAACTTGAGTCAGCTTTTGATATTGAGGGCAAATAGTTCCAAATTAAGCACTGCTGGTACCATTCTTTTTTCCTTCTTTTCTCCACTTGCGATCATGAGCCCTATTGAAAACAAGACTACTTTGAAGCTTGGTGTTCTTGGTACGTGAAATCTCGGTACAAAGAAGTGTGTCGATTCAGAAGTTTAGTGATCCGTCTTGTACGCACTGATCGAGCTTGTTGATCTAACGATGTTCCGGCAACCCCTTTTTTTCCCACAAAATATGACAGCTTTGCAAGGTGCATTCCTGGAGCATATCCACATGCTCGACAATTTGCCTACAGTCTCTGAGGCCATTCCAGTCCGTAATCTTGAACAACTGCAATCAGTGGATGCACTCATTATTCCCGGAGGCGAATCGACCTCTATGGCCTTGATTGCTGAACGCTGTGGTCTCCTCGAACCCCTCCGAGAGTTTGTTAAGACAAAGCCAACTTGGGGCACTTGTGCAGGCATGATCATGTTGGCCAACGAGGCTACGAGTGCAAAGAAGGGAGGACAGCAGTTAATTGGTGGTCTTGCTATCCGTGTCAACCGGAATCAATTCGGTACCCAGAAGGAGTCTTTTGATACCAAGTTGCACATGCCTAAATTAGTAGGCGAGACACCTTTCCATGCAATCTTTATTCGTGCACCCATCATTACTGATGTGCTATCAGACGATGTCAAGGTCGTTGCTCGTTTGGAACAAAAGGTCGGCCAGACCGAAGCTGAAACCATCGTTGCAGTCCGTCAGGGTCATCTCTTTGCCACCGCATTCCATCCCGAATTGACCTATGATAACCGACTTCACAGCTACTTTGTAGACATGGCTCTAGAGTGCCATAGCAATAACTAAGTTTAAATCATGATTTGTATTAGTTCATACGCATCCATTTACATCCACATTCCCCATCTTATCCTATATTTCTTCTGTACACATTCTCCTAGAAAACATATCATTAGAGCATATATACTCCATTCGCTTCAAAGTCAAAGGATTTTCTTTGTATGAGCCGGTAGGCAGTAGCCTTTTTTTTAATGTGTTTCTTTCTCACACACACATTCTCTTCAATTTTCTTCCTCCACACTAGAAGATTTCAATAAACGGTACATGATTGACACCCATTAATGCACTGTTATGTGTTTTTTGAATGAAAGAGTAGAACGAGACAAACAGCGAGACACAGCAAAGGCAAAAGGCTCGCTGTACTATGTGAGAATCTCTGCAGCACCTGGCTTAAATCAACCAGTCGATATTTTAAAAGATCTGATACTTCGCTAAAATAGAATAGCAATAGCACGATGGTTGGAAGATGGATTGCTAATTCGAATGCTGCTATAATAGGATTTGGCATGACTGTTGGAGGTGCTCATTTTACTATATTTTTCTCACGACTAAAGCTTCTTTGAGTGGCTAAGATGTCGTATATCTTTGCCGGATGGTATACTCACTGTGGAAATATACCATACTATCGAACAAAAATAAGCAACTCAGCGATGCATAGAAGATGGATAAAATACAGATAATGTTTTGATTGACATGTATGTTGTATAAGTATATATTTACATCCAGTTATTATGATTCAAGGGGAGGGGAAATCTAAACAATTCTATTTTACGTATTTATAATTTAGCCTTAGCCTGGGCAGCGTCTTCCTTCTTTGCCATCTCGCGAACCTGTCGGCGCATGATTTTACCGCTGCCATTCTTGGGGACTTGGTCGATGAAACGCACACCACCCCGCAAACGCTTGTAGTTGGTGACATTCTTGGCCACATAGTCACTAATTTTCTGGACGAAAGCATCATCAGCTTTAACACCAGCTTGAGGAACAACGTAAGCACGGGGTAATTCGGTGGCCTGGGCAGTGTCGAACACGCCAATGACACAGCAGTCAGCAACTTCAGGCAAGCCCAACAAAAGAGCTTCGAGTTCAGCGGGAGCAACCTGGAAACCCTTGAACTTGATCAATTCCTTTAAACGGTCGGTAATGAAGAATTCTTGGGCCTTGCTATCAAAACGGCACACATCTCCCGTTCTCATCCAGCCGTCCTCAGCGAAAGTTTCAGCATTGGCCTTGGGGTTGTTCAAATAGCCCTTCATAATAGAGGGACCTCTGTAGTCGGGGAAAAAACGAGCCATCCATTAGAATCAATGCATTTTTCCCGATAAATACCAGCCAGAAGTTACTTTTCTCACCTCATCAAAAGTTCACCTTCTTGATCAGGACCAAGTTCTACATGCACAAATAAATGAATCCGGAATTGAGTCAAAAGGGTTTATAGCAGAACTTTTCACCGCACAATCTCGATCGCTTACCCTTTCCAGATACGACGTCGACAATCTTGCACTCGTGGTTCGGGCAAAGTACACCGATAGAGCCGGCTACACCACCAGTAGACTTTTGAGTGATAACGCCACTGGTCGTTTCGGTCATACCGTAACTATAGCAACCAGTCAGTAAAACAAGCAACCATGTCTTAACTCCTGTATCTCCCATGACAACTACGTTACCCTTGTTTTAAAAGAGCGGGCATGCGTTGGGCAAGTGCGTCAATGTGTTCCTTGCCAAGGGGGGCAGCACCGCAGCCCAAAAGACGGACGCTGGACAAGTCGTACTTGGTAACGATAGGATGCTTGGCCAGAGCAACAGCTAGAATAGATGAGTTCAGACCAGTCAGTACGCGAAGAGGTCTCTTCTATTTGCTTTCCCAATATACATACCAACTGGTGGAACAATGCTAGCAAGCGTAATTTTGTACTTTTCGATCAGTTCGCAGAACATCTGGATCTCGAAGCGGGGAATAACCACAACAGGTGTGACAGCATAGAACGCATTGAGGCACAAGACGGTCAAACCAAAGATGTGGAAGAAGGGCAAGAAGCCCAACACAACGTCGTCAAATTCTTCCTCATTATCTTCCTTCATGCCCATCATGAGAAGAGTTTGTGAGACAAAGTTTTCATGGGTCAACATGACACCCTTAGCCAAACCAGTGGTGCCACTGGAATAGCAGATGAATGCGACATCTTCCTTGCTGTTGATGCCCTTGAAAGGAGGAAGGATCTGGCGCTCGCCGAGCAGCGAATACACGGATTTGTAGCCATCGACTTCCTTCTCACCATACAAAAAGATGCGGTCCTTGGGGATGCCTACTTTGGCGCACACCTTGGTGAGGACAGGCAGCAGCTCAGGAACAGTAACGAGAGCCTTGGCACCCGAGTTTGAGATCTGGTGGTGGAACTCAGCTATTATGGGGAAGGAGAGACAAAAAGCGGGATGGTTAATTGGGGTTCTAAGCGCGGGTTTTTCTGACTTTATTGGTGCACGTCTTACCTTCAGTGTACGCAGGGTTTCTAAAATATCGTACCCAATCGCAGTTAGAAAAATTTGGGACCTGATATCAACCACTGTGAAAGATTTTTCCTTCTTGTCTCTTTTTAATGGATGGAGTAGATTGCTAACTTACCCAGGAGTGACGGTGACATTGGCACCGAGTAAAGAGAGGTATACTACGATGTGATCGTACTGGTTGGGAGCAAAGGACGCCACGATATCGCCCTTCTTCAAGCCGACCTTGTCTTGCCATCCGGCAGCCATGCGGCTAGCCAGATTTTTAACTTGGGAGAACGTCAACGAACGGCCGGAAGGACCATCTATCACGACCTTGCGATCCTGAGGATGTGCGGTATTGTATTCGTTTTCCGAGAGGAGGAACGAGTAGACATCAATGTCGGGTAAAGGGATAGGAGCGTATGAGGACTTGAAGACAACCATTATTTGTGAATGAAGGATGGATTGGAAAGGAGAAGGGAAATAGTGACATTTTGTGGGGAAGCCCTCATAACCTTTTTATTAAGTGGAGTGGGAATATGAGTTACATAATTTTCTTCAGTGTCATTCGCTGTTGCAAGCGGTAGAAACATTTTCCGAAATTGCTTACCTGATCCTCTTTGCCATGTTCATGAAGCTGCTAACCTTATACTTTGCTTCGTGTCCATATCGCAAAAGGCACGTTACAGTGAGAGGGTAAAGCTGCCCTCTTCCTTCTTAAGAGGTCGCAGCATATGCGTGAACTGCACCCTGATGTGCTATATCAGCAATGCTGTTCTTCGTTTACATAGAGAATACGCTCGCTTCAGTTTTTTTCCGTCGTCCGCAAGAACACATTTCCGTTTGATATGAATTTGTAATGCTTTGTGGCGGACTCCACATGTATAATGACTATGACGTATAACTAGCCTAACCTCGTGGGGCTTACGATCTCTGAGATTTGAATCTCAAGTAAAGTCCTTCAGTATCATCAGAAACTAGATCATCTCGTCCGTGGAGGCAATCTGAAAAACGATCGGGTAATCGCGTTCGAGAAGCTTGCCCAAGCACTAAACCCAAGCGCCAAAGTCGCGTACTAAGCTTTTTTATTTGCATCCAAATCGGGAAGGAGAGTGAGAGAATAGACTCTTGGGTGAGAATTGACAACGGCCATCTTCAACCAAGTTCGGATCATCTCCAAAAAAAGCTACACTCCAGAGCGTGCGACTATGGAGTCACACACATCCACGTCCGTTCCTGAGCTTCCAGATGTTTGCAGCTCCAATCTTGGGAATTCAATTTGTGTAACGGAGTGAATAATCGAAATATGCCAACCGCGTCAAGGGTCGTCGAGATCCAAATCAGGCAATATGCGCTGCATCTCGTTCATGCATACCAGACTGGACCGGTATACATCATCTTGATATGTTATCGCGCACCCCCTTTCACATATACGCTTATATTATTGAACGGCTTTCGATGCCTTCTCTTATCCCTTCCTTCCTTTATTTTTCTCATATCTGCGTATTACAGGATATCCACCGGCCATGGCACAATCCACAGAAAAGAAGGATATATGCCTGTTGGCCGTCAACACGTCTGATGACAATGCCAATTCACCCTCTTCACCGCCGCACCCCGCTGTTGTTCCATCACGGCACGTTAACTTGCCGCCCTTTGTGCAGGCAAGCTTGCCTATTTTCAGCTATTGTACTGCCAGCATTGTCATGACGGTAACGAACAAGTATGTCGTTAGCGGCGACTTTAACATGGTGTTTTTGCTCTTGACTGTTCAGGTATAAATTCAGGACTATGGCTCATCGGGGCCCTATGTTTCTTCTACTCTTTCGTATGGCAAGCATGTATTGATTTCAATGCATATTAGAGTGTTGTCACTGTTGCGTTTTTGCAAGTGTTCAAATTCCTCAATTTGATCAAGTTTCGCGAATTCAATGTGGATGAGGCCAAGAAATGGTTTCCCATCACGATCTTTTTGGTGGCTATGATTTACACCGGTTCCAAGGCTCTGCAGTTCTTGCCCATCCCTGTGTATACGATCTTCAAGAATCTGACCATTATTTTGATTGCATATGGAGAAGTTATCTGGTTTGGTGGAAACGTCACCGGCATGATGATGACCTCGTTTATTTTGATGGTACGTACATTCGCTCTCTGTTGGCATGAGTTCCATCATCTTGCAAAAAACTAATCACCATAGCTTTGTTTCTTCTTTCCCTCGATATCTTGAAGACGTTCTCTTCGGTTATTGCAGGTTGGAGTGATGTGTCTGATGCCATTTCATCAATGTCCAACATGTATTATACCCAGAGAACCCCCGGTGTACCTCTTGTAGGCTACTTTTGGATGCTTTTCAACTGCTTCTCATCAGCCTCTTTTGTTTTGTACATGCGCAAGCGAATCAAGTTGACGAATTTCAAGGATTTTGATACTGTCTATTACAACAACTTGCTTTCCATTCCACTATTGTTGCTGCCTAGTTTGGCTCTTGAAGATTGGTCTGTCAGTAACTTTGAAGTGAATTTGTAAGTGAAGATGAAAGCATTTGAAAGTCTTTGTCGTGTAGACTCTGTGACTAATTTAGTGTACATTAGCCCCGTGGAACAACGACAAGCGCGCGTTTGGGCAATGGTATTTTCTGGAGCATCCGCTTTTGGAATGTCTTATGCGTCCGCATGGTGTGTCAGAACCACCTCGTCGACGACATACTCCATGGTCGGCTCACTAAACAAGCTCCCAATTGCTATCTCTGGAATCGTTTTCTTTGGTGACCCAGCTACATTTGCCAATGTGTCGGCTATTATGATTGGTAGGTCCTTGACATGTTCGAGCTTTTTACCCTTTCACCTAAGATCATCGCGAAAGAAAATACTGACATTTCAATGCTCCTTTTTAAAGGCTTCACTGCTGGCCTTGTTTATTCGTATGCCAAGGCTTTTCCTAGTAAATCGGATCCCAAGGTGTCTTCAGCATCCAGCCAAAGTTATTCAGATGCTACAAAGTATGACGAAAAGAAGGACAGCTTGTAATTCTCATCATACAATCTAGCTTGGCATTCTCTTTGCATTTTTTTCTTATTGCACGCATCACGCTCTACGGAGGCTGAGATTAATGCTCTTTTAAAAACCAATACATCATTATCCTCTCACAAAGAACTTCCAAATCTCCAAAGTAACGTTAGGTGGATAGAAATAGTTGGTATGTATTTTAAACGACGTTGATATATGTGTACTCTCATACGTATCTGGGAAACCGAACAAAGCTGGCAGCTGGGCTATAAAAATTGCCAGAAATGCCAAAAGAGTTCCCTTCCATATTCTACTGATGATGACAATCACGATGAGCAGCAACCTGCCTGCGACTCTTCAGAAAGTGCACTATTTTGTGATGGTCCTAGTCGTATCCCTGAAGTCTACACGCGGATGTACGGTTGAGTAAGTCCGACCTTTTCCCTTTTCAAAGCATATAGCAAACGGATAGAAGCTACTGCCTCCTTCATACCTCATTGCCTGCAAAAATGCCAGCTTGAATCTTCTCATACACCTTTTCGGCCGTCTTGATGAATGCTTCCTCTACATTGTCTGCCGACTTGGCGGAGGTCTCCATATACAACGGAATGTCATTCTCTTCGGCGAAGCGCTGAGCTTCCTCTGTGGTAACCTGTCGCTTCCGGCTATCCAGGTCACTCTTGTTTCCGATTAGCATAATTGTTGTATGGGGATTGGCATGCTTTCGTACGTCTAACAAGAGTAAGAACGACAGGAGAGAAATAAGATTTTATAACTTCGCTTATCATATTTGAACTTAGTACTAGTACGCACCTGCTAACCACGTGGGTATATGTTCAAATGACTCTCGTCTGGAAATCAGGAAGAGGAGAGAAGGCATAGGTCAAATAACCAAAAAGGACATCACAGAAAAGAGAGGCATAAAACTCGAACCTTACCTTGAAATATCGTATACTACGCATGATTGATTGCATGAGTTATAGTTGTTAAAAACATGAGAAGAAAAATCCTTCAAGACAATCTTGTTTACCTAACAATGCACCGGCCGCGCCTCGATAGTAGCTCTGGGTAATACTCCTGAAACTTTCTTGACCAGCCTAACGTCAGAAGAAAATGAGAATTTATCAAACAATAATTAATATTCCTCGCTTGACATGGCAACGAATAAATATACATACCGTATCCCATATCTGTAACTTGACTTGCTTATCATCGACAGTGATAAACTTGGTGCCAAATTCCACACTTGTTGATAGATATGCATGAGCATTTTCATTCCAGCACATTCAACAAGTTTATGACGGGTGTTATGTATATGTGTGAATCTGAGAGAAAAGAAGCTACTTACCCAATAGTTAATTCACGACCAGAATAAAAGCGTCTGTCAGTGAATTGCAGGAGTAGGCAAGACTATGATAGCGTTAAGTATGTATTTGTTTCAGTGGTAGTCATCAAAGTTGAGATTGGGTCGTTCCCTAAAATAATGAGCTGAGCGATTACCTTGCCGACACCTAATCCGTAAAAGAAAGCATGACTGAGTGCACTGTTTCTTCAAACTGTAACGAACAAAGGTGTAAACCAGTGTCAAATATACTTTAACTTACCGGAATCCCCGACGATGATATACTAAAAAGTGGAAAGCGATATAGGATGACAAGAGTTAGTCCAATGGGTGAATTGACAAAAGCGAATTGCTGTTCGTTATCACCTTGATTATGTAGTTAAAGGCTGACATAGTGGAGAGAGAAGAAAGTAAAAGCTACTGCTGCTGTTGTTGTTGCTGCACTGAATCACGAGGAACACAAACGGGCTTTTTGGTGCTTCCCTAATTTGCGGCATTTTGTGCCTTGCATTACATGATGGTCACTGCAACAGAAACTCGGAATTTCATGCATAATTGTTATGGTTTGCAATATTCTATTTGATGTCAAATGCTGCCCATAGTCGAGTCCATACATCATACTTCTGTTAGGCTCATCATACGATTGTTTTTTTGAGTTAACGGCTTCTGTTTTTGCTTAAAGATACAGATCGTTATGTAGTGAAGCATAGGTGTAGGTGTGTGCTTGTTTTGAACGTTTGTTGATAAACAAAGTCTGCCCCTCCTGCACAGTATACCTAACTCATAGCGATGGAAAGTATCTCGTATAATTTTGGCTTTTGCATTGTTACCTCCGCAACAAGGACAAGTACGAAAGTCTGTAATCAGAGTAGAAAAAAGGCAGATTCGCGTTACCGTTCTTAACAAGCGTTTTTTGCGTGTGTCTTTTTCAATAGAAAAAGGAGTCACATGCTAATGTACGCAGTAAAGACCTTTTTGTTAGAGACTTTTTAAGATGATGAATATCAAAATTCACACGTTATAAACCACGATTCCATTGATATAGTGTTCATAGTAAGTGGTTTTTCAATTTACACAAAACGTTTTTCCGTGGCCCTTTATAATGAAATATGAGTATTATTGTAGTGGTATATGAGAGAGATGAAACGTACATGTCACGTTCTGAACGAGTCTTAGACTACAACAAGAGCTCTACTGTAAGTCTGCTATCATTAGTGACGCATAATAACATATAAATATAAACAGCCGTCAAAAAGAAAGCTTGACACGAAACACCCCTCTGCGAGAAAACGTTCCTTTCCATGGTTTTATTTTACGAGAGAGGACATATCAGTAACCCGATTATGTTGCAGCACCTAACAAAGTAAAAATATAAATACTGAGAATTTTAGTGTCGTCTTTTTCTCCAATTTGATAATTCTCATGCTAGCAAACGCAGAACAGACATCCGCTTCCTCTCAAAAGTACGCAGTTCCTGAAGAAGCACGACGCTTATTGAAGCTTCTGATCAGAAAAAATCCAGCACTACAAATCCCGGAGAAGTTCGTGGACAGTAACATACATTTTAAAGGTGATGCTCTTCCTGCATTACCTGGCGGCCTTAAATCGGGTGCTTTCAGTGCTGCATGCTCTGCAGCATTTGGCGCTGTCGCTGATCAAATCGCACAAGATCGATACGGGTACTTATTACAGCAATAAACGACTCGACGTGGAGTATTTTCATTTTAACTCCTTCTTTACGGTGCATACAAATGCTTAAACTATATCTTTAGAGGCGAGGCCAGCAATATCACCATCGATACCGATCACGCAGGATACTTTTTAGCATCTCCTCTACTTTGCAAATACGAAAACGAAGCACCTGATTGGGAAAATACGGATCTACGAAGCAAGCCCTTATATGCATGTGCCACGGGTATTTATCCCACCAAAGATGGGCGTTGGTTTCAACTACATGGTGACTTGGATTGTATCCCAATGCTCCAAAATGTGGGAATTCTCAACAGCCCGGATGATACATCGACTCTTGAAGAAGCACGAGAAATATACTCGCAATGGACAATGCTGCACAATGCTGATGAATTGGAGGCAATGATGGTGAAATACCGTCACAGCGGCAGTAAATGCTATAAGCCCGAAGAATGGCTTGCAACCGACATGGTACACGACAGCTTTTTCGTATCAAAACTATCCTGGCAGCTTCACTGAGTCATATATTTTAAAAGGGAAAAGCATTAGCGGATAAGCCATTGTGCGATGTCCGTCAACTTACACCGCCTGAAAATCCAACACCGTATCCTTCCGCTAGCAAAAAGCGAATCTTAGAAGGAATCAAAGTTGTAGAAATGGGTAAAGAGCAAGATTGAAAACCTTAAAAACCATTACTGTAATACACCTCCACCATGTATACTAAGCGTATTACCAATACATATAGTTCGTATTATTGCCGGTCCCGTAATTGGAAAAACCTTAGCCGAACTTGGTGCCCAAGTGATCAGAGTCAATCCACCTCACTTGCGCGACCTCACATGGCTGCAGCATACATTAACAGCTGGTTCACACACAGTCTCTCTAGACGCACGACAGCCTAAACAGAAGGCTCAACTCGAAGAACTAATCGCTCAAGCTGATGTATTTATTGATGGATACCGCCCGGGGTCGCTAGAGCGCCTTGGCTTTGGCAAGCAACGTGTGATGGAGCTGGCGGGTCGCAATATTATCTATGTCGATGAGAGCTGTTACGGAGTCGAAGGTGACTGATTATATAAAATAGAACGCAATTCGTAATATTCAATTTTCTTTTTTTGCATAGATAAAAATTAGTATTAACCGAAATTTCGTTACTATCTGTTTTCGGTACTAGGGCCATATTCTGGAAGACCTGGCTGGCAACAAATTGCAGATGCAGCAAGCGGTGTTTCTGTTGTTCAAGCACAGACCCTGGGCATGGATAATCACGCTTTACTTCCACCTTTACCGATCACTGACCTTCTCACTGGCGTACTAGGTGCTACTAGCACCCTTTGTGCTCTTCGCGACCGTGCCAGAAAAGGTGGAAGCTATCGAGTAGTAGCATCGCTAACGGCATTGGATATGTTTTTCATATCGGAAGAAGTGGGAATCTATCCGTCTGAGATTGTGCAGAAGGTCGAGCAAACATTCGGTTTTGGAGTCATCCAAGCCTCAGACCATGTCCGTACATTAGCTGCAAGAATCACCAAGGCATGGAAACTGAGGCGCCCGGACCACATGGATTTCGAAGGACGATTCTTTGCTGGATTCGATAACGGACCGTTTGGTCGCATGAAAATCGTTGCACCAGTTGCTCAACTGGACAAATATCCATCCAAGTGGGATGCCTCACCAAGACCATATGGATATGATCAACCCACATTTCTTTATTGATAGCTCCTTTGTTTTTCCGGATTACGAGAATAAAAATATCTGCTAGCTACTATAAGTTAGAAGGGAAAAGAGGTGGTATGAATGTATAGAATTAGAAGATTCAAGTTAAATTTTTCTTTTGAACAAGAAATGTCTATACTACATAGGTAACTAGAAAAACAATCGTCAAGAAGATGAACAAGTTACAGTGCAAACACTCACTGTTGTTATTGTTGTTGCGACAACAACAGCATAGCATCAAGGGTGTAAAGTACAAGTGAAAAGTAAGAAACAGAAAAATGAGGGCAATTAGGAGTACTGGCCAATCTTTTCGTTTATATTTTCAGCACCACTTATTGTAGTGTTTCTTTCATACTCGGCTAACTCCTTCTTGGCTGCATCTACATCGATAAAAAGAACAATAATTGTGGCCAATGCAAATAAGCCGAGTACAAAAGGCCAGCCCATCCAAACGCTTGAAGAAGACTCTGAGATAGCACCAACAACCACAGGTCCGATCCAGCTAATAAAGAACATAGACATACATCATTTGCTGTAATAAGTACCTTGATCAATTTTTCTTTTTTTAAAACACGAATATATCTCCAAAGGTAACTTACGAAGAAGCTTTGTTTACAACGCCAAACAAACCGAAAAACAGATTTTCCTTTCCCTTTGGAACTAGTTCCGCTAGCATGGTTTGTTGCCATGCCCAAATGGGTGCAGTGAACAAGCCGGACCAAGCAGCTAGGGCCCAAAGCTCCCACGTTGTCTAATGAAAATAGGATCTTTAGGATAAACTGATCTTTTCAATTCACATAATGCATGGTGAATTAAATGACATAACTACCTTTAAGCCAAAGTTATCCATGCCGATACCAAAGCAGCCCCACAGTGGGACAACCGAGGTCAAAACAACAATAATCAAAAGATTCGTTTTAGTCTTGATGTTGAAGGTTTTAGAAAGGCACAGAAACAATACACAGCCGACGATGGATGTGGTGGACGTAACAAGGCCCAATAGCGTAACCTGCAGCGCAGAAAAGTTGGTCACCTCGGCAGTAATGATCGAAGTCATTTGATTGATAGTCGATACTGCGTCTGAGAACATAAAGTATGAAAAGATATACATGAAAAGGTATCGTAGTTTTCTTGCTTCCCTATACAGTAATACTGAATGTTAGACAACGGATGACGAGCAGTAATGATAATCACTGTTGTTGTTGTTGTTGTAAACTTACTTGACCGCTTGGATGATGGACTTCCATCCAATGGTCCAATGGTTTTCTCCTGGCGGTAAGGGGGGACCTCGTCTGCCGGATGGCTGAAACATAAAGTAAGGGATCGCGTTGAGAACCCAAAATGCACCACACACAGCTGTACCGATGAAATTATATATTGGTGCGTCGCCTAGTATGTTTTCCGGATACCAAGGAGTAAACGCTGCACCCGACAGTGCCACTGTAAGGATCAGAAATCCAATATTAGACCAGGTAGTAGAAATGGCAGAGACGTGGTTGCGCCAGCGCTCCACCACGGCCTGCGTTTCTTGGAACGACATTTGCGCGCTTGTGCGTGCTTGACGTACAACTGGCAGATTATCACTCAATATAGGGAATGCAGCGCCATAAAACACGAGCGTGGTACCATATGATATCAAGCCCACCACATAAATCGCCATCATGGCGTTCCAATGGCTCCCGTCATCATTAATGAGCGCCACAGGAGCAATCTGTGTTGCACAAGCAATGACGGTTGCTGTCAATAAAATATATCGGTTCCATCGGCCATAGTCCGCCAGACTGCCGAACGTGGTAAACAGTAAGAACTGGATCGAGAACGAGATTGACTGCACGTAGAGCGTCATGGATGCGACAGGGACAGAGCCGGATGCATTGGCCCAAGGGACGTTGCATGGTGCCATTGCGTTCTTTACGTCACAGGGGCCTCCTGTTTCCGGATTAAAGCCGCCGCGATAAGCAAGGTATTGGAGGATCGTCGGCATATAACTGAATATGGTGTAACCATTGTTCTTTTACCGGGAATATTATACAAAATAAGAGGTTGCATTTTCTGTTAGGATTCAACAAAGAAGAGAGAGAGAGAAAGCACACAAACTTACTCCATTGTAGTAGAGGTAGTATCCCCAGAGTTCCCTTTTTGTGGTTGGCGGTTGCTCGTTTACTACAGCAGCTTTGGTGGGATCTTCATTATCACCTTCTTTTGAATGGACAGCAAAGGGATCAGCAAATAAATGTTCGCGCAATGACATGGTAATAAAGGGATGAAAGGAAGTCAATGAAGGAAGGGAACAAAGAAAGGTTGCTGCTGCTGCTACTTCTTCTGTGAAGTAAAAAGAACAAAACACCCGAGCTTGTTTTTGGTCACATACCTTTTTTATAGATATTATACCGGTGTAAGGGGGGTGGGGTTGCAAACCGATTCAATGAACAGCAGCGCTGTTGTTGATAGCCCAAAAATATCCGTTTTGTTGCCATGCACACAAGCAATCCAAATGTCAACAGCAGCGTCTTGCCAGATAATGTTGTCTTGGTAACATACGAACTAACCTTCTTCTCTCGTACCCATCCTCATTTGTATAAAAGCAACGGTTTTGTTGCAAGCTTAAGCAGCGGAAAAGGCAAAAAGTGACGCTTCTACCAACGCGATCTGTCGGATCACCCCTATTTTAATTACCAATAAGTATATATCATTATGGTACATGCATACGTGTCGTTAACCACAGGTAATTAAGACTGATGATATGCTCCTGAATGCCAGCACTGTCACTGGAGGCAACATAATGGATATATACGTCGCATAGTTTTATGCCTAGTATGCAATTGAACACCGCAAGTGTATAAATAAGAAGCCGGTGATGACAGGGTAGTGTACATATTGAAGGTCGGAATGTACCTACCAGCATCAACACGCGGACTCGAACTGGGCCTGGATTGTACAGATACTGATAATGAACAGATGAAAAAATGTATTGTATCAAAGATGCAAATGACGCTATTGTGTAATGATAGGATAATAATGACCAATATGATGCTGATGTTTTAAATGCGAGAAAAAAAGAATGGAATGTAAAGATGCGCGCTGAGAGAAAAGGAAATGGGGGTATGTGAATGTCAGTGGTGATAAAATGCGTTGTTGTTGTTGTTGTTGTTGTTATTGTCATCGTGATGCTCGTCATGCTGGTTGTAGTGATGTTGTTGATGCTCGCTGTCGTCACCAGGATCCTTATCACGACCATCAACATTATTGCTACGATCTACCTCATCATCCAATTTGATATTCTCCAACGCAGGAAGAATACTCTCCCATAATTTCATGCTCTATAAAGTACCAAACCCTTATCGATCAATATACCTTACAACACTCTAGATCAATATAGCGCAAACACAAGGAGGGGGCCAATTTACCTTGGTATAAAAGGATATATGACTGTCAGCATATGCAGTTAAACCTTGCTTGAGTTCAGTAGTTTTAGTAGTCTGAAACGTCTCAAACTCTTCTGTCATTTGCTCCGAGAATCCTGTTGTGATGTCGCTCGTTCGTGTCACCTCATCTTGCAGCTGATACATATGAATATTAATATTCAACGTATCAAACAGTGCATTGTGAGCCCGGAGCCCCGCATATCCACTCTACCTCTTGAATCTTTTGTTCAATCTCGGCAAGTTTGGCAGGCGAACTATTGGCGATCTTATCCCGTTCTTCTATGGCTCGTTGCAGATAGGTCGATAACTCTTCAAAATCAATTTGACTTTCATCGCGTTTCTGAAGTATATCCTACATTGGTGGACGTTCAGTAACTACTACAGACTCCTCTGCTACACATATAACCGCAATCCAGTAAATATGTATAAATTACCTTGACAGAATGACAGTAGGCTAATAGCTCATGCAGGTCATTCATGAACAGCAGCTCCTCTGTTGAGTTCATTTCTTTCATGTATTTTCCATACGTTTCTGTGGTTTCAGCAAACTGTCTTAATGGCATGGCGATACTGGATTCCATAGCTGATATTTCTCTGATACTCCAGGCGAAGTTTGTGTAGTCCCGTATTAAGCCTGATGTTTTTTTTTTTTGAATGTTAATGATACACGTGTCTGTATGTGAATGTGCATTTTCTCGATTAAAAGAAAGAGACATTACTTGTTTGTCGCTGACTAATTCGTGAGTAGAGTTTTTCGATCGTAATAATATTATCTTCAAGCTTATCCACATAATCTTGCATATCCAGAAACCGTTGATCCGGTTTCTTGACTGCTGCAAAAGCGTTCATCAAAACATCACCAAGTGTGTCGAAAAAGGTAGGTTTGTCATTGGTCTTGATCGCATGGATAGCACGCTTATCATTTTTCTATTGGATTAACCCAGCATAACCATGAAAAACACCTCTGTCAGACTATGTAGAGCACCCATCAATACACGATTCAGGAAATGTACACCCGCAGCAGCACTTACAAAGTCATCAGATTCAAGAAATATTCGAGTGCATTGGGCTTTCTGAAGAACTGGATGGCTGGCCACGCGGTTGAGAAACCACTGTAACCTATGTTGTAACGCACACAGCCCAAATTGAGTGAGAAAAATAGTTCACTTGATTGTACAGACATCTCAAGTGTGAGCACTTACCCATACCGCCTTTTTTCAAGGAACTCTTGACTGAATCGATCCCCATTAAGATATGCTACAAAGAAAAAACATTTGCTATTTAATTCGGTTCTCTTCGCTGTTATAGGACAGGTATATCTATTTATATACCTAGCCGATGCTTCTCCGGCAGCGGAGGAACAATGCAGACGGGATATTCGAGTTCTAAAGCATCGTGCAGCCAAACGAAGTCTTGGTAACGGCGTCTTACTGAACGTGGACGTGGGCTGCTGAACGTTTCAACACTAGTCTAGTTTCCAAGATTATTCTTTCTTGTTAGTGTCGTTATTGTTTGTGCACACGCGCAAAGCAGAACAAGATAACATATTGTGGGGGTTGAAAGATAACAAACCTCTGTTGTGACGAGATAAGATATATATCCTTGCACCATCGTCGCAGATTGCTTTTGTGGATCTTCAACCCGAACGTTCATTGGCTTCACTGTTGTATTTGTGAGAGCTGGCTCTGACGTTGTCGATGCGGGTGGATCATAGGTGCTAGTAGTATACGATTGCTGTAAAAGCTTAAGTATACACACGATCTTTCACTTTTATTTTTCTTCTGCATAAATAATCGAAAAGAAAGAAACACTTTACTTCATAGTTGTGGAATGGATCAAAACTGGGCGCCGAAGACCTATCGTGAGAGTAACCATTGGTTGCATTGGCCCAATCGGGTTCATCAAACACATTCTCGTTCAACATGGCGTGCGTGTGTTTACAAAGAAAAAAGAAAGAGAGGAAAAAAAAAGTGTTGGCAGGGCGAGGCTGCCTTTTTCTACCAAGGACTTGGCGCATTTTCAATTACTGCTTTTGGGGGTGATGATGCTGCCTTCATCTCTCTTGTTTGGCCTCAGATAATATAACCCAATATTATACTCGTATCCGGCAACTGTCAGAAACGACATCACTACAATGTCACTGTTGCTTCACACCGGCTGTCGACTTTTAGTTTCACACTATCTTTCCATTAAAAAGCAGTTGCAACTTCTGACGTTATGTGTTGAATGCTCTCTTTGTAAATCGTTGGATGTATTCTGTATACCACCAATTGTTGTCAATTAGGCGCTGGATAAGAAAAGTACATTTGTGGCGGTCTACATACGTTGTAATTAAGTGTTTAATATATGCTTAGCGAATCAAAAAACTCGTCGTACTACTAATTAAAAACACGGGGTGAAGGGGATACTGATCTGACTGTAGCACGAATAAATGTCGAGTTTGACACATTGTATTATTCAGCAGCGTGCACATCTGAATAAGGCCATCGGCAGAAGCAGTAGTAAATGATATATGCCTTCTCTCAAATTCTTCGTTGCAGTATATGCATCTGGCCATCCACAATAACGAATTCGCCCCAAACTCCCCTATGTAAGACAGTAACGATTAAGTTCGAGCTGATGAGGTCTTACGTAAATCGGCGCGATCATAAAGCAAGCAAAAAAAAGCCATTGAAGCGTTCCCGTTTATACAAATCGATTTATTATTTTCTTGAGAATACATTCGACAAATGCTTAGACGACAGTGCCAGCAGCAGAGGCGATACGAGGCCACAAATCGGCGCATTCCTTGGCAACGGGGCCAGTGATAGCAGAGCCCTTCATTTCACCCTTGGGCTATGTAACGAAATAATACATTAATTAAACCTCTTCTCCTCTAAAGCAAAAATAAACCCCCCTTTCCCTCCATTTAAAAAAAATACTCACGTTGACGATGACACCAGCATTATCCTCAAAGTAAAGGAAGACACCGTCTCTGCGGCGCCAGGCCTTGCGCTGACGGACGACAACGGCAGGCATGACTATAATAATCCACGATTAAATAATTAATTAGTTATTACCTCACCTTTAAATTCCATTAACTCAATTAATGAAGAAAATGAATGTAGAAATTCTTACCCTTCTTTCTCAATTCAGGCTTGCCCTTCTTGACGGTGGCGACAACCATGTCACCAGCACCGGCAGCGGGAAGTCGGTTCAAACGACCCTTGATGTTGCGGACAGCAATGACGTACAGGTTCTTGGCGCCACTGTTGTCGGCGCAGTTCATGACAGCACCAACGGGCAAACCGAGCGTCATACGGTACTTGGTACCGGAAATGCTAACTGTTCGATGGAAGAAAAATAATAATTATGTTAAATTATGAATCTTGAATTCCCCAAATTAAATGTTGAATCCGGAATTCACCCTCAACACCACCAAAGCTGGATCCAATCCATCCAATTTTCCATCCATCCGTCTCCATCCGTTTCTATCCATGTCCTATCCATCTATTCTCGCCCATATTCTATCTTAGTAGATGCTTTCCTTTCGGCATGACGATTGAGTAGAAAGAGAGGTCCTCTGTAAGCAGTTCTCCCTGTATGTGAGAGGCAACCCCGACGAAATTCGACTCGAGCGGTCTGAGCGCATGAATCTCCAGCTGAAGCGGACCCGTGCCATCTAATAACACATATGACACGTGTATAAAAGTGATAAAAAAAAGACAAATATCGACATTGTTTTATATTGGCTTCATCGAATTATATAGAATTAAGTTGTACAGTATAATGGAAAATGGTTTCTAAGTTTCTTTCTTCTCTCTCACTTTATTCTAATTGCACATAATTAGCCGGAAACTATATAATATAAGAGGAAAATACTTATTAGCCACTACTTGCTATTATCGTTAACGCAAAAAGCCATCAGTCGTAAAAGCTCTACTTACCAATCCCTGTTCCTTGCCTATTCTTCCAGTCCACCAATCATCCTGACTATCTGTTTTCTCAACAATGGTGATGATTTGACCCTCTTCAAAACTTAAATCACCAGGCTGATCTCCCTTGTATGCATATAACGCCCTAGCCACAGGTTCCGAGACTTTGGGAGCCGGTGGAGGTCGCCGTGGAGCAGCTGGCGGCGGTGGTGGTGATGAATAGTGTTGTTGTTGAGGCGGAGGAGGGCTGCTATAGCTTGGTGGACCTTGCGGCGGTGAGTATGGCTTTTGAGTCGAAGAAGGGCCATAAGTCCGTGGGGCAGGTGGTGAGTTGACTTGTCGGTTGATCGGAGGGGCACGGAGCGTACCCGGTTTTGAAATGGTCGTGGATCGATACACAGGACCACTGTTGGACCCACCGCCGTTTTCGTCACCTTCTTCACCATTCCCTCGGTTACGGTTGTACACAGATGCATGAATATTGCCAAGCGAGTTGAATTTTGCACCAAGAGCACGATACAGTGGATCGGCGTCAGTGGGCGGTGCAACGCTTCCGTTCAATAATTCCTTGGCTGTAACACGTCTTCCGTAAAACTTTTCATTTGCGTCATTGCGAGTCAATATAACAGATCCTTCCAGCGAAACACCTGATATAGTTGAATATGTATGTGTGAGCATATGATCCTTGTCACATATATGGAATGACTGCACGTTCGTTCATGTACCTGCGAAAAGACCTCGTGTCTTGCTGTATGAATATACAGCTGCAATGTGTTTAAGGGATGCTGAACCAGAAGCTTCGGCGTTGCGACCAATTGGGCCAGCGGCGAGCGAAACGTTACCGCCAAGAGTAATGTTACCGAATTGACTGAACGTCTTGACCGCCTCCTTTGTGTTGAGCACCAGTACGAAGTCCGTCAGCTCAGCACCTATTTGGCCACCAGCACCAGCACCGGCAGTTCCGATGGCCGATGGTGCAGACCAAGCTATGTTGTAGAAAAGAGTCAATTTCTCTCTTACGTTTTCCTGAATATTTCTTTTGCTCACTCACAATTATCGGGTAATCTAAGTAGAAAGCAGGAGGATATGGATGATAAAGTTGTTAGCCTTGATATATCCCGAACCTCGTGTCGCAGAATAGATGCCGATTAATGAAACGTACCTAGCCACGACAAGGCCACTGCCTGCTCTGCCAGAGAAAAGAAAACCGGCTTTGAGCACAGTGAAAATCGCTAGACCTTGGGCTTTCTCTAGAATGGATGCTGGAATCACCTTGTCGACCAAACCAGTTCCTGGATCTGGTAAAAAAAAAAGGTTGTGTCGATTAGAATGTCGTCAGTTGTGTTCAGATCGGCTGGTCAACCTACCAATAAAAGAGTTGAGAATCTTGGCTGCCTTTTTGCATTCACCTAACGACGACACAAAAGGTACGGGTGTGAGTTTTGTTGATTGCGATTGACAATAGACAGGAAGTGAGTCAAGCGTTACCTCCAAGTTTCGCTGGGATAGGCGAGTTTAATGACAGGGAGTTTACTCTTTTTTTCATATCGTGTGGTCTAGTAGGGTAAAACGGGAAAAAAAGAGAGAGAAAGGTAAAATGCCTTATTTGAACTTTAAATCCCCCTTTGGCTGACTTTCTTTACTGCGCATTGACATGCCGGGTTTCTCTCTTTTGAATCGTGCCTTTTTCTTTTACATACATCGTGGTTTTGTATTGAGAGTTGGGTATACCGAGGCTACAAGGAGAATATACGCATGCCATTGTAGCACGTGCACTGTTTTTAAGCGGACAAGTAGATAGACTATACATTTGCTGTGCATGCAGAAAGAAGGAAAAGAAAAGAAAGAGGAATCGATGATGGGGAAGGTTTTTGCATGCTTGAATCGAGAATCGAGAGAATAGTGAAAAGATCAAGAGAAATGGTAAATTAGAAAGGGAGGTATTATCACGATTTATCGGTCGCAGTAGCAGTAGTAGTGCTGGTATTTTGTTTAGATTTGCCAAGCTCCATCTCTTGCAAGACACGCAGCCATTCCGTTCCAGCTTCACGTCGCATAGACTCGATCTTGCGTCGAAAACTCTGTGTTGCCGGTGACACCGATCGATGCTTTTGCTCGTCCTTCTTGTCTTCGCTGGGCGACTGACTACGTCGCACCTTGGATCGAGATCGGCGTTTTCGAGACGACGATGATGTCGATGCTCTGCGTACAAGCTGGTCTTCTTCTAGCTCAGCGACCCGATGCATCCGACGACCACCAGCTTCGTCTTCTCCCTGTTGCTTCTGCTCCTGCCTTTTCCCTTCTTCGTCTGGCTGCTGTCCTAGCTTGATAACGCGTTTCGACTTTCTCGTTTTAGCGCGTGCAATCTTTGGCTGTTGTGGTCGTTGTTCTGTCTTTGTCGAGTCTGATTCGCCACCGCTCGATCCTCCTGTCGCTGTCGCTGCTGCTGCTGCTGCTGCGCCCGCCTGTGCAGTTGGCCATACCGGTGGCGCAACAGACGCTGCAGGTGCTTTGTAGTGGTCTGTTGTTGTTGTTGATGCGCTTACACGTCGTCGCTCGGCAAATGTTGGGCGCGAGCCATCCAATTGGATTTCGAGACCGGCTTGCTTGAATGTACTGAAGATGTCGACACGGTAATCGGGCTAAATTTAAAGATGAAACAAAATTTAAGTTTCGGAGCTCTTTTTTTTGCGTATGATGTGTGCGGCACACAGTAACAACAACAGCAAACAAAGAGCACTTTCTCTCTTCTTTACCTGTATGATCGTAAACGGGTTACCCTGAACCCACACGTCCTCCAGATTCGGAAGTGTGGTGAGTCGTCCGATCTCTGCCGAGTCTTCAATCCGATTGTCTCGCAGGTCCAGTCTCTCCAACGCCCACAACCGATCCAGTCCTGCCAGCATTGTCAGTCGATTTCCTCGGAGGTCCAGTTCCTGCACATTGCCCAGGACAGTGTTGATGCCATTGACGAACGAAACCATGTTGTACGCCAGTTGCAGTGACTGCAAGTTGTATAGGTTCGACAGTGCTGCTGGGACGTCAATCAGTAAGTTGCTGGACAAGTTGAGATGGGTGACCGACTGTATCCGTCGCAAAGGCTCGTTGTCAAGGGTTGTCAGATTGTTATCCGCAAGAGACAGCATTTTCAATTGTTGCCAGGATACGTTCCCCTGCCGTTCCTCCTCTTCCTCTTTTCTGTCTGCTTGTGCTTTTGCTCCGTTTTCCAGATCCTTATTGATCACATCTGCTGCATCCTCGACGTTCGCACCCTTGACGACCAAACTGACGAGGTTCTGGCGTAGCTGTGCCCATCCATCGATGAATCTGGGGTGGATACCGGAAAGTTCTAGAAACGACAGTGTTTGAAACGGGGACAACGACAGTATGACCGACCCATCCTGGGGTAATGGTTGTTCGTAATGCGTGATCGCACGCTGACTGCTTCGTGTTGTGGCATTGTGCGGATCGATCAGTAGGTTCATTTGCAGTTTGAGCGCCGACACGCGTGCAAAGAATTTGTAAATGTGCATGATATCCTCGTGGAGCGGCTTGTGCTGTTCCTCCCGGTCCGTCCCTTTTTGCCAGAAATTCCATCCCGTCGATAGCGACAGCGTCGACATGGTCGATGCGATCGACCCTACAGACATGATCGAAGGTGCTTTTGCTTCATCGTTGACCGACGTTTCTGTTTCAACCACCCCGTCTTCCGGTATCTCGCCAAGCAGTGCTGGGTCGCCTACATCAAAACCGAGATGTTCAAACTGGACAAGCAGAAAATAGTAATGATGGATATCCAGCGACAGTGTGCATCGTGGAGGCATGTATGGAGTCATCGATAAGGCAGATGCGGTCGGTGACGCGGCCATAAGTAAAGACATGTATGGAACTTGTATACCATACAAAGAAGCTGGTGTGCCTCCCGTCGTGGACGTTTTGAAGCTTTGGCTGCTACTTAAGACGTCGTTATTTGCGCTTGAGCCACTGCTACCACCGCCAGTGAAAAGCGATGTCATTGCTGTGGCAATGCTCGATGGGGTATTATTGCTACTATTATTAATATCGGGTGTTGCTCCTGCTGTTGTTCCGTTACGCTTCTTTGCGCCGTCGTCTGACTTTCTTTTCTTCAGCGAGGGGTTGCCGCTCGTGAGCCTAATTTCATTGGAATCGAGATAATGCGTAAATGTGCGTATAAATCGGTCTCCTGGAATAGGCGTTGCCATCGTGCATATGAGATTGTGAGGTGTGCAAGCCAAAAAAAAAATAAAAGTAAAAATAAAAAAGAAAGAAAAAGTGTGGCCAGAGGAAAACGTGCAGTTCGGTATTTGAAATAGGATCTTTCCCTTTCTGAGGGCGTTGCATCAAAATCGTTTAATAATACATAGTCATGTGCCATCCATAATTTACGTCGACGATGATGCTGACACACACGGGTCACTATCGCTGTCAGGCTTCTGATGCTACTATTGACAAAAAACATATCATGGGTTACCAATATTAAATATAGCGTGTCGACTGACGGTAAAAGAAGACAACATACAGCAGGGATGGGTTCACATCCGATTGTAAGGGTCGTTTGCAATAAAAAAAATAAGAACTATAATGCTGATGTGCCCTAAAAACAGCACCTACATAAACTTTATGCAGCATACAGGGTACTATTCTGCAAGAAACTGAGCTGGCTGTTTATCGGTACTGTTGAGGCTTATGCACGCCTCACACATGTACGATCCGCACTGCTTTAAGGCGTAAGCACCGAAAAACTACAAAGCGCTTACATAGAGCAATGACCCGTGTCCAGATGTGTACATATCATAGCAACAGCCAGTAAGCTATTAAAAAGTAATGTAGAATGTGTAGTAGCACGCGGAAACCTACTTACTGTCTATGACTTCTACCAGCGGTTCAGGTTTTATGTAATAGAACTTTATATTTGGTAATTAATCATTTTTTTGTGACACTATATATACTAAAGTACGCTTTTTGTATTCAGAATATTCCATGTAGTATGAGTACTTGCATACAGCTTTGGTGTGATTATTAATGCATACTATCAAGTTGTAGGATGAAAAGAACAATAGTGGACCTCTAACTGATCACACACACTATGAACTGATGGCTGACAGGAATATGTCGATCATTACGACATAGCCACAATAGTGTAACCTGGAAAGATTCAGCAAAGCCGCACCCACACGGAATACGTGCTACTGCATGAATGGTACTACCGTGCCTCGTAGATTGACAGGTTCGCTACAGCGTATATATCCTTTTGAATTCTCAAGGACTACTGCTGCCATGTCAATAACCGTCCCTGATGTGCGCCGTAACTTATTGTTATTCTGCAAGATTTAACTTAATTATGATACCGTTTCTTTTATATAGACGGTCAACTCTCTATTTGCTAGGCATACGTACGTACCCGCAGTCTTCCATACTTATCCATGTATATGTGATTTCGCGAAATTCATATTTCTATTATTTAATGATAGATGCAAAGTAAACTATTACATGCTATTTAGTGTTACTGTAATTGTTCCGACCGTATATAGTTTACATAGGAAAAAGTTCATGCACAATCAGATTCCAGATCTGCGCTATCCGACAAACCCAAGTTATCGACAGCATCTTCCTTAGGATCATTACCCCGCGAAACATACAGTAGTTCTATGGGATATGGGAACCGCAATGTTTGAGTCATGTGTATAATATATGAGCACTGCTATGACGAGCAGTCTAACATATTAAACGAAGGCGGGAGTTTAACCGATGTGAGGTCTTTCCTTACCCTTCACATCCGCTGGCACGCTAGACAAGTGCCATATGCGAAAATTCCCCTTGTCATCTCCCTTATTGATAAATCTAATACCAGTCGATACCAGTGGGGATATATTGTAGAAAGTAGGTCAGTTGAACATCTTTCAGGGCAAAAATTGATTAATGTTTGCCTCAGATGGTGCGCTACTACTTCCATATGGTCGTTGATGTGTGTTAAAATAAAAAAAAAGCGGTATCATCAATTTCTGTATGAGTTACGGTACATTTTTGCGCGACATATGACAACAGCCATCGATGAAGGAAGAGCGATACGTTGTTCTCCGGTAAAATTAATACCAAAAGTAAGAATTTTAGATTTTTGTCTTTGTTTTATTTTGCAATAAAATATCGTCAAATACTGTGGAGACATGGTTTTGAAATGATATGTTTATTGAGAAAAAAAACTTTATCGCTATATAATTGATTTTACAAAGTGATTGCATTTCTACTTTCTCTCGCACTCCGAATATCAACATGCACAAAGAATGATTTGACGTAAAGATCGATTATGACGCTGCAAGACATTCGATTATCGACGCGTATAATTACTATGATGGGGTAGTATTATATCACAATGTAAACTTTTGCTATTGTATGACACACGTTGGATGATGCATTTTATGCAGTAAAGAATATAATCTTTAGGCGCTACAGATTTTGCTATTTATGGGCCAAGATAACAGACTAGCATACGCTAAACGATACATGTAAATAATATACAAAAGCCCAAATAGTTGAAGTTTTTCTCTTTCTTTCTTATGGTCGCTGTTGTTCTCATCTAGAATGTACACCCACGTCCTTACTGAATCACAGAGAGACATGAATATTGACTGAAGGCGTGCGTAGCTACGTACGCTGATTACTTAATAAGAATCTCAATGCGATTAGACATAAGCAGTTACAGGAGGCTTCCACTTTTTGCACGCAAGTTGTTGCTTACAACATGTATTAAGGCACATTAAAAGTTTGCTTTCAAAATAAGTATCACTCTCTTTGTCAACATCACACATGATTTTGATGGACTTGCGCCACTCGTAGCAGCAGCAACAGCAACACCAGAACCTTTTAAAATTAATCTTGTTGTCGACAGGTAAACGGACAAAAAAACATTGTACTTTAAACACAATAAAATACAGCGAGTACCATCGAAAGCATGGTTCTTCAGTTTCTTACATAAGGCTAAGCAGCAGCCCAATTCTGTTAATTTAAATAGGTTCCGTTTCTTCTTCTATCCACTTCAATGTACGACTATCATTGACGAGTTGTGGCTCAAGGACACGACGACATTCTTGATGATAACTGTTAATCCAGGTACGGTCAGCTTCATTGAGTAGGGATGTGTCAAAAAGCCGTCTTCCAAATGGTACAAAGGTGACATGTTCGAATCCAAGATAATTATGACCACCAAAATGATAAGGCGCAGTTTTTGATTCGTTGACGATCAGTACGTTTTCTAGGCGTATGCCGAATTCTCCATCTTGGTAATATCCAGGTTCTTCAATAACAGAATAGTAAAATACATGTGTATATTTAGGTTGAGCTCGGGTATAATTCCTCTCACAACCAATTTGAATGCATAAAATACTCTTGTGACATTGATTAGATCACAATATTTACCATTTGTAACCACCATTCCTTGTTTAAATGGAACCTTGGAATATGCTTGGCGACTACCAATACCGTGAGGGCCTTCGTGAACGTTAAGATATGCGCCAACGCCATGTCCAGTACCATGACGGTAGTCAAGACCATCTTTCCACAGTGGTTGTCTAGCAATGGAATCAAGTTGGTAGCCTAGTTACAAGACAAAATTTAAGCAATCGTACTGCGTTGAGTATACGACTTTTTTCCGTCCCCCATTATTGCCTTTTCTTGCTTCAGAGGTCGTTATTACCTGTGACACCTGGGGGAAAAGTGGCTGTATCTACAGCAATATGCGACTGCATCACCCGTGTAAATGCCCGTTTTTGAAAATCCGTAGGTTTCCCATCGAACAAGTACGTACGCGTGATATCGGTTGTTCCATCAATATAGTGAGCGCCTGAATCACATAAATACATTTGTTGTGGATCAATGATAGCCGAATGAGTCGGTGAAGGGTTGTAATGGATGATTGCGCCATTAGGTCCAGTTGCAGCAATCGTATCAAAAGATATTCCGACGTAGGTATCATGCTGCCGACGCATATCCTCCAAATGTTGAACAGCATCCGCCTCATACAAACGTTCGCGTTTGTTACGTAATTGGTCCGATAACCATGCAAAATGCTTTGACACAGCTACGCCATCGCGTTTATGTGCCTCTCGCATCCCGTTCAACTCTGCTTCATTCTTGATTGCTTTGGTCAATGCGACGGGTGATGGTTCTAACCCCACTTTATCCTGATACATCAGATTTTCTTTAGTTGTTTGTAATTTCAAGTAGGTTTTCTCTCCAGCATGTATAAATACTAGAGATTCCAACTCCCTCGTTCTTTGAAAAATTATAGCTGCGTAGAGTATGATCTTACCTGCCCACCTAGAGCTTGCACTATTGATAAATTTGTCAATGTCGGATCGATCATAAAGCGTCTATTGGAGGCGTTTTGGTGCTTGAGATCATCCCAAATAGAGTCGTAGGGTTTAATTTGCACATGAGCGTCGAGCTCAGCGCGCAGTTCAGACGACATCCGCTCATCCGCATTTGCGACATAGAGTACGGTATCCTCCCTGCTCACCACGCAGTACGCAAAGAAAATGGGACAGCAGTGGATATCGGAGCCGCGCAAATTCAAGAGCCAAGCAATTTCATCCAGTGCCGAAACGACTGTACCGTCGTAGCCACGCTGTGTTAGAGTCACACGTAGGTCATGTAGTTTGGATTCACGGTTCTTGCCAGCGTACTTGAGGTTGTGCCTATAAATTGGATGGGTGGGCCGTTTGGGTCTATCTTTGCGGACACGATCTACAGGATTTTCTTGCACAGGAACTAGCTGCGAGCCTACCGAGGCTAGTTCCTTTTCAAGTGCGGTAGCGTTATCTACGAATGGTAAGGTAACAATATAGTAAGTACAGTATATATCCTTAGACATGTCTCGCTTATTTTTTCTTACCGATGGTCATGAGAGCAGGGTCGATACCGATGCGAGAACCTTTGGGTAAGTTCTGTACGATAATTGAGTGTTATATGTCTTTTGGTCGATGTTATAGAAAAAAAAATTGTCCAACTTTGTTACTTTGACAAGATACTCCTGCCATGTTGGCACTTTGGGCATCCCTTGCTTCATTAGCTGCCAGTCGCTACTGAGTTCCTGTGACGCTTGCAGAAAATATCGTCCATCCGTGAACAAAGCTGCGCAATCCTGACTTACGACGGCACAGCCTATATGCATATGAACACAAAAAAAATGATGAATTTTCCCGAACCCGAGTTTCTTATTGCGAAGTGATGAAATCTCTCACCTGCTGAACCCGTAAAGCCTGAAATCCACGCGCGTCTGTTGTCACACTCGGCAGTATATTCGCTCTATAGAATTCCGGATACTGGATATCAGGATATACAGACCATGCTATTAAAAGCGCGTCTCCACAAACCTGATGAGCATCTTCAGACGGAATGACACTATAATGTTCCTCCGTCAATGAGTAAAGCTGTACCTTTTCGAAGAAAAGTGGTGAAATAATATCACTTACAAAGCATCAATCTTTTCAGTTGAGGACGTCATTGCTTGACGCAATGCGTCAAGTCGATTGTCAGACACATGAGTGCTGAATGTTCTTTTCAAAGAATTCAGCAGGCCAGCTGATCGACGCATAATTTTTTTTTTCAAAGACAAGCAAGGCCTTGCTGTATTGTAGGTCAGATTATCCTGTTCTATCTTAAAAGACATTTTCGATTGTGATATATGTGCACACGTGTGTATGATACTACTGCTCTTTATTTCTTCGATATTGTCCTATCATTCCTTCAGCAATCGAGGATGCCATGGTATCAATATTTATGTTTAAAAGATCAATTAGACAGTTTATTGTAGAGTATAATTTATAGAACGCTGATAAAGTGCGATTGGTGATGAAAGCATGCCCTGCAGTTGACAGGTGGGAGTTATAGCAAGAAACTAATTAAAAACTATACAAGAGCACTGGAGACATTAGGTATGGACTAATATCTTTATTGTTAGACGAAAAATATCAGAGAACGAAACTTGTATGTAATACAGCTGCTCGCACTACCATTAGTGCTAGTGCAGGTTGCTGAATCAGATACAAGCAGCGACACAAAAATGGCGGAGCCTGAAACTTAGACGCTATTGGCAAGCTCGAGATACGTTTGCCTGGACTCCCTCTTTTCATCCGCCAACATGGGTAATATATCAATATAGACGAGTACATCCATCCATCCATCCAACTAAACGTACTGACTGTGTTTCTCTCATCCAGGTATCAGTCGCGACTCCAGGCACAAGAAAGCGTAAGTTTTCCAACAAAAAATCGAATCGATACGTCTTAAGCGAGATTCAACATTGTGGAAGAAATTGGGAGGAATGGGCCACCGGATATTGTCCCAAATCTCTCTGTCAACAATTTGACATTTGGAAATTTGGGAAAAAGGGGGAAGTAACAATTTGTGCATGCGTGAGTACTAATTACATTGTGCATCTCTTTAATTTATTACAGTGCCACCGGTGCTAGACGCTCTCACTACCGTAAGAAGAGAAAGTAAGCAATAATCGAGTTTTATTTTCCTCCCAAAATTGAACGATCGTCGGTCCCAAAAATGTCAATTGGAAAATTAACCTTACGGTATAATAATTGCTACTGTTTAGGTTCGAGTTGGGCCGCCCTGCCGCCAACACCAAGCTTGGTGCTAAGCGTGTCCACACCGTCCGTACTCGTGGTGGTAACACCAAGTACAGAGCTTTGCGTTTGGAAGCCGGTAACTTTTCGTGGGCTTCTGAAGGTCAGGCCCGCAAGACCCGTGTCTTGACTGTCGTGTACAACGCCTCCAACAACGAGTTGGTCCGTACCAACACCTTGGTCAAGGGTGCCATCATCCAGGTCGATGCCACTCCCTTCCGTCAGTACTACGAAGGTTTCTACGGTCTTCCTTTGGGCAAGAAGAAGCTCACTGAGGCCAAGGCTGCTGAATTCGATGCTGCTGTCAACGCCAAGTCTGAGCAGCGCAAGAAGAAGTGGGAAGAGCGCCGTGCTAACTCTGCCGTCGATTCTCTTTTGGATGACCAGTTCGCTGCCGGCCGTTTGTATGGTAAGTAACATTAGAAAACAATGCTTGACTGTGTGGATAAAATCTCAATGAACATGCTTTAATAATCGATATCAATCACTTAGCCCGCATTGCCTCCCGTCCCGGTCAGTCTGGCCGCTGCGATGGTTACATCTTGGAAGGCAAGGAACTTGAATTCTATCTCAAGAAGATCAAGGTAAGAATTAGTTGTTTGACTGACTACCGAAATTCATACATGTCTTGATCTGCTTACTTACTCTCTCTTGTAGTCTCGCAAGTAAATTATTTTGCAAGCGTAGATTGGTATTTTGATGATGATAATAAATTAGGATGGAAACTTTTTCCAAAAGAATATTTCGATTTGCTTTTATGTGTGATGCATTTGCGTGAAGTCCTTTGTTTTCAAAGTACATGTATAATAGTTTGTGGCTTCAAAATGGATAAAGCAGTCTGCTCAATCGACGCCATACTAAAACCATCAACGATGCTTCAGGTTTGCAGTGTTTTGCACTTGAAGCCTTGGAATTTAAAAAAACAGATAAACTTTATAGGTACACCGATACAAAGATCCATTGACCAGTGTAACTTGTAGTTCATACATATGTGTTATCTTAGAATCACTCATATTCTAAATATCAGCGATCTCAATACCACATCGTTCACTCGATAAGAGATAGAAAGTGAGTTGGTTATTTAACAACATTATTGTTCTTCCAACCTCTTCCTTAATCCAAGACTATCAGTATCAGTTACCACAGCCGAAACATTTCCAAAAAAATTGATAGTACAACTTGCATCCTCTACCAACCGAGCAAACTTTATTATGTACACCGAATATCGTTATGCTATTGCGTGCGGAAAAAAAAAGATGCGAAGAGAAGAGATAATGCATTGGCGACGCACGGCGACAAAAACATGTACAGTCGATGATACTGTTGTATAGAAACAATCACCAGAAGAATGGTATAGTATTCGCCCGAGAAATTTGTTGTGATGTGATGCAAGTGCTCATACTTCATCTCGATCAAAGGCAGTTTCAACATAGAAATTGAAACTTGAAAAACAGCAGTGCAAAGAAAAAAAGAGACGTTGGGAGATGTGTGCTTAAAAATGTTACTTGTTTGTTACTGTGTAAAACGCAAGGTCTGCTTTTGCACGGTTTTCAAACGTCGGTTTTCCCGTCGTCAGTATGACAGTTTTCCGGTTACATAAAGGGCTCACCGAGCGTTCGAGCTAACAGAAAGTCATGTTGATTGGTTTCTGGCTGATTGCAAAATGCTTCAAGATACTATCGATCAGATTGAGCAGTTTGATACTAAAAACGAATTTCACTATCTAAACAGCAAATTGCTTTGACGTCGATTTCAGATTGATTAAGGTTCAAGATATACTAAAAGTAATCTGATTCATTTTGCAGCTGATCTTTAAATTGACATTGTCTTTCCGTCCTCCTCCATTCCCCCTTTCCCTTTTCCCACTTGATATATTTACATACATACAATAGAAAATAATGTTCAAACTGGCTGCTACTCAACGACATACCTCACGACACTTGATATCCTTAAGCACATTTTCAAATCGACGATTACCTCGACTCCTTCACACCACTTCAATACTTGCTTCACAGCAACCACAACAGCAAGTTCAACTACACCAACAGCAGCAACAGAATGAAGCAGTAACGACAGCACCTCCTCCTCCCTCTCCAAAACATAATGCTTTTCAAGATCTATTGGGATTAACAAGCCCTAGTCCGGATCTAAAGAACACATTTTATCAACGCCAATTACCAACGACATTGGTGCGATTCTCCTCCCAGGACGGTAAAAAGCTTTTTCGCTCGGCCATGGAGGCAGGTCATGCCGAAGGATTCTTTTCATTGACGGGTAACTTTACGACTCAGTCTGAGCCAGCATACTGTGGCCCAAGTTCTTGTAAGTTCAAACTGTCTTTATTCACATGCTTCGTATGGGCAGTGTTCAATTTTATTCATGAAAACAACAATGAGTGTAGTGGCCATGGTGCTGAATGCGCTTGAAGTGGATCCCAAACGACGCTGGAAAGGAAACTGGCGTTGGTATTCAGGTAAAAACCGCTTTTGTCAGAGAAATTCAAGCGCTGGTTGAACTCAATAGATGTATATACACAGACGAACTACTCGAATGCTGCTCCTCCAAAGAAGATATGAAAAAGAATGGCATAACATTCGACAAGTTTGCATGTCTGGCGAAATGCCATAGCGACGTAGTAGTGAAACGTGGCAACGACTTTACGCTAGAAGAGTTCAAGAAGGATGTGGAAAACGTAACGACTCGGTCGGATGAGTTTATTGTCATTTCGTTTTCGAGAAAGACACTCGGACAGACGGGCGACGGCCATTTCTCGCCCATTGGGGCCTACAATCCAGAGACGCAGATGGTGTTGGTGCTGGACACGGCACGATACAAGTATCCTAGCTATTGGTGTCCTATTGAGACGCTGTACGAATCCATGAAGCCAATTGACAAAGAGACCGGTCGACCGCGCGGATACTTTTTATTAAGCTACGACGCTGACCATCCTCCCATCAGCCTTTGCGGTGTACAGCAGAAAAGACCAAAGAACAATAACAATACGGCCACCATCGAAAACAATCACTCATCATCGTCATCACCATCATCATTATCATCATCACAACACCCACTAGCACAGCAAGGCGTTGCACCGGTAGCATTGAATTGGTCAACGCTTGCCAAAAGTTTCTGCAAACGAATTCCCGAAAATATGTGGATTGAGAAACCACGGACTTTGGAGCATGTTGTTCAGCTGGTGCTGAGAAACGTGCCGCCGGAGTATACCGTGATCCTCGCCAACCAATCCTTCCGCCAGTCGCCCAACGAATACATCGACAAGCTACTCCAAGACACTGCCCAATCCGCTTTATACCCCATTGTGCTGGATGCACTCTACAGCCCGGACAACAAGAACAACGGACGTCTCGACGTCGTCGACCACCATGCTGCGTTTGCCACTCTGTTTGTGCTGGGATCTCCTCGCATGCTGTATACATCGCTTCCACGTGATCTGCAAGAGACGCTTGATCGATATAGAAAGGACGAGTACATGAGCGACGTGGTGAAGCGGGAAGTAGATAGAATCTCTGTAGAGGTCACCGAGTTGACAAAGACGTTCTGTACATGTGGTCCTGGATGGACTGATCCTTTGAAAGAGTGTTAAAAAAATAGATTTTTTACAGAACAAAAAAAGAAGAAGAAACAGATGCGTGTGTGTGTGTGTGTGAGTTTATTTTTTGTTTGTCATACTATTTGACCATTTTTCTCACTTGCCTATTTCGGCTCCTCTTTCTACATTCAATTGCAACCACCAATAATAATTATAATAACTCACCTTTCTTTCTTCCTTCCTTCCCCCACCAACGCATTACACACTCACAAAAATAATTCAAGCCAATGCCTTCACCACCAAAACCATGGGAGCAGAATTCCGGCTCTGCGGCAACAGCAGCTACGAGTGCAATCACTTCTCCTTCTGCTGCTGCTGCTGCTGCAACAACATCCGGCTTTGATTCATTTTCTTCTGATGCTCCAGCTGTCCCCGCAAGATCGACTGCTACAAATGCGCTTAATCGACCAGGGAGTAAGCCACATCGTTCTAGTACTCGCTTTTGTTCTCCATTGTCGCAGTAAACAGAGCAAAGTTGTATTAAACGATTTCTTTTTTCTATTCAATGTAAATTAGCACTCGGCACAACGACGGGTTATGGAAGCACTGGCTACGGTACAACAGGCTATGGAACGACAGGCTATGGTACTACAGGCTATGGTTCAACAGGCTATGGCTCAACAGGCTATGGTGGCTACGGTGGCTACGGTAGCAGTTATGGTGGTGGCTACGGCGGTTACGGTGGTCTTGGTAGCAGCTACGGCGGTTATGGAGGTGGCTACAACAGATTCGGCAGCAGCTATGGTGGCTATGGCGGCGGCTATGGCAACCGTTTTGGAGGAGGGGGCATGTACGGCAACCGGATGGGCGGACCCGAAGGAGAAATGCCCCTTACACAGCGCATGGAAGCCGGCACACGACCAGCCTTTGAAGTCATTGAACAGATCGTCGGTGCTTTTGGAGGGTTTGCACAAATGCTCGACTCGACGTTTATGGCGACCCACTCGAGTTTCATGGCCATGATGGGCATGGCAGAACAACTCGGCTTCTTGCGCAGCTATCTCGGCCAGGTGTTTAGCGTCTTTGCGATCTATCGTCTCGTCAAGAAATACATCAACAAGGCCTTGGGTCGTGTTGAGGCAGGCCGACCTACCGAAATGAATTTCATGGAGTTCCAACAATTTGAAAACAAGGCTGCTGGACAGGCCGCAGGACCCAAGATCTCTAAAAAGCCTATCCTGATCTTTTTGTTCATGGTCGTCGGCTTGCCTTACTTGATGCACAAACTGATCCAGTTGATCACACACAAGCAGCAGCTGGAGCAGCAGAATAACCCGCAAATGAGCGATCCCATGATGGCGTCGTTGGGCAAGATCGACCCGGCCAAGCTCGAGTTTGCGCGCGCTACGTACGACTTTGGGGCTGAATCACAGATGGAGTTGTCGCTCAAAAAGGGCGATATTGTTGCCATTCTGTCAAAAACTGACCCAGTAACGAACCAGCAGAGCCAGTGGTGGCGAGGACGACTGCGTGATGGACGCATGGGCATGTTCCCGGCCAATTATGTCGAGATTGTGCAAAAAGCAGGAGCAACACAAGCTGCCATAGACGAATCGGCTGCCCAACCAGATGAGAAGCCACAACCATCCACACCTACACCTACTACTACCACCACGACCACCACCACCACTAGCTCATCATCTCCACAGTAATAGCCGTTCCATATTACACTACGATTCCCCATTTCATTCACTATTATTATTATTCTCCCACACACCCGCCATAGTATATATATATATATATTATCTTTCTTCTGTACATGCCTCATTTTATAAAAAACAATAACAACAAAACATCTGGTGATACCGTGCTATTTGTCAATAGAAAAACTCGCAATTATTTCACATAAATCGTATCTTTAATCTTGTTTCCCGTACAATAACCTGATCCGGCCACTGTTCAACCAGCATTTCCAGCCATTTCCGACGCGTTGAATCCGGTTGTGCTTGGATCCAAGCGTCCACCTGGGTATTCCGTTGAATGACGGCCCAGCGTACCAGTATCTTATCCTTGAGAATCTCGTTTGGCGCCAACTCGCCGGGCACGTGATTCAAAAACAACATAATGTCCATTTGATCTGTCGCAATCATCCGACCCGCACTGGGCCTGACGAAATAGCGTTCCATCAGACTTGACTGACTTTCCGAAGCAGCAGCAGCAGCTGGCCATCTGCTGCTGGGTGTGTGCAATAACAAAGTGTCTGACGAGTGACGACGACTGCGTGCGCGTTGGAGTCTGGCATTGCTTGTCAGAAACTTGAATACAATAATGTGGTCGTCCGGTGTGACATTTTGGAGCGAAAAAGTCAATGTTTGTCCACGCTGCAAGGGCGATTTGAAACACAAATGCGCCCGTTTCTTGTGATGTTTTTTCTTTTTTGTCTTTATCGCTGTCTGTTCATCATTGTCGTCGTCGTCGTCGTCGTCTTTGTTGTCGTCCAATGGAGTGGTGAACACCGTTGGCTCGTCGGCTTCTTGTTCGTGTTGGATAATGCTGCTGCGCCGCAACCCGCCGTCCTGTTGCATGATGATGTCCAAGTACGGAGGCGAGGCCGGTGGCAGCGGAGGTGCATTTCGGAACCTCGGGACAGGACTTGGCTCAATAAACGTGACGCGTTCCAAAGAGTGTCGTTGACGTCGTTGTCGTCGTCGCTCGGCCACGGCTTGTGCGTCTCTCAGCAAGATGCCCTTGTCGTCGTTTCGGGCTCGTCGTGAGGAGGGTGCTGCTGTTGTAATGATGATTTTTTCAGAGAGCTCTTTGTTGTACTGTTCCTGTCCTGCAACAACCTCGTTAACATCTTCTTTGCTGCTGCTGCTGTTGTTGTTGTTGTTGTCGTGCTTGGACGAGGGTGTCTCAGTGGTAGCCGTATTCGTACTGCTGAATGAAGGGAGAAGGAAACGTTTGAATTTGGTATAGGAGACCAAGGATGAGGCGGACGAGGAGGCGGATGACGATATTACTGAGGACATGTCGTCGTCTTTCGTTTTGTTGCTCGTACAAAGAGCCCCCGTACTGCTGCGTCGCCAGCTCTTTAAGCTCTTCCAAAAGCTGACTTTGGTGGGTTGCTTGGCTGTCATGGATAGAAACGACCGACCGCTTTTTGCGCTGGTCGTGCTTTTTTCGCTGTACATGGATGCCGCATACTGCTTTCTCATTATTGTGTGGGGTGTGGGGTGGAGGGGGGAAAGGGGTGGAAAGAGGAAAAGGGGAGAAGAAAGGCGCACGTTCTCTCCACTCTTGCTTAAACTGCACATAAAAAAGACACACATCGGAAAGTCCAAGAATTGGGGGAAAAAGCATGAAAAAAGAAAAAACACAGGGAACTTTAAAGCAGATAATGTTTATTGTTTATCTCGAGGATAGTGGTGGTGGTAGCAGGTATTGGCAGCAAGTAGCAAATAATGATGGTGGGTAGTACTATCTACTTTGTACGTAAGAGTGTGGTGGGCGGAGCAGGGTCATTGTTTGCGGTCTGATGACAAACGTAGAATGGGTGGTTGACGATGGTAATAGTAGTGGTAGTAGTAGTAGTAGTAGTAGTAATAATAATGAAATGTATGCTTATGGAGGACATGTTGGACACAGATACTCCAAGGCCGGCTGCGTTACCATCCGGGTTTGAGGGTCGTGTAGGATCGAATAAGTCAAGATCCATTGCAGCCGATGTGCCAGCCTATAACAACAACAACAAACAAAGCCAGCCATCCCCCCCCCGATATGTTAAAAGAAAAAGCTCACTTTTTTTGTTGTTGCGTTACTAAACTCACCATAGCCGTAGTTGCCACCATCGCAGGGTAGTTTTCTCTGCCCCACGAAGAGCACGGAACCCGTCCCAGAAAGTCAAGCCGCGCATCGAGTTCTTGCTGCGACCATACAGATCGACCCACTTGCTTACTTGCTCACGACGCTGGATCAACAATGTGTTGTTGTGGTAGTGTGCCAATGCCTGGGCGACTCGCTCCGTGTAGATGGGCAGGCTGAACCAGTCCCGTACGGAGCGAGGATGGTGCGGTAATGTCGTCAAGGGCGACAGACGAAGATGCATGATCAGCGTGGCAGGAATAGCAAACATCCAATGGTATCCAAGTTCACGGAGTGCTTATCAAGAGAGAGCAGTGGTGTTATTGTTGTTGCATGCGCTTGTCTGTTTACAAAACAATAATGTGCTGCATTCCTTACATGTAAATGTATCCAGCATGGTAATCTTTCCGCGATGCTTCTTGTCAAAATACGCCACGCGCTTTGACACTTCTTGTTCGCCGACAACCTCCTCATCGACATTGTTGGTACAGGAGGCAGAAGACGAAGAGGAGGCAGCAGCAGCAGCAGCAACAACGATGGCGTTCGAAGAAGCTTTTGTAGGAAGCACATAGGAGTTTTCGTCTACTATGAGAATGTTCTCTTCTTTATCTTCTTCTTGTCTCTTGTGCTGTTGTTGTTGTTGTTGTTTTTGCTCCTCCTTGTTGGTTTCTGCTTCTTTCTCCTTGCTACGCTCTTTGTTGTTACTATTGTTTCGCTCTTGGGCCACCTCCCTACTGTCTCGTGACGACGGCGGTGGAGATGATGATGTTGATGGTACCACCACCAACGGTGGAGGCGCCTCCTTATGATCTTCGCGTCGCAAAGAAAAAGAAGCCACTGACAGCTCCTCAACACTCCTTGTCGTCAAACTATAATCGCTGGCACTGAGTGGGACGGAGGAGGGGGATGTGGGCGATATGGGTGGAGACGGGCCTGGAGCGGCAGCGGGTACAACGACAATGGAGGCTGAAAAAAAAAAAAAGAAATTATTCAACCGCTACTTTTCAATATGCACAAGGCCATGGTAATACCAAAAAAAAAAAAAAAAAAAAAAGAAAGAAATTACGCCCGGACGGTGCTTCTTACATGATTGTTTGTTGGCAAATACGCCAGAAGGCGGGGTCGTAGGCTTTGGCGAAGAGACAGCCCGCTGTCGTTGTTCAATCGATGCTGCTCTAGTACGATCGAATGAGGCCCGCTGTCGGTCATAATGGTCCAAATTGGATGTGGTAGAAGTCTTGCGCGACCGATAGCCGTCATGTGGTGCAATGATAGATCTGTCAGCCGTTTTCTCAGGCCGCGCATGATGCTGGTGGCTACTACTAGTACTCGTGCCGATGGACGACGATTGAAAGTCACTAAACTTGCTATCTTTGGTGCTGCTCGTAGCAGAGGGCTTCATGAGAGCGTCGTGGAATTCGTCCTCGTCTGTTTCGGTTGTGGTCAGACTGGACTGTGACAGATTGCTGGTTGACGACGTATTCTTCATGTTGTGTGCATCATCATCCACAACGTCCTCGTCGTCGTCGTCGCCCGAACCAGCAGTGCCCGTGGCATGATGATTGTCCTTTTTGCCTCTAGCACGCTAAGTATACATCAATGGAGAGGCCGAGGCGAGGCGATGTATATACAGAAAAGAAACAAAAAAAAAAGTGGCGATATATATTTTTATCTTTAAGGGGAACCTGTTTCTCTCATGTGTTGGCTCTGTTACTGTTGTGTCGAGTCGTACCTGCAGGAAATGGCGAACCTTTCTTCCGGCTCGTTTTGTGAAGCCTCGCTTTACGGTCGTCTTCTTTTCGTCGGGGGTTGCCATGGTAGTTGTGTCGTCCTGCCGAGTAACGTAGAAACGCAAGTAATGCAATTAATTCAGTTGCTGTTGTTGTTGTTGTTGTTGTTGTTGCTATGGCTATGCTTTGTACCTTGGCAACGTGGGGGCGGGCTTACAAAAGAAATTGACTGCGTGGAAAGGCAGAAAAAAGTGGTGGTACTGGGGTGGGGGGAGGGGCAGAAAAGAAGAAGAAAAAGGGTAAAAAGTGAAAGAGTGAAAGAGTGAAAGAGAAAAAAGAAACAGGCGAGAGAGGCTTGAAGAAGGAGAACAGAGAGATTATGGTAAGGTGCGTTGAAGTCTAATTCTTTTTGGAGTCTTTGGATGAGCGGCAGTTCAATTCTTTTTTTTTTGCGGTAATGGCGATTCCAATGCCGTTCAGCACCAAGACTACTGCTTTACTACATATACTCGTAGTAGTACTTAAAAAGCTACTCATGCTCCTATCTACCAGTAGCATGGTGCGTCGATCATGGGCATAATTCAAAGGTGGACTAGCCCATATCTGGGGTGCTGCATGCTTATTTATACTCGTACTATCATTGCGCGAGGGCGGCACACTGCTTGCTGCTAGTAGTAGTGAGTAAAAAGAGAAAAGACCCATCAGTTTCCCCATCGACCGACAACATCCGCTTAGCTAACATGGAGAGCAGAAGAACTAGGAATAGCTGGTTTTGTTTGTCTGTGCATTTAGCATTCGTACTCCACTTTTGACATGTGAAAAGGCTCATCCACCCACGTATTCACTGCTCTGCTCATAGTCTTCTCTAAAGCAAATAGAGCAAAGAAGGAGAGGGGGGGGAGGAGAAGCACGGACCATGGGATCCATAGGATGCTGCCCATAAAGAAGAGAGCTTGTTTGTGTTTGGCCATGCCGGTTTGTTTGATTCTCACGCGCCCCGGTGATGTTGCACGCCCGCACATCAGGCCTACTTGCCATAATAACTTGGCTGCACCCTCTCTCTCTCTCTGTCTCTCTATCTCTATCTCTATTTCGCGCGGCCCTCCAACTCCCCAACATGCTGCATGTAATGTCATGTAATGTAAAAAAAAAAACCGTAGCCTGTGAGTTCGATTTGACGCCGTGCATGGCTACCTCTCAACAGCGGGAACATTGTTCAAGATGGTAAAAGTCAGTGTTGGAAACGTTTTTCCAAACACACTTTTCGGGTGGAGCGGATGAATCAGGCAATCCTTTCTATACGAATTCCCTTTGAGTGAGTGACTACGGTCGAGGCGAGAGAGTAAAAAGGAGATGGCTGAAACAAACAATCGGTAACAACAACAACAACAACAACGACGACGACGACGACAAAAACAAACAAACGAAAAAAAGCACGAGACAAAAAAAAGGCCCTTGTGTAACATCATCGGGGTCTCGCCTTGGTTAAGCAAAATGCCCGTTCTCGTACTCTTTATGCAATTGGTTTTTTTAGCAGCGGCGAGACCGACAGGCGGGGGAGAGGCACAGGGAGAGGCGATGGTTGGGGTACTTGGCTTCTCATTCGCCAAACGACAGTGTCTGAATCTTTTGGCAGGCGAGGATGGATTGGTTACGATCAAAACCGGAAACTGCTATTTCGGGCGATTGAGCGGGAGGGAGGCCTCACACACACACAGAGAGAGCTTGAGGGACCATAAAGGAAGAACTGTGGACTGGACTCGGTAAAGGGTGGCTGTTTGTGCGTGTGTACGCTGCTGCTGCTGCTGCTGTTTGTTGTGTTGTGCTGTGTTGCGCGAACAAGGCAAACGAACGAACGAACGAAAGAGGAGGTCTCTCTTCTTTTTTTTTTCCCTCTTCTTTTTAAAGTTTGCCCTCTTTTCTTTTTTTCACTTTACGCTTCTTTTCTTCTTTTTAACTCTCTTTTTTCTCCTTTGGACTTCTTTCCACCATACACTCACCACACTTGAAGCCTCAACTAGTATCATCATCATCATTAACAACAACAACAACAACAACAACACCAGCACTTTACCAACAACAACAGCAACAACAACAACCAAAACGGCAACCCACGATTCTCCTTTTCGCTTCTTCTTGTACAGCTCAATTCCTGGTCGACGAGCCTCCATGACGACGCGACCGCCATCACCTGCAACGCCGCCTACCGAGACCCCAGGTCGAGTACAAGTCGTGGCCACCGGTAGTACTAGCACTTCTCCCTTGTCGTCGTCACCTGCTGCTGCAGGTCTAGCCTCAGCAGCAGTCCTACCAACAACAGCAACCACTACTACTACTACTACTTTGAATAGCCATAATAATAATAATAATAGTAGTAGTAACCATGCCAACAACCCTACATTGACGAACACGACTACGGCGCAGGCAGCAGCTGCACCGTTCCCGTTTATACCCCGCTCCTATCAACAAGCGAGCACCACTGCCACAACGTTCGGTCAACGGTTCAAAGCTGCAGGACTGCCACTGTCCTTTCCTCGTCTCTACTCCGGACCCTTGTTTGCTGCACCCTCCGTCTCTGTCAACCACACCCACATTGTCAGTAGCATAGGTCCTATCACGCCTCCACTGACAATCGACCACTCTACATCGTCCCCGATACCCTCATGCTCCACCGGCGGCAGCGACACATCACCGCCCTCATCCACAGCACTGGCGGCACCAGGGAAATCAACGACAGTCATACCAAAACGCCAGATATACAAAGTTGTTCATGATAAAGATTACTGCATGTTTCGGATCACGCTGGATAACAAAAGAATAGGTAAAATACACTAGTCCCCCCCCACCCTGACATTCATAACAAGAGTTGCCAGCCAAGAATTATTATTATTAAACGATGGATCATCATCATTACAGCGGCACTCTGCTACCTGCCAACGCGGTTCTCATGGATGGTCGAGTTTTATCACACAGTAAGAAGAACAAGCTGTTGTTGTTGCTGCTGCTGCTGCTGCTGCACTGTTATTTATTGACTGCTATATACATAGGAGATTCCAACTGCATATCGTGATCTTGGATTGGGCGATCGATTGGTGGTCCATGGGTTCCAATGGGCCGAGACCGCGAAGCTGCTGGTCATCCCTACGTGTCCCTTTGTCCGGCGATACCTGGCCAAGAATAAGGCAGCCTATGATTGTGTCGTGCAAAGTGAAAATGAAGGCTTGTCGCGTCTATTAACACCACCTTCTTCTGAAGAAGATGCTGTCGTGACTGTAGAATAATCAAATATAAATGTTTAGCAACACAACCCATCCGTTCTTTCGTTGTCACTACTACTACTCCTACTCCTACTATCCTACTACTACTACTGCTGCTGCTGCTGCTGCTGCTACTATTTTTACTAGCAAGTATTGTATCACCACCACTACCTTCAAAAGAAAAACACTTACAAGCATCCACATATTACATATACACACACAATCAAGCATTTCCTTATTAAATACGTTGGCTTTTTCTTCTTTCCCTTTCACAAATGTTAAATAATAAACTCTCCATTTTTCTGCATTAATTTTACTACTATCTTTAAAAACAAAACAAAATAAAAAGACGCGTCGATTTTGAGCTCTGAGACGCAGCTCTTTCACCCTCCCCTTTCTTATTCTCGTCTCCCAAAAAAAAATAGAACTTTGTAACAACCGCATCCCAATCACTGACACACCTCTTCTTTTCGCCGAATTAACCGACAAAACAACCTCTTTTCAAAAAAAAATGACAAAGATCCCAGCCCTTCGACCCCAGTGTCGAAAGTGCGATTTAGGTTACAGGGACACATATCGACTCGTGGTCCGATCCGATCCGGAAAGCGAACTACGTTTTTTGTTTCATGGACATCGCGATGAGAGTCTTTATTCATTACTGCAGCGTCTGTTAGAGCAGTTTCCAGACGAATGGGCCAGGGAGGTGGTTTATTATTTCTACATTGATGTGGGTGGATCGTATTACCCAGTAGAACATTCATTCTGGCTTCGAGGTATAGAAATTACCCTTTTTTTTTCTTTTTGACACGCCTTCCTACCCATGCCGCCCCTAATCTTGTCTTTTCTTTTTTTTTTTTTTGGGACGCGTACATAGATAAGGATCATATTCTTGTCACGACGATCGAGGACGAATCGCAATTACCTAATGTCAGTATGAATGCAGGTGAGTAGCTATTTTCCCATAAAAAGAAAAGGGGGGGGGTTTTGACAACAAAAGACTAAATAATCTTTGATGATAAAAAGTACATGCAAGTTTACGTCCTGAAATCCAACTGCAGCTGCACCAAGAAGAAGGCATCGAACGGATGATGGGAATGGAAAGGTCGTATCGAGGTGGTATCCTCGCCGATGATGCAAGTATTTCTCATGGCTCCAATATTTTTACATGAAAAACGCAATCATGATTAGCTGCTAACTTTTTACTTGCTTTAGATGGGTCTGGGCAAGGTAAGAAAGAAAGAAAAAAGAGATGGAGGGATAGGGAAGCTAATCTCTCTCTCTTTTCTCTTTATAGACATTACAAATGTTGACATTGATTATGCGGCAACAACCGAAGCTTGATATCAGAGCATGCACTTTGGTTGTCGTCCCTTCGCGCGGTGTAAGCTATAGAACGGTCAAAAAAGGAGGGATTCCATCCAATTAACCCCACTCTTTCTTTCTATGATAGGTGGCAGATCAGTGGGCTGAAGAGATCCGAACAAAGACGACCTATGGTAGTTTGCCGTACTTTATCTACAACGAAGAAACGTCTATGCTACTTGAACGTAAGGAGGTGTATGGAAGAGCTGGAGGGGGGGGATTGATACAGCGTATGAATAGGACTCTGACTCTTTTTTTTTTTTTTTTTTGGTGATCTGTGGGACGTGGTTATGCAGAACCATGCTTCCGCGTTGTGATAACCACGTATGATCGATTAAGAGCAGAATTCCGAAACAGACAACTGACAGGCGTATCGGCGCCACTGGTGGATATGGATTGGCACCGCGTGATTCTCGGTACCTGTATACACTTTTTTTTTTTTTTTGTGCAAGAGATCGAGTCTAACCAATAATAATATATATATATATATATATATCTGTATACTCAGATGAATCCAACAAAGTCCGAACAATGAAGACGGCCATTACTGAAGCTGTTTTGGAATTGAAGGCTCGTTATCGATGGTGTTTGACGGGAACACCGTTACAGGTAAAGAATACGATCAAAGGAGAGAATACATTGGGTTTTTCTCATCATCCAAGTGTAAAAAAAAAAAAACTTCTAGAACGAAATCGCCGAACTCTATCCAATCTTTGCCTTTTTGGAAATCCCGGTCGAAAGTAACTTGAGGGGCAATGTGGATTACATTTCAACGCTACTGAAACGACACATGCTTCGACGCACGAAAAAGAGTCTGCTGACATCATTGACCATCCTACCACAAAAGGAAGAGCGTGTTGTTTTGGAATTCACGGACCCAGAACGCGCGTTATACGATTACTTGGAGCGTATTTTGTACAAACGCATTCGTGACTCCAAAGATAACGATACGAATGAATACAGTACATCCATGACGGCCGCTGCATTACTCTATCTTCGTCTTAAACAAAGTACGTCCTTTTGCCTCCCCCCCCCCCACATACATCCCCCAATGGTAATAACGGTTTTACTTTTTTGCCTTTAGCATGTGGACATTTTAGAATCCTGTTGAACAAGTTTCCAGATCTGATTCCGGCTGTCCAGCAGTCTTCAGCAGATGAGGTGATTGAACGATTGGATACGGACGAAGAAGTACGGGCGCAGAATCACAATGAAGAGACCGAAGTGAACGAAGCATTTGATATTATTGAGAGTTTCTAGTAAGTTCCAAACACACACACACACACACACACACACATGTAGCCAAACCCCCCCCCCCCAAATCTAAAGTTGCTGTTTGTCATGTGACTCTCCCCATGTAAACATCTGATTGACTAATATCGGGGAATTAGTGTGCAATTCCACGAAGACGAGCAACCACCTGACATGGATGCATTGCAAAAACTGCCGTTCCTGCAGCATTCGACCAAAGTGGGTTGGCTGATCAAATTCTTGAGAGACACCTTGAATAAGGGCAGACTCGATAAGATTGTGGTCGTCACTCAGGTAAAAAAGAAAAGAACCCTGTTACTAAATGTTTATTATTAAATAACCTCTGTTTCTCCGGGTTTATATTGTAGTTTGTCGATCTGCTTCAGGAAATTTCAAGCGTCCTCAGTTCTATCAATATTCGTCACAATTGCTGTGAGTGAATCAATGACGATTTGGTTGGAAGAAAACAAAAAGGGCTTACTGACAGGCGGCATTATTTCAATTAGACCATGGCGATATGAGCGGCTCTGCACGCATGGTCAGTCTTCGTCAATTCAACCATCATGCTGAAATCAGAGTGATGCTATTGTCACTTAAAGCAGGTGGTGTGGGTCTAAACTTGCAGCGCGCAAATCACATGGTGATTCTCGATCGATGGCAAGTAAATAAAGCTACTGTCTTGTATAATTAAACCCCCTATACTAAATGTGTCTTTTGTGTTTTTCTATGGAGATTAGGTGGAATCCAGGTAAGTTGTGTTGATAGGGCAAAGATATTAGAGACTGCTGACATTATCTTGATTCTTTCTTGCTTAAACATTCAAAAAGCTACAATGGGTAACGTATCACACACACACACACACAGACACAGACACAGCAAACATGGTACCCGAAAGGTGTCTAAACTTTATCTCCTTTCAAAAATCCTGTAGAGCAAGCAATTGCACGCATCCATCGCATGACACAGAACAAGCAGACGTTTATCCATACTGTGGTCATCAAGGACACTGTTGAGGAAAACCTAATGGACAACGTGCTGAAGAAGAAGGTGCGTTGCGCGTGTCTGAGAGAAAGAATGAACCTTATTTATAATGATTAATCATCCTCTCTTTTTTTTTTTCCAAACAACAGAGCGATCTCTTCAAGTCTGTTGTCGAGAACAAGAACGCTGAAGAAGAGGACGAGGACGAGGACGAGGATGCTGTGATGCTAGATGGATAATACTGCATTTCACTTTTTCTTTTTTTCTCCCCTGGGGCAGGACCCTTTGTATAGTATTCTTTCTTTCTTTCATGTTTTCAATGACCGCTCATCAAATTGTTGCCACCGCATTGATCAACGGGCATTTCCATTGGTGCAACTTGGATATGAGGGATCATCGTGGTGCTGCAAAAGCCAATTCTAATACTGCCCAGGCCCAATTGTCTGATGTAAAGGAAATGGGTGGATCGCCACCCTGTTTCAGAATTGTTTGCGTGGTGCTTATCCCTGCAGTGTTCCCCATTGCAATTGACAAAAACGTTACAAGTGTGTGCGCGTGTGTGTCATCGCTCTCTCTCTCTCTCTCTCTCTCTTCTCTTCTCTAATTCTTCTCTAAACATTATCACGAACAGTGTGCGTGCACACCCAAATAAGAAACACACACACACACACACACACACACACACAATGCGGAGCTTTTAGCTTGAGCTTTTTTACAACCAAAAAAAAAAAACTATATTGGATCAGATCATGTGCGATACGTATTAGAACTTTGCGCTACCTCGAACCCTTTTTTTTTTCTGTTGAACCTCGTTTTTCTCTTTCACTCTCTTTACACCCGTTTTCTTTTTTCTTCAAGAGAAACTTTCAAGTTTTTGTTTTGTTCTCTCTCTCTCTTTTTTTTTTTTAAATTCTTGGATCCAGGCAACCCGCTTTTTTCAGTGTTAAAAGCGAATGACTCCGAGATGCAAGACAGTAAATGGTCACCATCTCAGGAATCTCTGCCCAGCTATATGGCCCTTTCAAATAGCAACTACTCCTACCGCGATTCACCATCGCACGCGCCACCGCCACCACCACCACCACCTCCTCCCTCAGCAACAGCAGCAGCAGCAGCATCTACTGATATGGCTACAGAGTCTTCGATGCATGGGTAAGCAACTTGTTTTTTCCTCTTTTCTGGACGTTTCAAGGTGGAAATTATCAAGGGGCAGAGGGTGTGTGCTTGAAGCAGTAAAAGGATCATCAGAAAGAATGAGTGGTATTGAGTAGCATATGGAGTGAGCCAGTGAGTGAGGGAATGAGTAGGATGGTTGGTATTGTGCAAGTGGGTGTTGCACATACGCAAGAGGGGCTTTGAACTTTAGGTCTTTTAACACTACTGTTGTAACCCAGAATGGGAAAAGGAACTTTTTTACATTGTTGGGAGTTCTGACGAGAGAAGAAGAAGAAAGTGTATTGACGATGAAATAAAAACAAACTAGATTGATGTCAATGACACAGCCAGGCACGCCTCGACCCGACGCAGCGTCGTTGCCACCCACACCGCTCCAGGGCAACAAGTCGCCTAGCAGCAGCAACAGCAGCAGTGGAGGAAGCAATGGTGGGGCCGCACGCCCCACGTTACCGGCGCGGCCAGCCAGTTTCACGAGCATGACAACTTTCCCGTCTCATCCATACAATCAATTCGCCGGCCCAATCAGAAAACGGAGAACAGAATCCATCTTTTCATTTGAGATGGGCCCGTCGTTCACGTCGACAAAGCAGCTTCAAGAACTGCTCAGTCTGGATCAGTCGAATGGGTATGGACAAGATCACTCCCCTCCTCCCCCCCTATGCATTCTCTTATATAGATACTCATAAGCAAACACACACACCTTGTTACTAGATACCAAATACAACTTCATGCAAAGATGGACCGAGGCTTTTTTCGCGCGGACCAGGACTGGGCATGCTATCGGCGCAATTATTTCCAGGTCAGTGGCACCTTTGACGTCCACGGCATCAACTACCTCTTGCAAGGCCCCGAAGTGCCTTGCCTGCTTCGTAAATCCGAGCAGGAGCTCTACCAGGTCGAATACTTCTCGATTGGGGTTAGCGCATGTGTCTCAAACAATGCAGACAAGAAAATCGAATTAGTGCAACACACGCCGAAAAGAGACAAGGGGCCCCAAATCATCCCAAAACCACAGCCTGTGCGTGCTGGCGGCAACCTCCATCTGGCCTCCGTCGGCTCCAGCCATCACATTGTCACCTTTGAGCGCATGCAGTTCAAGACCGCCACCGCCAACAACGGCAAGCGACGCGCGGCCCAACAGTACTATGAGATCGTGATTGATCTGTACGCCAACACCAGCCAGGGCGAGGAGATCCGTGTCGCTACGTGTCATTCTGCCCCGCTCGTCGTTCGTGGTCGAAGCCCGGGCCATTATGCAGATTCGCATACGCGTTATCGCCACAACATGACTGCCCCACAAGAAGATCCAGCAGCTGCCGCTGCCGCCGCCGCCGCCGCTGCTGCTGCTGCTGTAGGCATGCCGCCTCCACCACCGCCTCCACCACCTCCTCCTGCACCTCCAGGTGTCAATGCAGAACGAGGACTTCCACCGCCGCCGCGGTATCTTAGCTTGCCCACATCTCCTGTGAGTGATCTGGGCCCTTACTCTCCTTACTATGGCTATCCTTCCGCTGTTGGGTATCAGCAAACGCAACATCCCAATGAAAACCAGCAGCAGCAGCAGCAGCAACCTCCTCCTCCTCCTCCACCGCCGCAACCACAACACTATGGACCGTCGTCATCCTCATCAGACTCATATTTCCAAGGCAATCGTTTAGATTCTGAGAACAAGACGTCATCCACCGCAGAAATGATGACCCAAAGCCCTTATTACTCTGATTCATACGGTTCGCGTCCTCCCGAGAACGACACAAAGTACTTTACCATGCGACACGATCAGCAACAACAACAACAACCTCCGCCGCCACAGCCGTCCTCGCCTTACCCTCCTTTTGCTACAGGCCATCATCATCATCATCATCAACCATTACCGCCACCTCCACAGCATCACCATCATCAACAACAACCACCGCCACCCTCAGCTCCTCAGGCACCTCCACAGCAGCAGCAGCAGCAACATTACAATGATTATCCTTACAGTTCCGCGCCCTCATCCTCGGCACTCCATGCTCAACACCATCACCACTAAAAAAAAAAAAATGAAAAAGAATTTTGACTTTCACACTTGCAAAAAAGAAAAGAAAAAAATCACAAAAATATAATGACAAGAGAGACGGACGCGAGTGTTATTCGGAGGGGAAGGCAGGCTGGGCCGGTCCCCTCTCTCTCTCTCCCTCCTACTCTCTCCTTCACGCACACATATTCTCTATCCTTTCTCTAAACGGGCGCTGGCTAACGAGGTCTTTATTATTATTTTTTTGGTGGGAAAAAGTGACAGAAAGCCGCGGATTTAGACATTATATACAAGTTATTTCTCCCCCCCCTCCTCCTCCTCCTCCTCCCCCATCATCATCATCATCAGCATCATGTGCTCACTTTCTATATCGCCTTTCTCTCTCTCTCTCTATTTTTTTTTTTTGCACGGGTTAATTCTTATATATTTATGCTTTGTTTTTTCCCTTTGCTATATTGAACAGCACCTCTTAATTTCTATATCTATACTGTCCCTTCTTTTTGTTGCTACCACCTCTTTCATATAGCTATTTTTTTATATTATGTATCATTAAACTTACTACTACTACTACTACTACTACTACTACTACTACTATATAGTAACTAGTTTATTGCCAACTATAGTAAATACCATCACTTTTGTTTTCTGCATGTGTTTTTATTTTTCATCTGTTCCTGCTGTTGTGTGTGTGTGTGTGTAACATTAAAAAAGATGTGCAACTGTCGGTGCGTGCAAAAGCGTACAAAATATCCAAAAAGCGGGTAGTACTTACGGTATGTGTGAGGAGGGCCTATATCAATCGTCGGAGAGTAATACTACTGCTATCGCCGTCGCAACTCTACGCTTGATCCATGATTCTCCCTGATAGACTATGATTAACTTGGAAAAAAAAAAAAAGTCATTGCCTTGCGACAGCATCTTTATTATGACCAAGGGGTTCCAGCACAGAGCCTTTGTTATAACTTTGCTCTATGTGTGAGAAAAAAAAAAAAAGAGAACTAATAGCTTTGAATAACACAACACCAAATATATCCAAATTGAAGCATGACACCAACATTCTTCTCTTGTTTTCTTCCAAACTTCTAATAGGGTGCTACTTTAAAGGCTTGTACTATGGATGGATGTAAGCAAGTAAAAGACCCTCTTCTTACATCATCATCACATCACCTGTATACTGAAAAGTGCACGCTGTCTTGTGAGGATACCGTGTAGTAGCACGTACAGTAGTTTAAACACATGCATATCCTCCATTGTATGTAGTAGCATATATTCTGTAACACCTTGTTAAATGAGATTAACTTTTTTTATCTAGTCAAAAAAAGATATGTTCACCGTTTTTTGAGCTATTTGAGTAACAGCAGTCAAGGGTGGTTACCGTCCACCCATCGTTAGCTATACTACTATATTTAATCATCAAATAAATTATATTTCTCGGTTTGCCTTTCCCAATAGCACACCTGCTTTTATTCTTCCTCATTTGCCTTACGAGTTACTATTCGCTCCTTTCCTCGTAGCCCTGCACTCTATGCTACCAATCCTTTCTTAAACCCAAGGAGGCACATATTTTTCGCTTTGCTATGATACTACATACGTTATTTATAATGTAGTTATCTGGATGCGTGATAAATGGACAGTAGTGCAGTACTATGTCAATGATCATCGACTTCTTTCCCGTGTATTTAAAACAGTCTACATCAACCTACAGTAAATCCTCGTTAATTTCATAGCGTGAACTCCCAAAATTTGTGTCATAATAGTGAGGGCTTAAAATTAGCGAGATAAATCAACGGGTGTGAAGTTACATGAGGTTGACTGTATGACAAAGTATTAGCTCTTTGATCATCTGGTCTTCCCGGCTGTATCTTCTGAGAAGTGTTTTACTATTAGAACAGGGAGAGATTAGGTTTTGCATTGGATATATGAAAAAAAGGTAGTAAGGCATGTTAAAACGACGCTTTCATTAAAAAGCCCAGATACTTCCCACCAGTAGCTCGATATCAGCAAAACCTAACAAAAGCAATTTGCTTCTTTAAATTAATAGTGTTGTTTGTCTTGTTCATGTTTACTGTATCAAAGCACGCACCCCTCCAGAACCAAAACTGGCTAGTACCTTCGCCTGTTGTGTAGCCTGCGTGTGGCCTCTGTGCGAACGTCTTCAATCCACTTCTTGCGTTCGCTGCTAGTTTTTAATATTTAAAAGAGAATACAGAGCGCAAACACATTTTTAAATACACTGTGTGGTAAAACACATTATTACACTGTCCAAGACATCATCAGTAGATAAGATATTTGGTTAATGTCAAAAGTATACACAGACAACTACCACGGCAACCAGCTAAGCATTGTAGCATAGACACAATCCATCCGAATTTGTAAAGCACGGAAACACTATACTCGGATTATCCAGCTTATGTAAGCAGTAGCAGTACGATTGCCATTATATCATGAATGTGGAAGATATTACACCTGTACAACGAGGGGCGGCTATAAGCCGATACTGTATGGACTGACGCAATATGATGCATAGGCGTATGTCGTTAGTGATCTCTTGATATCCTTTACGATAATTTAGAAAGAGAAGGTCTGCTTATGATGCACTTAGAATGGATGTCTTGTCACAAAAAAAAAAAAGGCACCTGGCAGTGGCAGGTGGAAACGAGCGGATGGGCGATGATAGCGGATAGTGTTATGCAAGCTAATCAATACTTATCATCAGCTAGTTCGGGCACCGTTTCACTGTGTCGATCCACGCCTGCCGGCTATCGCACATGCGATGAAGACTGCTGTCTTCGCACGTCGCTTTTGCTCCCAACCCAAAACCACTCTTCTATGCATCGCCATCGTTCAAGCGATCTGGTCAGCACATTGGTTTTTCATATTCGAAGGCCACCCTTTCATTCCGCAGGCAGTAGCTGCTCATGCCACTGCCATCTATCACCGCACATATAAATAGGTTTCTCTTTTCCGTCACTTCTCTGTTCCTCATTTTCTCATACATGTATTCACACCCAATAGTCCGTCACTCCTCTGGACACTCTGTTGGGAATAAGTTTTGCCTCCAGACCATAAAAAAAATACTTATGATCAGAATGATTGGGCGTGTACTAGTTTTGGTTAGCGCCAAGCTCAAGCAAGGGATCAAAGGGTCTCGGTACAGTGTCTACCGTCAATGTTGCTTATGTTGAATACGAGATTATTTTTGGATTTGTACCGCGTCGATATTGGCCGGTGAACAATAGCTTCGGATGATAACGATATATTCGCGCAAGGTGTTGGCTTGGAGTAAGTATGTGCTGAATGTCGTATCCAGCTTCCTGATGGGATAAGTGAGCCATTGTAGAAAGTCTCGGCCGTTGTTGGATTAACCATGGTGCGATGTGGTGGCGTGTGTAACAAACAAAAGACGCACTCTTAATTAAGTATCAAGTATATACCACTTCCCTCAGCTGATGTATGATACATGTGAAAAAAAAATGCGAAAAAAAGAAAACAAAAAAAAACAGGATGGTGGGCTCGTAGCCTCAGAACACTTTTTTTTCTTTTCGATTATTTTCGCGAGCACGACTACGCGGCCACAGAAAGTAACAAAAAAAAAGTGTCAAAGTGTTGTGATCGTGTTACTATTGCTGCCATTGTTCCCTGTATTGTTAACACGGGCCTGTTGATGGTGGGGGGAGGGGTGTTCTTACCTATTTTAGTTTAAAAAAACCAGTTTTTCGGCACGTACCCTCCGAACATTTTTTTTCGTTACGATTAATTTCGCAAACACGACTACGCGACCACAGAAAGTAACAAAAAAAGTGTGAAAGTAACAAAAAAAAGTGTGATCGTGTTGCTATTGCTGCCTGTATTGTTAGCACGGGGCTGGACGTGTTTTTTCAAAACCAAAAAAAACAAACATAAATACGCCAGGGCATTTTAATTTTTTCTCTTCACTCTTTCTTCTCTTCACTTTTCTCTTCCCTTCACTCCCTTGGATCCTCCTGGTCTTTCTCTTGGCTCTTCCCTTGGTTCTGGTCTTCCCCTCGCTCTGGCTCTTCCCTTGGTCCTGGTCTTGCCTCTGTCGGTCCTGGTCTCAGCCTTTTTCCCGTGGTCCCCTGGCTGCCTACAACCGGTCCTGCTTGGGCTGTCTAGTCTGGCGTTCAACGGTGTTGGTCACAACCGGTCTTCAGGCGAGATCAGAGGACGGAGAAATCCTTTCGGTTTTTCGCCATAGAAATATGGTAGTGTCCTTTCGGTTGGATGCCTTGTCTGCTGGTCTGGTCTGGTCTGCCATGGTGGGGCTCGCATGAGGAGCCAGGTGCCACCGTAAATCGCGTTCGACTCCTAGGACTCGACTCTCGGCAATCGACTGTCTGGAAGTTGACTGTCTGGTATTCGACGCTCGGCATTCGACGCTCGGCATTCGACTCTCGGCATTCGACTCTCAGCGATCAACTCTCTGGCATTCGACTCTCGGCATTCGACTCTCGGCAATCGACACTCGGCAATCAGCTCCCAGCTTCAGTGTTCGACTCCCAGCATCGGAGTATCCAGTAAGCAGCTCCTCCAGCATTCGACAACAGCAGCAAATTTTTCTTTTTTTGGGTGTTTCGAGAGTCAATTCTTTCTCCTACCCCACCCC